AGACGTTATAATATATAAAGTTATAAGTAATATTATTAATATATATTTTAAATATAAAAATATAAGATAATATTAGCTATTTCTTTTAATTCGCTAGTTATATAAATAGTTTAATATCTTCTTTATTTCTTAACTACTATTTATTAAAATCGTTTCGCTATTTCTTTTAAACTCTTTAAAATTAATTTATCTATTTAATAAACTTACTTAGAAATATAATAGCTTAATTTAATTTCTTATTAAAGTCTCTATTAACGCGTTTCTTTAAATTTATTCGCTAATATAAATAAAATAAGTAGATTAATCTTAGTTATAGTATTAGAATCGATATAGATATAATATTAATATAGATATATTAAATAAGATAATTAAGATATCGAATTATATAAATAAAAGAGAGATATTAAATAATAGATAATATCTCTATTAAGATACGCTAGACTCGAATAGATAAGAGTATTAAGTAATATATTAAGAATATAAAATACGCTCGTAATAAAATCTCTATATACTCGATATTCTTATCAGAACCAGCATAGATACGATATCAGTATGGGTGAGGTAGAATAGAATAATAAGGCTACCGAACTATGTATGTGGGAAGGAGGCATGATATGGTAGGGGATGCCTCCGCCAAGGCCCGCTAGCCATAGGGCTGAGGTGTGTCAAGGGTACGCTCATAACACTACCCCCCTCTCAATAGCCATGGCCCCCATGGCTGGTAGACCGGAGATGCAGGCCCATTGCTTGCCTTATATCTCCAAACATCCATAGTCCGTGTAGGCTTCGACCGGAGACGATTTTGCCGAGGTGTAGTGGTAGCAGTCGAAAACATCGAATGGTTTCAATTCGTTCAAAAACACCATATTCGAGGTTTTGCCGGTCCGCATGCTGGTCTTAACTGGGCCATACCTGCCCCACATTATCCTTCAGAGATTCTGGAGATATTAAGTATATCTTGCCTGCGTGCGAGCAAGATTCTCTAAATTCTTCTCTTGTCCAGTCTTCTTATCACAATCCTTCGGTAGAATTGAAGAAAAATCCAACGCATGTATGTGTCATAAATCCCGCCCAACACCTGTTGGCAGCCTAGCCTGAGAGCTTCACTATAGATTTGCCCTGTGTCTCCCATACTCTTACCATCAAGTCTACTCCATTCCATCCTTTGTCTCAACTCGTAGCTATCTTACTCCGTAATACTATCCATTACATCCATCCGCCTTATAAGCCTACCGCTTCGACTGCCGGTCCCACATACCCGCTTCGACTGCCAGTACCCCGTAGGCCTACCCATCCTAAGTTGCCAGTCCTATATACCCGTCCTAAGCTGCCATAGCGAGTACTCAGCAACCAATAACCTGACTAACATAGACCACTTCCGTAAACTTATGCACTTGTTAATTCGTAGGTTTGATAGGGAGGTAGGGAAAGAATCGAATGTGTTAAATGCTATTTGGTAGCAGGCTCACTATATAAATACCGCACATACCCTTATAGCAGGCTTACTATGTGTATTATCGATATACTTAGTAAAGAGATCGAATCAAGTCGTTTCGGGGCTGTTCCCGTCGCTATTATAGCAGGCTTACTATAGTATATAAGGGTGTTTATAACGATTTCTTTCTACTATTAATTCGCTAGTCGTACGAATCATCCCTATACCTTATTTATTCCTCGCCCACTATTTTAGCGAGGCTATTTCGCTATCTTATTAGGCTCTTTAAAATCGAGTTACCCGTATAATAGGCTTTCTTAGAAATACGATATCTTAAGTTCGTATCTTAATATCTTAACCTCGATATCTTAATATCTTAACTTAGTATCTTAATAAAGCCTTTATCTATAAATCTAAAAAATTAATTTTCGTACGATTTTCGCCGAGTTCGTACGATTAATACGATTTAGTTTATTTAATAAACTTTATCTATATCTAAATTCTTTTCGCTAGTTCTATTAATTTAATAACTTTAAAAAATTTTAGTAACTTTAAAATTTTTACGTAATATACTCTAATATACTCTAAGTACTATTTTATATATATATAATATTAATATATATTATTATTAATATATATATTATTATATACTATATCATCTATAAATCTAAAAAGTTTTTATAAAATTTAAAATTGCTAATCGCGCGTATATCGCGGAAATTATAAAATTTATCGAATTAGTAAATCTAATTAGAATTCGCTTAAATTCTATTAATTTAGTAAATCTAATTAGAATTCGTCTAAATTCCGCTAATTTAGTAACTATTCTAATCTTTTTCGTTAGTTCTATCAATTTAGTAGTAATACGTACGAAAAAAGAAAAGTTCTAATAATCGACGTTACGACGGTAAGATTTTACGATAACGAGTATCAACGTTAACTTAAATTTAACTACGGAATTAGACGATTTAATAAAATTAGTCGCGTAAGTAATACTCTAATATAGCGTATAATAATACGTATATTAATAATAATATATATTAATATTATATATATATAGAATAGTACTTAGAGTATATTAGAGTATATTACGTAAAAATTTTTAAATTATTAAAAAAATTTGAATTTATTAAACTAATAGAATTAGCGGAAAGAGTTAAAATAGTTATTAAATCGGCGAAAAGAGTTAGATATAGATAAAGTCTATTAAATAAACTAAATCGTACTTATAGTACGAACCCGGCGGAAATCGTGCGGAAAGAAACTTTTTAGATTTATAGATAATTAGAGTATTACTTATACGATTAATTTTATTAAATTATCTAATTCTATAATTAAATTTAAGTTAGCGTTAATACTCGTTATTATAAAATCTTATTATTATAACGTCGATTATTAGAACTTTTCTTTTTTTATATATATTACTATTAAACTAATAGAATTAGCGAAAAAGATTAGAATAATTACTAAATCGGCGGAATTTAGACGAATTCTAATTAGATTTACTAATTTAGCGAATTTTATAATTTCCGCGATATACGCGCGATTAGCAATTTCAAATTTTATAGAAACTTTTTAGATTTACAGATAACTACTAGCGCGTTTTTTTTTATTTCGTTCGCTAATTTAAATAGAAGAGGATAAGTCTTTAGTAGCTATTTAGTTACTCTACTATTCTCGAGTATAACTAATTATCTAGTTATTATTTATATAAGTTTCTCTTCGTCGAGAAATACGAAGAAGTCTTATTATAATATTAGAACTAGTATAGATATAATATTAATATAAGTAAGATAGAATTAGATAATAAGACTATCGAACTATATATGTAAAAAGAAGGTATAATATAATAGGGGATATCTTCGTTAAGACCCGCTAGTCATAGAACTAAGATATATTAAGAGTACGCTCGTAATAATTCTAGCTATAAAAACTTGATATAAACTTCTTATACGACTTTATATCTTTTAAAAAATATCTTATAATTAGTTTTATAGAAATAAGACGAGAGATAGATAGATTAATTATATATAATTTAAAACGTAGTTAATAGAGTTACGAGGTTAATTAAATATATAATTATTAATTACGAGAAAGTATAGAAAGATTTAATAGAATAATTTTAGTAGGCTAAAAAAAAAAAAAAAAAAAAGAGATTTGATTCTATTCGAACACCTTTTATGAATTGCAAATTAAATAAGAATGCTTGGCAAAAAAAATCGCGCCCCCCCTCCGGCTTTGCTATTAAAAATACATAAAAATTAGAAGAAACCATATTTTTCTTATCTAGATTTATGAATTTTTATTATTTATTAATCTTATTTATATTAAAATTACACTAATTTATTAATTCTATTACTTTTTTTTTTCAGATTAATTTTAAGAGAATCTTTTTGATAACCTTGATTTTGTATAGAAGAGTACGTTCACTTCGTCACTTTACTTAATAAAAATAAAAATTCAATGTAAAAAAACTTGACAAAAAAAACTAATAGAACTTGTTAAATAAACTAGATTTTATATAGAAAAGACTTCTTGATAATTAATATTCATAAATTTAGATAAGAAAAACATGATTTTTTTTTGGATTTTTTGGATTTTTGGTAGCAAAGCCGGAGGGGGGGCGCGATTTTTTTTGCCAAGCATTCTTATTTAATTTGCAATTCATAATTAGCTACTCACTATTCAGAGGTCCCTGACAAGCGGAATTTCATCTCCGAACGCTTCGAAATTTCTTTGCTGGAGTCGGTGACTGTTGCGTCTCTCTGCCAGGCCAAAGGGACCTCTAGGAAGAGTCACAGCTTTCGGGCATCGACTTTGGGGCTTGCGTACGATATGGCCAGCTTCAAAGAGCAAAATGTGTATGTCATGACAGACCCTGTTGTCTATAGAGTCTAACACTGAACCAACACTGGTAGGATTCCAAGTGGTACCACGGAGGACGTGACATCTAACGGGTCATCGAGTAGTGCGATCGATACCCCCTGTTCTAGCCCTGAACCTCCCATGCCCGCAACACTGGAAAAGATAAAAGAGACTTATAATGATGCTTGATCCAAATCTCTGGATAGCCTTGTTTCTAATAATTCTTATGCTCGACTGTCCACGCGGGACGCAAAGGAGCCTGAGATGCTCGGGATCGACCAGAAAGATCAAGAGATATACTGGGAAGGGAATGACTGCACTATGCTCCTGCAGATAGGGTCGAGACGCATTTACGAGAAAGAGCTAGTCCTGGAGGTCAACGGAATCTACGCCGGATTGCGCCTGGTGGAGGAAAATTGTATCGATGTCGATCCTCTTCTGCCAGCACACTGGAGCATGTTCCTTCGAAAAAGCTACGGCGAAAGTGGCAAGGTCCGATAGCGCTCCACAAGCAATTGATCCACGGGCATCACGATCTCCTCTTGGCATCTCACCATCCCTCGGGCAGCCACGCTTTGAGAGCGATCCCTGTCAAGTACGGCCTACCTAAGAGAATGTGGGACTACGGAATCGAGAGCTTACTAAAGATCATATACGATTATCTTCCTGAGGGACAGAATCTATGATTGCCTTCACCAACATGTCCTACACCATGATGACAACTCTGTTGATAACCGTTCCTACCTTGGACGACGTCGGGATTGAGTGTCTCGGGGACATTGCACGTTACGGTTGGCCCATCTCCCACAGTGACGAGCGGGAAAGAAGGCAGTGGTGCGGGATCGCTCGCTACTGGTATCAGAAAAAATCAATGGGGAGTCCCCATACAGGACGATTAAATCATCATCTCGCTCTGCTTGCTACGAGTGCACTCGAACAGCTTACACTACTCGTGAAATCCTTGACATGCATATCTGCACACCAACAGTCTCAAAGCTCCGTCATAAGTATCTTCAAGGCTATGCTCGACAGGGCCAACTCGATACCGCAGCAGGCGCAGTCTTTCGATGACCTTTCCACTCGCCCTCCGTCTCCCTCTTGCAACTCGAGTTTCTGCTTTCCTCAAGAACGCTCCTTTGGTCCTGCTCGCCCCCGCTCGACTCCTCACCTTGCGACTTGTACCTGCTATTTTTTAGTCCCTCGCTCTCATATCTCATTCTAAGCAGCTGTAGTCTATGAAAATATACCTAACTAAAAGCCCCTCATCTTATCCTTCTGGCCATTTAGCCTGAGTCGCTCTAATTGATAGACTCCAGATACTCGATTACACTAGCAAGCTCCAGATTCCTTTCGATGAACGACGGGACATACCATCTAGGCTACGTTGGTTCCCATCAATTCCGAGCTAAATTCCGAGCAACGTCCAAAGGTGTTTTATCCTTACCGTCACGCACATCGACGCTCGCATCATATTCCTCTACCAATACCTTTACTAGCTGAATCTTCCCCCTCATTGCAGCAAGGTGAAGAACCGTTCTCTTACTATTTTTAGCCTGGACGTCGATATTGCAAGGCTTGTATATGTCAAGAAGGCGGATAACCTCGTTCTCTTCAAAACAATATAGAGCCTGCATCAAATTTGTTTGACCACCTCCGGATTTCCTGCACGACTGCGACCAGAGGCAAAGAGACCGAGCCCCATTGCTGCTTTGGTCGCAACCATTCGGCCTCAAATTATTGTTTTCGAACCTTAGCAAGATCTCCACTACATCGAAATCATATGGCGACTGAGGTCTGTCCCAAGCAGATCTGTATTTACACGCCCAGGCGAATGGAGTTTGAGATTTGTATTCTTCTTCGAGGAGTTCGAATACACGAGCAACTCCACCATGGCGTTGAAGTATAGCTTGAAGCATAAACTTCAAGATACTTCCATTGTCGACCCGGCATGCTAGATGCAATACGTTGGCGCCATTGAGATTTTTGCAAGCCGCATGCCGTACCAGAGACTCTACCAGATCTTCCTCAGTACTTCGCTCTGGAGGAGCCTTTGCCGCCTTCTCGAGTTGCACATCCCAAACGCTGTCAGCCTCAAGCTTCAAAAGGGCGAGAGTATGTGGGATCAGGAAAACACGCTCCCCGGCGTAATCTCCGAGAATCTACTCGAGGCTTCTGTAGCCGGATTCCCAACCGGTGCAACGGGTCTTTGAACCAAACTCGCCACCATAGAGCAAATGCGGTTTTGTGGTGCAGAATCAGTTCCTTCAAGACTCTAGTCCACAACGGATCAGAGATCACGTACTTGTCAGCAGCAAGTTCACAGTGGCGCCATCCATGCTCGCCCAAATATTCCAGACTACTCTTTGCCTCCCGGATTTTCTCGATCTCCAGCCCTTCAATGGGCAGGAACGAATCCTGTTTTCGTAGCTTCCACTCAGAAGGATCCAAATTCGCTTCTTTCCAGACCGGATGGTCGGAGTCTTTCATTACCGCGATGAAAGTGTTGGCGACCACAAGATGACTGCTTTTCATCGAAGTCTCCTCAGCGCTGGTTCCCTCGAGACCGGTCCCCGGGTCCAAAATCACTCTGACAACAAAGGCTCTTGCAGAATCGTGAGTCCAACTAAGACGGCCAGAAACGTCCTTTGAAAGGAAGTTTGAGCAGAGCTTGTCGATATGCTCGACAAGAATATCTTCTTGATATGACGATTCGCCATCTTTTTCGATACCGATGCGCAATGCATGGGTAACAGTACTCAGTTCTAGAGCTTGGAAAGCGCAAAGAACGAAGCGAAACAGGCGTATTCGGATTTCCTCAAACCTTGTCAAGGCTCCAGAGTCCCAAAGTCGCTGATAACCGGCCTGCAACTGTTCGTTCGCTTTATTCGCCCCAGTGGAAGTCTTCTTCAAATCTTCGAGGAGTTCCCGAGCATGACGGTCGAGCCTAACAGTCGTATTACTATTCTGGAGAGGGAGCGTGATATTCAACCAGATTTGGACCCAGACATACCTGGAAGTTGTCAGTGCAATGCTTCAAGTTGAATCGCATAACCTACATTCCGTTAGCACCATCGATCAACGACTGCCGAAGCTCGCCTAGCAGATCTTCGTGGTTGGGATTGACTGCAGTTCAGCCAAATTAGCCGCGCGCTGTTGACATATACTCATAGTGGCATTTACTTACGGAAAATGCTTCCGCTGTCCTTCAGCTTATCCTCCCGAAACTTGATTTCAGTGTTTACGAAGTCCTCTAGCGCATTTCTCGGTGCAGTTTCAACCACTTCCATCTTTTCAAGATGCATTTCCTTGAACTGCTCACTTCCGGATAATTGCTCGTGCGAGGAGAAAAGAACACAAACTTGAGGATTCTTGCTGACAATCTCACTTATGAAAGCACATAGACGCTCCGCGTCCTGAAATGGATCACATTCGTTAAGAGCGTCGATAAGCAGCACGATGTTGTACGACTTCGAGCGCTCGTTCAAAAGATCACGCACAAGGTCTTCATACTCCTTGATATAGATTGTAGCCGTGAGCCCTGACGTATGCTTGTTATAGAAATCCTGAGCTTTTCGCGCGATAGTGAAGTCCGGTAAGAGCGACAATTTTCGACCGATCGACCGAATGACCGTCTCATAGTTTGCGCGCTTTGAGGTGTCGCAGAAATAAGATATGACTTGCAGACCCTTAACGTCATCACGTGGGGGATAGCCATCAGCCAATTTCTGCAGTTCAGAGACAACGCGATGACTATATGCTGTTTAGTAGACCCCTTGAAGTTAGAAGCCCAACTTACACTATTGTGGTCTTACCCACACCATAGGATCCACTAACCCACAACACACGTTTAGACACGACATCTGAGGTCGTGCTCACAGGAGGCTCAGGAGGGTACAAGTTTTGTGACCAAGCTTTAAAGATCTGATTGTCGAGAATCCACGATGCAGAGTCTTTTTGTCGCCCTTCTGACGTTGCTCGGTCGTTCAGCGCTCGTAGTGATTGTTCGGGGTCATCACCTTTCTTGATCCAGTCGAGAACTTTAGCAATATGCTCCTGACGAGACAGTGCCTCTTCCATTACTTTCCTCCTGGCAGTCCATTTTGCGCGGTGATCTTTCAGTTTCTCTACTTGCTCTTGCCATTCCACCATTTTGGCTGAGAGCTTATTGCCTGTCATCAGGCTGTAAGCATAAGGTCACGTATGCAGTTATGTCATGCTCACCAACTGTTTTTAACCATGACGCATCGCAAGCGATCAGTAGATTACACAGGAGCTGCAATGCCAATTTATAGAGGTCGGGCAGTAGTTCCTCTACTTCTTGGACATCTTTTTCGACTGCAGGAATTCTTTTGACAAAGTTCGTTTCGAAGGAGATCCATTCATTGATAGCATTGACGCATTCGAACAGCATGTTTCGTATTTTTCGTTGATCTTCGATTGACAATTTGCCAAGCAGGACCTTATTCGAGTTAGTTAGCTCTTAGGCAGGTGGTAGACCACTGACATCGATAATGAAAAAGGTGCCCGCAAGCACAAAGGGAGCCACACTATGAGGATCCACTTTTGCGAAGGGCGCCACGACCTTCTGGATAGCGCCGAGACTTGGCAAGGCGGCTTTCGTTCTCAGCAACAGAGTGATATTGTCTGGTTTGCTTTCGCTCAGCTCGAACATTCCGCGAACCTTGTCGTTCACGGGAGTGCTGAGATTCTTGAGTACCTTGTCGAGAACCTCGTACTTTTTTGGGTCATCTTTCTGCAATGTCTCCAGAGCTTTGTCACAAATCGCGGCGCGCGATGAGAGCTGCACCACCCGGGGCTGCACAGGAGGGGATTTGGCTGGTGCGGCCAACTCAGAAGGAGGTGCATTGGACGCTGTAACTGGACATGCGACTGGAGCTACGGCTTGAGCTATGACTGGAGCTCCATTTACTGGAGCCGTCATATGATTTGTGGCAGTCTGCCCCGAAGCGGCAGTAAGGCCGTTAGAGGAGCCACTTAATTCAGCAGCTCCGCTATCAAGGTGGTGAGTTTGAACAATAGCGGAACCGACAGGAAGTCGCTCTGGTGCGGTATCAGCGTCGGCATCATGACCATCGGCATTATCACTGTTGATGATTTCTGTATTTGTCCGGGGCTGTACAGGTGCTTCAGCCGTAGCGGCGGGGTTTGCGCTCTGTGCGCGAGTCCGCTGCTCATGAGAAGTGCTATTCGATACTGTAGACAAGCGATGAGAACTGTCGCCTGCTGTTGAAGTCCCGAATGGCGAGATAGTCGGTCTCTTTTTGGATTTGCGATCAGCAGTGGGGTTTGCTGTTATCGGTGTCTCCTGTGCAGCTGAGGCTGTTGGTTGTTGTTTCTTGAAAAGACTCTTTATACTCTGTACCCACTTCTTGAAGTGGGGTCGCTTGATTTCGAACAGAGAAAATTCCAAAACGAGGTAATTGGAAAGCGAGAGAAATAGGGGTTTTCGTGGTGATGCTTCCTTGATGTCGACGAGAGGGGGCGGGGATTTAAAGCGCTGAGGGGTTTTGCTTAGATCAGGCTGAAGGAAGATTGCTGGTGGAGGGTACCAAATTTAGAGCACCCCATTTAGAGCGTGCTGCATGTCTGCAGGTCTGGCGCTTCCCTTGATCGAATTTTATCGTCTGATTCCGCCAAGACGTCTCGTTCCTCGGCCGAGGAACGAGGCTGAGTGTGGGGCACGATTGTGAGTATCATGCGGTTTCTACATCACTGTTCCAATAATCTTCTCGTCCTGGTAATCCGCTAGTAGATGACAGAACCTACGTATAGTCTAGACACTTACAGCTGGCGTTGATCCTGGGGCAGATGTACACCCTCTGGTCAACGGTTTCTCGAAACCAGACTTCTGCGAATGTAAGACGCGTAACGTCGGTCGCTGTATGTGGGGTTCGTGGCTATTCAACGCTTGGGGCCCGTTTCGATCTATCTTACCATTCCAGCTGTCCGAACTTTCACTATCTCCACGGAGTTGATGCGAGTCGAAAGGATTATCCGAGTCCATGGACTTGCACCCGAAAGTCCCGGCAAGCGCCGCAGAAGCCCTGCGAGTAACCCTAAGTACATAATGGAAGAATTCTAGAGTGGTCCAGGCGGGGCGTTAAGACTTTCCGTGCACTTTATTTGAAAAGGGATCGCTACCGTATGCAAAGCAAGTATCAGCTCATGCAAACTAACCAGCGAGACGCCGATTATTTCTAGAATGAATGCTCAATGAATGCTCGACAGCCTATGATGCTTATCTTTCACACCCTTCACTCTCGGCTCACCTTGCTCACTCTTTCGATTTTACCCGCTCACCCTCAACTCACCCTTTCGGGGTGATTTTCCAGAGCGGCGAGAGGCACATGATTCGATCAGGGCGTGTCGACAGCGAGGAAATGTGTTTCCCGCCCACAAAATCTCCCATGTAGCACATGCAATGATAGTTCACAGTGCATGACTGGAGACGGCTAGCTTTAAACAATCTCCCGCCAATCTCTCCCATACAAATCTCACGCTTCTCCTTAGTTTGCGCCTGTAGTCACTAGGTAGGAGTATGAAACACAGATCGTTAGCATCATGGCATAGGTCCACCATCATTCATCTCATCTAGAATATAGGCACAATCTCATCATCCTCATCGTCCTCCTCACCATCCATCACCTGCGTCACCATCCTCCCCACTCCACCACCCATATCCTCAGACCTCGCATCGCCCACTCTTCCCACGTTCCCATCTCTCTTCCCATCCACAACCTCATGACTCCCCCCAGCGGCCTCATCACCCATCAGCACATCCACTAACCTCTCACATCCCCTCCTGACTCCTTCGTCCTCGACTTCTAGATGTAGCTCCCTGATCACTGGATACATGCCTGACTCTTTGACTAGCCGTGCACCCTCAACCCCACCCCTCGTACTGAGTAGAAACAGCGTCTCCAGATGGATTTTCAAAATCTTCACATCCTTCTCCCGCACATGCTCATCCCCCAAATACTGACACACCTCGGGCAGACTGTCCATCTCCACTTCACTTAAGGCCTCTTGATCCGATGAGCAGAGTGGTAGTAAGATCGGTGGCAGCACGGATGCTGCAGGTTGAAGGAGGTATGGTATATCGGTATGTAGGAGTGCGGTATTTTTGAGGAGAGAGGCGGTGCCGAGGCGACGGATGGGGGAGGGGGACGTGGTGTGGGGGAGGAACGTCGTCAGAGGGTCGAGGGTGGAGTGGGAGGGTGGGGTCGTGAGGTAAGCTACGAATGCTGGATCCTGTCTGCTTGTCAGTGTGTAATACTGTATCAATGGAAAGGGAGAAGCGAAGGGTTAGAGATACCTTGGCCAAATCCCCAAAAAACCACGCCAAATAATCAAATCTCGCCTCCGGGTTATACCCGCCTTCGGCACCCTTATTGAACAGCTCAAGCAGCTGCGTAACAGCCAGCTTTGATGGAGAGAGTGCGGGCACCGTTGTTCGAGTGAGTGTGACGAGGCGGGTTATAGAAGGGGACTTCGAGAGGTTCGCTAGCAGCATGGAGATTGGATCGGCGTTTGGTTCTTTGGAGTTCTGTGATGGACATTGGTCAGTTTGTGCTAAAACGTAGGAAGGATGAAAGGACGAGTGGTTGAAGGGTTGGATGGGGCCAACTGACATACTGTTACTCGTACAAGCAGCGTCTCGAGGAAGGCATCATCCTCAGCTAGAAGCCCAAGCACGTCTGGATCCTTGGAGATGTTGATGAGGATCGTGAGGGCATTCTTTGCTATAGCCTTTACGCTCTCAGTTAGTGCCTGCTCGTCTTCCAAAGATTCAGAGAATGAGCGTGGCTCACAGCGTAGTCCTTGACCAACAGCTTCAGATCTTTCACCGGTATGAGCTTGGCGGTTTTAAAAATCGCTGGCTGGATTTTGGAGTATGGGAGGAGATTCTCCGCCGCTGGAAAGTCGTGAGCGCCATTGTTCGAAGGTAGAGAGGTCGTGTGGAGGAGGCCGTACCGGTCTGCCGTATCTGGGTATTGCCATGATGAAGGAACTCAACGAGCTGTGAGCATCAATTAGATTACTAGCCGTTATCAATACGTAGAACTATAATACAGTACCTCCTCGAGTTCTGTGGGCATAGCAAGTCAAATTGCCCCGCGGCACCAATGCACAGTTGACAGCAAGATCATTCCCGATCTCCTTGAAATCATCGACTGTCTTCTTCACTTGGTCGGCCACCGTGAGATTTGCAAAGCAAATTTAGGGTCATTGGCGGCACAACGCGGGTGATAGCAGGACAAAAGTATATAGCCGCTCCCCGCTTATGAAACTCAGGAACCCCCTGCTATTACTCTACAAGGAACTGTAGGAAAGTCATGTAACTTTCGCTACAGGTTATATACCTAGAATTGAGACCCAGTCGCAACTACCAGCCATTATCTCGTGTACAAGTAGCAGCCCTCCGCTTTAATCACCGCTTTTACCCTCCTTTGCATGACATCTACCCAACCCTCCAATATATCCACACCCTTCATGGCCTCACTACATTTCTACGTAACTAAGACATGGAAGATCTCTGCCTCAAGCTCTAGTGCCAGTAAGTGATGGTCCAATTCGAGAAATAATTTAGTGAGTAGGGGGCAGCTTCTATGTCCGCCTACGTGGCTTGGTCGTGATTGGTGAACGCAGTTTGCTTTAGGGATACATGCCAACCACTGCGCTATCAACCCTAGACTAGGTGTACCAGTCATCTTTAGTTCGTTGGAACACTCTAGGCCTTACTGCAAAATCGCCAAACTTTCAACCTTCTGGCAATATTTCAGAGCAGGAATTCTCAAGTCATGTATATCGGGGAGGGATCAAGCGACTTTTTTGGGGTCCAGTCGAGGTTCTAAGAGATCAGATAGATCATTACTCAGCTATCACCACAGATGCAGTCTGTGAGATGCCCTTGCTAGAAGCGGCACGAAGTGGACATGAAAAGATGGTGAAGCTGTTGATTGATCATGGAGCGAACATCGAAGCCAGAGATTGCGAATCGGAGACGCCCCTCCATTTAGCTGCAGTTTACGGCCACGGAGCTATTGTGAAGCACTTTGTTGACAGAAGCACTGGTCTCGACTGCCTAGATAACAATGGGAGAACGCCCCTCTCCATCGCGGCGGCTTACGGTCGTCGAGCTATTGTGAAACAATATATTGACAGGAGCGCTGGACTCGACTGCTTAGATAAGGATGGGGGAACGCCTCTCTCAACGCTGCTGATGCCGAGTCAAGTTGGAGGCTCGAATCGGATCATCCATTTCCGCATGCACACACAGTCCGTGTGTTACGTAATGCACGCGCCAATCCTAATATCCTGGACCTGCGAATCTGATCGCCGCTGACATACGCCAACGAGCCCAATATCCGTTCTTCCTTGCTTGGAACTGAAGCAAAGTTGGCGAAATTCTGGATAGAGCGTGGTGCGATCGCAGTTATGTTGCGGGAGAACGGGGCTGATGAAATGTTGAGCCCCCAAAGGGATGTTCTCCGAGATGCAGCGAGATGAAGCGAGATGTCTGGCTGTACTAGTTGACGCAGAAGCACAAGGAAATTCCGAGGGCCAACTTTCGAGAGCCCAGGATGGAAGTCTAAGTAATCTGGTCACTCCGGCTGAGGGCGCTCAGACTCTTGTTGTCGAGACAGAGGTGGGCCAGCCAATTGATAGCGATACCGAAGATTCTATGGATGGGGAAGCACCAAGCCGTTCCGACCATCAAGATCCAGAAGACGAAGCAGTTCTCTCAAAGCAACCGAGGCTTCCTCCTGCTGGAATTTCAGAGCTCGCCGTCATTCTGGCATTGGGTATGGTGAATGCAGACCATGGGGGCGTCCAGGGAGACACGAGCCATATTTTGAGAGACGGGGTTGAAAAGACAAAAGCATTCCCAAAGGAGTACCTCTCGGACCATATTCCAGCCTCGGAAGGCAAACCATGGTCATCATCAAACGCCCTCGGGACCGAAGTGACTCACCAGAGCGAAAGCTAAGAGATCTCGAGAACGAAACATCCGATCCAGAATAAGAGCTCCTTTTTCCCTCTGCCCGCAGCAAACCCTCTTTGTGCCTTCTCGGAGGTACCGATGGCACATTCTTGCGTGTACAATCGCAATGTTATTTAACAACGACGATTCACCCCACACTTTCCCACGGTAGAACAAAGGGGGGTTTGAGGGCATAAATTCCCCACACCAGATGCACACACGCTTGAGCACGAATACTTCGATCACAGCCTTGACTCGATGGGTTCTACATCTGGAGTAAACACTGCCGGACAAAATGCGGGGTAGCCGAACTGACCCTGGATTGGCCACGCTCTCGCTGATTCAGGGTGAGTGGGCGGCACATTTCTGTTGCCTTGTCTCGTCGAGGGGAAAGGCGACTATGGAAGAAGTAGATCGATCATGGTGACGGCATTTGCATATAACAATCCATACGATTGGAATAGAGTAAAGTCATTAGCTGCGTAAATGCGCTATCATTATAGATATAAAACATGATTCCTGTGCTACGCTGTAGTCAAACGATGAAAACCAGACTCTCCATCTCCACCATCCTTTTGCTCCGTATCCTTGGCCATGGTATTGACCGTGGTAGGACGCCCATCTTTGAGCTCAGAGACAGGCCCGGTACCCTTTTTGGCCCCGTTCTGACCAGGTGGCATATTTTTCCTAGGCCGCGGACCGAAGGGTCGATATTGGAGATTGTCCTTTTCCTCTGCTTCGGCAAAGAGGTCTTTAGGGCCCTTCCCAGGAAAGATGCCCGCGTTTTGTATCAATGTGTGGGCTCTCCGGAACTCGTCCCGTATGGCAACGATTCCATTGTGTACTACTGTCCGTGCAATGTTGTGGTCAATCTCGAATGGATCCTCAATAGCGAACAAATACCGCTGGCGAATTTCCTTTGTTTGGGGACCCGGCCCACTCAAGTCAACAGTTTCTGTTTTAGCGCCCGTCCATCCTTTCGCTTGTTTGGGTATGATGCCGCCAATTGTGCGCAAAGACAGGGTATCTTGAGTCCAAGCGAAGCCACCAGAAGGGGATCCATACCCTTGCTGAGCGAAGTAGTGGAAGAAACCCTGCAGTAGTAAACCAAGAGGTTCCTGATTGAACGTTAGTTGCCCTCGATGAGCGAGATCGAGAATCTTCTCTTCGTTTCTGAAGAATTGAATATTGTATCCCTCCAGCAAGACTTCTTTGGCAGACATCTCATCCTGCAGCATCAGCGGCGAAGTTTGGAGGTTAGGTGCAACGGGCGGGTTGGCGACATTGACAAGATAATGCAGTACCATGAGCACATAGCCGTAAGATGAAAGTGTCCCATGATATGGAGTATTGATCTTGCGCTTCTTGGACCACCCTTTGACGAAAAGGACCATTTGGCGGACCCTTGGATCGCAAGACGCATAGCACTTCAACAGATGAGAGTTGTGTAGGGCTAGATAGTTCGAGAAGTTGATATCGCATTGGATGCCTACCCCATCCTTTGGGAAATCGAGTGGGTGGGCTGCCGGAGGTGGGCGATATCTTCCAAGAACGTTCGGCAGGTCTTGAAGCGCAGCACGGGCCTTCTCGAGCTGCCCGTCGTCCTCGGATTTGGGATCACGCCCGTCAGAGGGTTGGATGTGGAGCTCATTGAGTTGAGCGTGCTTGGGTTTTGGGACACCGTGCCTCTCGAACGCCGAAAGGAAATGTTTGATGACCTGTCTCTCTGTTATTTCATACCATCCATCCTGCATCGCGAGTTTGTATAGGCGAGCTCGCTCCAAATCAGATTTGTGAGCCAGGCTGGGGTCGTCACGCTCCCGGTCATCCATGGGTTTCTTGGATTTCCCGCCGTCATCTACTTGAGGCGGGGTTCCACTCTTTGCTCGAGTGGTGTCCGATGGGGATGATCCCGAAAATTTGGGGCCTTCAGATGTATCGTGACCTTGATTATCTTCAAATTTAGCGACGTTCAGGCCTTCAACCTCAACAACTGCTTGGTTGGCCGCCACGTTTGGTCGATCCTGAGGAAGATTTGTGCTGGGCTTCTCCAGACGCTTCTCTTTTCGTTTGGGCGTTTTTCCAACTTTGGCCTCTGGGGGTGGTACATCCCTCTCTTTCTCGTACTTTATGCGCTCCGCCTGAAGTAAAGTCGCTAGTTCAGGCGCTGGCTTCTCACAAAACCTGATAATTGGGACTCTTGTCCTCGTGAGGAGTCTCGCACCGTAGCCTACATCAAGCAATGTCTTCTCAATCAATCTCGGAAGATCTGAATCCGGCGAAGATGTTTCGGGTTTTGACATAGGGGAGACAAGTACCAGATCCATGTCAGACGATTTCGTAGCGAACGTTGTACTGAGGCTCCCAAAGCATCTCAACTCCACACTATCAGACACAAACGGTGCACTTCTGTCTCGGTGTGTCTCATACTCCGACACCACTTTTCGGCACACCTGTTCCAAAGATTCCCGTAATACTTGCTTCTCTAGGTATTCCTCCTGACTGATTTCCACCTTAAGTATCTCAACGTGTGCCAGGGTTTCAAGATAACGGACCTGTGTATCTGGACTTGCTCGGGAGGGCTGACTCTGGGAACGGCTGGCTTGTTGTGGTTGCATGCTATAGGGACCCGGGTTATACAGCTGTCTATTTGTTGGCGGTGGCCGATTGTAGGGTTGGTTTCCTACCGAGAAAGCCTGGTTTTGCGGGATAGTTCCTGTATGATAAGCAGAGACGGGGCGCTGTGCTGGGAAATTGTGGCTTCCTTGATTCTGGTTGTCGTTGCCCGTCTGGCTTGGTTGGCGGGTGGGGGCCCGCAAATGCGGAAGTTGGTAATGCACATTTGCACCTTGACTTGGTGGGAAATCTTGAGAAGGATCCGGCGCTCTAGACATTCGATTGGGAGGTTGTCCATTGGTTGGAGCATTAAAAGGGACGTTAACGTTCGACTGTACCGTTTGTTGGCGTCTTTGGGCTTGATTTGGCCTCCTGGAAGCGCGTTGCTGGGGGCCATAGCTTCCATTATGGACGGTCTCTGAGGGCAAGGGCCCATTTGGAACGCCATTGCTAAGGATCATACCGCGAAGGTGTCCCTCGAGATCATTTTCAGTGGCCATCGGTTGTGGCGCAATAGAAGGATAGCGGGCATGGGCTTGTCTCGCTGGAAGGTTGACTTGAGGCGTCGCTGGTAGGCTGGGAAAATAGTTGTTCAGAGACATCGCATCTGGTTCGGCAGAGGCCGCATAATAGCCATTGGGAGGGGCGGCAGCCCATTGCGCAGGCATGGCCGGCAAGTTGACACAGGGCCTGCTTCCATATCGGTTGGGTGTAGACCCATCGTAGTTTGCTCTGTTTCGTTCGAAGCCTGCCATGATTGCTGCTTTCTTGGCAAGGCACCAGATATCTATGGTTGTTCGCCGACCTGTTTGCTTGGCGTGTTGTAGCTAGGAAGTGATTCACAATTGGTGACAATAGTGTTCAAGTATTGGTGAGACCCGGCCTTGGATACGTATATCATTGGTAGTGAAGGCTGGCCCGCTAGTCAAACAGAATGAATAGAAGAATAATAGGAGTCACTTCCGCCGGTGCGTATCTTGGCAAGAGAGGTGTACTGATTCATACATTTTGCTATACGACGATTTGCAGACTCAGTGGCAGCTTCCATGCTGTTTCCATGCCATAGTGTTGTTTGTGATGCATACATCCGCTCTCGCTAGCTGGCGTGGGGGAGATGAGTGTTCATCATCATCAGGCATGTCCTTCATCTCTTATTCCTCTTGTGTAACCAATAGCAGTGAAATTGGCCGTTCCCGTCCGCAATGATTGCACTTCAAGACTCTATACATATTAAATGGTTTCAAGGAGTAATCGGAGTAAAGAATGGAGAACTAGGAAGAGCCGCGCGGATCAGAAGCTAAGCGCTAGTAGGGCTGATCCACTCCATGTGGGAGCAAGGGAAATCCGAAGGAATCAATGGACAAAGACAACCCAACATCATCTACATTCACAACCTGCAACTGCAAGTGCTCTCTTTGGCGTTTTCTTTATTGTGAGACCCTTATACGAAGCCATGCTCTAGGTGATCAGCTACTGCGCTCCAGTCGCACCAACCTCTCTCACTTTAAACACCCCCCGTTTTATCTCACCATCATCGTCCTACCAAGCTTTTAACACCTCTCAAACTTCTCACACCTCTTTCGACCACATTCACCATGAGTGCCTCACCAGCCGAGCGTACGCCTGGACGTACACCAGGGCAAACACCTAACGGTGTGCTGGGGCCGATAAAACGTAGGCCGCAGGCAGACCCCATGGTGCGACCTAAGGCCAGACAGAAGCCGCGTCCACAGCAGTCTGCCAACTCATACCCTCCTTCCAATTTGCAAGCAAACGGTATTAGAGCCCCCGGTCCTGGACAGACACAAGCGATGGCCCAGCATCCTGGACGGCCAATCCCGGCACTCTCCCGTCCGCCACCTGCGCCTATGAACTACTCAGAAAATGCTAGCAGCGGTTTCTCATCTGCCCCAAGCGGAGAATACCACGATTTTCCTTTAGTCATGACAAAGCGAGCTCTGATGGAAGGCTTTAGGAACCATGTCGCACGGTTCTCTAGCAAGAGGGATGTTGATCCTCGAAATACCAATGAGTTTGAACGTCCTGTCAGACTGCATCGGAGGGATCCCCGAGCACCCCCAGCGGGCGGAGGGGGTGTCAAGGGCGAGGATCAGGCAGTCGGCGGCACGGAAGGCGTGGATGACAAGGAAAAAGAGAGACAAGACATCTTGAGGGCTGAGAGAGAAGCCCAGCGAGCGGCAGATATGGCTCTAGTGGCGCCGGCTGTCAATACGGGGGGTGGAAAGAAGCTCAGCAATTTCCAGAAAAAGACAGAGCAGGTCTACCGAAATGACAAGACAGAGGCACAGAAGAAGCAGTCGCAGTTGCGTTACGAAGAAGCTCTACCATGGCATCTGGAGGATTTTGACAACAAGAGCACATGGGTGGGAAGTTACGAAGCCGCCTTGTCTGACACCTACGCCATGATGCACAAGGGGTCTGATGGTATTTTTCGAGTGGCGCCTCTGCAAAAATGGTACAAATTCACCCAGAAAAATCAATTCAAGACGTTGACAATAGATGAGGCGGAAACCCGCTTTAACAAGAAAGTCAAGGAGCCGCGGTGGTTTATGGACTCGGAGCAGGCAAGACTACAGAGGCAGACTGAGCTAGAAAACAAGAAAGCCGGCAGCAAACTGTTTTTGGGCAAACGGGAGAAGGGCGGTGGAGGCAGCGGATCAGCCGTCCCCAAAGTCAAGCAGGAGAACGCCGACGCCGACGACCTCGACTTCATAGAAGATCGGTTCGCAGACGACGAGGAGCACATGGTTTTTGAAGAGGACGACGACACGAAGGAAGCCGAAGAAAGGATCAAACGAGATCAACTGCAGGCGAATGTCTTTGACCTGAAGGAGGAGAAAGAGTACGAAAAGCAGGAGTTATTGGAGAAAAAGGAAAAGGAAGCTCAGAAGAAGCTTGGGAAAAGTGTCAAGAAGGCTCTCAAGAGGCGTGAAAAGAACTATGTCTACGATTCTGATTCATCGGGCAACCCTTATACATCTCAGGTATACTTCATGCTGACAATTCTAGCTCCTTTGCTGACAACTTTTCCAGAGTGAGTCCGACGACACAGAAACTGAGCGCCGGAAGGAAGAGGAGCTTAAGAAAGAAGAAGAGCGCAAGAAAGCCGAAAACAGAAACACTCCAGATAGGGACAAGAAAAAATCCAAGTCTTCTGGCGCCTCTGGTACCAACACTCCATCCGGCCGCCCCTCGAAGCACGCCGACCCTCTCAAACACTCAACCTCGGCCAACAATCTCAAGAAGCGAGCCGGATCGCCCCTCAATTCAGAAGCAAGCGGCAACGAGTCCACCCGCAAGAAGCAAAAGAAGAAGCACCCTCTTACCACCGCCCAACTCTCGGCATCCTCAACCCTTCAAGCACCCTCCCGCCCAGGATCCCCACCCATACTCACCGGCAAGGACCCCAAAATCCCCGCCAAACGCCGTCACGGATCAGGTAGCGACACGGAAGGTAACGCTGGCTCTGGCGGCGACATGAGCGATGGCACCCGCAAGAAAAAACTCAAGTTGACTATGTCGAGCAAGAACGTGTCACCGCAGGGAAGCAGAGCTGGAAGTCCAGATCTAATCAATGGTGCAAAGCCCGCTCAAGGCACAAGTCGTGCTGGAAGTCCTGGTATATCCCTCCCTCCCTTTTCTTTAAGCGCGATATCCCATGCGCTACCCTGGTGGCCCCATGGAGTGACCACTATCTCCCTCTCCATTTCTCTTCGAGAGCCCAAAGATTAAAATCCCGTTACTTACAACTCCCCTCACAGGTCCCTCACCTCCACCACCTGCCGAAACGCAAATGGCCCCCTTCCCAACCGGCGAAGAAGTCCGTTCCAAGATCCCGCCCACGGGCATCACAGTCGGCGAACTGCTCGCCTGTTTCAAAGGAGCTGTCGCGACGGCGGAGCAGAAAACACGGTTCACGGCGTTGATGAGACAGTATTCGAGATTCGATAAAACGACTAGGAAATTGATGCCTGTGGATCCGTGAGGCGAGGTTCTCAAGTGCCGTAAGTGCGTCCAGGTAAGCGGAGCGGAGGAGATCGGAGGAGAATGCATGGTGCGCATTCATGTGCTTGGTCTTACTGGAGGAATTGAATGATGCTAGCGAGGAGACTAGGAGCGGTATCCCTTACGCGTTGGCCACAGATTGAGGGCCTTAGCCTTTTGGCAGTATCTCATACAGCGAGATATCATGGACTCGACATGAGCTGCTTATGCATGTATTTAAAAGTATTATGCATATATTTCAAATGGAATGCATTACGCCAAAGTGCCACTCAGTGTCATGTGTAGGTGGAGATGAAATAAAAGCATTATAACAAAGTATCTCGGTGCGTAATTTATCTATATGCCAACAAAAGAGTCCCGTTTGCCAATATAGTAGCGGCAGCTATCTACAAAGAGGTGAAGCCATGCATAAGTTGATGTACACCGAGCACGCCAGCACGCCTTTTGGTTTCCAGCCGAGCCTCCAGTCACATGCACCACCTGCCACTGTCTCTTGCCATAAAGATCTCAATCAAAACTTCGAGACGGCAATAGCGATGGCCTGGGCATCACTATGGCTTATGCTTACTTCCACGCCCTTTATGCCAACTTTGTTGGCGGCAGCTTTGGCGTCACCATACAACTGTACACTCGTTAGCTTCTTGTAACCCACACGCATCACTGGAGCATGGACTCACAGTAACAACCGGAGCACCGTTCTCGTCATTTCCAATCTCAATATCCTTCAACGCGGCTCCTGCCCCTCTGCTCGGTACGCCCAAGCTCTTGAAGACAGCCTCTTTCGCACTCCACTTCCCTGCAAAGCTGGCTTGTGCACTTCCTGCTTTGCGGCAATATGCCTGCTCAGACGCTGTAAAGTTCCGCTCGACGAAGGTTTCGTTTTCAATATTAATGGCATCCACGTTCTCGATATCGACGCCGATCTTCGAGTTCGCGGATGCATTGGCTTTTATCAGGGACTCAGCCATCTCTCGGGCCCGTTCGGTCTTGGGATCGTTGGCTTTGTGAGGAACGATGGGGTACGTCAGCTCATGAGTCTTTTTGTCAACGGTCACGCGTGCGTTGGGATTGAGGAAGACTTGGCTTTGTTGTGCATCGGCGTAAGGTGAGTGAGTCTTGGCGACGAACATGGTATTGGTGATGAGACCGTTGTGGAAGTATCGGTAGGCGCGCTTCTGTCGTGCTTGAACCTTCTGCTTATATGTTTGGAATTGTGCTTGGTCCAGGGTAGCAAATAGGTATTTTGGATGGATGCCAATGGCCTGAGCGCCTTTTTGGCCGAAACCGAAGGAGGTGACCGAGAAAGCTTTGACGCCATCGGTTTGAATGGAGCGGCTCGGATATACGATATAATCGAATTTCTCCATGATTTTATCAACATTGTCTGCGTTGCGGTTGCCGGGTACGAGACCACTGTTGAGAACTTGCAGGCAGCCGTTGAACATCCAGGCGCCAGCAGCACCCTTTGGATGACCGGTAAGATATTTTTGGAAGATACCCAGCAGAGCATTGCCCTTCTTCCGGCCCAGATGCTTCATCTGCTGGCAGATGACATCGGACTCGTTCTTGTCATTCGCAACTGTCGATGTTCCGTGAAACGAGGCGACACCAAGATCATCGATTGTTAGACCCCATGTAGCGAGTGCTCCTCGGAGGGGTGCGATCCGCGAATCTTCTTTCCAGAAGTTGTTGCCCAAGCTGAATGTTGCCTCCTTCTCTTGGCGAATGGCCTCCCGTTCAATGTGCGCAGCCCGGTCTTGCATGTATTCCGACTCGTTGAAATCACCACCTTGTGACTTCATTGCAGTGACTTCGTCTTGTAAGTACATGAGCTCAGACTCATGCCATTGTTTGATATGTGCTTTCCTCAAATCGAGCTGTCGCCTTCGGTACTTGATATCTAAAAGAGGTGATGGGAACTTCGACGGGGTCTCGCGAGCTGTGGTTAATACGCCTTGGCCAGGAGCTGGTACGGATCGACCAATTTTGTCTGTGGCAGTGGCAGTAAGTCCAAGAATACCGTAAATTGGTACACCCATATCCAAGGCAAGCTGAGCACTCATGATCACCTGCATACCACATCCTTGTGACTCCATGAAGCCATTTCGAGTAGTGGTGGTGGGACGAGACATCTCTTTTGGTGTTCTACCATGAGCAAATTCATCTTCGGCATTGCTTGTGGCTTTCATGTTGGCGAATTCGTAGGAGCCTTCCTCTTGGAAATCATCGAAGCCACCAACGAAGCAGACCCTGGCCTTCCCTTCCAGAATAGTCTCGTAGCCGATATCAACCGATTCGACCGCTGTAGCACATGCACCAACAGGGGTCTTGATTGGGCCGGTAGACGAGAGCAGCAGCATGTTGACCCAGGCGCTCATTGTGTTGATGAATGACTCTTGCAGGATATCCTTTTGCAGCGGCTTGTCCAAGAAACGGTCTTTGTACATCCCACGCAAGGCGGTAGTTCCACCGATACCTGAACCTATACAATTTCCGACCTCTGAGATATGAACATACTGATAGAACTCATACGGATCGGTGATACCAGATGCAAGGAGGGATTCGACAGTGCAGACGAGGACGTAGAGGGTGACAGGGTCGACTTGGGAGATGATATCGTCGGGAATACCGTAGGTCTTTGCACTCCAGCCTGTAGGTATTTGACCGGCGACGAGACGATCGAACTTGAGTGCTTTCGGGATGAGTAGAGTTGCTCCTTTCTTCAAGCGAACTGTAAACTCTCCAGACTCAGCGACTTCGAAAACCTCGACCTTGTCGCCATGCTCCCGCTTGAATTCCTCGGCGGTTTCCTTGGACGATTCAAACGGATCAAGGTCCTCTTCAATCACAACTTCTTGCATGAACTGCTTCTTATTCGGATCGTAGCCATTGAAGAGCTCAGGCTCAATCAGACGAATACCAGAATGTTCCAAGACGTATTTCTCATATTTGCCCTTGATGTCCTTATCGTCTACTGGGTCGCCAGTCTTGGCATCCACCCAGCCTGAATATGATTTACCTTTGAGTGGGCCGTTATGATTTCGGATGAGGCCCATGATCCAAGCCATCTCAACGCATCCTTCAAGCGAGAATTGGCCATAAGCCTCCATCTCCCATCTTGTTCGGGAGTTCCCCCATGGTCCGACTTCGGAGAAGCCTGTGACGACGACGACTTTGTCAAGATTGACCATCCCTTTGAGATTGCCGTTGAGAGGCTCGATATCATTCTTCCAGTCTGGCAATTCTGGAAATTGGTATTTGATGTTGGCACGTGGCTCGACGGTGACCTTCCTGTATAGTGCTTCGCTGTCTTCTCCGTTGACAATCTTGTTCTCGATGGCAGTTTCTTTGGTTACGGCTTTTCGGACTTCGCTGGTCTCCATGATTTCCTTGCGAAGGTTGGTCATGAGATCCTTGAGGTCCGGGATAAATTGAAGACCCCCATTGAGATCAGCGAAGACAGGCTCCAATTGGCAAAGGTTGACAATGTTTGGCGCCATGAGTCCGAGAAGGTTGAAAGCCATCTCTTGCTGGGAAAAGGTACGGACACCGTACTTTTCGACACCTTCGGCAACAACATTGTTGCCAGACATGAGTCCAGTGCCTCGAGTCCAGCCAATGACTGCACCGCAGATGGTGAGGAAATTGCCCCAGCTTTCTGAATGCCACCTATTGAAGAGCGTCTCGAGCGCCAATTTGGATTCTGAGTATAGACCATCGTTGCCAAAAGTGCCGTGGTTGGGGGATAGAGGAAGGATGACTTGGGCTGGTCGAGTTTCGAAGCCGCGGGCCTGTTTCTGGGTCTTGATGCTACCGAGGAGCCTCAAAAGGTTGGTTAACATGATACGATGAGCAAGTTCTGACTTCGAATCAATGCTGTCGATTTCTCGACCATTCTCAGGAATTGCGGCGAATGGTACGACATAGTCGAGGTCCCAGCCGAGGCAGCCTTTCTTGGTGTCGTAGATATACTCGATCAGTGCCTCAACGTCCTGTTTGCTCCCTTGATTGAATGGCACGACAACTAGTTGCGAGCCACTGGAACCATATCGCGCATACATTGATTGGTAGTACTCGGTGACTTCGCGAGAGAACCTGCTGGTGGTCACAATGACCTTCGCGCCACCACTGATCAGACCTTGCAATACATCGGCGCCGATAGATCCAGCACCGGCTCCTGTCATCAGTGCGTTCTTGCCCTGAAATGTGACACCCTCGTTGGCAGCGTGCTGGAGGCCCTCAAGATAGATGCCGGTGAGCCTCTTACTATATTCCCACCCATGCTCATCCTTCCTCTTGAGATGTAAGAACGGGATTGTCTCTACCTTGCCTTGCTTCACGTGTCCATTCATCGCCAACCGTGAGCCATTCTTGCCTCCCTTTTTAGCATGGCCGTTCGTCAATTTCCCGTTTGGCTTAGCATTCTCAAGCGGCATAATCTGGCCCTCGTTCATCGCGAGAGAGCGGATAACATTCTCATATAGAGACTTGATCTGGAGCTGTGATGATTTTGAGAGCTTGTGTTGCTGCTTGATGAGCTTGTAGATCCGACTGAGGTCGTTCTGCACCTTAGTCCGGTTGCCGTACTCCGAGAGCTTGCCCCCATCCGCCATCTCTCGCACGTAGTGCTCAAGCTTGCGCGCGCTGGCTCTGGGGATCTCTGCATAATCAAGGTTACCGCGTCCATCAACAATAGTCTGTGGTCCAGTAGGTATCGCGACATCTTTGTATACTGGAGCTTGGCCGAGGACCTCTTTGCAATTGCTGATCAATTCTTTTCCGAGTTCCTTGGCCAGCTTGTAGGTTTCTCCTCGTTCGGTCGGGCATGTGTCCATATGGTATTGCATGAAGTCGAGGAGTAGAGGGTTGGATCGGTTCATGATGCGAATACACCGACTGACAATCTCACGATCGACGGCCTTTAATCGCCCAAAGATGATATCGTAGTACATGGAGAGTGCGTCTTGACGAGCCCAGTTCCACGCTGAATCGTAGACTCTGGCCTTCAACTGGCTGAATGAAGGCTCAATGCCATTAGCATAGAACTCGCCATGCTCAGTATTCCAGAGGTCCAGTTGTGCCTGAAGAACTTTCTGTGACTCTTGGGAACCAACGTAAGCCTTGTCTCCAGCTCGGAGGTCCATCTTGAGGTATCGTGCGAAAAGCTCCAATTGTTGTTTGAAAAGAGCTCTCTGATCTTTCGTGAGAGCGTCAATTGCAGCAGGGTCCATCATCATGCCTCCCCCACCGGCACCTGCATCACCACCCGCTGTAGGCGCTGAAAGGTTGATGCCAGCGTTCGAAGCGTACTTGTTTGCTGTATCGTCAAGATATACCTTGGCATCGCCCTCCGACCCTAGGCGAGACGCAGGCTCCATGGTCAATGCAAGCAGCAACACGCCGTCTTGCCGTCCAGCGCCCAATCCCCATCTTGTCTCAAGGTACTTGCGAACAGCTGTGATGTTGAACCCGCCAGGCATCTTGGAGGAAACAAGTCTTGCAACCAATGACGAGGACTGCTTGCCCAGCTGACCATTGAATGTGGCTTGCATTGAGGCGCCTAGTTCGTCGAGGGGGGTATCTTCTGGTTTCTCAGGCGTCGAACCAAATTCTTTGCCAAGGTCTCCGAGAATTTCATTTTGTAGAGTAGATTTGCCTGTCATTCAATGTCTATCAGCTGATATCTCTCTGAAGCCTATTAATGAACTTCTACATACCGCCAACCAAGTCTTTGATAGCTTTGCTTAGTGGTATATCTGCAAATGGCTTCTTCAGCTTCTGGGCGATCAAAGACCTAACAATGTCAACCGCTTGAACAGGAGCATCTTCTACAGCTGCTGCCGGCCCAGAGCTCGGTGGCGGGGGCGCGGCTGCAGCTGCTGGCGCAGAAGATTGTGCAGGGGCTGAGGATGAGCTTGAAGCTGGCGCATCACCACCCGCTGGGGCCGCCTCTTCTTCGACGACTGGGTCAACGTCGTAGTAGATCTCTTTGGCATCTTTGTTGTAGCACAGAATTTGCCGTTGTACTGACTTGGCCGCGTCGTAGGCTTCATATTTGGAAGCAAGTGTTCTCTTGGCCATGCCACCGAGTGTGTCCGCAGGGCCAATTTCGACGATTCGCTCCGTGACCTTCTCGCCGAGGATGACATCTTGAGTCTCGATCCATCGAACCGGGCTTGCAAATTGATATGCAAGTAATTCGACGAGGAGCGTATGTGCTAATTCTTGCTCGACCTCGGGCGTCATGATAGAGGGGCTTTACGTCCAGAGGACGGAGGGAGGTCGTTTGTAGTAGAAGGAGGACCAGAGACTAGCCGTCGTATTGAATGTTACGCCCAATCAGTGTTTGTAGCTGTCAATAATTGCCTGAGTGTAAAAGTTGGTTCCGGAAAGGTATACAAGGGATGTTCTCGGTGGGCATATAAAATTTGCCGGGGAAGAACTCCAAAATGATGAAGGAGAGGAAGGAGAATGAGTGTATTCCGGCTCCAACGATTAGAGGATTAGGTATACAAAAGACCAATTGGTAAATGCGTATTTGGTCAGCAAAGCTCTCACACTCTCACGCCTCCTGTTCAGTGTTGGGAAGCTTGCGGAGAAATGACACGCAGAAGCGCATCCACGCAAAAAGGGCGTTGAAAAAACTAACTCTCTTTGCGGTTTAGCGCCGATTCATTATCTCTCCTCGGTAGGATGTCGCACCCCAGCTTTTCTGCAACTAAAGAAATTCCAAGGAATTTTTACTCTTGGTGGATCAGCCTGGTTCAGCGTCGGGATGATCGGGCCTGTCGACTCTCAACGCTTCGTAGCAACCCAATAAATAATACCTGAGTAACTTCAATTTTACGGACGAAGCTGTAGGCTGTTTTGAAATCTCTCGTCACTCTTCTCATATATCAATTGCGATAACGCCGCAGTCTACAGTACCCATAACCAGGTGTTTGTACAGCTACCTAGGTACCCATTGTGCCATTCACCAGTTCTACAAACCTTGCCTCGACATCCTCCAACATGTACGGCACAAACCCACAAACGGGCATATCAACGCCTCGATCCTCACAGTCTCTCCGACCGCTCTCCCTCACACACGGCTCCCTCGAACACACACTGCTGATTCCCACAGCATTACATTTCTACGCCTCGCAACTAAAAGACAGATTTACAGCAACCCTTCCAGAGCCCACAGACGAGCTTGCCCAGGACGACGAGCCTTCGTCGACGGCGGAGCTCGTGGCACGCTACCTCGGTCACATAGCTTCAGAGATAGACGACGGCGAAGATTTTCTCGAAGTGCTCAAGCTCGTCCTAAATGAGTTTGAGCGCGTATTCCTGCAAGGGAACGACGTGCACGCTTTGGCAGTATCGCTCCCTGGGATAGCACAGAAGAAACTGGTGGTGGTCCAGTCATATTATGCAGCAAGAGCTTCCGCGAACCGACCGCTCAAGTCTCACCCATCCGCACTTTTCAGAGCAGCGGAAGATGAAGAGGCAGGCCTATACGCTGTATTCGGAGGTCAGGGGAATATTGAGGAGTACTTTGACGAGCTCCGAGAGGTCTACACCACATATCCTTCATTCGTGGAGGAGCTGGTCGAAGATTCCGCCGAGCTCCTACACTCTCTGTCTAGAGACCCACGAGCCGAGAAGCTCTACTCCAAGGGACTCGACGTTATGCGATGGCTTCATGACAAAGATACGCAACCAGATACAGACTACCTCGTATCTGCGCCAGTCAGCTTGCCTCTTATTGGGCTCGTTCAGTTTGCCCATTATGCGGTGACCTGTAAGGCAATGGGTCAGACACCTGGGGACATCAGACAGAAATTCCTCGGTACTACTGGTCATTCACAAGGCATCGTCACAGCTGCCGCAATTGCAGCAGCGGATTCATGGGAATCCTATGAAAAGGTAGTTAGGAAGGCCCTTACGATGCTCTTTTGGATTGGTTCGCGAAGTCAACAGGCTTATCCACGGACATCACTCGCCCCTTCGATCCTGCAGGACTCGATAGATAACGGGGAGGGCAATCCTACACCAATGTTGTCTGTTCGAGATCTTTCGAGATCTGCGTTGCAGGAGCATATCGACACGACCAATCATCATCTACCGCAAGACCGCCATATCGCCATCTCACTCATTAATAGCGCTCGCAACTGTGTCGTCACTGGTCCTCCCATCTCGCTCTATGGATTGAACCTTCGCCTCCGAAAAGTCAAAGCCCCTACCGGTCTTGACCAAACACGCATCCCGTTCACCGAGCGAAAAAGCCGCTTCGTGAATCGCTTCTTACCAATTACCTCCCCATTCCATAGCATATACCTCATCGAAGCCTACAAGCATATTGTGGAAGACCTCAGCCATATCCAAATTAGCGTCAAGGATCTCACTATCCCAGTCTTCAACACAGCTACTGGGGTGGATGTCCGGCAAGAAGGAGAGGACAATATCGTGCCAGCATTGGTTCGAATGATAACGCAGGATCCTGTCGACTGGGCCAAGGCAACCGTCTTCTCCAAAGCAACGCACATTATTGATTTTGGTCCTGGTGGTATCTCTGGCCTTGGTGTATTGACAAGCCGAATCAAGGAAGGCACTGGCGTGCGAGTGATCCTTGCGGGTGCAATTGATGGCACAAACTCTGGGGTGGGATACAAGGCTGAGCTTTTCGATCGCGATTCGGAACATGCGATCAAGTACGCCGTCGATTGGGTCAAAGAGCATGGTCCAAAACTGGTCAAGACATCCGTCGGACAGACCTTTGTGGACACTAAGATGAGCAGGCTCCTCGGTGTTCCTCCGGTGATGGTGGCTGGTATGACTCCATGTACCGTGCCTTGGGATTTCGTGGCTGCTACCATGAGGGCTGGGTACCAGATCGAGCTTGCGGGAGGTGGATACTACAACGCAAAGACCATGACAGAAGCTTTGAAGAAGATTGAAGACGATATTCCGGCAGGTCGCGGTATCACGATCAATCTCATCTACGTCAATCCCCGAGCCATGGCGTGGCAGATCCCTCTGATCGGCCAGCTCCGCGCTGATGGCGTACCCATCGAGGGGCTAACCATCGGGGCTGGTGTACCGTCAATTGAGATTGCTAACGAGTACATCGAGACACTCGGTATCAAGCATATTGCATTCAAACCTGGATCCGTCGAAGCGATTCAAGCAGTCATTAACGTCGCTCAATCGAATCCCCACTTCCCTGTCATACTCCAGTGGACTGGTGGACGCGGTGGTGGCCATCATTCATTTGAAGATTTTCACCAGCCTGTTTTGCAAATGTACGGCAGGATTCGAAGCTGTGGTAATCTCATCTTAATCGCCGGCAGTGGTTTCGGTGGTTCTGAAGATACCTATCCCTATATGACCGGCACTTGGTCATCAAGATTTGGATATCCACCGATGCCGTTTGATGGATGCCTCTTCGGTAGTCGCATGATGACTGCCAAAGAAGCAAAGACATCTAAAAATGCGAAGAGAGCTATCGCGGAAGCTGAAGGTATTGATGACAGTCAATGGGAGAAAACTTACAAAGGGCCAGCTGGTGGCGTCATCACAGTACGATCTGAGATGGGCGAGCCAATCCACAAGCTTGCAACCAGAGGCGTCAAGTTCTGGGCTGAGATGGACCAAAAGATCTTTAGCCTTGACAAGGCCAAGCGCGTGCCCGAACTCAGGAAACAGCGTGAATACATCATCAAGAAGCTCAACGATGACTTCCAGAAAGTATGGTTCGGTCGCAACTCTTCCGGCCAGGTCGTGGACCTCGAAGACATGACCTATGGTGAGGTCTTGAAGCGCATGGTGGATCTCATGTACGTCAAGCATGAGTCCCGTTGGATTGATCAGTCTCTTGAGCGCTTGACTGGAGATTTTATTCGACGACTGGAAGAGAGGTTCACCGCCGCTCCTGGCAAGTCCTCTCTAGTTCAGAGCTACTCGGAGTTGGACGAGCCTTACAAGGTTGTTGATAGCGTCTTCGAGGCCTATCCTGAGGCCAACGATCAACTGATCAACGCTCAAGATGTCCAACACTTCCTGCTCTTGTGTCAACGGCGGGGACAGAAGCCAGTACCGTTTGTCCCTTGCCTTGACGAGAACTTCGAGTTCTTCTTCAAGAAAGACTCGCTCTGGCAGTCCGAAGATCTTGAGGCTGTGGTAGACCAAGATGTCGGGCGAACATGTATTCTCCAGGGCCCAACTGCTGCAAAATACTCTAATGCGATTGATGAGCCAATCAAGGATATCCTTGACGGTATTCACGAGGATCACATCAAAGGTCTCACAAGAGATGTATACGGCAATAAAGAGTCCACAATCCCGGTCGTCGAATACTTCGGAGGACAGCTACTCCTCGATGATGGGGTTGACGAAGATGCGAATGGTCTCACGACCTCGCAAGATGACGACCGAGTCAGCTATCGCCTTTCCTCTGCACCCAATGCATCGCTTCCTGATCTAGAGGCGTGGATGCATCTCCTCGCGGGGAAAGCGTACTCTTGGAGATATGCTATGTTTACTACAGAGGTTTTTGTCCAGGGCCAAAGATTCCAGACCAACCCTTTCCAGAGGATATTTGCACCTACTAAAGGAATGCTCGTTGAAATACTGCATCCGAAAGACCCAGCGAAGACAGCCATCCACGTGAAGGAGGTGTCCCGTTCTGGCAAAATGGTCATGACTGTGGAGGTCGTCATGACAAACCAGAAAGAGATTGTTGTCAATCTTTTCGAGGAAAGGACGGCAGAAGGCAGGGCTGTGCCATTGCCCTTGATATTCACCTACCATCCTGAAGCTGGCTATGCTCCCATTCGTGAGGTGATGCAAGGTCGAAATGACCGCATCAAGGAATTTTACTATCGCATCTGGTTTGGGGACGAGAAAGTTCCGTTCGAGACTCCTGCCACAAGTACGTTTGAAGGAGGTCGAGCTACTGTGACTAGCCAAAAGATCGCGGACTTTGTTCACGCCGTCGGAAACACTGGAGAAGCATTCGTTGACAGACCTGGAAAAGAGGTCTTTGCCCCCATGGACTTTGCTATCGTCGTTGGCTGGAAAGCTATCACGAAGCCCATCTTTCCTCGATCAATCGATGGTGACCTTCTCAAATTGGTGCATCTCTCTAACGGTTTCCGCATGGTTCCTGGCGCGGAGCCCTTGAAGAAGGGCGACGTTGTGGACACCACTGCTCAGATCAATGCTGTCATCAACCAAGATTCCGGGAAGAAGGTCGAAGTTTGCGGGACCATCAAGCGTAATGGCAAGCCTGTGATGTTAGTAACGACCCAATTCTTGTACCGTGGCGCGTATTCAGACTTTGGCAACACCTTTGAGCGTAAGGACGAGACACCCATGCAGATCCACCTTGGCTCGTCGAAAGACGTGGCTGTCCTGCGCTCCAAAGAATGGTTCAACGTGGATGAGCCAAATATTGAGCTGCTAAATCAGACATTGACGTTCCGTCTGCAGACATTAGTCCACTTCAAGAACAAGACAATTTTCAGTTCAGTCGAGACGATTGGAGAAGCGCTACTAGAGTTGCCGACCAAGGAGGTTATCCAAGTAGCTTCAGTTGACTACCAGGCTGGGGTCTCGCACGGAAATCCTGTCATTGACTATCTCCAGCGATATGGTTCATCAATCGAGCAGCCCGTCAACTTTGAGAACCCGATCCCTCTTAGCGGCAAGACTCCTCTTGTCCTTCGAGCTCCTTCTTCGAATGAAACATATGCGCGTGTCTCGGGAGATTACAACCCGATCCACGTTTCTCGCGTTTTTTCAAGCTACGCAAACCTCCCTGGCACAATTACGCATGGCATGTACTCTAGCGCTGCTGTTCGTAGCTTAGTCGAGACCTGGGCTGCCGAAAACAATGTCGGTCGTGTTCGAAGCTTTCATTGCGACATGGTTGGCATGGTTCTGCCCAACGATGATATCGAGGTCAAACTTCAGCACGTGGGGATGGTGTCAGGCCGTAAGATCATCAAGGTCGAAGCAAGCAATAAGGACACAGAGGCCAAGGTTCTAGTGGGAGAGGCTGAAGTCGAGCAGCCAGTCTCTGCCTACGTTTTTACGGGACAAGGTTCGCAGGAACAAGGGATGGGTATGGAGCTTTACGGAAGCAGCCCAGTAGCCAAAGAAGTGTGGGACCGTGCCGACGCCCATTTCATGGAGAATTACGGCTTCTCAATCACCGACGTTGTCAAGAATAATCCGAAAGAGCTCACCATCCATTTCGGCGGTCCTCGCGGTAAAGCAATCCGTGAAAATTACATGTCAATGACTTTCGAGTCTGTCAATGCGGACGGCTCCATCAAGTCAGAGAAGATTTTCAAGGAGGTCAACGAGAATACCGCCTCATACACCTACCGCTCACCCACCGGTCTCCTCTCTGCTACTCAATTCACACAACCTGCATTGACTTTGATGGAGAAAGCCAGTTTCGAAGACATGCGCTCCAAGGGTCTTGTACAGAGGGACAGCACCTTCGCAGGGCACTCGCTTGGAGAATACTCTGCATTGGCGGCTCTGGCAGAAGTCATGCCAATTGAAAGCTTGGTGTCGGTAGTCTTTTACCGCGGTCTCACTATGCAAGTCGCCGTGGAACGGGACGAAACCGGCCGCTCCAACTACTCTATGTGTGCTGTCAACCCCAGCCGAATCTCTAAGACCTTCAACGAGCAAGCACTACAGTATGTGGTTGAGAATATCGCGGAGGAGACTAAGTGGCTTTTGGAGATCGTCAACTACAATGTCGCGAACATGCAATATGTTTGCGCTGGTGATGTAAGTCCACTCCATCTTTCCGGCCCTGCCATCGTCTCATACTAATCCCCTTTCTAGCTCCGCGCTCTCGACTGCCTAACCAATGTTACCAACTTCCTCAAAGCCCAAAAAGTCGACATCAACTCCCTCATTGAAACCCTCTCCCTCGACGACGTCAAAGCCAGGCTTGTCGAGATCATCCGCGAGTGCGCCGCTCAAACATCTTCGAAACCCCAACCCATCGATCTCCAACGCGGCTTCGCTACCATTCCGCTCAAAGGCATCGACGTGCCTTTCCACAGTACCTTCTTACGCTCCGGTGTGAAACCTTTCAGATCTTTCTTGTTGAAGAAGATCAACAGGACGACGATCGATCCTAGCAAATTGGTAGGGAAATACATTCCCAATGTGACGGCTAAGCCCTTCGAGATCTCAAAGGAATACTTTGAGGAGGTTTACAAGTTGACGAATAGTCCGAGGATCGGCAATGTGTTGGCGAATTGGGAGAAATATGAGAACAGTAGTAATGAGGCTACGCCAGCGAGGGCGAGGAGCCAGAGTCAGGTTCTTGTCAACGGTGATTAAAGAGGAGCAGTCGCTGTGTACGTTACAATGCATAGGCGGAGGCAGGCGTTCTCAGGGGTTTGGAAGATATCAGCTGGCGATAGAAGGGTCATGGCTCTTTAGTGCTCGTAGACCTCCTTGAATTAGAGCCTGCTATGTAAACGAGATTAATCATACTGGTACATATTACAATCGCCTAATCTGAAGAAGCTAAGCTGATCTCGCGCAAGTGGTATATGAAAAACACCTCCCCCTTCCTTCCCGCACGTGCCGTATGGCTTTCGAAAATGGTCACAAACATCCTCCCATACCTCCTTCCGAACAAGCACCGCCGCCCCCCCCCCTCAATCAAACAAGCGGCCCAACATGGCGCCTCCACTCCGCGACCCTCCCCTCCGCCGTCCTCCCCTCCACGATCCCCGCCAGCAAACTCTCCCTCCTCGTCTCCCCCGTCGCCCCCGCACCGACCCTGCCCGGCGGCAGCGGCCGATGTCTCGCCGCCTCGGTCGCATAGTCGCTCACCACCCGCCTCGGCACGACTCTCTCGCTGGCGCGGGTGGTCGGGCGGTTATTGTACTGTCTCGAAGCTGCCGAGTGCTGCTGCCGCAGTACCGGTTCCGGGGGTCGGGGCGGTGCGTGCGGTCTCAAGGGCGGTTCTTCTGGCGCTCGTGCTGGTGCTGGACGACGGTGTTGGGGTCGGGCTTCGGCCGTTAAACGCTCCGCGGCGCGCTCGTGGGCTGGGTTGTGCAGTGCGGAGAGAACCTCGGCGGCGCGGCGGATCCAGTCTTCGTTCGTACGATGGGGTGCAGCATTGACGTAGGGCGCGTTGTCGAGGTCGATCAGGTCGGCTTCGCCATCCAGGCCGAGGATCTGGATCCTCCTCGCAAACGCCTCGTCTCTCAATTCTTGGTCCCTTCGCCTGTCCAGCTCCTCCTGGTATCCGCGTGCGGGATTCCCCATCGGGGCTCTGCGGATTTGAGGGACATTCATGTGAATGAGGCGGTCGGCTTCGACGGCTTCGTAGTTGAACCAGGGGCAATCGCACGTTTTCCACTTGAGACCGCAGATCATGCAGAATTCGGCGCGGCAGCGACAGGTCATGTGGTTGCAACCTTCCTTCAGCTCGACGGTCGCAGAGCAGTTGAAACAGCGTTGCCATCCTTCTTCTTTCGCGACCTTGATGAACTCCTGCGTGGCGGCGTCTTTGGGGCATTCACGGCTGGAATGCCACTTGTTGTTGCACGTGCAGCAGACTTTCGTCTTGCACCTTTGACATTTGCCATACTTCCTGCCTCCGTTGGCGCCACCGCTGGTATCGACGTGGATATGTGCGGGTTTGATCCATGAGCCGCAGCCCCTTGCGGGGCAGTAGATGCGGTTTTTGGTAGTGTATTCCTGATATTTGCGATTCCACTTTCTTTTAAAATTGTTGTCGAAGAGCTTGTCGACGTGTTTCAGGTCGATGCAGTCTTTGGTACAGCAAGTGGGAGGCATATGTTGTGGGTCGGTTGTAGAAAGGGTGAAGAGGCGGCGGAGGCAGGCGTTGCACATGCGGTGTTTGCAGGGCAGTAAGGCGGTTTTGGAGATTGGGACGTCGTCGGAGAGGCACGTTATGCATTCTACTCTGTCAGGTTCTGGGTCAGCAGGAGCACGAAAGTGATTTCAAAGTATATAAAGCTTACTGTTGCTCTGGCTTAGGTGGCCTAGCTGGTGCGACCGGTTTGGCTGGTGTAGGGAGCCCAAATATCGAACCGAGAATACTCGATGGCCGAGCAGCTGGTCTGGTTCCTCTAGTAGTAGAAGGCGCTCGCTCCAACTTCTCGCGTACGGGTGGTGAGGTGGGCTGGTCAGACGATAGGGGTCGCGCTTGACGGGCAGAAGTCTGACTTCGCTTCAAGGGCGGCCTGAAGAACGATGTAGTTATGGTCTCGCGGACAGACGCGCTTCTGCAGTACAAGCATTTAGCACTCGGAATACATGCCTCGGAGGAGATATGTATCTACCTAGTGACCGGAGCCTTATCCCGGGTGCTCTTTGGAACATAATCGGCGATCGAGCGCTTCTCGCGCCGTAACGGAGTATGAATTTTCTCCTCGTGGTGAGGCCGCCTTCGCTCAGAGTGTCTCCTTTGCAATTCTCTGTCCCCTGTTTGCTGCCGCTCATGCCTTGTCCTACTTGCTTCGCCGGCGTTCGTTGTCGATCTCCGTAGGCTGCTAGGCCTAGACCGATCCGCTTCCCCCTCGCTTTTCTTTTGCGTTTTATAGACGTAGACTCTTTCGCCTTCCCTTGCATCCTCCTTCTCGGATCTGCGGTGATGGTGCCGATGTTCTGAATCAGACTTCCTCCGCACTTCTCGAACTGCCACCCTTGGTTCCTTCACATACGTCTCCCTCGCGTTTGTTTTAGAGTCTGAATACGTTCTTCGAGGTGTATGAGAGGTCATCGCCCCCTTGGCTCTTAGGCGACGCTCCTCGGAAGGACTTTTGCAGGCCCCAGCATGGACCCGTCTCAGTCCACCCACGACTAACCTTTCCACACTTTCGCTTGAATCTGAGACCGTGGATTTTGGACCGCCTTCATACGCCTGGTATCGTAAAGAGTGCGAAGGGTAAACTTGAGTGCGGTGATGGTGGTGGGAAGAAGTAGATATTGTGGTGGCGACGGGCATGCTAAGGTGCCCAAAGCTAGGGCAACTTGACTGATTGGACGCTTTCATACACCTTTTCCTCCGAACCTGAGATATATTGCCACGCCTTGGTCAGGGGCTTGCTCTTCTTCCGCCTCAGGATTGATTGGGTGAGAAGCGCGGAGGCTTGCATCTGCGATTCCGTATTGAATCTCGTACATATATACTGCATGCAGGCGATTTGCCGCGGGGCAGCCAACAGGATCCAGCCAGCTGGCAAAGTGGTCGCGCTGGCTGAGGGAGTCTGTCAAAGGTAAGCAAAGGCTCTCAGGTGCCTTGGATGGTTCAGCGCATAGGATTTACTCTACTGTAGACGAGCTGTGACAAGCTTTGAATCTCTGGCCAATCAGGAGCATCGGGACGTTGTGGGCCTACACCGGCTAGCTCGTTTCTGCTTGCCCGATCACCTCCTGTTTCAACAGTCAACATCAACGCATCAATGGGAGAGCGTCGGCATCTATTGGAGGAATTCATAAGCTGTCTTGCCCTCGCATCATACCTGCTCGGCAGATGAGGGTGATTGAGATAGTAAGAAGCTCGTAATTACAGGAACACTCCATTTTCCCGCCAGTCAAAATGACACGAAGAATTTGCAGGAGGAGAAAATGATTTGATACATTTTGCACCTTACATGCAGCGAGTGTTAGATCACTACGGTCCAGCAAATGCATGATTCGAGATCTTTCTCTTAGCAAGTCCTTCAATAGGTCAGCTTTCTACCTCGTCTTCCACATATTCGTCATTTGTATCTCCTTCCGCGTCAGCCTTATCATCATACAACTCCTTTTCCCCTTTGGTCTTCCCTCTCCCACCAGCTCCTCTATTGTACCAATCTTCTTGGCCGCCCCACTCCTCTCCTCGATCCGTCCTTCCTGCCTGTTCCCCGCCTATATTCTCATCATCATCTTTACCATCCTCCTCCTCCTCCTCCTCCTCCTCCTTCTCCTCCTTCTCCTTCTTCTCCTTCTTCTCCTTCTTCTCCTTCTTCTCCTTCTTCTCCTTCTTCTCCTTCTTCACCTCCTTCACCTCCTTCTCCTCCTTCTCCTCCTTCTCCTCCTTCTCCTTCTTCTCCCTCTTCTTCTCCTTCTTCTCCTTCTTCTCCTTCTCCTCCTTCTCCTCCTTCTCCTCCTTCTCCTCCTTCTCCTTCTTCTCCTCCTTCTCCTTCTTCTCCTTCTTCTGCTGCGTCCTTCCAGCCTTGCTTTTCCAATTCCTCGATGATCAGCTCGTGGAATAACTCCCAACATTCTTCAAACCAATAGCTATGGCAATCCAGTGCAGTCTGGTTCTCATGAAGTGAAAATATCTTGTCATATAAACGCCTTTTCTTCCTATGGAGTCAAGGGCCAGGAGACGATCATCTTCCTTTGAATTCCAGGAAACTTGGGGTTCTGGCAAAAGTTTGAGGTCCCGGTCCTATCTCGTTCTACACGATAGCACGGTGCGGTCGGTAAAATATGGATGCATGATCTCAAAATCCATGCCTTCGAGTCGAAGAGCGACGAGTAGTCGATCCTCATCATGAGTCCATGGCCAATGACTCTCGGCGAAGAGATTTGGGGAATAGTCCTCAAGGTGTATTGTGCAGGCGCCGAAGCTCCGCCCAACTCTCCCACTGATCGTCTTCCAATCTTGACCTTCCGTGAAGAGGGCAACCAGAGATCGATCCTCCGCTTCTGACCAAGCACTCCCGGCGCCTGATTTCTCCCGATTATCATTGCGATGTGACCACTTACTTCTGAAATTGTCAGCATGGTGCCCCGGGATCTGTTTGCTGATAGCGTCCCGGCTCTCGCCCTCCATCTTGAGCCCGACGAGTGTTTCCGAATCTCCAACACAATTTGCGTCCTTTTTGTCGCAGGGCCGATAGAAGAGAGCGGTGATACAGCCTTTACTTTCTGGTTCTGAGACTGGACTTCGCTCGCAGTGGACGGTCTTTCGACCATTTTGGCTGGCGATCGCCAAGCTGGAGATACCGCGACGAAGCTCTTGCGAGGGTTCTTTTCCTTCCAACACACAAGGTCTAGGCATCTCAAGCAGCCGTAGTTCACAATTCGTGTGCCTGAAGTTGATGAGGAACAAGGCAAGGTGAGCTTTTTATTAACTCGGGCACGCTCCTTTACACATGCCGCAAGTGATCTTCTTTGTCGTCAGCTTGCACGGTCACTCGGCATGGCGGAAGACTTGCTCAATAGCTACGAAACCGAAACGGGCATCTACAATGAGGCGTTCCGGAGATCAAGATGTTTCAATTCGTACAAGCCAGAGTATGCAATTGAATACCCACGTCTAGGGTCTCCAAATACGATCACCCTATCGAACGCCATTGTTTGGAAAGATAATCCACCTATTCTTACCGTCTATAGCACGTGCACCCGGATGCAACTTTCTCGGATCCGGAAGTTTGTTGCTCGCCGAAGAATCAAGATATGTAAGATCGGATGATACACGACACTATACTAGTACCTACCGATGTCAACGAGGGGAACTCGGGCCCTCACTGCAATTTGGAAAAGCGAGAGCGTTACCACGGGCCAACCAGGCGCTCAGCCTTCCATCGTCCATCTCATCACTTTCTTCATCCGCTTCTCCATTGTCCACCGTACAATCGGCCACATCGGTCTCTCCATCGGTCATATCGCTACCTCCACGTCTTTTCACCATACCCTCTTTCACTTTCTCCAGATCAATCTCGCCATTGACAAAAAAATCGTCGAAGTCATCCCAACAGTCTTCAAACCAACAAGTACAACAGTCCCCATCGGTATGGGTACTCTTCAAAACCTCCCAAGTCTCGATCCATGACTCATCGGTCTTGCGTAGCTCAGAGAGACGCTCGTGTTTCCTGATTTATCCGTGGCGTTTGGCCGATACTGTGTGATTGTAATTTTTTGGACGCTGGAGATTGGTTTTCGCAGGCTGCAGGGGATTTGACTGGGGTGCAGGCATTTGAAAAGAGGCGTCACGGAAGTCAAGGTTTGTGGATGCCTTGCTTAAATCTATGCCATTTCGATCCTCAATTTTCTACACGTAAGATGCAGTCGTTATTCTGGGTTCACTTTTGAGCCTTGTGCGATCCTTCAGTGGTAATGAATGCTCCTTCCACCAGTCCTCGACCTCGCCCTCGTCTATAACAGCTTCAGCTTCAGCCTCATTGTCCTTCACTCCTACGTCTGTCATCCCTTCGCTCTCAGTCTCTTTGTCACCCATAGTCTCTTCTTCGCTGAACCCATCAGCTACATCTCCCTCTTCCTCTTCTTCTTCTTCTTCTTCTTCTTCTTCTTCTTCTTCTTCTTCTTCTTCTTCGTCATCCAGGCCTTGCCTTTTCAGCTCCTGCACAAGATCGGGATGCATCCTATAAGAGTAAATGCAGCAGGCTCTCCAGGGACGCCTTAGTCTTGCGCTGATTTCCTTCCAGTCCTCGCCTCCCATTCGAAGGGAAACTTGTAGTTCATCTTCTGTCTTGACCACAGGCTTTGGGGGAATGGAACAGCCTGAGCTGCCGGCATCGCCGGTGGGAGCTGCTGTGCATACCAGCCTGATGAGTTACGTTTACTCCAATTTTTAAGGCAATCAACCTCTGTACGTCCGATATGGTCGCTAATATATTTAAAGCTTTTGCCCTCATTCATGAATTTGGTGAGTAGGTTGAAATTTTCTTTCGTCCACCGCTCCTTGTTCTTGGTAGGAGCGGAATATGGAGATGCATTGGCTAGAGCGTCTGCATTCTGGATTCGAGACTCTACTTTGCTTGAGTTGGATGATGCCTCCATCATACCGACGAAGAGTTTCTTCTGGGCGGTGTTACAAAAAGGAGGACGAGGAGTATTTTCTTTCAGAGAAGAAGAAGAAGAGTGCCTTGATGGTGAAGCTTTGAATAATATCGAGAAGATGTAGACGGAGACTGCCTTCCAGTTGTGGTACCTGCCAACTCTACGTGGAGTGTTTAGTATCAAAGAGCAAGGGAGTAGACGGACTGTTTTAGAGGGAATATGGCCACCTTATGTACATGCAACGAAGACTTCCCTTCATAATTAGGCTGCGCAGCCCCGACAAGAAGGCCGAATTTCCGATTCCGTTGCCGGCGTTGAGATCTTTCAGGTCCGATTGCAGGTATCTTAAAAGAAGGCATTGCGGAAAGAAATCGCAACGGCTGATCTACAGTGCAGAGCCAAAATGATGTACTAAATGACATTTTGGCTCTCACGGCAGGATAGCTCAGCACAGGGTTTGTGATTGCCTTGACGAAAGTAACATCGCTGAAGAGACGTAGTGTCGGCGCATGCACGGTATTGCATCCATCCAAGCTACTGAGGCTGCACGAGGCTCTTGACAGTCAAAATAAGGACTAAGAATCCACCGTGGAATTAGCAAAAAAGGCGTTGATCTTATTTTTTTTCAACAAGGAGAACGCTTCTCTAGCTAAGAAAAGCCACCCGCCGATATGTGCAAGATCAAGAGATCTCGCTAGGATGAAGATTCGAGCGTTGTCTACCCACACGGGTAAAATCTTTCGATAAAGGTCCGGTGCCATCAACATCAATCTAGCACCACAGCACTCATTGGTGGCATCGGCGGCGGGCACCTCCGTAGGCGTAGAAGGAGGGATGGCAAGAGTCTCGCAGAAGGAAGTTTCGTAAACTGTCGAACTATACTTTAGAGTAGCGCGACGACTTCTCTGATGATCTCGGACTTTGGGGACGTGGTGACTTCAGTTCCACAATCACGTGTGCCGGTCACGCATTTCCCACTGGCTCCCGCACTAGGTATGGCATTGAGATGAATATTTGAAATCATTGAAGCGCATCTCTTTGGCCGAGAGTACCTTATGTAAGGTACGCCCCAAACCCAGGTAACGAATTAAGCTTTCAACGTGCATTACTGTATCACAGAAAATCCGTGCACTTGCAGCCTGTAATTTATGTATTTCACTCTGATCCGTCCATCCGAGGTAAGACAATGGCCAGTGACGATACAGGCAAGAACACCACTGGCTTATAACGAGTACGCAGATTCATTCCCAGCCTTTCTCGTCGAGATATAAATCGCAGAGACTAGGAGTACGCGAGCACGTGACCAACGAAGAAAACTCGGAGCCGCTATGGAAGCTAAGCGAAATACTTGAATGAGATAAAGACTTCAATGAAACAAAGACTTCAATAAAATAGAGACTGATATAATAAAGACTTCATTCAATTAGAGAACTTCGACCCATGTCCGAGAACGATACATATCAACCAACTTCTTAGCGGACAAGACATTCTGCCTGCTCGAGTGCTATGGAAGACTCTTCCAACAAGAGGCATGATCAAGAGAGTATGTCCGATGATTTCCGAGTACGAACTGTATATCCTGTAAGTCTACCTTAGACCCTGTCGCTTCCGGGTACAACACACGCCACCCAATGCACAGGCATATTAGCCGATGTTCATTGGTCATGGTATGCACCAGTGAGTCAAGCCCGCACGTACTTAAATGTTGGTGTATTTTGTCTGCAAACATGTAAGAGAGATCCTTTTCCCATCAAATTAAACCCTTTTTATTCTTTTGCATACCAGACTATTTCCTTTACAAAAGTGTTCTTCTTTTCCTGTCTCTCAACACAGAGAGCCACACATTCTTTGTCGCTCGAGCCGGTCGTAACACGAGCCAGACATCCCTAGGGGCACAGGCCCGAAGGCGCTTCGCCTTGCCGACGAAGGCATCGCTTGCAGAAGGGGTCTAGTCGCCGACTTGTCAAGTTCAGGGTTGGGGCTCTTAGCAGTAACACAGAAGACCTTTCGCTGGAAGGGAGAAACCCCATCGAACGTTGTCTGCTCTTCCAGGACCTAGCTTGCTACCGCTAGTGTGCTTGGTGGCATTGGACAGTAGCCGCTCGTTAACGATTGATGGTCATCGTCAACTACTGGCCATCCGCCTATTCCCACGTCGTCTCTGCTCGCGCTGCTCGATCACGAGCAGGTTTCCCTGTTTGTAGCGTTCGTCTATCGCAGCGCTGGTTCCCATCAAACATAATAGCCTAGGCTATAAGTCGATCGAGCGAGCATCTTGAAACACACTGTCCCACAAACGAAGTTAGTTTGTGGCTCTCATCCTCGCATTCATCAACATAATTTCAAGATACTGCAATCGTATCTCCAAAGTAAAAACAAACTCTCGCATCCGGTCCCTGTGCTGCGGCTACAACCTCTTCGAGAAGGCTCTGAAAGGGCTAGCAAACATAATTATCTCGCTGGAACTGCGGCTGCAATCCTTTGAAAACAAGCATTGCACAGTCTTGCGTCCTTGAATTGCTGCCACTGCTACGCCTTATTGCCTTGGTCATTCGTCTTATCGGAGACGTGTTAGCCCTTTGGGGTGCTGCGTTTTTGAGGGACCACCCCTAAAGGTGCAACAGCTTCAGGGGAAAAGCCCACCAGAGATAGAGGCTTTAAAGGGACTCCTGCCTACACCGTGTAACGCTTTTCAAGGGCGGTACCCAAACACAGCGATATTTTTAGAGGCTAACACCGAAACAAGGTGACGCATCGAAGTGTGAATACCGAAACGCAGTGACGCTTTTGGAGTGAATTTTTATCTGCAGTGACGCTTTAGAAGTGACTCTGTTTTTGTAGTGACGCATCGGTTTCTGTTATTCACGGTGACATCTGCGAGTATTTAAGTACCCGGTCTCGCCCACCAACCTACACATCTCGGCACCTGTCTGCACAGATCTGGACGGGGTCGCCCCCCTTTGCATTTAGGCTCCTTGCTGAATATTTCTATATATATACGGCAATCTTTGACGACTAAGAGCCTGGCCGTTTATTATACTATATATCTTGATGGAATCCATCGAAGAGCCTGTCTGAATTTGGCTAGTGTGCAGGGCTGCACAAAATCCGACTGGTACTTTGTTTAGATGCTAGCTCGCTTTTCAGGGACTAAACCCTCTTTCTCTTTCGAGTCAACAACGTCGTCGAGTCTACAAGGACGAGTCTTTTGGGTCAGCAACCTGTACTGGAAGTACACTTCTGCTACTCGCAACCACATTCTGTCGATCCTTCAAGGGTCTTACTCGGTGCTGCCGGCTATCGCAAAGTGAGGTTTGCTGCCAATCTCAGTCTTCAATGTGAGAGTTTGCGGATACTAACCCCACCAACAGCAAAGATGTCCCAGACGAACAAGCCTCCTGTTGCAACAATGACTGTAGGCGGCACCAACCAGGCGGAGACGATGGGCCTCCTGCCAACTGAAGCTGCCGCCTCGTGAGTCAGGCTACCATTTTCGGAGTGTGAGTTCTTGGATGCTAATTTCGTTGACATCAGCGAGTCCGAGGAAATCGAACCTACCTTTGCACCACCTACCCTTGCATTAGACACTGTCGACGGTATTATGACGAAAGCGGAGAGCAATGGTCTTAAGCCTGCGACTGTGCCAAGCAGCCCCAATGCAATCGTCACCTTCCCCTTCTACCCCGAGATTGGCCGCTACGAACCCCAAGCAATCATTGGGCGCTTCATCGTCCAGCTCATGAAGCCGCGGCAGTTGACCACGAACGAGCGTCAAGTCGTCTTCAACATCGTCAAAGCGCTGTCTCAGATCGAAACTTTCACCCGCGCTGCCGAGGAGAGATTGCAGATCAAATTCATGCTGACCGGCATCTTGGGGGTATGGCCCAAGGCCACGCGTCCGTACGAGTTCCCAGAAACCTTCCAGGAAGCCGCTGCTGCCATTCTCGCCAAAGTGGAAGGAGATCTAGACATCGAAGAAGTCGTCGACGAGACGCGGCCAGCCTCAACCTCCCCTGCTCCTGCGAGCAAAGGTAAAAAGCGCGGGAGGAAAGCCGCAGATCCACGCAGCCCAGAGTCTCGCGAACTGCCAGCTCTCAACGATCTGCCTGTCCAATCCATCATGCACAACACCGTTCTCACTGACGGACGCCGCCGTGTATATCGCATCGACGACAAGTCTGCTACGAGGCCTTGCAATAGTTTTGGGCACAATGGAATTGCTGTTGGTCAATGGTGGCCATACCGCATCTGCGCACTGCGGGACGGAGCACACGGGGCTATGCAGAGTGGGATTGCAGGGTCAGAGAAGAGTGGAGCCTACTCGATAGTGGTGTCTGGTAAGTCCCAGAGCTGACCAGCTTCAACTGTTTCGCCGCTGACCTATCTCTCAGGCGATTACGATGAGCTCGACAAGGACGAAAAAGACATACTTTACTACTCCGGCAGCGACAGCAACGCCAACACAGACCCAGCCAATCCCATCGTCACCCATTATACCAAAGCGTTGCAACAATCCCGCCGCGACGACCGTCCCATCCGGGTGCTGCGGACTTCGGCAGGGAGGGCTGACCATTGTCCGTCGAAGGGGATCCGCTATGATGGACTGTACCGCATCATCTCGGACGGCATCGCGAAGAACATGAGGGGTGGTGCATACGTCCGCTTCAAGCTCGTGAGGGAAGCTAACCAGCCCGAGATCGACATGAGCAGGCCCACTCAGGCGGAAAAGGACGTGTATGACCGGCTCAAGAACAGCATTTAGGCGTTGCATGTGGGGATGATAGCGGCGATACGCGGCGGTTTCATGTGATTGTAAGCAATAGATTGACTATGTTTGTCTTTTTCCTCGGGCTGCGGCGCCGTGGTAACAGGAAAAGATAGGGATAGAATCCCACAGATAGCTATATGGAATACACAAAAGTTGATGCGAATGATCATATTGGTTTTCAAGTGATCGTTTACTACCCATGATAGCTGTCATATATCCATCGTTCCATTGATGCTGCGAGTACTTGGCTGGCAGATACGGGGATCCTACCACAGAATCACCACGACTTTGGCGGTTGTTGACTAGATGTCTGACGTTAGGGGGGGTAGAAAATCAAATGTAACTACAGAAATACAATATATAGCGATATAGATTCTCGCTTCACATACAAACGTCGGAAATCTCCCTGAATAGTTTGGCATTCTCGAGACTAAACGAGCGTAGAAGGCGATCTTTCCTACGAAGTTCCCCCTTAGGAACAGCATAGGATTCGAGGCAAAACCTCACAAACTACTGCCCGAGAAACGGAGATCCGGCATGCCGACACCCAGATTCCCTGTTGCTGGTGGTGTAGTCTCCGAATTGTCTGCCATTTGATTGGTCCGGAATGCCTGAAAGTGTTTCATATCCAGGCCTATCTACCACAATGTTGTGACAAACAAACGTGGGTTCTCCACACTCTCCCACCCTTTGGAAAGTCGGGAGGGTAGAGCCTTGTGCCAAATATATTGTAAATGGTGTCTTCCCCTCCGAACATAGCCGTAGCCCTGAGATAGCCCTGACCCTAACCTTAAGCGTTCTCTTTGTAGCCTAGTGCAGATCCAAAACCGGATCCCTGCAATGACGATATCCCCAGCTTCTCGCGCGACCAAGGAATATACATCCGCTGACAACACGCCCTTTACCACTCACTTGCCTCATAGCTACCAAAGTCTCACTCTTGTATCGCCTCCACCATCTTCACCACCACCATCTCCATCTCCAAACACAAAATGCCGGACTCCAAAGACAAAAAGTCCAGATTTGGCCTCTTCGGCCACAAAGACCGCCCCACCCCTACAACCGACTCCACCTACGGCAGCGAAGCCTCCTCAGACGCCCACAATTCTTATCAGTCAGCGCCCAGCATGACCGGCAGCGACAACACCGGGACGACCGTCAATGACCAAGGACAGACCGTCACCACCACCACTACAACCACGACTACCACCACAACAGGCGGCGGTGGTGCCTCTACAACCTCTGGGCCGCACACGAGCAATCTGGCTAACAAGCTGGATCCCAGGGTCAATAGTGGCGGCGATCAGACCGAGGTTTCGGAAACGGTACAACGACGCGAGAATGACAGACCAAACATACCCTCGAAATCTACGAGGAGGGAGCCGAGTCCGAATCCACCACCGCAACAGCGATCGAGTGGAGGAGGAGGAGGGCTGTCGTCAATCCTAAGCGGTGGAAAGAACCACGAGCAGAGACAACCGGACAACTATGGAAATCAAAATCCGCCACCACAGCAGCAGCAATCAACTGGAGGAGGGGGTTTATCCTCGATCCTATCTGGCGGCAGAAACCACGATCAGAGGCAGCCGGACAACTACGGAAGTTCGAACGCGCCACCTCAGCAGCAATCGAGCGGAGGTGGGGGCTTGTCGTCCATCCTCACGGGCGGGAGGAACCACCACGATCAGAGACAGTCGGACAATTATGGGACTCCGAGTAGTCCACAAGGCCAAGGCAGGCACAATTTCTCGTATCCGAGCCGGACGCCGCCGAACGAGCGGGCCCAGGTGCCAGCGCAAACGCAAGGTCAAGCACCATCACAGCAGCAGCAGCAACCGCCAAGCACGCTGCAGAATTTAAAGACGGCGGCGGTGGGGATCCACGTGAGCAATACCCATTCCTTCCCCTCCTGCTTCCTCTCTCTCCTCTCTCTCCCATCCGATTCCTGCCCTTCACATCTTCACCTGCTCGCAGCTTCCCACCCGAGCGTTTGCTAATCCGATTTCCACCAACAGGGCGTAGGCGAAACCCTCCGCGGCACCCTCAACTCCTCCGTCGACCGGCGCTTCCACGCCGGCCCCGAGCAACAGGCGCACAACGAACGGGTCCTGAACGCCGGCCGGCAGGAGATTGAGAGCGGGCATTTGAGCGAGAATAGCAGGCAGCAAGGCGGGCCGGGGACGAAGGGGATACTAAGGAAGAGCGGGGGACAGGGCCAGTTGAGGGTCGTGAATGAATGAGTGAATGAATGATTTCTGATGGAAAAAAGGGGCATGGCATGGCATGGCATGGCAGGGTGGAGAATAGGTGCTAGGATCGCCGGTGTTCCATATGAGGTGCATTTGAGCTTGATGGGTCACGGTATCTACTTCCATCACATGGAAACCAGATCTCGTGAGTGGAGGAAGCATATCCGTGACACATTCGCTCAGATAAAATCACGCAGATTGTCAGGCTTTGACACCGACCATCTATTGAAATAGCGTGAGATCGAAGAAAGCAACTCATGAAAACCCAATCCAATCGATTCGATTCTTACTCACTCACGGTACCGCTCCCAACCACCTACGCTAAACTGAATATGATGGATGCATGCATGGATATCTGCATCACGACCACCCACCCACTCACTGGGAAAGATGCAAGGCTATCGCTCAAGACATTTGCGCAACAGGTTCCAAACCAGCATCAGCATCAGCATCAGCATCAACATCACCATCCTGCACATGGCCTCGAACCTCAGAATCCACCATCCTGACTTCCATCCCCGTCTACGGATACCAGAGCGAGTGTCCAGGAAGGGGGAGAAGGCTACGATTCGACCTGAAGTTCTTCAAAGGATGTGAAAACCAGACATGCACGCACGTAGTCGCCGTTTCATTTCCAATCTTGGAATACCCTTACCGAGCCAAGCGTGCCGCTTGCCCTTGAGGTATATCTTCTTCGTCTCCTCGTCGCCCTACCGGTCCACGACATCCGTCAAGGTGCCACTCGCTTGCTTTGGATTGACCGAGGGCGTTGCAATTTCCTCCGCGGTTCGGCGCCTCCGACAGGTACAGGATTGACGTCGAGTCTATCGGCAGTGTCATGTTAGTTGTGTGGGATCCTTCGTCTTTTCTATGAAGCAGTTGGGTGCCGGATTGTGGCCAATCATCGTCGAGCATTGACTTTTCATTCTCAAGTAATCCTTTAGCGAGGGCACTTGGTTCCTCGCGACCCGCAATTCTTCCAAACCCCTATCAACCTGCTCATGAAGCGTACTGTATATTTCGAGGTATATCTGGTGGGCGAATACGACCCACAGCGATATTGCATCCCCCAAAAGAACTTGCCACATACCTCGGCTGAATGCATCCTTGGCTGGCATGACGAGCTTAGTGAAGAGCAAGACTTCTGCTAGAACGTCAGCTAGGACATACGAATCTTTCATGTCTTTTCTATCGATGCTCATCTGAGATCGATCTGCCAGAGGGTCGTAACCACCGCCACGAGCTGCCTTGCTTGATACCTAATAGCGGGATGGCGACTGTCGAACCAAGTCCCAAAATGCTTCCAATAGCTGGCAAGGTCGCGCGTAAAGGTACGCAATCTAGTCAAAGTCTTGATTAGGGTCTAGAGCAACGTCGGTGCGTGTTGAGCCATGATCAGTGGCCATCGACATATCCTGGGCATCACGTCGGTCAAAACTTACAATTCTGGTGTAGGGTTTCTTGGCCAAAGTGTCGAAAGCATCGAGCATCCTCGGGTACTCTGTGAGTTGTGGGTATGATGCCATCAGCTATTCCTGGGCGCCGTGGACGAAGTTTATGGCAGTATTGGTCGCCACAGACGCTGTGACGAGATCAACCTCGCCGGATTTGTAGCATTTCCAGGTCCCGATAATTGGAATCCAGGACACTATGAGCGTCTTGAAGCTTGCACAATATTGCATTGCATCTCTACTTCAGAGCTTTCTAGCTCGTACACCTCCTTCCATTGAGTCCGGGTGGCGTCCTCGACTGCAACCACGTCGTGCACGTCGATCACAGCTGCTCCAAGAACATCATGGTCATGGAGCTTATCCATCTCCTGGTCATCGAACAGGTTGCTGCGCGTTTTGCCTCGGGTTTCGCCACTTTTGCTGGGAACGGGTCGCACTGGCAAAACATTCTCCGTCAGTGATGCAGTGACGTAGGGTGTCAGTAGATCCAGTGCCTCCTCAAAGACCTCAACGAATCAACAAGCCATTCGTTCCCTTTAGAAGAGGGGTTCCAGCCGTAGTTGTTGGTACGGAGTTTTGTCTGACATAGCCGTTCCTTTGCGGTATCAACCAACCATGAAATGAACTTGTTGGTATCCTGTTTGTATTGGACATATTTGCTTGATAGGAGATCTGGCACCATCTTGTCTGAGGGATTTGAGACTTGAACGTTCTAATGTGGTATAGAAGGAGGCGTACGATGAGACACAGGAATCTGCTTATGTGCTCGAGGTGTTGGATGCTTTGGCGACGAAGGGATATCTGTGATCTGCTACATTTGCAGCAGCCTGCGCAAATTATAGCAGGAAATGTTTGACATAAGCAGCCGGAGTAATGAACCACGTGATACAATTTTGACATATTGTAAGAAAATGTAAGACAATGCCTTGAAACGCTTTGATCTCGGACGCAATGTAAGAGGGCGAAGATTCATTAGCCTACAACGTCTTTGGTCTGGTGCGTGGATGTGGTCAACAGCGCAAGTTCTGGGATTAGTGATCGAACAACTCATCCACATAGCGGCACCGTAGCAGCAAGGAGTGCGCTGCTACAACAGTGAACAAGGCAGAGTCAATTATCGATGCTTGCTGTGTTCTCTCGTTGCTGGCATGAGGGCGCGCGGTTGCCAAGGCGCAAGGCTGGCGGTGACGGGTGACGAGGGTGCGCCTTCTTCGGCCTCTGTTCTCTTTGATTCTTTCTTCTTTTTTTCTCTCGAGCTCTACAGATGGATTTATCACGGCGGCCATCGTATCCCATATATGGAATTGCGTATACACGTCAATTTATTCATTTCTGTCACAGACGCAAGTCAGCCGAGCCTTTTGCCGCGATGGTTGACTCTCCGCCGGTTGGGTGGATGGTGGTGGGGGAAAGAACGGCCGGATTCCGGAATCAAGTGCCTTCTTATACTTGTACTTTACTATCATTATAATTATACAGACGCACAATTCTCATTACTCGTATACGCGTATACTCGTATCCTCATTTTTGGACTTACGCGTCTTATCGATAACAGTTCACGCGAGATTACTTGTACTTTGTAAGGTTGATCTAATAAAAAAGGAGCCATCATTTTAAGGTCATCGGCACGCCTCTGGCCCAAAAGACTCTGGTCTTAGGTTCCCACCAAGGCGGGTAAATATTCTCTAGCGATGAAGTTGGGGGCTGCGAAAAAGCCAATGACCGAGCGGCCTGCGGCACAGATCATGCCCCTCGGAAAAAAGTGTCGTTTCGAAAAGTCTGATGGAAATCCCCCCCCCTGCTACATGCTACTGGTGGTACCACACCCCCTGCTAGAACAGCCGTCAAAAAAAGGATGACGCCAAGACGTTGCATATCTTGACCTCTTCTCTCCTGAACAACCACCTCTCGACAGTCTGCTCATCATCTTTGCTTCTTGCTTCTTCATCTTTCCTTTGTACCTATAGTGTAGTTGCAACCAATCTTGACTCTTCTCTACCCACTCCTGTCAACATGAATGAGGGTATGGAACAGCCGCACGTGACCAGAGGCTTCGTCCTCGCTGGGAAGACCAAAGCAACGTTGGCCAAAGGAGCCAGCCTTCCGTTTCTTGGCAAACCTGGCAATCCAACCCGTAATCATTTCATAGCAATGTGTGGCGAGTTTGCAGGCACATTCCTTTTCCTCTTCTTTGCCTTTACCGGCACCCAAGTGGCAAACTCCCAGACCCAAGGAAGTGTCTCAACCACCATAGCCCAAGGATCAAACCCAGCTCAATTACTCTATATCAGCCTGTGTTTTGGTTTTAGTTTGGGAGTCAACGCATGGGTCTTCTTCAGGATTAGTGGTGGACTCTTCAACCCTGCGGTGACTTTTGGCATGTGTCTGGTTGGAGCAATGCCGTGGGTACGGGGTGGTCTTATCTTCATCTCCCAAATCATAGGTGGAATAACGGCGGCGGGAATTGTCGAGGTCATGTACCCTGGCCAGCTCAATGTGCGAACATCATTAGGGGCGGGGACATCGAAAGCACAGGGCGTCTTCATTGAGATGTTCTTGACCACTATGTTGGTATTCACTATCTTCATGCTTGCTGCCGAGAAGAGCAAGGCCACCTTTGTGGCCCCGGTCGGCATCGGACTCTCCCTCTTCATTGCTGAGCTTGCAGGTAAGTGTACTGATATGCCGGTATGACCTTTCTGATCAAGACAGGCGTCTACTACACCGGTGGCTCGCTCAATCCGGCTCGCTCTTTTGGGCCTGACGTCATTCTGGGTACATTTGAGGACTATCATTGGGTAGATTGACCTCCACTTCCGCGACAACGAATCGAAGTACTAAATTTCGCACAGATCTACTGGGTCGGTCCTCTCCTGGGCGCTCTTCTAGCCTCTGGGTTCTACAAGCTCATGAAAGGGCTTGAATATGAGACTGCCAACCCCGGACAGGACTTTGACGAGAACGAGACCAAGCTTTTTGACCCAGAGAGGGATATCGAGCGTCCTATTGTGAATGTCGTAACTGGTGGCTCTAGTTCTGAGCCATCGAGACCCATCAGTGGCGACACGCTCTCCGGATACAAGCGAGAAGATACCTCTCCGCAACACGACCAACCCCGCGATGTAGCCCAAGGGAATTCAAGGCACCAAGCACAGTCATCCGCGGGCGCCACAAGGAGCCCCCGGAGACTTTCGTCGCCATTGCCACCCATTGACGCAGAGGACGAAAAGTCAATCGCTCCCCCAGATAATCGGGACCACAGCAACACCAACGGGGTTAGTGGCGAGGACATAATCCACGGTGGACCGCACTACAGCCAGACCGCAAACAATCTCGATCCGCGTGTGCGAAGAGAGATTGACGCCGTGGGAACTTATCAAGCAGGACCAGACGTGGAGGCAGGTCAGTCACGCCTGTGATCCTTTGCATTGGGCTCGTAGGGCCGATGAACGGGCAACTCCATCAGATTGGGCAAAAGCGCGCATTTGCACGGCGTTGAGCATAGCGAGGATCATTTCATAGAGGGAGCGAGCACATGATTGCAAGGTGTTTTGGTTTACATAAGGCTCTGCTGTTCATTAATTTGGTCCCTTTGGCGACATTTTCCGAAGGTTCTTGGACACCATACGGAGTATAGTCGCGAGCTTCTTCTTGCTCAGGCATGCATTCTACTACAGTGGAGCCTTTGTAGAGGCCGTATGACGACTACCGTCCGAATCGTGTGTGTTACAGGCTAAGTGCCAGAAAAGGTGGCAGTCGACAGGGTACAGATCCTCAAAGAGGTTTCTTACACTGTTCACCCTTTTCTTTTGTTTGTTTTTTCCAAAGCAAGATAGTCACGGATGACACATTATCAGGACTCGTACCCAAAGTTGACGTGAATCTGACTCCTCGAATCGCCACTTTCCTTGACAACTTGCCTTGATTACAACACTCGAGCCATAGCACTTCAAACAAAACAAATCATCACATCCTTGCAACACTGACTTACACCCTTTCCCGCTCTGTTATGCTGGGAGATCTGGCCGTTTTACAACCCACAGCTCGAGGTCAAGTTCCTTCTTCACTCCACCAAAAATTCGCACTGCTTCCATGATGATGTAGAAGTAATCCGAGTCCACAACAAAACCCCCGACCCTTCCTTCTCACATCCCTGGCCGTTCTCAAGCCACGCTCCGATCCTTGTGACCGTGAACGTCGGTACCGACAACGAGATCGGGACCGTCTCCTCTGCCGGAGTGATCGTCGACACCGGACCAAACCCTCACAGCCTGAGCGAGCAACCGCCGCGACCGTCATGCCGTGTATTGGCGGAATCTGTCAAGAAACCTTCACAGCCAACCAATGAAGGAATCCCCGTAGACATCCATGTCATGATCTACAACTACATCCTCAACACCGAAGCCGACATTTCCCTTCGCTCGGCCTCCGAGATGAGAGCCCAGCTCAGTCCCAGACGCGGTGGGCCCGGTCTGCCGACCCACACGTGGCCTGAAACGGGTATACCGATGTACCACCAACCACACGTGCGAAATCATCAACGGACGGAGTTCACTCCCAGCGACCCGCGCGCCCCGAATCGCGTTGCTCGAAAACACAGCCATCGAGTCCGCATCGCGCGGGATCAACCGGGGAAGCCACAGACATCTTCGGCGCCCACAACCACCACTTCCACCACTACTCCTGCGTGCGAAGCGTTCCCGGAGCCGCGATCGAACCTCCTGACGACTCTGCCCCGGCCGGGTGCCCTTTTCCGATACGCGATTGCACGTCACGAGGAGTCTCGGTCCGGACTACCGCAACAGCCACCACCACCACCGGACGGATGCCGCCGCCGCGAACGACACGGACAGCTGCATGGCGCGTCACATCATCCACATCCGCGAAGCGTGTCCCCCACTCCCGACGTCCTCGCCGTCCATCTTCCCCCGGCCACCGCTGCCACCGCAATTCCATTCACGGGCCGGACGGCTCTGACACATGGCGAACTAGGGAAGCGACCCGATCGGCTCAGCGTCGTCTCCACGTCGCCCTCTAGCGCCGTCGCGGTCTTCGCGCCGGGGGCTGACGGGGGAGGGGTGTGGCGTTTGCGCCGTTGCGATCGGAACCGGGTCACCGTATCAGAATGGCAGTTCGGCGGTGTGGAGGCTCGGCCGGGGGACCGGGTTCGGGTTTTGGAGTTGGACTGGGAGACGGTTTTGGAGGATGAGGGGGGTGAGGATCGGGATACTAGTACTGACCGGGAAGATGCTGCGGAGGGGGGATGTCGGGCTGTTGTGGATCGGAGTGGGTGGTGATGAGACTGTTTCGGGTAGGGATGAGACAGATGGTGCTTCCATCTTCGGCGTGGCAGGGCAAGGTGCGATGGGGAGTCGCAGTCGGAGCGGTACTAGTACAGATCCATGACATATCGACAAGGGATAGCCTCAACGAGCAGACCTTTTCCAACCTCGAACGCTCTTCTTCCAACGACTCTGATCACAAATGACAAACCGACGCCTAAGATCGCCACGGAATCGGTGGCAGGTCCAGCGCCTCAGATGGCCACCCTTTCCGACCGCTTGCCTAGAGCTTAAGTAGACATTGATGGTGCATCACACTAGAGCTTAGACATTGATGGTGCATCACACCAGAGCTTAGACATTGATGGTGCATCACACCATGCCGGCGTCGCGATGGTTCCGGTGCGTTTGCCCAGTCTTTATGGGCTGTTGGCCCAACGGGTCTTCTCCGGCGAGGTACTTACTCGATGACTGGTCCCAAAGGTATATCTTTGGCGGTGATTCTGTTCATTCTGTCAAAACCTCTGGGTTGTTGCCCCCAAAAATGTTTGCCGCAACAACATCCTCACCGTGTGCCAAATCCCACAGACTTGGGGAATCTGGATGATTCGACCGAGTTACCGTTGTGTCCTTTCCCTGCTGACAGTCTATTCGTGTCGTGTGAAAGCCAGGACCCACGGTCTATGCAATATTTTGTGTCATGCCATCGTAATCTAAAGGTAACCATGCCACCGCTTCAGTATTCATATTCCAGCTTCCCCTTCACCGCCCCCCAAAACTCGCGTATCATCTCCTCCTGCCCCTTCCTCCCCTCACTCGCTCTGACCACCAAATAGCGTCTCGAATCAACAGCCGGTTCCAACTCTCCATCATTCCCGCCCACCACTCTCCCACCCGCCTCCTCCACGATCACCCACCCCGCAGCCACATCCCACGCCCAGCATCCTCCTTCCCAGTAAGCGTCCAGGTCTCCTCGTGCCACAGCGCAACAATTCAGCGCCGCGCTTCCCAAACTCCTCAACGAGTGCACCATGGCCCCACCCGTCGACTCGTCCCCGGCCAGACTCGCAAAAGTCTCCGTCTTCGTCTCCCAATTATTCCCGCTCCGCTCATTCCCCCACTCCATCGCCACCAACGCCTGCTTCAGCCCCGTCAACGGCGGCGCCGGCATCTTCATCGGCAGCTTCGTCATCGTGTACGCGCTGACCACCGCCTCCGTGTTCTCGGTCCCGCTTCCGGGCCTGGGCGGATGCGAGGTGGGGACGCTGGGGGCGGTGAGGTAGGCGCCTTTGCCGTGGATGGCGTGGTAGAGGTGCTGGGTGAAGGGGTTGTAGACGATGCCGACGAGGGGTCTGAGCTGGTGGGCGAAGGCTAGGGAGATGGAGATGTAGGGGTGGGCGTGCACGAAGTTGGTGGTTCCGTCTATCGGGTCGACTATGAAGGTTGGGGCCGGGGTGAGGCGGCCGGACGTGGAGGTTTCTTCGCCTAGGAAGCTGCAGAGAGGGATATCAGCCTTCCCATAGGATGCTCGATGATACAACAATGGCAGGACAGTTGTGTTTGGCGCGGGAGGACGGGTATTACCTACGAATAGTCTGGGAATTTGGACTTGAGGGAGCTGGAGACCATGTCTTCCACGGCTTTGTCCGTCTCGGTAACAAGGTCCGAGGCTGCATCATCCAGTGTCAGTGAGATATTCTCAAGTGGAATTGATCCCACGTACAATTCTTCTTCGTGTCTACTGTGCCGGGGTTTGCGGAAGTGATCATATCCCCAGCTTTCAAGGCGATGTCGAAGAGGAAATCATGGATCTCCTGGAGATTGGGCTCGGCCATGGTTTTGAGAGAGGCTCGTTGAGACTGAGTTCCAGAAGGGTTTTGGCTTGCTAGATGAATGAGAGTATGTGTTGTTCGAAACAACTTTTTCGGAGGTTCGCGTTCTGCTCAGCCCTAATCTTATCAGCGGAGCGTCCAAGCTTTCAAGCTAGTCCGGCCATACTGTAGCCTACCGTATCTTTCTGGTATATTACTACCGAGTATCAATGCCAAGACTGGCGTATTCCCATGATGCCTTAAGAGTTCCTCTGATGTTTACATCTCAGCCCCTGAAGTTGCTTCGCAACGGCAACTTAATTTAAGTAAAAGATCATTCTGTGGTTTGATAGAAGTCATACTGCACCGGCTGCTGACGTACACTTGGCTATGGTTGTTGCATTGTCCACTTCAGAAAGCAGATAGGATGATCAAGAGGATGTTCGTTGTGAAATGGTTCATATCTGATGTATATATTGAAAGCATGCATTACCTTACACAGTCATACAAGTAGCGTGGTACAAGGTCCGATATTCTAACTCCATAGGTCCTGGTTTTCCTTGGCACCTCTTAGCTTCAGCTCCTTTGATCCGCATCCTTTCATCTCACCTTGAAAGCGCATAAGGACTAATCTCTAGAAAGTGGATGTCCTTTTGTTTCTTTCTGCAGTCTGACTTGTTTTTGAAGAGTGAAAGCTCGAGCTGAAGTTAAAGCTGCAACTGCATCTTCGCGAGGAGTCTCTGCTGAATATGCCTCGCGACGAACGTGGTTCTCCGCACTTGCGCCCTGAGCCAGAGTAGACGAGATCTTGGCCAGTCACCGGAACTCTGTTCTTTACCAGCTGAATGGTGAAGGACATGATAGCTAAAATGAACAAGGGACGAAAACAGAGGTCATCCCAGCCTATCGGAGCAGCGATGTTGATGCAGAATGCGGCTACCAGCATCTCCTGAGGCAACCAGGCAGTGCCAGGCAGTTCGTATTCATGGTGTCTCTGAGTCAGCTCGAGACCTCGACCTGGCAATAGAGAGCCAGCTTCAGAAACATCCTCAGGCACCGTGTATATTAGAGGCTGCCCTGTTGTTGCAAGAGCGATCGTGAATTTCATTACTGTTTCCTCAAGAATGACCATGGCCGGAGCAAATTCCTCTACTGCGTCCTCAATTCGCATGTCACCGATAGCATCGACTCGGGGAAGGCGTGTTGCTGGTCTTGGAAGTGCCGAAATTGGATATGACGAGGAACGAGCAGAGACAAATCCAAGATCTTGCGTTGGAGGAACAAGTAATTGGAAACCATCAAATTGAACCCTAGAAACCTAGGTAACAGATGCTGTGTAGATTTTGCTTCTCAGACTTTACTTCGCAGATTGACCACTTATCTGCGTGTGAAATTCAAGCCGCCTTCATCGACTGTCCATCTCCCACCGCAAAAGCGATCTGAAGAGATTCAAAGGCCAGTCAAAGGAAGTATAGCTTGAATTCCGTCTTCAATATCAGCAGACGCAATGGCTAAATGTTAGGCAGTCGACGATCACCCGGAAGGTTACCCACAGCTTGCAGCCTTCTTTGACTGTGACTCGAGGAAATTTCTGATGTGTAGGAGTTTCATGCATTCACGCATTAGACATCTCTTGTATTGCCAAGACGAGCTTGCGAAGCTACAAAAGGGTTTGCTTGACCAGGATGACGAAGATTCGAGCATTGACGATGGCCGAAAAGTACTAAAGTCAAGAATAAGATATGAACACCGTAACAACCAACCTCAGCGGAAAGCTCTCATAAAGGAGTTAGGTCCGAAACTGAAAGAGTATGGTAAGCGATGCTAGCTTCTCTGTCTGACATCTGCTCACATAGCGTTGAGACGACCTGGTAGAGAGGACAATAAGATTTGCGTCATTGAGAGCTCCTGACGCGCGAGACCTTCAGTCAATGAAGACCTGGATAAAACAACATCAACCGCTTTCCAAGGAAGAAAGAGCTCATCTCTTAAATGGCACTGACTTCGTAGCTCTGGTCGAAAAGCAAGAGGAAGGTTGGCTCGATAAAATTGTTGAAGCAGCTTTATTGAAGTGGTTTCCCAAAGATGTAGGGTCTGTTCCGTCCTTGCTAGATGCGGTTTTACTAATTGTGCCAGAGTGTTTTTACCTTGCCGCAGCAGCGTCGTATCAGCGACCATCCAGACCTTCTTTTACGCAGCAAGCACCGCATTGATGTACTGATCAGAATAGTGCTCACCATCACCGCCGTCAGCATGCTACTAGGCCCGTCGGCGGTGCTATATATCGTCAGTGGTCATAACGCTCTAAAACTCCTACTGATTGGGGCTTTCACGGTCTTGTTCTCGGCAGCTTTGCACGCATTCTCCAAGGCTCGGCGCCATGAGAATTTCGCAGCCACATCAGCGTGGGTGTTCTTTGTCACTGGCTTTTCTAGTTTTGTGAAGAACTCGAGCATTCAAATGTAGGTTTGAAGCAGCTGACGTGTCGCGATCCTTTAGGTACTGTGCAGTCCTTGTAACCTTCCTGGCCAATTTTGCCGCGTAAGCAGCGACTGCATGATGCTGTCCCCATGAGCTTCTCGAGCAAGGAGTGCCAAAGGAAAAGACCGTAGGGAGCCCGTGGGCGGCAATAGCAGTACTGAAAACTTTTGATGGAGACTTGATCCACAAAAGCTTTCTGATAAAGTATAGTCAGGTAATCTGAGATCGAAGAGTAATGTCGAAAACAAGTCAATAAGCAGTTCTAGGCATTCTCGAATTCCAGAAAAGGGGCTCATGACTGGCAGTCCTAGATCCACGAACATTACTCCATCACTGCTTGTCATCCGTGGCTGTTGAAACGCTCGATTCCGTATGAAATCGTATCATGAAGGGAGTCCAATACTGAACCGTTTCTGTGATTAACAAGAAGCAGTGTCGGGTAAGTCAGGCGTGATGCGGGGAGTATCTTGTGTTACACGGATAAGGTGGTTGATTCTTTCATATTGAGAATCAGGGTCCTTGTTCTCAAATACTTCCAGACACTTCTTTCTTGCTGCAACGGCTTTGTTGCATCGAAATATCTGGACTGGTATTGCATACCGGCCTGAGATGGGCTGGTATTGAGACGAACGTGTAAAAGTAGCTCGCTACCTGTGCTTCAAGAACGCCCACTACACCATCCTCCGCAACACGATCCAGCCCCTATTGCGCCACTACAACATGTCGGCAGTCACTCATATTTCACAGTTCTACTGCGAAGAAAAGTAAGGGATTTGCCCGTGCAAACGTGAAGTTGCCTGTCGTGTCACAGCTAACAAAAGGCCAATCCATGCAGGTTGAGGGTCATCTATCACGCAAGGCCTTAGGTCATCTTTACTGAGAAGGAGGGCGACGGCAAAGAGAAGCTGTTTATTGAAGAGGTGTTGAAGGACGGGAAGTACTGGCGCTACAAGCTGCGAAGGGGTGATACAACGGGGGGTGGGTGTGCTGGAAAACTCCTTCGCCGAGAAGGATCTGAGCGAAACGGCGTGGGTGATGAGGGGTACGTACAGGTAATCCACCGTGAAGATTTCGGATCTGACCTATACGTTAGAGGGATTTGATAGGGAGCAAGCCAGAGAATTTGGACATGCGGGGGGTTCCTGGACAGCTGAAAAAGACGGATCAATATGAGGAAAATCCCGAACTAGTCCGACGATCGACTACCAAAAAGCCCATGCAATACCTCAATTCCATTCTAATTCCCTTCTTGAAGAGCTATGAACAGAGGAAAGTAATGCCCTCATCCCCATCCTAGACGTCTATTCCATTCTTGAAGAGCTACGGATGGTAGGATAAGGAAGGGATCAATCCGTTCTTAGACGCCCGTTTCCTTCTCGAAGAGCTACGGATGGTAAGACAAGGCAGGGATCAATCCGTTCTTAGACGCCTGTTTTTCTACTTGAAGAGCTCAAGGGAAGGGCCAAAGGGATCAATCCGTTCTTAGACGCCTGTTTTTCTACTTGAAGAGCCACAAAGGGTAGAACCAAACGGGCCTCTATCCCTTCTTCAACGTCTATTCTATTCCTGAAGAGCTTCAAATGGTAGAAAACAACGGGCCTCTATCCCTTCTTCGACGTCTATTCTATTCCTGAAGAGCTACAAATAATAAACAATAACGGGCCCCCATCCCTTCTTCAACGTCTATTCCATCCTCAAATAGCTACGGATGCTAGAACACTCAGGGCCCAATCCCCTTGTCAGACGCCCAAACACACCATTTAATCCCTGTTTTGCATGTCATCATATGCTCCAAAACCCCATCGATGTTGGAGCACAAAGGGAAGAAGGCCATCGGGTTCGACCATATCTGCTTTGAAGCGGTCAAAATGAGAGTGGCATTCAGGCTGTAGGCCCATGTGTCTCGCCTTTTTCGTTCGCAGTTTTGCTTTCGGAGAAGGTGGTGGTGCCGCCGGAGCGGGTCAGATGTTCGGAATAATGTCCGTTTGTGAGAGCGGGGAGCTGACATCGCGGATTCATCCCGACATTTTGTTACACAGGGGGGGTATACAAAATTAAAAGAGTAACACTTTTCAGGCAAGTAAGCCCAATCGATCAGTAAAATTAATTCGAACATCCTCATCTTGATGAACTATTCAGGCACTTGACTTATATAATTTATTGTATGTTGTCATAATATCTATCTACCAAATGCAAGCGAGGTTGAAACAAAGGGCTAAGCGCTCGCTAATGCACAATGCTTGAGACTCATTGGCCATCTCCAATGTGTATCCTCGTAACTTCATCCTCAAGGTTCCCACTTCCACCGTCTCCTTGACCCTCCATGGTCCGCCTCCTAGACTTGCCAGGACTCAAGCGCTCTTCAACTGACTTGCCTAGCCCAACAGAGGATGTCCCTCCAGACGGAGCCTTCGTTGCCGATTTTGCCTTTGCATTTTCATCAACTGGAAGCGGTGACCTTGTCAAAAACTCCGCGATCTCAGCCTCTGAAGTACCCTTCGTCGACTCAGCGTTCGAAAAGGAAGAGCCGTGGCCCGTACTGCCCGGTTGGTCGAGATCATCATCATCGTCGGTAACGTCAAACATTGAGTCATCCCACTGCGCGGAGTCCTGCCTGGAAATGTTGGGGCGGTTAATGCTGCTACTCATACTGTGGTCTTCCATATTTGTAAGCTCAGAGATGCTGTCTTTAGCTTCATACCGTTCGCTGTCACTGCGCTTCATTTCCCTGGGCGCGTCAGCACGCACTTCCTCGCCATGCTCGCCTACAGCTTCTGTTGGTGGTTTGGCGCGTTCTTTGTTCGGCTCATCCACATCTGCCGTTGTAGCAGCATAGGTGTCAGCGAAGTGAGTGTCAACAAGATGCTTGATTACCGGCCAGCCATAGGCGTTTGCGAACATGCGTCGGACTACCATATTATTATGTGCATCGGGCTCGAGACGGACGAGTACTTTGCGCCATGATAGGCCATGATGGTAGGCTCGTGCGATCTTTTCTTCCACTTTCATGCTGCTCATGTCCGGAGTCTCTTTGAATTGGCCATCATAGTCTGTGTTGACGCGAGAAGGGCCGTTCCGAGACTCGCTCGAAAAAGTTCTCTTTAAACCTTCTCGCTTTCTTTTGGTAGGCGGAGGTGGTATGTCTTCAGGATGGTAGACACGATCATGGAAAATAGTGCGCGGTCGACCTTGGGGATTGATCAAGAACTCCCTTGTCGGCAAAGGGGGATTCAAGACGTCACCCGCAGCCTCGAAGATAGTAGTTTTTGGAGGAGCAAAATCATTGTTGGGATTTTCGATGATCGAATCGCCTCTGACAGTCCCTGGGCGACCCAAAGATACCCCGGCTGCGGACGAGCCCTCTGAGGACATGCTTGCCACATCATCCGCGGTACGATTGGTAGTCTGGCTTCTCTTGTAGATCTTGGTATTTTTGGGAGAGTGATGATGGCTCTTGGGCTGGCTCTTGGGCTGACTGGGGCGAAGAAAAGAGAGCAAACCAGCCAGAGGATGTGCTGGCTGATGGGACGTTGGCTCCTCAGCTTTTGTAGCATCATAGTCCTCGTCTTCGAATGGTTTACCTTGAGGGTCAGGATGTTTTTTGCTCGCTCGGCTTTCGTTTCCTTCTGCCGTCGTGTCATCCCGGACTGCATTTTCCTCCGGCTGAGGTACTGCAGCCTTTCTTCCTTGACTGGCGCCCTCGTCACCACTTATGTCTGACTGCGACCAAGCATCATTGCCGTTGTCGGCGCGGAGATGTTTGTTTGAGCTTTTATTGGCACCCGTAATCTCTGACCAACCCCAACCTGCCATAGTACCAATTAGACCATTATCCCTTCTGGCCTTCTCCACTCGATCTAGACCACTCCAATCAAGGAATAGAAGACACGAAGTCCGTAGAGGCACGATGCCATCGTTAACAACATTCGAGTAGACTGTCCTATTCCTGAACAGCTTCAAGACCTGGTGTGTGTGACCTGTCGGTAAGATACGTAGTAGGGGTTTCGATCCGGGATCTGGCTGTCTGTGTGCTCGTTGGCCCTCCGAGCCGATGCCGCCAATCATGGCACCCCATCCACTCCGCATCATGGTCGGGGCCCTCCATGTCAGGCCGAGATCTTGTCCGGTCCTCCCAACAAGTCCGAAGTCAAGGGCAAACCTGACATATAGCGGGTTTTCATTGCTCAGCCCAAGAAACGGCGCAGCCATGGCGACGAAGTTGATTGGCTTAATCTCATTGAAAAAGTTGGGAGAATGCTTATGAATGTAGGCAATAGCGTACGTCTGGGTCAGGCCACCCAGAGAATGTGAGATGAAGCTAATGCTCGTAATCTTGTACGCTAAGTCATTAGGCTTTTTCGCTGGACGATGAATGCTGCTGTGGTTATGTTGAGCTGGGCTTTGTTGAGTGTCTGATTTCTGGTCGCCAGTGAAGACCCTGGAAAGCTTCCTTGGAAGAGACTTCTTTACAGGTAGGTACGGTTGATCCGGAAATGTCATGTTGAGCACCCATTTTGCGAGCCGCTTGCCTAGATACTGTATACCTCGCTCCGTACGAGTGGCATTGCGATCGAAACCTCTGACGATGACTTCTTCTTCATCTTCCTCGTCAACATTGGCTCCCGGGTCAAGATCATCCTGACCGCCAGACAAAGGAGCAGTAGACGAGTCTGGCTGATCCTTCTTGGAACTGGCGCTCTCGTCCTTTGATTGAGCTGCACCATCGGACGAACTTGATGTGTGCTTGGACTTTTCGTGCGCCCTTCTCTCCCTAGCACTCTGGCGAGCCTCCTTTGCTGCTGCGTCAATGCTCTCCTTCAAATAAAGCATATCAGCTCCGAGGTTGCTGTGCAGGCCGTGAGTGAGAACGACCAAGTGAACTCGTCTCCGCTTCTTGGCTTTTGGCTCTTTCTTCTTGTTTTCATCACTGGTTCCCGCTTCACCCGCTACGTTCCTCGAGGAGAAGTCATTCCCCTCTCCAGGATCAGGGTAGCTGCGCCTTTTGCCCCTGTCCTTCCCTTCATCATCCCACTCCGGCAGAGCTGGTTTATTCCACAAACTCTCCGTATCTTCGACTACCAGAGTCACTGCATGTGAAAACACTCCTTTGGGCTGCGCTGCGCTGTGGCCGGTTTTGCTCCTCTTACTTTGCTGATGATCCTGTAATTGGCCAGGTGTGGCTACCGCTTGACCCGTTAAAGATGAAAACCCAAGCTCTACTGACTTCTCGTCCCTGCCCACGAGAAGCTCGAAATTGACCGAAGCTGATGTAGAAAATATAACCTGTGACGAGATCTCAATTATCCACGTAAAGCTCGGAGTAGAACCATCGGTCCCTCTTTTCACATTTGCTTTTCCAGCCGTCTCCCGTATGTTCTCCGGCACAGTCAAACGACTCGTCCAGCTGCCCCCAGCCTTAAGATTGGGCTCAAATTCTGGACAGCTTTCTTGAGATGGTTTCTCGTACTTGTAATTCGGATCGAATGTTGCAGGGTAGCAGGCGGTGTATAAGGTATATGGACCGTGGAGGTACGCGGCTCGGAGAGGTATTGCTGATGAATTCTTGATCTTGACATGCAAGTATGTAGGTGATGGCAGTATTCGGTCAAGCGAGGGCGTGTATGTGAGTGTATAGCTGGTGCACGTCAGAATCTGAGTCCGCCTTTAAGAGCAGACCAAACCAACCGTACTACCTCTCCAACCCGCACAGATCCGACTTGATGCACGAGCAGCATCTTCTGGCGCTGTGCGACTGTCTCCGGAGATACGCGCCAGCCGATTGCTGGCAGAGGTCCGAGGCTGCCAGGATTAGATCCCTCTTGTATGTTTTGAAGCTGCCCGTAAGTACGTGGAGTGATAAGCATTCAAGCGGAAACTGTTGCATTGTTGTGGACCCTTTTCCGATGTCAGCCCCGGCAGAGGATGGATAAAGCGGTTGTGCGGCGAGGTTGCCTTCTCCAAAAAAGTGATTTCATGGGACGGTGTTGTTTCTCGCTCTTGAAAGTCCCACTGCCTTGAGCCTTTGTCGGCTCACATGAGATTATGGCTGTATGAGCTGCGGCGCGTGACCGCTTTACCTGGTCTTTAGATGATTGGATGAGGCAGTTGCAGCGCCACTCCTTGGCGGCTTTTAACATGTGATATCAATCTTGATTGTCTTTTCTAAACTATTCTCGAATATATCATCCGCTTCCTGATTCATACTCTCAAATCGACAATGATGTCGATGACATCCATGCCAGTGTTCTTTCTCACCTCCACCCATCCGCCTTCACCCACTCGGACGATTCTCCCATCTACGCACACTCTTCGCCAGCGACCATCTGATTCATCGAAGTCGATCCTAATTCTCTCAATGCTCTCGTAGCCGACCGTTTCATTATCAATATGGGCTCCGCCTTGGAATGCTAGTCCCAAAATTTTCATCACTTCTTCGCTAGGAATAGCGCCAAAATGCACTAAGCGTAGCTGGTTATCCAGAGGCTTCGAATGAGGAGAGATGGTAAGTTTCTCTTCCAGGTTAGAGACCAGTGTGGCTAGTATGTACCCATGTTCCTGCGCATCCAGCATCTGCTGAAATTCATGGCCATTGTCGTCGAGCTTGACCAGTGTGATTTGACCCTTGTAAACATGCGGTGCAGAGCCATCAGACGGTGAAAGCAGTTCTTTTGCAGCCATCTGAAAACGTTGACTACCAAATTTGCGGTACTCCGCCGTATCACTGTCGGCCACTAGAGAAGCATGGAGAGCCCAGCTGCAGACCACAGCTCCGTACATTTCTCCGGCATCAGCAGCAGGTGGCGCTACAGGCTCGGTCTGTCTGCCTTCATCGAACAAAATTTCCGAATTTGGGGAGAACGTTGCAGTCAACGTTGGTAACGGGTGGGCTTGTCCACGATAGAAGTGACGAAGACCTCGCGTCAGATCGCGATTCAGGCCTGTAGAGTTAGCCAAAGCATTGCCAGTGCCCATGGTAACAAGGCCGATTGCTGGCTTGACGTATTGTCCGCTTCTCGTCGAAGAGAGCAACACATTGATGGTGTCGACCACACCGCCGTCGCCTGATAAAAGCAGGACTGTTTGAGACACGCCTTCATTCGCTCGAGGCAGTATCACCGCGCTGATAAGCCTCTCGATGCTCTTGTTAGAGTTCGTAGTATGAACGTAGTAGGAGAAGGGTTGAACGCCACTAGCAGTAAATGCTGGCTTGACAACATTATCAAAGAATCCTTGTGCTTCACCTGTACCAGAACCGATGGATATTACGACATATAGACTTGGAACAGAGCCGCTGCCTTTGGATGCACTTCTGGAAGGCACTAGTTGCCCAAAATGAGGCGAGATTACGTTGGCGTCTATGAATGACTGCGGCAAATTCGTGACTTGGACATCCTCGAACCTGTAGTGCGCTCCTGGGAGTTGGGAGAGGAGCAGAATTTGTTGAGTTTTGGTACCAGATTCTCCATCCTTTCTCCCATCGACGACAGCGATAACGCTGCCGTCGAGAATGGTCTCGTGCCCGGAGTCGCCTTCAATGATAAGGATACCCTCCACGGCGTCATAGGTTAAGCTGGCATCCTTCCCTCGAACGGTCCCTTCATTCTGGCAGTCTTCTTTGGGTGGCGCTGACATTGTCGTCTCCCACGTTGTAGCAACGACAGTGAGCAGAGCCACAAAAGCGGGGACCTAATGAAAGATCCATGGTTGCTGTGTTACCTGAGTGTGGTGCGGAGCCGCATGATGGTGGGTGCGTCGAAGTTTTGATACCTGCTCGGCCTGCAGCCGACGTGCACTTAGAGTACAACTTTAGCCGGGTGAACCCCTGTCTCCTCCGCATTGCCAGCCAAGCTTCCGCAACGTCTGTCTCAGTTGCTTCTCAACCATCAACCACAGACAATATTGTTGTCACTCGCTGCCTGTGGTCACACCAAAGCAGTCACTGACTATGTACTTTCGTATCTCATAATATTGACGTCCCGAACGCAAAGTCGCGAAGATGTCGGGCTGGGGCTGTACGTACATCTACTTTATTACTCCACGCGGATGCGAATCCACGTGATCCCAGTACCTAGCTCCAAGATTTGAATCGCAAACATGTTTTGATCATGCTCCTTAGCTCTTTTTCATAACTCAGTCTCTTTTCTTGAAGAAAGAATGATGGCTCTAACATCTACGCAGGGTTCATCCTCGTCCTCATCCTCCTCATCCCCATCACCGCGCTCGGATGGATCGGATATTCACGCCTGAAGGCCCAGCGTGCGGGACGCGATCCTCCTCCATTGTCCTCGTACATCCCTTGGAAGCGAAATCGACATGCGGATGCCTATCCTGCGCCATCTGGCATTGTTGCCTGGGTGAAGTCAAAGATCCAAGGCTCAGGGTCAAGAAGCGGAGCATATGAACAGCCGCTTGGACCTGGCGCGAGGAGGGGACTGGATCCAGATGAGGCTTGGGATGCCAGGGTAGGGGCTGAGGCGGATGGGTATGGGGCTGGTGGCTACTACGAAGAGCAGGAGCTGGGGTTGCGACCGCCGGCGAGTGGAGCGTATGCTGGTGGAGGATACGGAGGCGGGAGTCAGGCACTGCCAGATTATGGCGAAGAAAGAGGCCGCAGTATCAGTCGCGCTGGAGTTCCACATATTGGGGGAGGTCAGAAGGGTCTGGATGAGAGATATGATGAGGAGATGGGGCACGAGGATCCATTCGGAGATGAGGCGGAGAGAAGCGAGCTGAGGGGTGTGAGCCCGAGACCACATGAGGAGGGCAAAGGTCATGCGAAACAGGGGAGTGGAGGCGGGCCACAGGACGACAGTCCGACGGAGAGGAGGAGTATGTTCCATGAGAACGTGTAGGGTCCAGCAAGTCATCTGATCCTGCCTCAAAACTGTACAATACTTGCGATGTTGGAAAAAAGGTGAACGCGAGCACCGCTACCTTGATCTGTCGTCTCGATTATATTCTGCTGGCGAGGTAACCATATTGCAAAACAATGAACATGACGTTTTATTGTGGTGAATGACTTGAACGCTGCCGTGTCTTGCCCTCTCAACCAATACATCCGCGCCGAAAATCTTTATCTGCGCAACTTAGCCCTCGGAAATCATATTTCCTAATATAGTACAGGGCTACGGTCAATGAACCTCGCTGTTTCGTAAGGCTACGAGCCAGTCCAACAGATCACTTCGTCCTTCAACATGGGAATACCAGGTCTAATTAAGCACTTTCAACCTTATGCAATCTCGACGGTCGTAGGCTGCCAAACGCCAAACTGTGAAAGGCACCAAGCTCAAGACGCACGTCAAACCAACCAAATCATCGTCGATGGACCATCCTTTGCCTACTGCATATTCAACAGACTCTTTATACACTGGTCAGTCTCTCTCGACACCATGGAGATGATGCCGTCATACGATGAGGTTGGCAAAGGAGCATTGGCATTCCTCGAACAATTGGAAAGCTATGGATTGGTGATGTGGGTACTATCGATGCGTGACTCAAGCTCTTGGCTGATTTGACTGCGCATTACTCAGTGAAAAGATCTATTTCGACGGCTACCTACCAACGCGCAAGAGGGACATCCGCATTCAACGACTAAGCGATTCTCTCAAGCTTTTGAAGAAGTACATTGTGAGGAACAGCAATGGATCCAATAATGTACAAGGGTCTTGCGACCATGGCCCAGCGACACCAAGCCACGTCTTCGAAGCAGGACCTCCAACGCCAACTACTTTCCATGGCATGTTAGCTCCTCCTTTTCTTGTCCCAGCTGTCATTGATGCCGTATCTTGCAGTAAATATGCAGCTGTATCTGTTGTTGTACCTGGCGAGGCAGATATTTACTGTGCCAAAGCGGCTCGGGATGGCGGCATTATTCTCACCAACGATTCGGATCTGTTCGTTCATGATCTGGGCTCGCACGGTGCATTTTCATTAATCCACCAGGTTGAGCTCCGTCCAGGAGGAGAAGAAGAGAATGGTGAGCAAATTGCCTGCAAAACCGTCAGACTTTCGATTTTCCGTCCCAAAGACATTGCCGAACATCTAGGCCTCGTCGACTTACAGCGACTTGCCTATGTATTTTCAAGAACGAAAGGAAAACTCACTCTGCCGGAAGCGGTGATCCGCGCAAAAGAGCACCGAGATATTGGATATGTTTCATTCCAAGAGTTCCTCGAGGAATTTGCCACCAATACTTCAATCACTGAATCGCAGACATTCTCTCCGGACTCTTTGGCCAATTACATCACTCATGCACCACCTCTAGATCCTCGGGTGTCAGAGCTCGTACTACAGTTCACAGCGACAAGTCAGGATAACGTCTACATGTACTTGCCATGCCTCATTGACGACCCTTCGAGATCCTCAGCATGGCTAGTCTGCACAAAAGAGCGCTCCTTCGCGTACTCAATTCCCAATCACCTTCGCGACAGGCCGCAGGAACGGCCGCGACCAACCATAGCAGAGTATCACCGAAGAGGAGACAGAATCATCGCTCAGCAGATCTGCATTCCCTCGCCCGACGACTTCCGCGTCCAGTCCACCGAACTCCTGGCCAAAGTCCAAGCCTTCGCCGAGACATTCGCCGACTACCCCGAACATGTGATTTGGAGAGTATATGCACTAGCAGACGTCTACCGCTGGTATCTAGATAACAGCAAGCCCCCTCCATCAAGGGAGATGATGACACGGCTCATGACGGGCCTGTCGAAACCTAATTCGACATTGGAGGACATCCATCTGTCAGCCCAGGTACAAGCTGTGCTTTACACTCTACGTATGGCCAAGCAGATACTGGTATACACCATATCTACAACAAAGACTGGTCCATCAGAACCCCTGAAGGAACTCGCATCGATCCTCAGTACGCTTCCGCCCATAGCTCAACTGATACCTTCAGGGTTCGAACTGGCTGCTCAAATGTCGACCCTAAAAATTAAAAGTTGTGGTGTCGATCACCTCCTCGATCTGCTGGCTGTGATGTTGCAGAAGGAGGCAGATGCTGAGGAGGTCGTCAATCACAGCGACGAGGACGCATGAGGTGTACTTGCCATTTTAAATCTGATAGCTAGCACAGGAAGATTACATGGTTGGCTAGATGAGATCACGACTTATGCTGAACAAGATCGTTTGTATATAACAACTATCCAATTGATACCCATAAAAAAGGCAAACTGTTACCTCACGATCCCATGTTCACTTTATCCCTACGGGTCTGATAACATGATATAGAAAGCTTCGGGAAGCAGAATCCGTATGCGTCTGGTACGGAGAGCGATGAGCTACATATTTTGCATAGCAAATTGGTGGCTGATCTCAAGCTCGGACCTTTCCCAATAGTTCTGATCCATTCGCGCTTTGACAATTGTGGATATTGCCCCAATAGATACGCAAGGAAAATGCGATGATTCCCACAATCGTTTAGCGGAGTCTGAAAAGGAGCCCTGAGAAACGATGGACGTCAAGGACAGAGAAGCGACCTACTCTGTTCATTCAAGCTATTTGTTGTAGCAAAAGGCCCAAATTCTATGTGGTATCTAGGGTATCCAGCCTTACATTTTTACTTGACCGATGGTTCAAACACTTCTCAACAGATGCAACTGAACAAATGATATCATCAAGTTCTCCCACTCCTCATAAAACCCACCACACCCCCACAGAATCCCACCAAATCCCCCAGCCTCTTCCCCTCCTGCCCCTGCCACTCTCTCCACTCCACCAGCGCTTGCCTTAGGCCTGCATTTCCAGGCACAGCATCTCCATGTATGCGTAGGAAGACGGCCATCCATGCCTGCACAAGTTCGTAGTCTCGCTTGCTACGTAGTTGGTACGTGAGAGCCGAGACGAAAGGCACGAGCTCCTCTGGGTTGAGAGAACGGATCTCGATGTCTGCGGTTGATGGCGAAAGGGTTTTGAGGTGCGCGATGAAGGGGGTGTAGTCGCTATTTTGCCTAGTAGCTTGGAGTGCAGTGGTAAATTGGCTTGCAGTAGCAGCGCGGTCCATCTTCGTGATGCGAGAGCGCTCGGCAAGAGTGTTCTGGTTTTGCTCTTCTGCTTTGCGTGGCTCAGCTAACTTCGCGCTGTCGAGGGAAGGAAGGAAGAAAGGGGCCTTTTCGGGGGCTTTCGGGGGTTCCTTAGGTTTGTTGCGTTGACGAATGGTGTCGAGATGGAGGAGATTTTGCCAGCGGCTTTTGGGAACAAGACTTAGTGTGAGCATGTCAAGGCTGAGCTGGTCGGTAGGCGCTAGATCGTTATCGTCCAATTCTTGCACTTCTTCGTCCGCCTCTTCATCAAAAGCAGCATCTATATATCCTTGACCGTTCTCCCCAGATTGGGTAGCTGTAATCGCTGGGCTGATTTCGTCTTCCTTGAGTAGTCTTGTGGGGACGTGGGTGAAGAGCGTACGGTTATTCCAGATGTTGATCCCGACGCTATCCGCGTGAGCAGTAGCTAAGAACTCCCCAGTGTCCGAAAACGCCAATGCTGTACACGTGCTTTCAACTCGGACCGCGTTGATGAGATGACCGGTAGGTAAATCCCATACCCGAATGACTGAATCCATCGAGGCCGCGATTATCCATCGACCATCGTTTGAGAAGCAGAAGTCGCTGATTTGCCCTAGACAGCCCCAAAGTTCTCTGACAAGCTTCTTAGTCTCTGTATCAACCACTCGGATGGATAAGTCGTCGCAGCTTAAGGCCACGAGATCGCTTGGCCTGTGGTATTGAGATGCTATGATACACGTCATGGGGAACCAGTCAATCTCGTCCTGCAGCAAACCTGTCTGAAAGTCCCAAAACTTGATCTTTCCGTCCAAGCCACAGCTGATAAGTGTCTTGTTGAGGCCGTCGACCATGAGGCCAGTCACAGCTCTCTTATGTCTCCCCTCGCCCAATGCATACTTTCGCTTTTCATCCAAGCCAACGGCACCATGGCTCATCTTTAGCCTTCTCGCTTGTCCTGGAGTCAGGGATGATGGGAACTTCTGGCGTTGGATACCAGACTGCAAGTTGAACGAAGATACGCTTCCGCCAGCGGAGCCCACGAGCGCGAAGGTTCCACATGAAGTGATAGCAACGCTGGTTACCCCCGTCCCATCACCAGTCTCGAAGGCCCATCTTCCTGCTTTTTTCCTGCCCCAAAACCAAGTCCTTGCATACTTGTCCCCACGATGACCGGTTACAACGCTTTCCCAACCAGTAGCATTACTCTCTGACGCATCAGCAGGACCCTTCTTTGAGGTTGTATTCGTCCATACAGCACCGCCACCACTAGAAGCACCCATTCCTCCGTCGCGGTTCAATGAGCAAGCCATAGCTATGATCTCAGGTGCTTTCAAATCTTCCAGAGTTGTAGATTTCTCATTCTCTAGACTCTTGCCCAAAAGACCAAGTCTTTTTGCTTTCTTCCGAACGTTTCCCTGGCTGAGCTCAGTGCTTTGCCCATCTCTTCTAAGACTCCATCCCCAGAGACTTTGATCTCTTCCAGCGCTCATGAGCCATTTGCCTCCAGTATCTGCACCATCAGAGTTCGATGGCACAAAAGTGAGCCGTGTGACTGGCGCGGCATGACCACAGCGCGAATGCAAGATGCGAGGTGTTGGTGATAACGAGTTAGCGTCAAATATCCAGGATTTCAGTGCGTTGTCCAGTCCACTTGTGAGCATTACGTCTTGACCAAGCAAAAACTCAACTCGGTTGATCCCAATTAAATCGCGGCCATGAGCCGAAAAGGGTGGATTGTGGGCTCCTCGCAGAACCCCAGTGATACGTCCTCCATCATTGAGATCCCAGAAGGTCACATCTCCACTACCTGTGCCTGCCGTAGCCATGATACCGGATTTGCTACCATCTTGTCCCGCGCCGAGTCCATCAGTTCGAAATGATATTGAGCTAATCGTAGAAGGATGGGATGCTTTGGTATTGAGACTCAAGACTGCCTTATCAACACGGATGTCATGGAGAACGATAGATCCGTCCGCGCGGGCGATTGCTAGGAGAGAGAGCGCTGGGGTAGGCTCCAGGGCAGTGACTGCTCCAGACGAAATACTCGGTGGAAGTGCCGTATAGATGAGCTTGCCAGTGCTCAGATTCCAAATGTCAAGGCTTCCATCTAGCTTGCCTACAAAGACCTTATTCAAATAAGTTGGCATGTTGCATATTCCTCCAGAAAGTATGCCTCCTTGACCGGCCTTTCTTGATATTGTAGGAGTGAGCGTTGTGTAGTGCTCATAGGTCGCAGACTTCCATACTTCGATTCGCGTCGAGCAGGATCCCACTATCCAAGAACCGAAGATTATAAGCCGATTGATGGACTCAGAAAGCCCCAGTGGTCTCTCCAATTCTCCAACCTTCTTTCCCCGTTTGAATACCCATACTCCAACATCGCTACTTGCTGCTTCTCCACCCCAGGCGGCGAATACACGATCTTTCCAGGCGACTGTAGCCGTGATATCACTTGGCGTTTGAGGTCTGGTCAGAAAGATTAGATTCAAGCCCTTCAAAAGGTCGTAGGTGTGTAGGCATCGTCCAACGGAGGTAGTGACTTGGAAGGTGGTTTTGCCGAGTGGGAGAGAAGTAAAGGGAACCGCAGTCGGCGAGACAAGGCCTATCGTCTTTTGAGGTGCATTAGCTATTGCTGCATGATTTTCGTTGATTAGAAAGGAATCCTTGCCCTGAATGGAGCGAAGATCTTTGGGGCTCGATTGGCGCTGTGTGTGGTGCCATTTGAGAGTTTTCGACGCTTCGCAACATTATCCTCACCATGGCCATTCTCAAGACCTCGGGACATGCTGCGATTTCACTTTGTATTGGGCATGATTGATATTCTAGCGACAAGGATGGTTTGTCAGCCCTGCTGGTGGAGAAGGAAGAAAAGAACGAAATATATATTAAGCGATCTCATGCACGTTGAGTTTGGTGAGGAAACTTTATCTATACGGCAACCCATTCTACGGCGGACGAAGTCAATTTTTTTATTAAAAAAAATCGATTCTACGATTATCATAATCTCTAAATAATAAAAGAAGTTTTATTAGATAAGTAGATTTTTATTCTAAATACTATATTATAAAATCGAAAAAAAGTAATTAGTTTTCTAATAATAATTCGTCGAGATCGTTAAGCTTTATTTTATAATAGAATTATAAAATTTCTAATCTTAAATATTAACTCTATTAATTATTATATTATTATTATAAACTATTATAAATAATAGATATAAATTTTTAATAGAGTTTTCTTAACTACTTAAATATTATATTTAAAATTAATTTATATTAAAGATAATTATCTCTTTTAAATTAAGATAATCTTATTTTTAATTTATAAAATGTTAGTAACTCAGCTAAAAAAGCTTGATTTCGAGAGTGTCTACGCTTAATAGTTAGATATCCCTCTATTTAAATCTAAATAGAATCTTATAGAACCCCTAGAGACGTCGTAGAGTCCTCGTAAAGGTTACTTCTAATATAAAAAGAGATTTAATATCTTATATAGTATTTAATAATATATAATTAATTTTTACTAATTATAAAATCTTTTAATATACTTAGATTAAATTAAAATATTATTATTATTATTATTATTATTATTATTATTATTATTATTATTATTATTATTATTATTATTATTATTATTATTATTATTATTATTATTAAATACTTATATATAAATATTTATAAATATTTTAAATAATTAAAGACTATTTATTATTTATTATTCTATTATTTAAAGAGCTTAGCTATTAAAAGAATTTAACTACTTCTTTTAATAAGATTTACTTACTCTCTAAAAGAATTTAATTAAAAAATTACTTTTTTTTATTTTATCTTTAAATTAATATCTATCTCTTATTATTACTTATCTTTAACTTTTTTTTTCTTAAAAATAGAAATCGTTATTTAAGCGTATATACTTTCTAATCTTTTTCTATATATTAATAATTTAAATAGAAATTTCTTTCTATTATTTAATATTTTATTAATATCTAATATTTTATTTTTAAACTTTAATTTAAATTTATATAAAAGAAATAAATTTTATATTTCTTTATAAAGAGAAGTAAATAAATTTCTATCTTTTTTAAATAAATATTAATACTAAAGTCTTCTAGTTAAAGTAATATTTAAGTTTTTTACTTTTTAAAGTTATTATAAATAAAAAGATAGTAATTTATTAGATTCGCTATTAGATTAAATAAGAATTATCTAAAAATTAAAATAATAATATCTTTTAAATTATAAATTAAGAAATACTTATATTATTAAATTTTAGAATTATCTTCTAAGAATTATATATACTTAATAGTTTCTATTTAATAAAGAATAGAATATTTAAGATTTATAAAAACAAAATCGCGGAATTAGTATAATATAATGTTTCTATAACTATAGAGAGTATAGAATAAGCGCTTTTAACGGGATGCTTGTAAGAGATAGCCATAAATAACATTTTGAACTGGAATAGTGCCCGTGAACCTAGGCCTAAAAACGACAATTTCTGTTGCCATATCTGGCGCCTTTTTCACTCCATCAAAATCTCTACTCCTTGCCGCTCTGGGTTCGATGCCATAATTCATCTTCAGCACGGCCATACTCTTCGGACCAAGGTGATTGGTTCTATTCGTATTCAAGCGGTCTTAGGGTCCTGCAGGAACGAAGCATCCAGAACAACTCGTCCTCATTGATATCACATCGGTCAAGCTCAAGATCAGCCGAGAGGAAGGGAGGCACTTGACCGTAGACTCTACTGACCTATCGAGCAAGACTGTAAACTCGGAGGCAACGAGGCGCTTGACAGCAGTGGACTCCACGTTGCTGCCTCGTGCGTGCAGGTCGTGTCACTACTAAAACGAGAACCAAGATTGAAGTCCTACATCCGAATATCTTGTGTGCATACCCTTGCTGTTGGCCACGGTGGTGCCGTACTAGGCATCTCCAGATAGTCGACTTGGCGTCGACTAGAATAGGAAAGTGCAGAACCATCTCAAAAGCGACGCAAACCTTAGTCTGTCTCGGAACATCACCGACCCGCGTTGGCGCGAAGCATAATACCTTTCATAAGTTTCATCACACAGCAAATTTGGATGTCTCTCCCCATGACACCAAGGACATCAACCTGTCTCAGACCATAACCCATTCGAATCCTCTGCTTGAGAAATCTGCTCAAGGATTCTGCATCCTCCGTTGGCCGATCTAGCGGATGATACACTTCGTCCATGGTCAATATTTGCCGTCCAAGGAGACCTTGGTGAGGGGTTAGAGGATACTTTCTCACTTGGCGGGTCTACTCCTATCGATGAGGCTCTCATAGATGAGTTGTCGGTCGACATGAAAGGTCAAAGGTGAGTAGTTATCAGGGTACTTGAATCTCCTCGCCGCATCTACTTTTCAACTCAATATCTAACAGCCCGCGTCTTATCTGTCTAGTTATCCTGTTCACGGTTAACTGTCAAATCGATGTCAAAGTATCAGAAGAGGTTGATTCCCTACCTCGATCATGACTTCGGTTTTTCGCCTCAGTATTCTTATTTCAGTCACGACGTAGCGACTGAGCTTAAACGGTCGGATTCGGAGACGATGATAGTCTCTTCTAGATCCTCCTACCAGCTAAATCCAGGTCCGGGGGTTTCAGATGAATTGACTCTCGATATCGGAGAGGTTGCAATATGAGCTGCTGTCGATAGCGGCTGACAATGTAGAAAAATGCGAGACCTTTATTTCCAAAGTACACTAAATCCTATAGGAATCGGATCCGAGGTCTGGATGAGTAAGCTTATGGATGGGTCCAGTTGTTTGAAAGTAGACTTAGGTTGGGCGTCGGTAAGCACTTCCTTTTCAAGATGGATTGACTGTGTTGGGCCACCAGGCCGGGTCTTAGGTAGGCTATGGGTGTGAAAACGATATCTAAATGAGTAATAGGACCGGAAATTCCTTTAGAAATCCTGGGGAGATATATATGTACAACTAAACGCTGTTAACTCTCGTTATTAGCCTCTATATTTGATATCTCTTCTGGAGGCTATGTTCAAGGAGTTGCTGAACCAAAAGCACAAGCGAAAGACGGAGTGTGTCAACAGCTCTAGATTGGATCAGTCTGTGCCTTGAGTCCACTATTTCCAAAACATTGCATTGGGCGCCTTGACCGAAGTTCTGAGTACTGGTTAGAACCGACGGTTACGAGACTCGCTTGCTTCGGTTCATTTACCCAGCATAGTTCCGACAGCCTAATGAATGGTATGAAATCTAGGAACTGTCATTCGTACCCAGAAAGGGAAGATCAAGTGGCGCAGAATTTACAAAACTCGTTCTCCTAAATTCAAACCCTCTACTGCGAGTGAATCATTGGCGCATCTCCAGCACGGTTCGTTGATCAACTCTCTTTACCATAGAAGCGATCGAGACTGACGGGAATTGTCGGTCACAGAGACTACCTTCGCAGTCCAATAAGAGAACACCGTACCTTATCCTCGGAGAATATCGCAGCATCTGCACATTAAATCCGGACCGATCGGCCGTGTCGCTCGGGTCGAACTGCCGTCCGAGCAACTCTACCCCAGAGCTGCTTTAAGTATCATTATATGAGACTCACTCATCTCAATCGACGGCGACAGCGGAAGGTTTATCAGGCCGGCGAGTGCGCATTGTGCGTACCCAATCTTGAGCTTGAATTTCATGTGCTTGTGTATTCTCGACATTCGCGGTGGGCTTGCGGGGGGGCAAAGTATGCTTGGCACGTGTACCCATGGGGTATATTTTTATGTCATGGGCCGCGATTGCTCGGAGAAGGAGCTGGTCGATTTAGGAAGCTCAATGACGCTCTCTCAGCCCCAAGGTGACGGTTGTGGGGCCTCAGTGACAGTACTTTATGCTAGTACTTGCACAGATGGGCTCCAGTCTCCAGCCATTTCGACCATCTGCTGGCGAGGTAGCAGTACGTCGATAGCGCGAGGCGGCCGAACGGGGTGCTCTGCGTTAGCGCGGAAATAATGTCTCATGGGATTGATTATTGATACTTTAAGGATGCGACCGCCTTCGCTCTCATTGTGCTCAGGGTCTTCCCTGCTCTGATATTGCTTATGTTTCTCAGAGCAGACAGCCAAACACCACGATGATTGTTTTTGCTGTTTTACCTTTGGTGTTCACTTTCTTAAAAGCATGTACTGGGGCAGTGCTTCCCCAATACCCTCCGCTGCCACCATTCATCGCTCTGGAGGAGCATTTCACAATAGCAGAAATCGCCGTGCAGAATACCGCCACACCGCCATGGATCGTTCAGAAGCTGCTAGACCTGGACGGCCTGCGGCTTGAGGAAATGGACCAGGGCCGAGTTACTAAGCAGTGAGCATATTGGTTTTAGCACCAAATATGTTTTTCGGACTCTTTGACATTTCACCTTCCACTCCAAAAGATTCCATGCTAACCCCAACATGCGCACCAGGTTCCTCTCCATCGGTGCTGCTACCGTTAACCTTTCCCAAAGCCAAGATGCGAACAATGTCCTAGCTGCAGCAATCAACAAGCATCCTTCCCGCTTCGGTGGCTGGGCGACAATCCCCATCTCTGACCCAGCAGCCGCGGCCGACGAACTAACCCGTAGTGTCAAGAAGCTCCGTTTTGTCGGCGCCCTTATTAATAATCACGACCAAGGTAAATTCTATGACAATGCCACCTACTGGCCTTTTTTTGCGCGGGCCCAGGAACTCAACGTTCCAATCTACCTCCATCCCGCCAATCCAGCTAAAGAGTGGGCGTCGAGATTCCAAGGCAATTACCCACAGTCAATCGCTTCTTCTCTTGGTCTCTCAGGCTGGGATTGGCGTAAGTGTCTTTTCGGTTGAGGTGTTCTCCATTTACGCTCATCGGGTGGCAAGATAACTTTCAGAAGCATCGAACCTACCCTCACTGGCGATCAATCAGCTTTACTTGCCTTAAATACAATCTTCCTGCTTCGAAGTACAATGCTGACTCTCAAGCTTCTTAGATCAAGAGGTCGGCTTTCACATTCTGCGCCTGTTCAACAGTGGCTTCTTCGACGAATTCCCGCGCATCAAGATCATCATTGGGCACATGGGAGAAATGCTCACCTTCCAGCTCGACCGCGTCATCGACATCGGTGAGACGAAACGCGGTTGGCCGGCGAGGCAGCGCGACCTCCGCTCTGTCTGGAACAGCAACATCTGGATTACCACGAGCGGCATGTTCTCCCTCGCGCCGTTCGCGTGCCTGTTGCGTCAAATGCCGGTCGATCGAATTCTGTACAGCGTGGATTGGCCCTACAGCAATAACACGCAGGGTTTGGAGTTTATGGAGAAGGTCAGACGCAGCGGGCTTGTCACGGAGGAGCAGTTCCAAGGCATTGCTTACATGAACGCTCAATCGGTGCTTCAAGTACAGGTATAATTAGAAACCTTACTTTCTTGTTATCAAGACTGGGAGCACGAAAGTATAAATATACTTATTTCTTGAAAACCCCCCCAAAAAGACAGTTGTGTCGAGCCAGAACTCTTCTTTTCAATGGTTGAATGCCTCCTATCGAGTTTTCTTCATGTCAATTTCAAATCTTTTGTCTTCTGCTTTTTGTTTTTCCATTGCTGCATGATCTCTCTGTCCATGACACTGTGTGTATAGCTACTCCTCAACCACATCAAGCAACTTGATTTCAGAACGGTGTGGGAGCGTTTACTTACCATCCACCAACAACGCTGTATGAAGTTTTCGAGGCCGAAGTTCTTAGTCCCGTTCGCTTGATTCTTCAGCTAGAATACGTCCCCAATCTTCTTCTCCTGGGACATGCTGAAGTATTTCCATCGGCCGGGTCTTGGGCCCAAGTATGCTCCGACTAGTCCTCGGCCTCCAATTATGGCTCCATTTTTCACAATCAATCCTTTTCCAGTTACCTTTCTTGTCCTTGTGCAAGCGTATCGTGACGGTGTTGCGGTTGCCGACTTCAACCTCCCAACAGTCAAGCTTCAGACTGTAATTATTCCGCAACGCAGCTGTGAGTGCCATCTATACAGCGGCATTCCCGTTCTCTGGTAAATTATTCGGGGCTTGGCATTCGATGCCCCCACCAGCTACCTTAAACCCTTTAAGCCCTTTTCGTGGCGCGTACTTCTATGGGTCAATTGCCAAATTTTCCGATCCGAGGTAACATGTTGGCCAGGGCGCCAAAAGACCACAGGATATAGTTCTCGGACTTTGGCATGCGAAAAGAGATCCATCCGGAGGTTTCTGCATAATCAGCTCCTCCCCGAGCCGGAGAAAGGCTCTTTCTCCCACGCCGTAGCGGATGTAGGTGTTGATTCCAAATATACCACACATACAATACGCCATGTCTTCTATTTCTGAAGTTTGTCTTCGGGCTAGCCAGCTCATCTTGACGGCTATGCAAGCCTGGGAAATGTCTGCATTGAGATAATGGGGTTCGATATTGGTTACCCTCTGAATCTGAGCGGACAACGTTTATTTGGTTCCCAAAAACCGCTAGTAACAATCAAAGTATATCGATGTTGGAGCGAGAAGTTCTTGCAACGTCTAGCCCCGTGTGTATTAATCACTGCATTCAAAGCATCCTACCCTCGCCTTTATAACTCTTCCGTCTCCTCGTCTGTTTCTAGCTCTTGGAACCCATCTTGTATAGCTGATACATTAGGAAGATAGGCATAGCACACCTTTGCAGAACTGTACCAACCGAACATTGACGTGATTGCCTTGCCCAGTTCCTTCGGATCTTATTTGTTGATGCAACACGTGTTCACCCAGATATATCCTAAGTTCATTTAGGGTTGCGATGGTCCTTGACGTTGGGCCTTCAAGCGAGCTCGTGCTGTTTTTATGAACCCTTCAGATTCGGCTTCATTCCAGACAGGGGTATTTCCGGGATTATCAAATTGGTCCTCATAACTTGGATTCTTCATTAGTTCCTCGTACTGCTGGGAGCTGAGTCCGTGGTCGCCCCATCGATGTGATATGATTGCGCATTTTGCAAGAGCATTCCGAAGCTTCGAAGCCTCTTTTGTGTCTGGTCACGGCCCACGTAGAAATCCATATCGGGCAGTTCTGGTTCCTCCCCATCTACCATGAGAGCGCAAGAATAGAGATAACTCCCATCGCTCGTCTCCGGCTCTGTATGGACTTTTGATACAGACCTTAATACTCTATAGAGCCATCGTATACGTTTTGGTGGATTGAATAAATGAATTGAGAGGTGGCTATGAAAAATGGTTTTGCGATTTTTCAAAAATTCGAAAGCGTGAGGTTTTAGCCTGTGCACAAAACGTTGGAGTTCTTGGTGCTGCAAGAATCGTATATACACTATACAGAGGTCTGCACCGAAAGTCCTGCACCCGCCAAGACTCTTGCGCTCAGACTTCGGATAACGCCCCACCTAAAGGGCTACCTGGACAATACGTCTGAAGTTCTTCGGAATCGCACCTAGCCCTAGCCAGGTTTCGGGGCTTAATGCCCCTATCAAGCCAAAAGAAGTACCTAAAGTCCCATCCATGCGCTGTGAGAAGATATTTCTAGACTTCCCCTCTACAGGGCCGCTTTCCGAAAGTAGGGTTAGGGCTGCACTAGTGCGTGTGCAGGACTTTCGGTGCAGACCTCTGTAGCTGTCAACTATCTTTTAGCTCTTATAGAGCTATTATTATATATTTTAAGAGTAAATTTCTATATTAAAAGTACGTAGTTTTATCTACTCTATAATTTACAGTTAAATTTAAGTTTTAAAGTTTTAGATCTCTTTTAATCTTTCTAGAGTTTAATAAAGTATTAATAATTAAGATTTAACGCTATTTAAGAGCTTCTATTTAAAATTATTTATAGTATAAATAAAATAAAGTTTCTTTAATATAAAGACTATATTATTTAAATATATATATCTATCTCTATAAAGGTTTAAAGATAGTTTAATAGACATTTGTGCGATTTTCTTAGCGCCAAAAATTCCAACGTTTTGTGCACACCGTACACGCTAATTGACCCCTCGGTTAGTATGGGTTGCCGTAATCGTTCCCGCGCGACACCCCACTTTTTGAAGATGAGAGATCATTGAAGACGACCTTCAAGCGAAGTAATCCGAATATCGAAAAACGTGAAATCTGAGCTCTGAGCTCTCCTGAGCCTACTCGGTCCACGTGCATACTGAGGACCAAGCAATTAATTGGATGTAATAATTGGTTGATCTCTTCACTTTGCTTCAATAAACTTTCTCGACATCCGCTCCATCCATGCAGGGCCCTGACCATTTCTCTGCACTGGCTGCGTCTGTCAGGGTTTTGAGCAATATTAATGGCTTCCTTATCGCGAACCACCAGCAGGGGAAGTGTTGATTCCAATCACATCTCCGTTACCGGATCTCTGGATGGTGATCCACATGAGAAAATTATAGACAAACTTGCTCCTGCTTCTCCTTCTCCAGCCAACTCCTCTAAACCACCACCTTCGCTGGCATCTACGGGACGTGTCCCTTCACATTCACTTCTCTCCGCGCCCAACAATGCCGCCGCACCAAATCGGAAGAGCCGATTTGCGGATGCCGGTACAATTGGGGGTAGTATAGGCAGAGCAAGCATCTCTATGCCCCCGCCCGCAACAAAGCCTTCTTCAATATACAGACCTGCAAGCTATCGTCGTCCTACAAATTTGTCCAGCGCCATGGATCCCAGGGAAGGTGAGACAGGATTGGATGGTACAATGGAAGAGAATCTTGTGGGTGATTCTGCGGTGCTACAAAATCTGGAGAAGACCACAAGTCTACCTGGCTCGCAGGGAGGCCTTGCCTCGGAATCACACAGTCAGTTGGTTCTTGTAGATTCCAGCCTGAAGCCTCCCAGCTCGGGCCTGAACAAGCCAGGCGACCGCTTGTCCTTCTCATCGTTGTACTCTTTGGGATCTGCCATCTATGGGGCAGCAGGTCTATCTAGTGCACCTCAGAGTGCTGCAAGCTCTGCCGCTGGTTCAATCAAAAGTGCGGTCTCCGAACAGCCAACGCCTACGCCTATCTCCCCTTCTCTGGGGTCAGCCAAAGGAGAAGCTGTTGCTTCGGCTACGACGGCTACAGACCCTATATCAGTAAATGCCAACTCTCCGCCACAGCATCAAGGTTCGAAATCTCTGCATTCTGGCATCGATTGAGTCGAACCTCGACTGACAATTTTGCGTAGTGCCTGTCAATACTTTGAAGGAACCAGCGTCTAGTGCACCCAATGCTGCTAAGCAACATCTTGACTCTTGGAACTCAGGTCCGTTGCCAAGACCGCCCGCTCCCCGTCGATCCCGAAGTCGAACGCAACAGAGACAGCCGAGTGGTAGCACCGTCGCAAGTGGCGCCCCCAGCCCTAGTAACAGTGAGCGATGTAAGTCTGCCACGTCCCCCCCCCCCAAAAGACATCACCAACGGAAAGACCTAACTCATGTCTATGACAGCCAAAGTTGAACCGATTGGACGAGTCGGCGTCTGTGCTCTCGATGTCAAGGCAAGAAGCAAGGCGAGCCGGAATATCTTAACCCGCCTACAAGGCAATGGAGAACTCGATGTTGTCATCTTCGGCGACAAAGTCATATTGGATGAAGGTAAGTGGATCAGAATAAGACACCACTGCATGTACTAATATCATGCGTCAGATGTGGAGAATTGGCCAGTCTGGTAAGCTTCGTAGTCTTCTCGCTCATGGTCCTCTCGACCAATTACACCATGCGCAAGGCATAATGTTTCAAGCTAGAGAACACGGCCAAGCTGATGACATCTTCCAGCGACTTTCTAATATCCTTCTTTTCGGACGGTTTTCCGCTAGACAAGGCTATTGCGTATCACAAGCTTCGCAAGCCATTCTCGATCAATGATCTTCCAATGCAGAAGATACTTTGGGATCGCAGAATATGTCTGCGTATTTTGGACAGCATGGGTGTACCGACTCCCAAGCGAATCGAGGTCAACAGAGATGGTGGACCAACATTAGAGTCCACTCAGCTTGCTGAGCATGTCCGTGGTTTTAGCGGTGTCAAGTTGGAAGGTCCTGATGATGGCACCGGTGGTGGCATGCCCACTACTCAAAAGGTGGAACTGATCGACGAGGGCGATACCTTACTTGTGGATGGCGTAACTTTGAAGAAGCCCTTTGTGGAGAAGCCAATCAGCGGCGAGGACCACAACATTCGCATCTACTTTGGCAAAAAACACGAAAGTGGTGGCGGTGGCAGAAAGCTATTTCGAAAGATTGGTAACAAAAGCTCGGAATGGGATAAGGACTTGATCGTTCCGCGTGCTGTTATGGAGAAGGACAGCAGCTATATCTACGAGCAGTTTTTACATGTCGACAACGCGGAAGATATTAAGGCCTATACGGTTGGACCAGAGTTCTGTCATGCTGAAACGCGAACCTCTCCCGTTGTTGATGGCCTTGTTCGTCGAAACACCCATGGAAAGGAGATTCGCTACATATGCAATCTGAGCCCAGAGGAACAACTAATGGCGAAGAAGATTACGAACGGCTTCGGTCAACGAATCTGCGGGTTTGATATGCTCCGAGTTAGAAATCAAAGCTATGTCATTGATGTCAATGGGTGGAGCTTCGTTAAAGACAATAACGCTTATTACGATAAATGTGCGAGTATCTTGAAACAGATGTTTATAACTGAAAAACAAAAGCGTGAGGGCGTCGCGCCATTGGTGACGCCAATTCCTGAAGATAACTCTGAGAAAGGTCCGGCGGACAGGAATCAGTCGGAGACAAACTTACTCCACCGGAAAAATACTGTGGGGACACACCGTTCTGCCCTGAAAAATCTGATTAAGTCACCAAGCATGTCTAAGATGAGAGGTCTTCATCACCCTGGCCAGTCCACCCACGGTGCTACTTCTCCAGATCTCACCCCATCTACAGCGCCACTTTCGTCGCCACCTACCTTCGAACGCGGCCAGAAGCCTGTGCTACCGAACCCTCCAACGGGCAATGTTGATGCGCTTCCATCCCCAGCCGTATCGGTAGAACAGCCTCTAGTAGCACCTGTTTCGGTGTCAACTTTAGCAGAGAAAGAGCCAGCGGTAGCTGTTCCTGAGCCATCCTCGAAACATGCCTGGAAGCTAAAAGGGATGGTATCTGTAATCCGGCATGCCGATCGCACACCAAAGCAGAAATTCAAGTTCACCTTTCATACTCAGCCTTTCGTTGAGCTGCTCAGAGGCCATCAAGAGGAAGTCCTATTGAAGGGTGAAGCCGCCCTCAACAGTGTCCTAGATGCCGTTAAGGTTGCTCTGAAGCAGGGTGTAGAAGATCCTGAAAAATTGAATTTGCTGAGGACGTCGCTCGCGCGCAAAGGAGCATGGACTGGGACAAAGGTTCAGATCAAGCCCATGTTTCGTAAAAGGAAGCCTAAAGAAATCACAAGAATCCGCAGCCAGATCGAAGAGAGCGATAATCCTGCGGCTATCCTGGCTGCAGAAGGACTCACCGAGGAACCAGAAAGCGACTTAAAACCTGTGTCACGCCCACCAACGAGAAGCGACTCAATGACGGAAACGACACTTTCACGATTTTCTGCTGCGGAAAATGACTTGGTCATAGAGAAGTTGCAACTCATCGTCAAATGGGGTGGAGAGCCAACCCACTCTGCTCGCTATCAATCGCAGGACCTGGGCGAGAACATGAGGAACGACCTCCTGCTGATGAATAAGGAGTCTTTGGACGATGTACGGGTATTTACAAGCTCAGAGAGAAGAGTCAGCACCAGCGGTACGTGTGCATTAACGCCCCTCTAATCTTCCCCTGTGCTAACACTTGGATAGCGCAAATCTGGGCGGCGTCTTTCCTGAACAAAAAGGAAGTTTCTGAATCGTCAATCACTGTCCGCAAAGACCTGCTCGATGACTCGAATGCCGCCAAAGATGTCATGGACAAAGTCAAGAAGAAGCTGAAGCTCTTACTCCGAGAGGGTCACAAGGCGCCGCCCCAATTTGCATGGCCTGGCAACATGCCGGAGCCGTCGGTTGTCGTACGCAAGGTTGCAGAACTCATGGTATTCCATCGAAAAGTGATGCGATACAATTTCAAAAAGCTCAATGGCGGTGCGGCCGCGTCATTAAGTGCCTTAACCAAAGTTGGAGAAGCCAGCGCACCCATACCCGTCCCAGGATCTGGTGGATCTCTCGCCCAGGCTCAAGCGGTGGCAGGCATACAATCCAGATGGTGCTGCGGAGAAGATCCGGAGCTCTTCAAAGAGCGATGGGAGAAGCTGTTCTCTGAATTCTGCGACTCTGAAAAGGTCGATCCCAGCAAGATTTCCGAGCTCTATGATACTATGAAGTTTGACGCCTTGCACAACCGGCAGTTTTTAGAGTGGGTTTTCACGCCTGATGCCAGTATGCCTGATGAAGAAACCACAGAAGGACCGAGGTTGCCCACGGAAGCTACTTCGGAACCTCCAACCTCCAAAAGCTCTCACAACATCCTTAAGCATAAGCGGAAAGGTAGCGGAGGCGAGAAGATGGTCGACGCACCCGCCGACAAGCCCCCCAATCCCAATCTAGCGCATCGCATGGGCCTACGCCGAAGGTCGGTTATGAACCCTCCGTCACCACAGCCTGAAATAGCGGATGAATCCGGAGAGTCTTACTTCAAGCTATACAAAGGCACCGGTCAAAGCAAAGCGAAATGGGATGCTCGACTCGAGAATCTGCGAGAGCTCTATAAACTAGCTAAGGTGCTCTTTGACTTTGTGTGTCCCCAAGAGTACGGTATCAGTGATGAGGAGAAGCTGGAGATCGGTCTCTTGACGTCTCTGCCCTTATTGAAAGAAATCGTCAACGACCTGGAAGAAGTGCAAGCTTCGGAAGAGGCCAAATCATTTGTCTACTTCACTAAAGAGTCACATATCTACACTCTTGTCAATTGCATCCTCGAAGGTGGAATCAAGACGAAGATCGAGAGAAATGCAATTCCAGAATTGGATTACCTTTCCCACATAACTTTCGAACTGTACGAGTCCGAGGACAAAGACGCAGATACTTTTACCTACAGCATCCGTATCACGATTACTCCTGGTTGTCATACCTTCGATCCACTAGACGTCCAGCTCGATTCGAAGCATTCGATTGGTTGCGCGCCAAGGCGAAGCCTGACCACGCATATGGATTGGAAGGAGGTCATTGAAACGTTGCGAGCGAGATTCCACACGTATGACGCTCAGGTCCCTCTTGACCCAGCTCCATGCTAATTGTTCTTTTGCAGGGTGAAACTACCGAAGAGCTTCCTTGCCGTCAATGTCAGCGACAGCCATTCTAGTGATGCGAGCAGAATCGATACCGATACCGACGAGCAAGCCAGTAATGCCTGAATATACTGTACGAATTATGGGCTTTATTCTTCATTGTACATACTATACCCTCGACAGTATTGCATAGAGCTTAAGCCGAATTCGGCACGCGCAAGCGTACATCTATCCTAGCCAAGTGCTCTATTGTCACTCGAACCAAGTGAAGAACCTGACTCTATGGCCTGGATATGGGTATAGAACACCATTGTAGCAATTCCCAATATTTCACGTGATGTAGTTTTCACTGTCACTTGTCCCCACCTCCCGTCATAGCCAGTACAGCTACTCCAAGCAGCACCCACCAATACCTGTCACACATCTGTGTCAGCATCCAACCCCCGCGGTAAAACCGACAACGCAGATAAAGAACAAATGAAAGCACTCACTTCTGCAACAACGTCTTCTCCACCACCTCCTCCTCCTCACCCTCTTTCCCCCCCCCCCCCCCCCTGCACCCGCAGCAGTAGCTCCCCCCTTCCCCTTCGCCGGTTTATCAAACACCACCCTCGGCGCCGGCTTCGTAGTCAGGACATCGAAATCCCCCCTCGCAATCCCCCCACTCTCGCCCTTCCCCTTCCCCTTCCCCTTCCCCGCCGCCGGCGCGCTCTTCGACAAACAAGAATGCCAACTCGCCCCCACGGCCTCCCCCTTCGAATCGAGCACCAGCCTAAAGCGCCCTCGGTACGGCGCGTGGAAACCGTACGTCGCCGTGACGCTGCTTCTGTACCTCTCCCCTCCGACGTGGCCGTCGAGGTACAGGAGCACGCTGGTGAGGGCGTCGGGGTCCGAGGTGTTTGCGGGCGGCGTGAATGATTCGAGGGTCGAGAGGTGCGGGTGGTGAGGTGAGTAGGTGAGGATGGCTAGGGGGTGGGGTTTGGAGGGGGTCGGGGCGACGGGGAGGGCGTGGAGGGTTGCGGTGTGGAGGGGTGGGGAGAGGGATGTGGTGGTGGTGGTGGTGGTGGTGGTGGTGGTGGTGGTGGCGGCGAGGGTGGTAGTGGTGAGGGCGAGGAGGGAGAGGAGGAGGGCGGGTAGGAAATGCATCGTTGGTCGGTTGGAAGGGAGGTGGAGGGATAGATAGGAAGAGAGGGTGTTCGACGATGTCGGTTTGTGTGCATGGTCGACCGTTTGTCTGCTTAGCGCGCTCTCGGCGTTTACGGGTAGACGAACCTCCTCCTCACCATCCTCAGAAGCTACTACATCCTGTCTCCACTCTGGCAGCTGTGTATGCATCCGATTTTCCAGACCTGTCCAGGAGTACATGGCGCGAGATCAATTGGTTTGCCAGAGCCGAAGACGAGTAATGCAATGCGAATTGCAAGACAGACAAGCGACTGAGTGACGAGAGTCTAGTAATCTACCTTGTGGATTCAGGCGACAGCTCATAGGATAAGAACGTGGTGCTCTTTGAGACATTCATTAGGGTAAGTGTCAACGTGGCTTTCACAGGCGTCTATTTATCTCTCGATGATCACTTGGACATTATCAGCTTTCCATACAGCTGGCACATGAGTCTTCGCTGTGCTTTCTCGAGCCATTCACCATCCTTCGTCAACAGCGATAAGAGTACATTCCTGTTATTGCCTTCGAGCAGAAATGTTCTCTTGCAGGTTCAGCCCTTGCAGGCTCAAAGAGAACTCGGGTTATCATACGATGCGGTGAAGGATGCGGTGAAGCGCTATGCCAACTCGAGTTTTCTACCCTCGTGGCTGTTGAACCCAGTACCGAGAATGCTAGGGAAGATAATAGGTTTGAGGACGCTAAGGGTGACGCTAGTCGTTGTGTTGATGTATTGTGTTGGGATGGGATTGAGGATGCTTGACAGATCTGCGCTACCGGCTAATCGACAAGTACAAGTTGTGAGCGCTCATTTATCAGTGTCTGTATGCTAGCCACCTTTCTCGTCTTCAAAGAAGGGTACCTCCCTCTCACTTTGACGGACGAAGCCCCGCTTAGCATATAAATAGTAAGAGTTCAGGCCTTGAAGGGAGGACTGCAGAAAATAAGGGTCGACAAGGTGTTCAGCTCTTGCGAAGCTGACCACGATAGAGAAAGATTGGTCAACCTGAAGCGTACATTATAACACCCCCACGCTCGATCGTGACAATGGCCTTGCCTACGATTGATCAGGCCAGCTGCACAAATTGAACAACATTTGGATTCCCCCTATCATCGAAAAGCTCTCCTAGCCCCACACTTACCCCAAATCAAGAGAGCCCCATGGTTTTGTGGGAGACGCAGTAAGAGATCTGTCACGGCCATTACGTCCACAGAACCGTCCTACATGGCTGGTATCAAGTAAGCATCACACGCAGAATAGTGCCCTTCGGTCAAACAGAAGAGACTGCTGTTGAGGGGAAATGTCTGACATTTCTAAAAGGCAGACAACTTTACCATGTCTGTCGTTATTTGATAAAAATTTCTAGGCATGACCGTCACGAAATGTCATGTTGTGAAATCGATTCTGGCGCACAACTTGGGCCCGAGCCCGACAATATGCAGAGATTTAGCCGTCTACTATTTGGCTCTCATAGCTGTGACTGCAACAGCGGCTGCACTAAATGAGGATTTTGTCGTCTCAGTATCCATCCAAAATACACCATCTATTCCAAATATCTATACATTATCCAAGGACTACCATCATCTCCTTTTTCCCATTCCAGTATTTTCATCCCTAATCAGATCGCTTTTCCAAACCTCTGTGTCCAAAACAATCGCTCACTCCCTCAACATCTTCCTCACATCAACACCCCTCCTCTTATCCAATCCACCTACCGGCAGCGTCTGGTTCTGACTCCCAATGATCGCCCACTCGGCCACAGTCGCACCTGTTGCGTTAGTGGCATTGTTCGCTTGGCTGCCCTGAATCATCAGTGTCGCGTAGCTCCCACTATATACCGCCGGACTCAGCGTCACGTTCGTCGTATTGCTCAAGTATGGCGTGATGAGATTGATCTGCGTCGCATTGTATGGCATGCTGACTGGGACGCTAGATTGACTCGTCGCAGTCACGGCTGAGGCATCCACAGTGGAGTCGTTGTGGAAGACTACTGAGAAATTTGTGGGAGGATTCTGGGCCCAATCGAAGAAGAAACCGGTCACCGGTTGGAAGGCTTGGGTAGCTAGACTGACAGTGATCGATTGGCTAGTATTAGAAAGGTTAGGTTGCCATTTTGTGGAGGCAGCGCCATCGACTGCTGAGATGGGAAATTGGCCGGGCTGGTAGTCGTCCGGAGATGTGACGGGAAGACATTGAGCGATGTTTCCGGCAACGGCTGTGATGTTGGCAATGTTCCTGTTCTGGAGGGTGATGGTGCCGTTGGGTAGGAGTTGGTAGGTGGTTGAGTTGCTATTGCCAATTTGCACAGGTATTGAAGTATTGGCAAACGTCTGGTTCGCGGTCATGAAGGGCTCGCTCAGCCGGGTTACTGTCGTGTGTGTCTGGTTCGCGACGGCAGATATAGGCCAACCTTGCCAGTAGAATGTCCGATACTTGAGATTTGGAATCTGAGGCGGTAGCGATGGGTCGACGTGGAGAGTGAAGTCTGGAGTGAGACGCAGGCCTAGGTAGCCAAAGACAGTGACTTGATTCGCGCCTCCATGTCCGGTCAGGAATGGATAGGCTGGATGGGTGCCGCCATTCAAGGTGTAGTCATCAATGAGCTGTTCGGAGAGTTGGAACCAAGGAGCTCGAGCATACGGCTGCTCAGAGTACTGCTGATATGTGTACGAGGAACATCCTGCCTGATCGACCGCACTAGCGACGATGCTGAAGATTGCATATGTCATGCCCGGTCCATCCAAGGACTGCTTGCCGGCGTAGAACTCAAGGTCGTTCAAAGAGTCTTGCGCAGTATAATTGTTCTGGTAGTTTAGAGGAAATGTGTCCAAAACCACATCTGCCTGCTTGACCGCAATACTTCCATTCATCCCTGTATACTCGTCGATGATGCCCGCTCCGGAGTCTCGTGAGATGAAGATGTTTGCTGCAATGTCCTCGAACGTTGCATTGGCGCTCATCCCAAACATCTGGCGGAACATATTTGCATTGGTCAGTGTGTCCGCGATCAAAGGCATGGTGAAGCCTCCATTGTCGACACCGTTTGCGTACTCATCGGGGTCGGTCATGTTCGTCAGAACATAAGACGAGCCGTTTTTGGTGACGACTTCGGAGTAGAAGGTGGCTATTGAGTTATAGATAGGAAACAGCGAAGAGTTGAAGAATTCGCTGTCGCCCGAAGCGACCCAGTAATTGGCGAACTCCTGGGCAATGTCACCGTTGATGTGGTACTCGTAGTCTATGATCTGATCAGCGCCCATCATGCCTTGAAAGTCTTGGAGAAGTCACTACCATAGCAAGGCCCAGTCCCTGTACAATTCCCATACCGTCCACTTGTCCAAGAGAAGACTGCAGCATCACTTGAAAAGCTTGTGGTATTCTTTGATGACTGATACGCTGTCTGTGCATTGGCCATTGCCTGCCCGTATCTCTCAACACGATAATTAGCAATCTGCTTGACTGCTTGAGGATGCGAAACCGCGAGACCCGGCTGCATCCAGATTTCAGCATCCCAGAAGACGACGCCTGCATATGAATCCGAAGTCAAGCCTCCAACGCTGATACTCCAAGTGTCAATTGGCGCGTTACTAGCATTTGACAGGGCATTTGCGCTTATTGTGTTTTGTAACAGATAGTAATTGTTGAGCACAGCAGTGATAGCGGACTCAATGATATATGTATCGTTTGGCAGGGTACCGTTCTCAGGGAAAGCGTAGTTGTCGACAGAGTCTGATGTGAGCACAATAGCCCATTCTCCCATATGAATGGCTAAAGACTTGTTGAAACCTGTCTCCATAGCTTGCATGCAGGCACCTTGAGCGGTCCTCTGGGGGTCCAGAAACCCATCTGAGGTCGCTCCACCAACATACTTCGTTACGGTCGTTGTTTGACCTGCTTTCAGAGCAGCATTTGCTGCCTGCGCGATGCTCGACTGGTTGACTCCTATGTAAAGCTTGTCGGTCACTATTGCTAGTGAAGCAGCGTCAACTTCAGCTGAGCCTTCCATAGTAGCGTATATATATGCGGTCACGTTGGGAACATTGTATGGTGTCACCGCAGAGTATATCTGCGTTCCCTCCATGCCACTGCTGGTGAAGTTTGTGCGAACGGCGCTTGTCCCGTCGAGAACATTGACGATGGAAACGTTTGTATCTGCTGAGGGCTGAATTTCCAGTTGCACAAATCCCTGGTTGACGTACAGCTTATGAGCGAACATGGTGTAGGTTATGTTAAATGACAAGCCGCTCGAGTTGGCGGGATTCCAGGTATACGACCATGTCGAAACACCTTCCTTCGCATTGAGTGTGGAGCTGAAGTTGGAGACGGTGCTGTTGTCCACAGTCGCATCGAGGTATACGCCCGCACCAAGATCCACAACTATACCACCCCAATGAGGCACTCCGCTGATGACGCTTTCTCCTCCATATTGATTGAGCCATTCGAAGTTGGTCCCATTCGTGGTAGGCTGCTCATCGAAAAAGCCGGCGATGGTAGCGAAAGTCTGTCTTTCGCTGAAGAGAGGCCATCCGTTGATGTTGTCCCCAGCTACTGGAAGGTCGATTTCGAAGAAGGGGCCGGCTGCTGCGACATTGATGCCCAAGTAGCCATTAGCAATGCTCATTCGCGACTGGTAATGGCCTTGGTCTAGATTAGTAGTGCGGACTTGCCATTCGGCGTTGTCCCAGGTCACGTTTGCGAAGCGCGTATTATATATGGAGCTCGTGATTGAGGTTATATTCGTTGATTGTCGTGCAGTGATGCTTGCCGCATCGCTGTCAAAACCAAAGAGAGAGAAAGCAAGCGCAGAAACGAAGTAAGAGCGCAGGCAGTGCATGATGTCGATTGGCGGTTTGAAAAGATTAGATGACTGTGAATAGTCACAGCGATTCAATGGCAAAGCACTTGAGAAAGATGCGCCGAGAGAGCATGTCTGTACATTGTGCGGAGTGCGAAATATTATATAAAGCAGACGTTGTACGGCCTGAGTCCAAGAAACGGTCGGCATGACGCCGGTCAAACGCGAGCTCTCGAGCTCTTTCAAGCTCAGACCTGCAGCTTGACATCGTCGTCGCCCTAAAAGGGCAGGTGAAAGGACTTAAATGCGGGAAAATTCCCCGCCATCTTGTGCGGGGAAAGCTCGAGGCTGAAAATTGTCTTGGAGCTAAGCTTGAAAAGGCCATTGTTAGCGAAACCAATAGCATTTGGCCTTGGCCTTGGCCTGGGGCGTTAGTTGATTGCTCTTAAGGCTTCCTGACGGAGAGGGGTTGGACCAACGTCTGAATCGCTCTTGGTTGCTACTGCACTGACCGCACAGGCAAAGGAAGCCGGCAGGTTGGGAGGTTGGGAGGCTGAAAGGCTGGGAGGGCATATCCGGTAGGCAGTCGTGCCTTTATCAAAAGTCTTCTTTTAGCGTTCCGCAGGCCTGAATTAGTCGTCTTCCTGGTCTCCGGCCTCATCCACGTCCTCATCCTCCTCCAGAGCCACAGGCGATGCCCTTCTGGCCACGACTCCGCTACCGCTCCTCCTCTTCGCAGGCTTGTGCTGCGTCGAAATAGCCGCTTTCTCACCAACGAAGTCATTACCCGTCCAGTCTGTTCGGCATAGAGGGCACTTCTTTGAGCTCTGAGTTCGAAAAAAGTTCTGTACACATATATCGTGCAAACGGCATGGGCAGCTTTTCTTAGGACATCGCTGACCCTTGATTGAAAGTCAATAGAAGAAACCACATGCGATTGGGGCTGTCCTGCTTACCGTCGTGATGATCTCCTTGCACGCGAAACACTGCTTGATCTTCTTCGACGCCCTTTCCTCTTCCCCCTCATCTTCATCAAGATCATTGTATGTCTCCCAAAGCCACCCTCTCAATTCCATCAATGCTCTCGGACTGAGACTGTAGAAGCCTTTGATACTCTTCTCGAGCCATCCCTCCTCAACCAAGGTCTTCATCATCTTCTCCGCCTGGCCCATCGTAAGGCTCTGTCCTGCACTTCCTTGGGTTGCAGATCCATTCTGCGTCTGTGGTCCATCTTCTGTGAGAGTTTTATGCAACTTGATCGCTTGCATGGATGTGATAGCCATGACTTCATGACGTGGCGTGTTGTACGTCTCGAACATTGCGTCGAGGACCCGTTTTAGGAAGCTGATTTCGTCGGGTGTATGTATGGTCGCTAGTTGAGTGATGGGATCACTGGTTGAATTTACGAGAGCGTAGATGCGAGATCGGGTGGTTTGGTGATAGGTGCTGCGGATCTCAAGGTCGAAGGGGGAGATGGCATTGTTGGCGGCGGAGATGTAGGAATTGAAGTCGGCTTGGGTGACATCTTCGGGGAAAGTCTCTCGTTTCTCTTTCAACAGTCAGTAAGGAGTTCGTTTCGGTTCTCGCCTTGGAGAGTCCTAAAGGCTCACCGTGGGCTGTGAAAATGGCCGCTAATAATGGTTTGGCTTCGTCAAAGGTAAGGGTCGAACGAGCTATGAAAGCTTGTAAGAAAGCACGATTGCTGTTGTTGTATTGACTATCCGCATTGTCTGCCATATTGAACCTGGCAAGGTCACTTCAACTTATGCTGGATGGAAAAGGCGAAATGCAGTACTTGAGTGACACAAATTGACGGGTAGACGCGTCGCGTGGGTAGCGTCAAATGCTTGGCGCTCCATAGTTCCACCCATGTCTGACTTCTTTTCTCCTGTTGTTCGCGATGCAATCATATAATCATTAATTACACAATGCGCAATTTTGTTTATTCAAGATGTTACCTGCTAAGCTACAATTTGCAGACTCGTTTCGAAAATATTATTATTTTGAGAACTACTGAATACAACAGGATTCAGATCATGACTCCTGATCTTCAAGCTCAAGAAACAACGCAACAGCCCATTCCTTTGCTTTGGCTTTGCCGCTGTCTGAGCCTCTAAACATACATGTCGAGGTCTGTATCTTACTCGGAATTGATCTCGACCTTCGTTTTGTCTAAGAAACCGTCAGCATACTCTCTTTCTCGAAGCCTCATTCTACCTACAAAAGGCAACGTGGTCCTTGATTGGAGCAGCTTTGTCGGTGATGGTCTCTGGATAGTACCAGGCGGCGTCTTTTGCTTCCTTTCCTATGGGTTCTCTGTGTCAGCTTTTGATCTCGCACTCGAATGGTTGTCTATGCATACCATCGACGGTGATGTTGTAATATGAAGCTATGCCTTTCCAAGGACACTTGGTAGTCAGCTTAGCCTTGCTGAGGACCGACTGGTCTACAGAGCTGGGTGGAAACTAATATCGTCAGCACTGAAGTCTACCAAGGAACGGTGTCATTTTACGTATATGTTCCCCTCGACATATTCCCAGTTATCGGTTTCCGCAATAACTTTGCCATTGAAGGTGGCGGTGGCGTGAGGCATTTCGAGTGTTTCTTGGTATCTTTGCCTTTGTGTTCTTGCTTTCGGTGTGATATTCCAACGTATCTGACAGGGTCGTCGGTGGGACACGTTAGGTCTTTATGTTATTGGTCCCCCTTGCTTCTTTGTTGCTGCTCCCTGCGTACGTCAAAGGTTGCCTAATCTTTAGAGATGCGGATTTGTCATATGACATGTGACGTCAGGTCAGACCTACTCGATCATTGGACAATTATATGTGGCCAAATAACCGCACTGCAAAGGGTTGGTAGCAAGGTAAAACGTGAGATTCGAGGGAAACGATAGAATTCCGAGGTGTTTAGGGCTGACAGCGTGTAGCACTAAATAGTGATATATTACTGAACTAAGAATAGATAACGCCGAGCCTCTACTTTAGAATATCTAGGTACTTTCCAACCTAGGTACGCCTGCCTCTAGTAGCTTTATGATAAGTGATCAAAATGGAGGGAGCCGGCGGCCAAATTGGGTTCCAGCTACAGTGACTGGGCACCGATTGCCATTCGTTCCTAATTCAATGGAAGTCCAGGGGTCTCAGATGGATATCCGATCATGGCCGGGCGGCCAGGTTCTTCTTTGATACTTACACGTGATCGGGAGCACTTCGTACTTTAGGTATGGATCAGGTATCCCCCCTCGCGGGTGAAAAAAAAGCCTGCACACCCTCAAAATCTACAAATCTAACACAATTTGCGAACGAAAGGTCCTATTAAGAAGATTTTACTCTGGAATATATAGATATTAGCACAAACAACAACTCTCATGGAAAGTATTAGCTTGTGAAGAGGGTATTAAAGGTATTATTTCAGTTAGTAAAGGTAGAAGGATTGCTTGACGTGTGCAGGCTTTTTTTTTACCCGCGAGCCCCCGCAAGTCATGTGCTTCTACCGCTGAACGGCTTTAACAGAAGCCTCCCTTTATCCCCGAAAGCGGGTGCGACGAACCACAGTGACGTCTCATGAGTATTTATCCAAAGCCTATTGTATCGCAGAAGTAAGGGCGCCTCTATTGGAAGTCCTATACATAGCTCTCGAACTTTTTCGAATTTTCATTCTCACTGGGCCGGCATGAATTCTGAAGAGTTCCGCAAAGCAGCGCACTCAGCAGTAGACGAGAGTAAGCTCCTGCTAACTTGCGACTTCCCAAGCACAAGTCCTATCAGCTCATCCCATCCCAGTCATTGACTACTTCGACACTGTTCAAGACCGCCGTGTTGTCTCCAACGTTGAACCAGGCTATCTACGCAAGTTGTTGCCCCCGGCTCCGCCAGTCGAAGGAGAAAAATGGGAGGACATACAGAAGGACATCGAAGCGAAGATCATGCCCGGTCTGACCCATTGGTACATTATGCTCTCTACCATAGGCCATCGAACACGCGAATGCTCAAGCTGAGCGTGACCAAGGCAATCCCCTAACTTCATGGCCTTCTACCCTGCAAACACAACCTATCCTTCGATGCTCGGCGAACTCTACTCTGCAGCATTCACGGCACCAGCTTTCAATTGGCTATGTTCACCTGCGGTCACCGAGCTTGAGACGATAGTCCTCGACTGGCTAGCGCACATACTGCACCTCCCAGACTGCTTCCTGAGCGAAGGAAAAGGTGGAGGGGTGATACAAGGAAGTGCAAGCGAAGCAATTGTCACGGTCATGGTTGCCGCGAGGGAAAGGTACCTGAATCAAGCTTGTGAAGGACTTGAGGGGAAAGAGAGAGAAGAGAAAATGAACTGTACTCGAGGACGCCTGATCGCTCTTGGTAGCGAGCAAAGCCATAGCAGCACAGCAAAAGCAGCCTTGATCGCTGGCGTCCGCTACAAGTCTATTCCAACGCGGATGGAAGACGGCCTTGCTTTGACGGGGGATGGTTTACGCATGGCGTTAGATGAGTACGCACGCGACGGTCTCGAGCCCTTTTACCTGACGACCACTCTTGGCACCACAGGAACCTGCGCCACGGATCAGTTCTATGAGATCGCGGAGACTCTGAGAAAAGCCCACGTGTCCACAAGGATCTGGGTCCACGTAGACGCGGTTTATGCCGGCGCGGCTCTCGTTCTTGACGAATACCAGCATATAGCGGACCAGTTTGCCGCCTTCGACAGCTTCAACATAAACATGCACAAATGGCTCCTCACGAATTTTGATGCCAGCTGCCTCTACGTCCGTACCCGCGCCGATCTGACATCTGCCCTTAGCATCACTCCCTCTTATCTCCGCAATCCTTTCTCAGACTCCGGCCTCGTGACCGACTATCGTGATTGGCAGATCCCACTGGGCCGTCGTTTCCGTGCATTGAAGATCTGGTTTGTTCTCCGTTCATATGGAGTTAATGGGCTCAAGGCGCACATTCGGAAGCATATCGTCATGGGCGAGAAATTTGCCGCGTGGGTTAGAGAAAGGGATGATCTGTGGGAAATTGTGACGCCACCGGCTTTTGCGCTCACCGTGATTACAATTGCTCTGCCAGCTCGGTCAAAGGGCACACTGCCCGATGGCATGACAGAGCCGAGGGTGACGGATGGCGTGGCAACTTCCAACACTCTCCCTTCCACAAGTGAAGAAAATCGAGATCGCACGAATGCGTTGACGAAGAAGATCTATGAAAGCATCAACGCCGCCGGCGAGATATTCTTGACCAGTAGTGTTGTTAAGGGCATTTACTCCATCAGGATTGTGAGTGCGAACGAGAAGGCTGACGAGGCGCATCTGAGACGCGCATTTGAGATCCTTGTAGACACTGCTGAGATGGTCATATCAGAGAGCAAAGCCGAGATATAGAGGGGTACTCTGCGGTATAAAGTTTAGATCCCGACTGGTGCGAGAAGTACAGGAGTAAAAGAAAGAATACTCATAAGTCCCGAAGTCTTGCTCAATAGCCTATGTTTCCATGAATTGTGACTCATAAATTTTTAAGCTACGCTCCGTCGGATGGCCCATGAGGCTGGAAAGTCCTTACGCATCGGCGCTGATCTCTAGGCATTCCCAACCATTCGCCAGCAGAAGCCATGTCCAGCTCGATTGACATCTACACGGTGCAATTCAGACACGGAGAACCGTTCACAGGGAACCTCCGCGCTTTCGAAAATCTGGAGACCTTGAAGCTTGAGACAGCGATGACATTCGAAGAGGTCGACGGCGCCGACGACAGTACCCCTGATGAAGATGTTGGGTACTCACAGGTTGGAGTCCCGAGAAAAAACTCACGGGGAGCGGGTCGGCGGACGTGTCGCTTTGGTGGAACCCGAGCATCTCGCTGGTGTTCTGCCAGCTCCTGCGAAGACATTGAGGCTTGTAGGAGGCTTGTCGGATGGAGAAGCTGCTGCGGTGCTGAGAGGTTTGATGGGATGGAAGGATGAGCATTTTCGAAGATTCATGGGATATTCTTCGGGGGTGTTGATTCTTGTTCGACAAGACAATCATGAGGTATAGGCTAACACGTAGCGATAAGTTTCTAAAATAGCTAGGGTGGACCGACAGATTTGTTGTGGCAAGTAGAGATCGTTATTCGAGATGGACAGCTGAGGTATCATGAGATCGTATAAGCGTCTTGCCACTGTCGAGACGATATCCTCTTCTGCCTCGGCTGCCGTTGAGGTGCCACGTGTGGCATGAATCTCCGATAGAGTTGTTCCTCACGACGAGAAATTGGAGATGAATACCACTAATACCACACATGTCAGCCAGAAGACGACGGTATACATAATCGGCCGAGTGAACGCATAACGAGGTAAGCATACCAATCTGCCCAGGTGGCAGTTCGCGAGATGTCACAAAAATCTAGAAACCTTGGCAACACGTTAGGCACAGTACCAGGGTTGGATTGCTCTGCGTAGTAAACAAGATATTACTTCACATCATGGGAGTGTTGGCATTCAAGATTATCGAGGAATGCAAGAGTAGGGAACATGGTTTCACTTAGGCAGCGGTAGCAGCGTTTTTGCTTTCGTCTCTTTCTAGAATACCATGAGTCCTCTCCTCTTCCACACTGATTGACCACAGAATGGACTGCAGGTAAACCGAGGCGCGGAACGTACGCTTTAGTAACCACAGTCCATGCCGAGCTGAAAACAAAAAAAGAGCAATATTAAGACGATCTTCAAAGCGCGGTGCTCAGGCAAGACATATAGCACAGCGGAAGCTGACATGAGCAAGCTCACAGTAGTGATTGTGACAATGAGCCGTACTATGATATCGATGTGGTGTTTCGTTAGCAGCCGAATGTACCTTTCATAGCTTCTCATGCGTCGTTCCGGGGAAATTGATAATGCCTTAGACTGGGTAAGCATTGGTCAATCATGACATGAACACAAAAGGGATAGTCAACGTGCAATACGTTCATCGATGTGCACCAAGCTAGTAGTTTCTTAGCGACACCGTCGAGCCACCCACGTTCCTGACCTTCAACAGGTGTGATGAGGTCGGAACTTTGTTCTAAGAAACTCATCTCCTTATTGTATAGAGGCTTCTGATCTAGCATCCAAGTTGCAAAGACTTTGGATGTGAGTGGACGTCGTGCAGGCAAAGATACAAACGACCGCATTCTGACAATAAGATCATCTAGGAAGCAGCGTTAGAGCCTTTATGAGGTTCACAGATACACAAATCGTACGTTATTCTCTGCTTTTCACCTCTATTATTTCCGTCGATGACTTCCGGGAATACGGCAGGGTACGACATCCGTCTGTTCCTCTCGACTTCAAAGCGAGTGGGCAGCTCTTCCCATCCTTGCGGTCCATATCCAGAAATTTGCGTTCCAATTCGGCGATTTCATCTTGACGGTACAGAAGTAGTCTAGCATGTATGTTGCCAAATTTTCGATTGATGAGATTATCTCCGTCGCTGTTTAGGAACACCGCTACTTGAGGGAAGCCTTCTTCATGGTGTTCAACTAGAAGATGTTAGCCAATCCAATACACATCGGATGGAAAGGTCGCACTTCGCTGGAGTAGCTTGCCTCTCATTCGGGTTTCTGGTTGCGTGTAGATACAAAATTCCGCAGGAAATCGATAAAGCTTCGGGGAACTGCTTCATAAGCAGGGTCTGCGCCCAGTAAAATTAAGAACACAGAGATATCGAACAAGAGATGGGTATTTACTGACAGGCTTCAGTGACGGTCATGCCGGCACCTGTCATATCCCTGCTCGCTACAGGGCCAATGGGAATCACGCTGTCACCTCTTCTGGGCTCATCTGTTGAAAGTAAAAAAGAGCGATTTGGCGGTATCCAAGTTGGTTCATGAGGCAACTCTATGAAAAGCTTGTTTGATAGCGAAGAATAAACCCATCAAAAGGCAGATGTCAGTCAAAGGAGCTGGAGTTCCGGCTGCCTGAAAATTGCCGATGGAAGACTCGACAAAGCAATACGGAGGGAGTATTGTACTTGCCAGACGCCCGATCCACCTGGTCGAAATGTATTGGCGCCACAACGGATACCTACAGGAAGGCAACCGATTACACGAACCTTGCAACACCTCCAGAGCAGGTTTTTGAGCTGCACAGCCCATACTTCTCCCAATGTCAATTACGAAATGGGACCGCCTGACGACCGTCTTTTTTCTTCTTCAGCTTTCTACTCTCTGCAAATGCCTCGCCGTGTAAATGACAATGACAAGGTGGAGAACAACCCTGAAGATTGTAATCAGATTCTATTAGCGTCCAGAAAATATTTCAGATTGCACGTGGATATCGAGCCTCGCGTTGCGTTTGCAAGCGTTGTAGTTGACGGGACGTAGCTACATTAACTCGGTCTCACGAAGCATAGATTGTGGTCAGATGCTCGAGGTATGAGGCGAATCACGCGTTTCTGAACTACTCAGACCAGCATCACCAAATTTTAGCAAATGGGACCGGTTGAAAATGAACCGGCGAAATTAGTATAGCTACTTATTGTTTCTGCCTCAGACTTGACTCATTGGCAGAGGCTGCTCTTATGTAGGGCAAGGGCCTTCTAACTATGGTGGCACAAGGATAAGAAAAGCTTTGGGAAAAGTGAATGTAGAGATCTGCAGCATCACTACAACGAACTGAATAAGTCGATTTTCAGTCACGATGTATCTTTACTGATCTTGATTTACTAGACTTCAAACCTACAGTACCTTAGCCCTCATTGCTGTCCAATGTCCAGCCTATTTTTCGGATGGCTCGGCAAGTCCCAACGAATTGAGATACCAAGATACCTCAATACCAAGTCTTGGCATGAAACTAGCTGTATTTAACTGATAAGCTTATCCCGCTCCGCGATATCGGCAAATCAATTGCTCATTAATCGAGAATTATGTTCTGCGGATATATGTATTCCAAATTGCGTAGAGTACCAAGTAAATTTCAACTCAACCGCCCACCAAGCGAAATATTGAATCTACCAATCGTTCGCCTTGATCGTCATGGTGTAACAACACGTCTAGAAACAGCGAGCTGGAGGCGCTGTCATCATCCTCAAAATGCGCCTCGTAGTTGGGAAGACGCTTCTGCACCATAGAATACTTACCACTACCTCCACCCTCTCATCCCGGACTGCTTGCTCAGGATGTCTGAAAGCTGCAATACGTGCCGGTCGGGCATCAACAAGACCTTTCTACACAAGCTCCGCCGCAGACAAAAGCAATGGCGTCCAGCGTCAATCCATACTTGATCCACTCGACTCGTTTGCACGGAGGCACATTGGACCTTCGTCAAGCGATGCTCAACGTATGCTTGGAGCCCTGGATCCGCCGGTTCAGAATCTAGACGCATTTGTCAAAGAGGTCCTTCCGGTGAACATACGGAGCACCAAAGATATCGACATCAATGGCCCAGCTTTTGATTCAAGGCCCGAGGGCTATTCGGAGACAGAGCTGATTGCACGATTGCGGAAGATTGCAAAAGAGAATAAGGTTATGAGGAGTTACATTGGGTGCGGTTTTGCTGGGACAAAAGTGCCAGAGGTCATCAAGAGAAATGTGCTGGAAGGTCCAGGATGGTATACAAGCTATACACCCTATCAGCCCGAGATCAGTCAAGGACGGTTGGAGTCGCTGCTGAACTTCCAGACAGTAGTGACCGATCTAACAGCTCTTTCAATTTCCAACGCCTCGGTACTCGACGAGCCTACCGCTGCAGCAGAAGCTATGACCCTTTCGATGAACGCCTTGCCAGTCACCCGGCAGAAGCGGCCGGACAAGACTTTCCTGGTTTCCCACCTCTGCCATCCCCAAACAATCGCAGTATTAGAGTCCCGTGCGGACGGCTTCGGTATTAAGATTGTTGTTGCAGATATCTTAGAGAAAAATTGTGCGAATGTTAAAGAGACAGGAGAGGACTTGATCGGAGTGCTGGTACAGTATCCAGACACGGAGGGTGGCGTTGAGGACTTCCAAGGCCTTGCAGATGTTGTACATGGACAAGGAGCTACGTTAAGCGTGGCCACTGATTTACTGGCCCTTACCCTTTTGAAACCTCCAGGAGAGTTCGGCGCTGACATTGCATTTGGGAATGCACAGCGTCTTGGCGTTCCTTTTGGATACGGAGGTCCTCATGCTGCGTTCTTTGCATGCGGAGACAAATATAAGAGGAAAATTCCTGGCCGATTGATTGGTGTGTCGCAAGACAGGTTGGGAAACAAGGCCATGAGATTAGCCCTGCAGACTCGGGAGCAGCACATAAGGCGTGAGAAAGCAACGAGTAACATATGCACTGCTCAAGCTCTCCTTGCGAATATGAGCGCTTTCTATGCCGTCTATCATGGCCCAAGTGGTCTCCGAGAAATCGCCCAAAAAGCCGTCAATGGTGCTCGCATTCTCGAGGAGGGTGTCCGAAGGCTTGGATTCAGCACTGGCGCTCAAGGAAAGGGTGAAGACAGTCGAGCATTGTTCGACACCATAGCCATAGAGGTAGGATCTGGACGTGCTCCGGAAATCGCCGCCAATGCAGCAGAGACAAGCGGCATCAATCTTAGAATTCTGGACAACGCCAGGCTTGGGGTCACGATAGACGAGACGGTCGAGCATCAAGACTTGGAAGATATCCTGGCAATCTTTGCGAAAGCGGCGTCGACATCTGAAAGCGACATTGCGTCAGTGGACGAGATCGCCTCAGATCTGTCGCTTTCGGCATCGGAGCTTGCAGGAGTTCCTTCCACTCTCAAACGAACGTCTACTTATCTTACACATCCTGTTTTCAACACTCATCACTCGGAGACTGAGCTCCTGCGCTACATCCACCATTTACAGTCGAAAGATTTGTCTTTGACTCACTCTATGATACCACTCGGCTCCTGTACGATGAAGCTCAACGCTACCACCGAGATGATACCGGTTTCGTGGCCCGAATTTTCTTCAATCCATCCATTCGTGCCAGTAGATCAGACCAAAGGATATACAATTTTGATAAACGAACTCGAACGAGACCTTGCTGAAATCACTGGCTTCGATGCGGTCTCACTGCAGCCTAATTCAGGCGCTCAAGGCGAGTTCGCAGGTCTTCGAGTGATCCGGAAATACCAGGAAACGCAGCCAGGCAAGAAGCGTGATATCTGTCTTATACCTGTGTCTGCCCATGGTACAAATCCTGCAAGTGCTGCTATGTGTGGGATGCGTGTAGTGACTATCAAATGCGAGACTGGCACTGGGAATTTAGACATAGCGGACCTCAAGGCCAAGTGCGAGAAATACAGCGAAGAGCTTGGTGCAATTATGGTCACATACCCTAGCACATTCGGAGTCTTCGAGCCGGAGGTAAAGCAGGTCTGCGAGATAGTCCACGCTCACGGTGGGCAGGTCTACATGGACGGAGCGAATATGAATGCGCAGATCGGTCTCTGCTCGCCTGGAGAGATTGGCGCCGACGTTTGCCATTTGAACCTCCATAAGACGTTCTGCATTCCGCATGGTGGTGGTGGACCTGGCGTCGGCCCTATTGGTGTCAAATCTCATCTAGCGCCTTTCCTACCAGGCCACCCTTTGATCAAGACTGGGGGAGAGAAGAGTATTGCGCCAGTCAGTGGAGCACCATGGGGCAGCGCGGGCATTTTGCCAATCAGCTGGGCATACATCAAGATGATGGGCGGTCGTGGCCTTACACATGCAACCAAAATCACCCTCCTCAGTGCTAATTACATCCTCTCCCGCCTCAAGCCCCACTACCCGATCCTTTATACCAACGCTGCCGGTCGCTGTGCCCACGAGTTCATCCTCGACGTGCGTCCTTTCAAGGAATCTGCTGGTATCGAAGCCATCGACGTGGCCAAACGATTGCAAGATTACGGCTTCCATGCACCCACCATGTCATGGCCTGTGGCTAACACCCTTATGATCGAGCCTACTGAAAGCGAAAATTTAGCTGAGCTCGACCGGTTCTGTGATGCATTGATTGAAATTCGCAAAGAGATCAAAGCTGTAGAGCAGGGTGAGCAGCCGAGACAAGGCAATGTTTTGAAGATGGCGCCTCATCCTTTGCAAGACCTGCTAGTGGGAGAGAAGTGGGAGAGAAGCTACGGAAGGGAGAAGGCGGCTTATCCATTGCCATGGTTGAAAGAGAAAAAGTTTTGGCCCAGTGTTACGAGGGTCGATGATGGTGAGTGAGGTATTGTGAATGGTTGAATGTAGTAGACTAACAGGACTCCAGCTTACGGTGACATGAATTTGTTCTGTTCTTGTGGGCCTGTCGAGTCTATTGATGGAATGACTGGGGCCGCGGCGCCATCGCCGACATAAATTCCTTCGAGGGTCGCCAGAGCACCTCTCATTCACGAGGTCACAATCCCTACGATGGCAGGGTTTTGGGTTGGACATCGCCTGTCAACGCACCATTTCTTTGAAGGTATGAACCGGTTTCTAATCAATGGCGCTAGCGACTACAACTACGACTATCTCTGGAAGCATACCTGGATGACACGACTTGATCACGAGTATTTGATTTGAATAGGTGTTTTGAGAAGGGTTGATACCATTGGGATCTGCTTATGACCATCTTCAACAAGTGGTCTGCATGGATGTTGTCTGCAATCTAGCGATGCATCGCATTCAACAGGTGCATAGGAATGGGGCTCGGGACCACGGATTTGGAGTCTTTCTTGGGTAAATCATACATAGAATGTGCCTCTTCCTGACCTGGGAGAATGAGGTTTGAGGTGTTTCGTTAAAGACATAGACTCATAAAGGTACATTTCTAGGGTAACACAGGCATTTCCATCCCAGACTGCTGCAGAATGCTACCAAAAGAGATATCGGCCGTGGGTCGTGGGGTCGACTGGATTAGGGCAAGACCCGGGCGAATAAAACGCTAGTTCAGAACAGTATCTCAGCCTTACAGTGTCACAAGTGACGAGCAGGCAGTCTACCAAGCTCAGCACAACAAGCGATTCTTTACCAAACTGTACAAAAGATCTTCAACACATCTTACCTAAAAATTTCGTCCAATCTGTCTACCTCGATTTACCGCCACTACCTCACAGAACCGACCCTGTATTACCACCTCAGATCCAACCCACATCATGAGCAGCCTCGAGAAGAGCTTGTTCAATTTGAAGGTGTGGGGAGCCCATGCGCACGTTCTCTTGCGGAACAGTCAAGAAACTGCTAATCTCAACCTTAACTAAACCTAGTTCACAGCAAAACAACTGAACCGGCAAGCCGCCAAAGCGGGCAAAGACGAGACAGCAGAGAAGAACAAGCTCAAAAAGGTCCCAATCCTTCCCTCTCCTCCTCCTCCTCCAAACCGTTGCCGGCTAACCGCCGCTTCTACCCGCAGGCGATACAACAAAACCACCCCGACATCGCCAAGATCTACGCCCAGAACGCGATCCGGAAGCAGAACGAGAAGCTCAACCTCCTCCGGTTGGGCTCGCGGATAGACGCCGTCGCCAGCAGGGTCCAGACGGCGGTGACGATGCGGCAAGTCACCGGCAGCATGGCGGGCGTGGTCCGAGGGATGGAGGGCGCCATGAAAGCCATGGATTTGGAAAAGGTGAGGCTGGAACGCTCAGATCGGCCCATCTCTCGAGTCGCGCGATCTCACAATCTCCCAGATCTCCGCCGTGATGGACAAGTTCGAGACCCAATTCGAAGACCTGGACGTCGCGACCGGCTACTACGAGAACGCGACGTCGTCCGCCACCGCCGTCGGAACGCCGCAGGACGACGTCGATAAGCTGATGCATATGGTCGCGGATGAGGCGGGGGTGGAGTTGGGGGCGGAGATGAAGGCGCCGGAGACGGGGGTGCCGGCCGCGAAGGTTGGGGCGGAGGATGAGAGGGAAGAGGGGTTGGGGGAGAGGTTGAGGGCGTTGAGGAATTAGGGCGGTTGGGGAATCGGATTGGATTGGGGGAGGGATGGTGTTGGGCGTTTCAGGGGCTGGAAAATGAAGGCATAACGAGGCGGGGTCTTCACGGAGAACATTTACAGCTGGAGAAGTCTATGCTTCTATGATGCAAATGGTAGGCCCACAAGGGTTGGCGATGACGGACATTCACCGGGAAATGGAAGCGGGGCCGACTTGGGTCGATGTTTTCCATGCGTGGCCCATCCAAGTCTATCTGGAGCTCATGGAACGTGACAGCAATCTGCCAACTTGATATTAGCCCGCCTCTTCGCCCAGATTGTATTCATGCCGCAGCTTCATGGGCCCAAGGCGGTAATGTCACTTTCAGAAATTCTCTGTCCTAAACGCAGTTGAGAATCAGGTCCCCATAACCTTCAACTCTCCGTCGTTGACCTTCCCAGCCTCAACAAGCCTCTTCACCTCCTCGCTCCAGACCTTCCCTACCTCCTCCGCAAGTTTCGTTCCGCCAAGCTTGCCCGCCAAGCTAGCCATCTCCTCAGCATCAATCTTAGCCATGACAGCTTCGACATCGTTCAGTACTTGATCGACCCTCCTTGCGCCAGCTTCTTGTCCAGCAGGAAGCAGGTAGTTGGCGTCTTTCACACTTGACTTCAGCACTCGCTTGTTCTTCTTCATAGCATTCTTGGCAGCTTCCTTGGCCTTCTTGCCCTCGGCTTTCTCGGCCTTTGAGGCCTCCTCTGTTTCTTTTCGTAGCCGTTCTTTCTCTTCGGCCGCTTTCTGCGCATCTTCCTTTTCTTTCTTTTCCGCCGCTTCCCTTTCCAGTCTCTTTTTGTCTTTACCGGCTCGCTCTTCCTTCTTGAACCGCTTGATCCGTTCGTCGCCGGCTAAACAGTCGTCCACCAGTTGCCTTAGCCTCGTCGTATCCTCAGTCTTCTTCTTCTTTCTTGCATTGTTGTTCTTTCGCTCAACGTGCCGCTTCTGGTCTCGGTTCTCATTGTCATCGGGTACATCCTCATCCTGATATTCGAAAGACCGCCAGCTGTCAAAGTTGTACCAAAAATTATAGAATTCCTCCACTTCCTCTTTCTTGCTCTTATCGTCTCCCAGTCTTGGAACGGGCTGTGTCTTGCTGAAGCGCCCCTCGGCTACAAAGACAGGGTTCCATAGCTTGAAAAAGTTACCTTTCTGGGCTTGCTTCTTAGACGGAGGTTCGACGTCGGCAGCCTCGTCTACCGAATCAAATTGACGGCGTTTGACAGGGTCGAGGAGGATTTCAGTGGCTTTTTGTATGCATTTAAAGAAGGAGTCATCCTCGGAGGAGCCAGCGGCTGCTTTCTTATCGGGGTGATGGCGAAGAACCTTCTTGCGGTGGGCGCGTTTGATCTGGGTTTCTGTAGCCTTGTAGCGATGCTTGGAAAGGCCGAGTACGGCGTAGTGGTCTTGTCCCTGCGGTGGTAGAAGTGAGTGGTGGAACACTCGTGAGACACATGAATGAATGGAGGGAATACCTTCCAGTCTTTCGCGTCACGCTGTAACATCAGCGGGTCTTCGGGCTCGCTAATCTCTCCAACATCATCGTCCTCGACCTTCTTAACGCTCTCTTGAGCTTGAATTCGATCGTCTTCAGAAAAGGTACGTTGGTGACGCTTCTGCTACAAGGTCAGAATTCGGAGTAGCTATCATTTTTCAAGCGATCAATGGGAGCTGACTGACTCTTCGTGCGTGGGCGAGAAAATGAGGTCCCACAGGCTCAATGTTGCGCTGTGTAGCAGATGAAAGCTGGCCAATCGATTTGAAATCTTTCTCACCTGCCCAACCCTGGGGCAGCACAGGTAGAGGTAGCGAAAAATGAACAGCAGCCATGCTTGATAGTATTGTTATTATTGTTGACGAACCTCAGCTTTTTTTGAATACCAGTTTCCGCCGCTAAGCAACTTCTTGGCAACGGGAGTTAATCCTTGCAAGGCGTCCCCTCGCTCCCGGTCCAGAGTCGCTCATAAAAATCATCGACTTACAGCATCTCCTCATTCACTCAACCTAGGCCGCACACTGCCTCCATTGGCTATATCAACCATTTGGTCACAAGATTTGTATTGCGTCAAACATAAAGCTCTTCATCTGCAAGCTCTTCTTCATTGCCAATGGCCCTGGCAGCATATCGTCACGTCCTTCGATCCACCCAGGTTGCATTTCAGGGTACTTGCTTCAAACCCTACAATCCATGACTTTCGGGACTCCAATTACATTGTTAGACGTCTAACACGTGCAATATCTTTGCAGGCGATCTCCGGACACTCTCGGCCGCCCGTGTCGAAGCGCGCTCGAAGTTCGATCAGAATCGCTTCCTCTCCCCTTCCAGCACCGAGGCTGAGCAAAAGGTGCTCGAAGCGAAGGAGGTAGCGCGTATATTGAGGCAGAATGTTGTGCAGGGAGAACAGGTCACGGGGTCTAAACTTCAGGAGCAAAGATACCGTGCGTAAATCCTATGTGCCAGGCTTGAGCGCCTTTCTGTGGAGCCAGGGCATTCCTGGTTCGACTGCTGAGGGTTCATCGTAGATGCTAATATAACGGGGCTGTGCAGAGCTACGAATTCATGAGGAGATTGAGCGGGGCAACAACGACTCGATCAAAAAGGGGTCAAGTCTAGCAGCGGCTGCAACAGGATTTTGTGGTGGAGCAAGATGACCCTGGGATTGGCGTTAGGCATCTAAGCGTACTCATCTTTCAGAGATATCTGAGACATCAAGATCTGCTTTGTGCCCAATCGGATGCTGGACCCACCCACCAAAGAGACGCGTGCGGTACGTTTCAGACCCTTCGTCTAAAGATTCGGTGAGGAAGCTCTGCTCGGCTGGAAAGAAATGCCTGAGCTCGACGTGCGCTTGACGTGACTCCTCCTGGACGCTTTCACCATCGGTAGCAGAACCAAAATTCAAGACTGCTCGGCCCCTGATGTGCGAAGTTTATACATCGCGAACCAATCAGTCTCTCAAGATCTAAGACTCCGCTGCGAATATTTGCATATGTCTTCAGGGTCTGAAAGCGCAAGACAAGCTTATCAGATTGGGAACGTTGCGCATCTCGAATGGCGCCCTGTTTGCCTTCGACCTGGTCTCGCAACCGAGTGCCGAAGACAACAGGCAACAACGGAAGACAAGCTTGCTCGCGCTGATGGATTACCAAAGTCTCTGCAATGCAGCGATCGACTGAACCACATGGTCAATGCGTTCAGAAATCAATTTGTCGTTACATATGCGCATATATCGTTGTTATCTGAGACTGTCAAACACCTACCCCAGATTTTTTATTCCTGAGGATTTACGTCCAGGATTAAGGCAGCCGTCGGCAGCTAAACCTTCAATGCAGTATCGTCAGAATTCTGCAGGCTCTGCACTGCAGCGGTGCAGAGCGTGCAGAACATATCTATGGTTCCTCCCCGCCCGAAATTTTTAGCTTGCGGTACCACTTTGGCGCATTCTGCGGCCTCATAAGCGTACGCGACAGAACTTCTCAACTTGCAGGATGCCCCATTGTTGAAACGTTTATTGGTTGATCTTACTGGAACGCACAACGCAAAAGACGCCAGGAGTGTTTGGGATCAATTCATGACCGGGTTTGCAATACTAGATCACATGGCGATTACTGCACTCCATGGCAACCCTCTCATCTCCCAGTCCAACTTTCAGCCTCGTGCAGGTCACGATGGACGAACGTATTTGGGAGATCCTCTCTGCCAATGATAGAGGTGTCTCATCAGTTGTCTCCCTCGTGAAGAAATCTACCTTGGTTTTGAATTCCTCTTAAAAATGTCATCCTCTGCAGCGTCGAACCAATCTCAGATCATCATCAACATCGCTTTTGGTATTGCAGCCACAGTTATAAGCATCATCACCGTGTGGCAGGGTCATCGGGCTTGGCGGCTGTGGCACGAACATTGCTGCCGTCAGCAGACTACCTTTTCAGGTCCCCACCCGCGAGTTTCCATTGTGATAGACGATACTCATACGGCATTTAGACATCGAGCTTGGCTCAAGACCATCTGTTCCGGCGATCACGAGTCTTGAAGGGCCTGGACATGGATGTTCCCAAAGCCATCTGACTGGCGGAATATCAACACCGACAACGTCGAACCCTGGAAGCGCCATTTCAGACTTCTCCAAAGACGCTGAGTCTGTTGAAGCTACCTCACCTCTGGATCTTCTTACCACTGTATCTTGGGAAGAGGTTACCACGTTTTCCGGAGCCTTCCCATCTCCATTCACACGGTCCTTGGCTAGCTCGCATTCAGAAATCGAGCTCAATATGCCCCCGAAGCCTACCCTGCTACGAAACTCAAAAAGCCTCGAGGCCGTTCCGCATCTCAGTCTCTACTGATACGGCCATAGATTGTTTCGCTTGGACGGCTCTCATGATTTCGATGTGGATAAATGGTGGTTTGGGATGTGCTGGGAGCATCTTACGAGCCTACTGGTCATGATGGGTTGTGGAGTACGCAACGGAGTTTTGGTTCATAAGACCTTACGACAGGCTCGGGTTCATTTTCGTCTTCCTTCGCCTGATCATGCACGAGCTCCTCGGTTACGGCCGCTTACTCTTTGATGGTAGCCAATTCATGTCATTCGGGGCGCAGCATTCCTTTCTTTCTCTGCGCGAAGCACTCTCAAAGTCAAAATGAGTATGCAGAATTGATCGTCAAACATTGCTTGTAATTTAGACCCAACTAATGATGAGTCAAGACTGCAATACCAAATTTCGATTGCTTGTCAGACCTCCGTCAATCTTCCTGTCCTCTTTGCTTTGTACTTGAATTAATCAGACTCAAAAGTGTCTCTCTTCCCCTCCCGTCACTCCTCTAGCTACTCTGACACTCAAACCTACAAGTTAGCCGCAAGCAAGCTGTCAGCAGAGCTGGCAGTCTGAGGCGCTGAACCCTATTGTCCTCACGTCAGTTTGGGCATACACTCTGAAAATTTCCGTTAAAGATTAATAAGGGGGAACGCTCAAGATGATAACCTTCTTCTGATACTGCCCTTGTCGATACTCACAGTCCACACCCGTCGATGCCACGCTCCCGGGCTTCATGTCTGGCGGTCAATGCCGGGTAGCATTATTTGGCTACAGCCTCCAAGGTGGCAGCGTGGTGAACTCAGGGATGAGTCTGAGCCACCCAAAAAAGTCTTTTTCCGGTTCACCACAACTCAACAGCGATTGAGATTACGACAAAGCTTTCGAGCCCCAGTCATCATAAATGTAAAGTCTTAATATTCTGTTCCTGATTCTTTTATTTATACTCTGAATCCTATTGATCAAAGGTTTCACTTGCAAAATCCTCGTCCTGAACCAGCTTGCCAATCCCTGCGATCGCGCTTCACAACCACCAACCTACCATCCTAATCATAAGCAGCGGTATTGCATTGGCCAATGGATGCGATTTCTTTTAGCTGCGATGTGGTGGCATAACAAGCGCGACGGGAGCATTTTTAAGGTCGTTTTAGGAAGTCCCATCAGTGACTTGCATCATCGTGGCGCAGCTGAACCACTCAACTTTGGATCGACCTTTTTCTCCCTTTCCATTGCACGCGCTCTCTCTACTATGCAGCTTACAACGTGTTCGAGATTTGCGGCAGATCTGCTGTTGCCAGCCTTATTGTGCGTGTGCTAGACATTCTATCGATGGAGAAGACAATTTAATCATCACGTTGGATGCAATTCAGGATGAGCAGGCCAAGCAAGCGATGACTTGCACGAGCATCGGTGCCTGGGCTGGGAGCAATCAAATCCCATTCACCCCATTCTGCTTTCACGTACCGACGTCACTTATTCTTCGCTGTAATGTCAACAAGCTGTCACACGTGCCGCGCCAAAACTTGGGACTCCAGGTGTTTCGGGCCCATCGATGCTCCTGTGGTTGGTGCGTCTTCCGAGTTCGTTCAATGGCCTCCTTGAGGAATTGCGTCCCACCTATGGACACGCAATTTGCTCGCACTGGTGGGAGACGCGAGATGTCTACTACAGGGCTGACTGTTTATGATGCTGCTGAGGGGTCTTTTCAAATAGAAGAACAGGGTCAAAAGGCTTCGTCAACAGCCTGATTCTTCGGCTTGAAGTCGTCCGATGTGGGTCGTGACTTTGACTGTACTCGTAAGAGTTAAATTGGCGTGCGGATAACAGTGGGAAGGAGCCGCAGACAATGTACTTGTACACTACATAAGCGAAAGTTAGCGACTTGCTCATCTATTTAGCCAGGTCGACGGCGGCCTATCGGAGATGAGCTATAATGTTTTTCTCGTACGGGGTCATCGAGAATTGCCAGAACTGCGCAACCGTGATTAGGATTACTCGACTTGGTGCAGATCATATCCCCTACGAAAATATTTTGCGCGTAGGTTGGGTAAGTCGGCACAGAGAATTCCCAAAAAGACCTTAACAGTGGCACTCCCGCGGGTTCCAGGAATCGTGGTACACCCTAGCGCCTAATTTGGTTCAGTGCGTGGCACTAAGCCTGCCACCCACTCTAAGCCCTAACCAAGTGTGCAACGACTTTTCCCCCGACCACTGGTGTCGCTGAGATCCTACCACTTTCAACCCATAGGAAAATCGTTCTATAAGATGGCTGGCTCTCGCTATAAAATGGTTGCCTCAGTGTCAATAAACTGTCTACGGTCTCGTCATTACTTAATATATCGTGGATTGTCGTCTTTCTGCACCTTCTCGCCGCACTAATTGCCCCCGTTAGGATGTCTTCCTCAGCCTCGTCCAACTCAACCGAGACAGTCACCAATATCGTCTTTGGTGTCACTGCCACTACCATTAGCATTGTGACCGTATGGCAAGGTCACAGAGTATGGAAGATGTGGCACGAATATGTCCATGATCAGGAGGATGTGGCTCCTGGTCCGGTTTAATCCATCCACTTTCAACAGTGGCATTTTTACTTACAGTCACCGAGTAGACATCGAGCTCGGTATCCAGTCGTCCCAATCCACGCCTAGGAGCCTCGAGGCTCCAGAACGTGACGAGGTCATCGCTAGCTCAGCTCCGTCGGCAGACCAAGTTGGAGGAGTTGCCGAGTCCGTGGCCATGCCTGGGTCCGTACAACACCCCGAGCTTCAGCCCACTCTGCCGATGACCGTCGACGCCGAGGCAAGTCTCAGCTCAGCTTTGGTCCAAGGAACACCGATTGATAGCAACGGACTTGCTGGGGTCGACACTGAGAATGCACAGCCTGCCTTGACAGACGTGGAGTGTCAGGAACTCCGTCCTGCCGCCAACGACCATCTCTGACCCCAGCAGGAGTCACAAGCCAGACGGGAAACGCATCCTGCCATGGCTCAGACTGCACTCGTCGGCGTTGGATGGGGTCGTGGCAAGCTGTTGGATAGGCTTTGCACCGTGGATAAACATAGGGAGTGCAGGCGACATGGAGGGATAAACAGGCGCATTTATGATCATGATGGGGTTGCGCTTCATACGATGGCAATAGACCATGATCACGGCTCGTGCTCCGCAATGCGTTGACACCTCGATGAGCTTTGTGACCGTATTGCATTGAGCTTCCCTCCTTTTCATGTCGCAAACATCTGGCTCCTAGCTCTCATCCAGCCATTTCCTGAGCTTCACCCAAATCATCAGTAGAGTACATCTCCTACCGGCTTTTACCCATCTGTATCCGCATTTACTGCACAAATTCCTCGACGTATTGACATTTTCCCCTGCTCCACAAGCCACGTAAACGAAATGTAACAGGTTCTCCAACTCTTCGTATCGACCGATTTCTTTTCACCCAACTCCATTACCATCGGCGGTCAAAACTCCGCTGCCCTAAACAAAATATCATGCTTCCAAATAACACAAAATTTTAAACCCCAACCCACTAGCAAAAAACACCGCCCACCCCGCCCCCCCCTCACAACCACCCCTCCACCCCTCACACCACAACCACCCCTCCACCCCCTCCACCACAACCACCCCCCACCCCTCAACACCCACAACCACCCCTCCACCCCTCACACCCTCCACCCCCTCACACCCACCACCCCCCACCCCCCTTCCCCACCACCCCCCCACCCCCATCCCCCCTCACCCCCATCCCCATCCCCACTCCACCCCCACACCCACCTCCCCCCTCCACCCCTCACCCACAACCACCCCTCACACCCACCCCACACCCCCCACCCCCCCCCTCCACCCACCCACCCCCCACCCCCCCACCCCACCCCCACCCCTTCACCCCCCCACCCCCTCCACCACCCGCCACAACCCCACCCACTCCCCCCTCCCCCTCCGTCGACCTCCCTCACCCACTTCACCCGCGCACGAGATCCCCTTCACCTATCCCCTTCACCTACGACCCTACGACCCAACCGCCGCCGACCGCCGACGACCCAGGCCCCCACGCGCGCCTGCCCGGCCGTGACGTTCCCCGCTCCGGGGGCCCGTCTCAGCGTAGCACAGCAGTGGTGATGATAGAAAGCGTGTAGATTCAGTGGTGGGGCCATCAGCTATTATGTAGCTGATGGAGAACAAAGCACTCTGCTATCTACGGCCAACTACATGAAAGGAACAATGATGGAATAATATGCATGGAAGGATGTAGAAGGGACGCATGCATAGAACATGAAGGAACTAGACACGCTGACAGCCCGGGGCGGGCGGGACCCTCGCGGGTTTGTACGCGCGGGCGCACGGGGAGGCGGGCGCGGGCGCGCGGTGGATCCAGCTCGGGAGCGCGGGCGTCTTCGCCGCGGGGGGGTGGAATGAGTCTTCCCCTCCCCCTCCCCCTCCTCCTCCCCCTCCCCTTCCCCTTCCTCCTTCCCCTTCCCCTCCCCCTCCCCTCCCTCCCCTCCCCTTCCCCTCCCCCCCCCCCCTCCCCCTCCTCCTCCCCCTCCTCCCCCCTCCTCCTCCTCCTCCTCCTCCTCCTCCCCCTCCCCCCCCCCCCCCCCCCCCCCCCCCCCCCCCCCGTGGCCGAGGACGAGCTGCTGGCGCTGCGCTGCGCGGGACGGGGGCGTGCGTGCGTGCGTGCTCGATCTATCTGGCGGGGCCGTACGGCGGGGCGTGAAAGCCGGGGAGGGGGCGGCCGGGGAGGAAAGCCGAGGTCAGGGGGAAGGGGGGGGGGCGGTGCATGTGGTGCAGGGGAAGGAGGTCGCGGGGGCGGTGGTTGGGGAGGTTTGAGGCGGTGGGGGGGAGGCGGTGGGGAGGGACGGATTTGCGGGTGTATGATTGTGTGGGGTTTGATCATGGGTTGGGGGGGGGAGTATGAGCGGTGGGTTGTGGAGTTGATGAGGGAGGAAGGGGTGAGGGCGCTGCCGAGGGAGAAGGAAGCGTTGGGGCGGGTGCTGGATGGTAGGGATTTTTGGGAGGCGATCGGGAGTTGGCCGGGGGAAGGGAGGGTGACTTGAACGGTGGAGACGATGTTGGTGCGTGGGAATGAGGACAGTGAGCATTGTGATGTTGAAACGTCTTGATTGGTAAGACATAATGCTTGGTAACGCGAGGGTTCGTAGCCCAGCTAACTAGTGGTACATGGTTAATCTTGCCCGCAAGCTCGTTTAAGCTGTACTCCATGAACGCCTGGAGATTCATCTCCTTCTATCCTTTTGTGACCGCTGATTCCCCGGAGTCGACCCGCTTCTCCTAGTACCCCTCAATATCGATCCGACATCACCCCTTAGACCAACCTTCTCACCATGGCGAGTTACCCATCGGACACCCAGCCCTCGAGCTCCGTTCCCGCTCGTCATGCTGCCGGTCTTAGGTCGCAGTGCCCAACCCGTCGCAGCCCTTAGAGGGCGCGCCAGGGAAGGGCTGCTGAGCAGAAGACGTCGCAGCAATCTGAGACGAAGAATTGGAGCCGTCGAGTGAGTAGCCTCCGGAGTAGAAATCGCTTTGGCGGGCGAGGTCTTCGTTGTTGTAGGTGTTGGTGTCATCGATTTTGTTGGCGAAGGCGGTAGTAGACTGACAGGCGTCGAGATCAACCATCGAATCAAAGGTAAAGCCATTGGCGTTGTCATCATCGATGGAGGAAGCGGCGAACCCGTCCTTAAAGAAGTGAAGATCATCCTCAACGGATGCATCAGTTGCGAATAGACTGCCGAAATCAACATCAGACAGAGAAGATTGGCCGAATATGATTGGATCGCGTGGGGAATCGTAGGCCGAGTCGATGTTTGACGTGCTGCCGCGGACTGACACTGCAGGTCGCACAACATCGCAGCAGGATGTTGTGTCATGTCCGGGGTAGCAGTCAAAGCATCGAGATCCAGACCCATTGTCGCTGGCGTTGATGATTCCGAGTAAGTGGCGGTTGATGGGGATGAGTAGGATGTGGAGGGCGCGCCGTGGGAATGTTGGGGCGTCGGTAGGTTGTATGGGTAGTCGTCTAATAATTCTTGCTTGATGAATTGTTCCCGAGTCAGGAGGTCTGGTTCAAGCGGTGGTGAGTCGACACGAGGTGTTGCCGAACATCCCCGTTTGATGGCTTCCATCTGCGCGGCCAGCTTGGCGACTTGCTGGGTGAGGAGAAACTTCTCATGCTCGACGGTCATCAATCGCTCCTTGAGAGACTCGTTCTGTTGCTCAATGAAGGACTTTTCGCCTTCGAGTTTCTCGACTTCTTGTCGCTTGCGCTCTCGCGATGATTGTGCCGCTTGTCGATTTCGCAGGACTCGCTCTATTCGACGTTGCTCTTTCTCATCCTCCGTCTTTGCTCGCTTGCTGAAAGAGGTGTAAGTCAATGGGAGAAAGTATCTCAAGTCGCAATAGCTTACCGAGGAGGAAGGTTTGTCTTTGGTGTTGGTAGTTCTTGACCCCATGACTTTCGCTTCTTCGTCGGCTTTTTCGACTCGTCACCCTCGACGCTCTCCTCCTTGACATTATAAGATGACTCGGGTGACATGGGTTCGGGCGTCATTAGATTGTTCTGTAATGAAGTATCGGAGAGGGAGATGGTCGCCTGTGGGTTGTAGAAATCATTGGTTCCGAAAGCCATAGCGGGCGACAGTATTTCGGCCATGTTTTGAAATGTTGGCTCGAGTCTCAACAGATATGGCGAAGCGTGTGGCGAGGGTATGCTGGTATGCTTTCGGTAGAGTCTTTGAGGAGGAGAAGTTGAGATGTGATGTAGGGATGGTTGCCTTGGGGAGCCCTTAGATATTGAGTTGAGGACACATATTCTTTCCGCTGTGGCGGGTACGGCCGCATCTAGGCAGTAATATTATGTACCGAAGATCACCGAGGGTTTATCATGCATGTTACCGAGGGTGAATCAATAATAAGCACGGCTGATGAAAAGAGCGTAGGTTGATTTTATGAGTGAAGTCGACGATATAAAGTGAAGAATAAGATGGAGAGAGAGAGAGAGAGAGAGAGAAAGAAAAGGCGGACCCAGGGGAATTTATGTGACAGACGGAGGGAATGGAGAGGAAGGGAAGGGAAGGGAGAATGCCAATTTTAATTAGGGGCTCGCAAAAGATGCAAATAAAAGATGTTGCGGTGCCACCAAAACGCCTAAGCCCCTGATGAAATTTAGCTCCCGTCCCCCCTCCAACAATCGCCGTCGCTTCTAATTCTAATTCTGTAACCCATTTTACGCAGTACGAAGGCGAAACGAACTGCTCCGTTTAATGTTGCATCTTGCATACGGCATACGCCTTGCATCATATTATTCTCCTTCTCATGATTATTATTTCTTAGCCTTGTCCGACCTCTGACAATCGCCCGACATACTTCTTCTTCGGCTCAATGCGCATCTTTCTCATGAGCATTAACCTCGTAAAATATACTTCCTCGAGCTCGACAACTACGTGGGTGGCAAATTGGAATGTGCTTAAATTTGTCTCACCAAATAAGGGAGTCGCAAAAGTGCGCAAAGGAAACTGATTCAGCAAGCCATGTTCTCCACTTGTCGTTTCACGGCACCGCACACACCACAATCAAAGGTGAAATCCTGTACGGTGCAGAGACTGAGGGAAAGAGCACTGCCTGCAGGATGCATACTGACCAAGTATCTTACCAGTCGTTCATGAGGGTAAGATAAGAGACCATTACGGAAGATAGGCCATATGCAATATTGCTGCATCGATTGTCTCGGCTCAGCTCGTAGAGAAGCTGACTGTGCCAAACGCACTGCTCGCCGTACATCTCCGTCGTGAAGCATTAGCCCGACAGCCTGGTCATGATCATGATGATCTCACCTCGCTCTATCTTCAGACTTCACCTCATCGGCCATCGAAAATCGACAATGCGTCAAACCAGTGTTACAAAGTCGGGTCGGAAGAATCATGGTTGCTTCAGCTATTTAGCGCTTCCCGTATTTCCTGTGGCACGAAACGGCGTCTCCTTCCCATTTATGCGCACTTCCCACTTCCCACTACCACATTCAGGTAAGCGACACGCAGGGTAATCGGTCAGAAACGGATGAACGGCCTTGTGTTACGACTTAGGACTGAGGACTTAGAATTCCCCCTCGGAAATCATTACGTAGGAAGAGTACATGTTGACATAGCTCTGAGCCTCCAAATGGCAATGCATACGCAAGAAGCTCGGGCGGACCTTGTGCCTCTACTCTCAATCTCCGCACTTTTTGTCACTCATGTGATTTGCTGAATGATTTCAAGAAGGATGAAACAAAGCGGAGAACGGAGGGCTTGGACGTTCCACGCCAGGTTGACATGTGGTACAGCAGCTGATAATCCTCCACCCCGGCATCATAACGGATCAGTAAGCTTGAGAGGCAATACCCGTATGGAATTATGCGTTGGGGTCCGCATCAGTAAAGTGGATCTGAGGGCGTCTCTGATCATGTTGTGCATGGCCTTGGCTACGCCTCACGCGCATTCCACTCGTTTCTAGCCAAAATGACTCATGTGAGCTCCATGGTATCATCGTTCCCACCGCTGAGAGGCTCCTCTAGAGGCACACCTCTACCCCGACCTTCTAACAATTCCCGTCGAACCTCTGGTCCAATGGCTTTGTGCCCCCTGACAAGTAGAAGATCCAGTAAAGCTTCCCGCTGGTCCTCCGTAATGTCATTCCTGTACCGCTGCGCGAATGCGAGCAGGCATTGGTGCCACAGCACTGGGAGGCTAGTCGCTCCGAAGCCTACATCACGCCCATTTGCTGGTGGTGTGACGCGGAATCGGAGAAAGTGGAACACTAAGCCATCAATGACCTTGTATGGAAGCGCGTACTTCTTCTCCAGCAGTATTCTGATGAAGATGTTGGTCGCCCCGGCTGCTTCCGTAGATATTGAAGATGTCTGCTCTGCTGCTATTTCGGTCAATCTGAGCAGGGCTGCGGCTGAGTGTAAGACCGGTACCGATACTCGGGCTAGGACGCTGGAAATAATTTGGGCCTCGCGCAACGTGCATTGACCCTCGTTCAGTAACGGAAACAATACGCCCTTAAACCAGGCCGATGGCTTGTACAGTGCTTTCTTCAGAGCTTTGTAGAGGTGAACGCTAAGCTTCTTCGTTTCGTGGATTTCTTCTCTCACGCGTTCGAGCAATACGTTTCGGAGGAACATTTGAGCGATACCAGCGCTCCCCGATATGAAGATCTTGGTGGCTTCATAGCATGCATTTGGCGTCCAAGACTCCGGTCTGGTGATGGCGAGGAGCTCCTCCCATTGCGGTAGTGTGGGAACGATCTTGAAAGGCTTCGGAAGTTTGCCGGACTTATAGCGAGATAAAATCATGCCGATCCTGCGTGAATGAGTGAGCAGAGCCAGTGATTGATGATGTCTGCAAGCTTACTTTGAGTACACTTCCACCACTTTTGCTGGTAACTCGATAGCTTCCTCAGGCGGTCCACCGCCTTGTATCATAGGCTGCCCCGTTTGCGTAGCTTCGTGTGCGGCAATCTTCTCTAAGATCAGATCTGCCAGATTGGTCCCTTGTTCTTCTTCAGTACTCTTGTTGGCAGTCGCCTGTAGGATGGCGTCTGCCGAAGTCGATGGCATGAATTTATCGAAGAGACTCAAGTCATCCGGATCAATCTCCTGTTCAACCTTGTCAGAAGTGTCATCCCAGCTACGGATTATCCACAATTCACAGCTTCCTGGATGATATCATCCTCGTCTCCCCAAGCCTCATCATCATACCGGCCATCATCTTCTTCTTCTGGCGCGCTGGCTCCACCGAAGCGTGACTCAAAAGTAAACGCTGGATTGGGCGCTGCAGCCACGTTTTCCTGCTGCTCTTCATCTGCTAGGTCCTGTCCGATCTTGAGAATCTTTCTGGACGACCTCGAATCCACATAGCCGCTGCCATCATCCTCGGGCCTTGCCTTTCTCTTCTTTGAACGATGTCGCAGCGGACCAGTAGCTGTGAGATCTTCTTCCAGCGGTGCATGCCGTCGCGCAGACCTAGATCTGGATGTTGGCGCCATTGTGTCGCTTGGGAGAAATTTGCAGCCAGATTCCAAACGTGCGGAAGAGCACTATCTTATCTTAGCGTGGATGGCTCTCAACCTAAATGTGGTCAATGCACGAGGGCTCGAGCAAAAAACACATCTCAAATTACTGTGGACCCTAGTGATTTTTGTTGCGCTGGGAATCTTTCCTATGATTTCGAACTGTAAAGCACGAGTCATTTTCTCTATTGTCGTGTGAATGCAATTGATTCCATCAAAGTACTCGTTCTCCCCATGTATTCAACTCCCTTCACTCCTTTTCTTATTCACAGCAGCGGAAATTTATCCACGAGCATGACCCGCTATTTGAACCCGTCAGATTTCCCAGCCTCCCTATCTTGTTCCCGAATATCAGCTACTGACGCTTTGTACTTTTCTCCTCCACCAGCGGCGTAAGACTTATGTTCCAAAATGTTTCCTCATCGCAAAGGTGAAGAGCCTTTATATTGGCATTGGTGTCTGGTTTCCCCGCGACGATTTCTCTCCAGAGCTTTTCGAGGACGACAGGTACCAGTTTGTTTGGTACAAGTTCCAGAACGACCAGTCCACCTTCAATGAGCACCTCATCACAGAACAGGCAGAGTGTGACAGAAATTTATAAGCAATCCCCGGATATCTTTTTCCAATAGCCCAGGAAACGTTTTCGCAGGAACAGCTGTATCTCGTCAGGTTTTATTTCGAGGAAGGACAAACCGGGTCCATCGGGTATCCAGCACTTTGCAAATATAGGTTACTCTGGACGGACAGTCGCAACGATATCTGTCGGGATACAATTCCAGCGTGCTTGAGATACTAGCAGTCTTCAACGCACTTGGAGGAATCCTTGAGTGCAAGACAATCTCACTGTACACCTGGGCTTACAATAGCCTGCCAGCCCATCTCCAGTATGACAGCCAGGCCCAGCGTGACCATGAATTACGCGCTCGGTTCCGTCAATACTTGGACCTGCCGGCTCGCCTTCATGATATACACGCAATGTGCCTTGATAAGAACAGGCCACTCATTCTCACCCACCGAAGTCGACCGATCGATGAATCTTGGAAGACTGCACCGCTGTCTGAGGACGGTCTCTCCGAAATCCACAAGGTACCGCCGCCATGCAGCCGATGATGCTCGTGCTCGAAATTAGACTGTTGGCTTCTTGACACCTGACGGGAGGGAGCATAATAATAGGTTAGCGATAGGGTCAGATCAATGCAGGATTGGGGTTTTCCTTGAATCCGTGGTGGATTCATGGACTCATTACGATGGACGTGGTTCTGCGGTGACTCTTTCGCCATAAGCAAGCTCACATAGATAGACGGTACTCATACTATTGTACTACTGCACCAACTCCATGACTCAAATCTCCAAATGTCACATCCATAGCTCTGAACAAGCACCTCCGCTTTCCATATATCCATACGACTGCAACCCTTCTCCCAGCGCCCGAGAGTCTGCCCTTCATTGTCGCTGTTGCTGAGGTAGTAGATAGATGGCGAGCATGGTATTCAAACGCCGCACTAACCTGGTAGGCTGCCAGGAAGTCGTCTCACAGTGACCAATTTGGTAGATTATTAGAGGGGCGGGAAGATGAGCTGTCTGTCAGGAGCAAGACTTTCGGCCGCTTGTCAGTGCGCTTGTTCGGTCATTCAACAGGTCAAGGAGCATCACAATCATGATTAGTACTACCATAGCTACCAACGCATGAAGAATGATTCAGGCCAAGCTGTCTGCTAAAGCGAAAACCTGCAATGATATTTGGAGGATGAGATCTCTAGGGATAAAGATACATGCACCGGGAGGTTCGGCCCACAACCGCCACATCCGGCGGACTCTGTTGCGCGCCAATCACATGCAGCTCTGGCCAAGCTCCGAGGGACCTCACTCCATCAACAATTCACCATTAGGTAGGCATATCCATTGGAAACTGCTTATGATCTCGCCCCAATCCCCAGCCTGTGTCAACTCTCCTAATATACTCTATCTTACCACCCAAGGTTTCGAAAGCGTCATCGCTGTCGATTGCTGGCAGAGCTGATTTGGGCTCGGGCCACACATGGCATCTTCACCCATCTTGACGTGCAATAGGCTCGCTATCCCAGATGGTAGATCGGCAAGCCTGGAGCAGCGAGTTGAGCTAAGTGGCTTGTGACTTGAGGGACGACCCTTTTCGATTGTGAAGGGTAGGCGAATCATCACCAGTCTCTAAGACGGGAAAGGTGTCTCTGAAAATTGTCCTGGCCGCCTATCCTTCCAAACGTTATTCTTACTATGGTCTTTCCTTTCCTCTCGCGCAAGTTGATCTTATGTCTCCTTGTGTCGTCTCCTCTCATTGTCCTATCAAAAGAGCCTTTCGTACCAGGCCATATTTGCATTGATGGCCTATCAAGCACAGATGTAGCGTTGCTGATTCTCCTCCCAAGCTGGTCTGTGGATGGACATATTTCCGCGAAGATGTCTTGGAGGCTGTTCTCATCTTTTGTATGGATTGTCTGATATGTAGAGGTGGTTGGAATCCCAGAAGCGTCAAGTGTTCCCCAAGTTTCTTCATGCTTTGTTTGAATTCTCAGAAGCCACGTCAGGCGACTAGGCTTCGGTTCTGAAGCTTTCCCCGTTCTCGGGCGGATCAATGAGGACGGTGTAGTAAGCCTCATGCAGCGAGCTTTGGTAGATGTCCCAACCTGTATTTAGTGTGAGCTATAGTCCGCAACATCTTGTTCTCCAACGAAGATGTGCAAAGCGGTGCCTGTTGCCAATTTTCTAGCTGTCGCTGCCTAGAGCGGTTCTCGCATGGTCTATAAATTTGGCAGGTGCATCCACGCATTGTTCTGCAGATAGTTGAGGCAGGCGAGAGGCTCATTCCACATCTCAACTACATTGTTTATCCTTTGCTCGTCCTCAATCATGCTCCACCACCTGCTACCCTTTACACCGTGACCCTCCACTACCTTGGCCACCAGTGCAATCTCGGAGGCTCGCTGCTGTGCAAGAGTATCAAAGGGTATGAAAGCTTGGCAAAATCGCAAGGGCCGGCATCGGCCCTCTTCAATTTCAGATCTTTCGGTTTACACAGGGTGCCGGAAGAGGACGCTGTTGTCGATAATGATGGCTATAGACTACATTAGAGGCCGTCGAAGCTCGCGACCCGTCATACCTACACCATCAGTCCCGAGTAGTGCTGCTGCTGGCAGTCCTCTGGAGTTCTGGTGCTCTGCCCTTCGATCTTGGCAATGAGGACAAGAGTGGTCGACTTTAGTGTGAGATGATTTGAGCAGGTTCTCAGATATAAAAGAGTGGGTTTTCCCCCCAGAATTTTTTTTCTCTTTTCCTTTTCTCTCCATCGAACGATTTTTGCCACATCACTCACAATCACATCACTCACACAATGCCTTCAACACGCACTTATCATTCGATCTCGCGCTCTCTCAACAATGCGTCACTAGCCATGCCTTCCCTCGCTAGAGCCTCTCGCATTCCTACCCCTCAATGTGCTTCGGTAGCCCGAATTCCCATCGCTACCGCCCGCAGCATACCTCGCCCTGTCAATTCGCTTTCGGTAGCCCGCAAATACATCCCTACCGTCCAGCGTGCCCGCCCATCGACAACTGTTGCTTCCATGGCTTCCTCTTTCGCCGCCATGTCCATCAGCAAGCCCGCCAATCAGGCCATCGCATCACCCAGTGCGCCCAAGCCTACGTCGTCTCTTCCTAGTGTCGCCGTCCCTTGCAGCAAGCTTGCCTCTGACCGTATCCAAGCTCGCCGACAACGGATCGTCGCCAACCTACAGGCCTCAAGGAAGAGACCTACCGCTCCGGCATCGATCCCTAAATCCTCGTCAATGCCGTCCCGAGCAGTGCCGTCAGCCGTCACCACTCCGGCATCGATCCCTCAATCCTCGTCGATGCCGTCCCGAGCAGTGCCGCCAGCCGTCACCACTCCGGCATCGATCCCTCAATCCTCGTCGATGCCGTCTCGAGCAGTGCCGCTAGCCGTCATCACTCCGGTATCGATACTCAAATCCTCTTCGAAACCGTCTCGAGTCATTCCAGCACCTCCGGTCAACGCCCTAGCATCAACTCTCACATCCTCGTGGATGCCGTCACGCTCTCGCAAACCCCGTGGCACGAAGCCCTACTGCGAGGGTCGACCTGGGTGCCTGGACGAAGACGGCAACCGGCCTCAGGCAGACTACCAGCCACTTTTCTACTTCGGCCTCAGGTGTAAATGCCACCCTACAGAAGGGGACATTCCAGCCCAACACAAGATAGGTCCCCGCCTGTGGAAGACCACACCAGCCGAAGCAGACGTTGATCCAAAAAGACCAAGGATCGTTCGGTTTGCGGACAATCTTGTCCAGTCGACCAGAACGTTCCGACCTTGGTACAACAAAACTTGGCCGTCCCCTGAGCAATCCTCGGACGATACAACCGAAGCAGAAGACGACGCCGCCATCAGCGCCATGGACACTCCGCCAGCGGTAGAAGTCAACAGCAATCTTCTACCTGGCAGCTCAGACTTCCAGAGCACCTGGCAGACGCTGATGGACGAAGGATTTCCTGATGACGACGAACACTTCTCCTAGGTCACCAGCAACTCACACTCACTTCCTTCGTTGCCGTCATCAGATCCTCGTCTGCAGCTCGTTGGTCGACCGTGCCGTTCCAGATCGCCATCAATGCCTTGTTTCAGTGGTAGGGCGCCAGACAGCCACTGCCTACAGCACCTCCCCTTTTCCCATCCCCTCCCCTTCACTCGGTCGCCGCCACAACTAACTGGTACGCTGTCTGGCGTTCCCCTCGTGGTACCTAGAAGACTGAGACAAGGCAACACCATGACTATACACATGCTATTCATATGCACTCGCTTTGTAAGTCATGAGATCCTCTTCCCTTGTCCTACTGATCATGCTGAAATTTGTCCAAAAGTCTCGGAGACCATGCTACCTCCTCATACTCGGCTCGACAACTCTATACCGTGGCGCTCAGATCGTTACTCTGGTGATGCCAATACGATATCTACGGCCGATTCCCTTCCTCGACACCCGACTTGACAACTCTCGATGCTTCAGCAACCCGAGTCGGCGCCATACCTCATCCACCTCTTCCTTTTCGTGTCAATGCCGTCATGGACTGGGCATCCATCGGTTGGGTTCTTACAAAAGGAGAGGATCCTCGACATTCACCTTTTACATCTTCGAATCTCACATCACCTTTCATCTTCTGCAAGGGCAAAGCCAAGAGGTTGGGCACCTCTTCGGCTGCGTCGGACCAGAGATGAGAGCTTCTCGTCACATCATTACTTCGACTCGAGCAATATACCAACACCAATCAGCAATTCTTCATCTACTCTGTCGGAACTACGACTTCCGGAACAAAAAAAAACAAAAACACCAAGAAAAAATTGAAAAAATGAGTGACGACGAGGCAAAGGGATTGCGGTCAGAATTGGGCACTCTGGCTGTTTTCCTCACGCTGAATCCGAACAATAAAAAACAATCACCAAAAAAATTGAAAAAATTGAGTGACGACGAGGCAAAGGGATTGCGGTCAGAATTGAGCACTCTGGCTGTTCTCCTCGCGCTGAATCCGAGCAATAAAAAACAATCACCAAAAAAGCAGTACAGGACAAGTGGTCGCATTTAGCACATCTACCCTCACAACACCTAGTCCACTCTCAATGGTTCACCATGCTACTGACATTTCTCTAGGTACTCACATTTAGGTCCTGACGTTCGATACACTGCAGATCCCAGGCTAAGTCTCCCCTTCTCTACGTCTTTCGAATGTTGGCTGACCATGTCCCTAGTGTGGTCGCCGTCAAAGGTAAGTCATCTCCCTTCCTTCATCTTTGCCATCTACATTCGCGATCTACCCTCCACGAGAGAGCTGGCCTTGTCGTGGCGTGGAGGCTTCCCAACTCTTCGGAGGACGGGACCTAACAAGCTCATCTCCTTTGTCACATCTTGATTTCCTTGGGAGGTGATCCTTATTTTGGGCATAGACTGTGTATTCGAACGGTGGCTTTGATGTGTTTGGGGAACTTGCTGTCCGAAAGGTGCTGAGCTTCAAAGTTTGTATAGATAGATTACTACACAATGAACTCGATATTACTCCCTGACGTCAATGCTTGCTCATGCTCAGACTTGAATGTGACCATTTCTTCTTTATTTGGCAAAGGCTTCTAGATATAGTGGCCTACTCCTTCCATGGCGACGGAGTAGAAGAACACCGGCGGTCATGATCAAGGGGCCGATGAATCTTAAGCCATGTAGAAGAGAGTGACTACACAAGTATATAGACCCTCGATCCATGCTCCGGACGTAGAGCCAGGCTAGGTTCCAGAAAAAGTGACAGTGGAAAGGGGTTGGTTGAATCCTCAAAATTGTGACCAACTTAACATCAACGAGGAGGATTTTGGGCTGTTTAACGTGTTTTCCCCCTGGAACAGGTTGATTACGGATACCACGTTGTCCCGGGTTGATGCCAAAATATGACATGAGATTGGAGCACTCTTTCAAGTGCTGCAAAAGTGCTCTGCTAGCGCGGCTGATCTACTTGTACAAATAGCGGCGGGAAAAAGACGGGCCGAGACATCGAAAGCTCTGGCAAAAGTCGCGTTCGTGAATGGTGAATCCTGGATCGTGAAGCATCTTGTTCTAACACCAGGCTTTATAATGCCATGATATGACTTAAGGAAGACGATCCCCTAGGCCCTCATAACCAAAAGACTGCTCGCTAAGCTGTGCACCCAAGACCCAAGGCACAATGGCCGAAGCCCAACAGCCTCCCCCAGTCACAGCTCCCACGGCCCTGCCCACAGCACGCCTTGAAGACGAGCATCTTCCGGCAGTATCGTCTCCTCTCAATCCTGATGCCGCTGCTTCCCGCACCCGGAGAGAAAAGAAGGCAACATTCAAGGCTCGTGGAGACGATGCAGACAGCAAAGGAACCACGAAAAAGCGCAAAAGATCAACTGAGCCCACGCACATCTCTCCAATGCGATACAAACTGCCTCTGCCAAAGGCAGCTGACTATGAACCCCCCAAAGCGCCAACATTCTCACCTATTCCTGGTAGAGAGGAGTGGATGGAATCGTCAGAGCAGTAGGCTACGCTGCGTCCCTGGCTTTTCGAAAACTAGGCACTGATCGATACAGTGTCTACAATAGGAAGTCTTTTAGATACACGAAAGCAATCTCTGACCCTTCCTTCCCCGCCCTTCAATACCATCGACAGACAGAGACGGCCTCTGGCTCAAGCTTCGAGCCCGAGGATACATCGCCACACGTCTTCTTCTCGTCGCCCAACTGCACTGCCGTCACCACCCAGAAAGGCTTCCGCATGGCCCGAGCAACCACTGGTGCCAGGGAAGGCAGGTACTATTGGGAAGCTAAGATTTTGAGCGGTATCAGAGCTGATCCAATGGATGGAGAACCGCGAGGTCATGTTAGAATTGGGTTCGCACGCAGAGAGGCGCAGCTGGACGGTCAGTATCTCAAAGACAGCATCTCGAATTTAGAACTAACCAAAAGCAGGGCCAGTTGGGTTTGATGCGTACAGTTATGGTATAAGAGACGTTTCTGGGCAGAAAGTTCATATGTCAAGGCCGAAGGACTTCGCCAACGCGGACTTTGTTGAAGGGGATGTCATTGGGCTGGAGATCTGCCTGCCTTCACTCTCTTTACATCGAAAAGTGGCTGAAGGAACTTACAACAAAGCCGTGGACGTGTCTGATGACCTGGATCCTATCGCCGCCCACGAGTATCTCGATATTATCAGAGACCGTGTGCCCATACGCTTTAAAAACACGCTTTACTTCGGTAAGCAGATACTCCGCATGTTTATTCTGCAATGTGCTACAAACCTCAGCTTACGAGACATTTCCTCCAAGATGTTTTTTTCTCGAGCACGTACGAAAGCTTGACTTTGGTTTTACAGAACCGATGCTGACTTCGAGATATATCAGAACAATATGAATACTCCTATCAGAAACCACTAGAAGATTTGATGAATCCAGCTCCAACCGCCTCAGTGGGTGCTGGAACCGCTGCAACTGATCCTCCGAATCCGAATCACCCCGAACCCTCCTTGCGTACTCTACCATTCTCAAGCATGAAGGTCTACAAAAATGGCGAGCTACTTGGCACTGTACGTACATTTCGGAGTAATCTCTTTCCAGTAAATACCACTCGTTGTGCTGCAAGACCAACCGCGGAAGCAGCACGTTCTTTGAGATTCCAATCTACCCTAGGCTTGTTCTTTACTCAAATAGTGAAGTAAAAGGCTACCGCTGACACTAAAAAGCCGTACACTGATTTGCTAGCATTCCTCCCTCCTTCGTCTAAGCCTCCAAATCAAGCTGGCGCAAGAGAGGGTTTCGACGATGGCAGTCTTGGCTACTATCCAGCGATCAGTGTCTTCCGAGGCGGTGCTGCAGAAGCCAATTTCGGGCCACGTTTCTGGTTCCCACCGCCTGACCTGGCTGTGGACGAAGATACCGAAATGGCAGATTCTTCGGATATCAAACTCAATCCAGTCACGAAAAAGCAAATTGCGGGCCAGCACAGCAATCTGCGACCTATGAGTGAACGCTTCAATGAGCAGATTGCAGAAGATATTGTCTATGATCTGGTAGATGAAGGTAAGGATGGCACCCCGAGCTACTGACCCTGGTTGCCGGCTTATTATACTGACCATCAAACAGTGGACTTCTGGTCACAATGTATAGGCGATACAGAGGCAGATATGAATGGATTTAGTGAGCAGGGAACAACGGCCTTGCTGGATCCGGAAGCGTCGGATGTGCTGGGGAGTGGGAGGGAGATCAAACAGCTCGTTCAGGACGAAGTCTGACGACCGTGAATGGCGCGAAACGAGCAGCTGTATATTATAGAAAGTAGTATAACTCGTTTCAGGTACAGTCAACGGATAAATTCGGATATAGTATGCAGACAAGGTGCAGACAAGGTGCAGCCAATCATCAAATGATGCTTCTTCCGGAATCTATGAGAAGGCGCCATTATTGCTGAAAGACGCAACCAAGAACATTTCAGATGAGGTTCGGTTATCCAGGCAGTACCGTTGGGTATTGAAAGATATGACCAGTCATAGATGACATTCGATGCTCCAATACCTTCCAGATACTGTTGTGACGGGAAGCAATTGAAAGTAGAGCGGCTTGAATGGAGGGAGTCAAGCCGTTACAAAAGCCAATTGATTTTTTCAAATTCCTCAACCCCTTTTCTGTTGTGAGCGGAAGAGCAAGAGAATGTGGGAATGCCGCTATGTTGATTTTCTAACCTCAAGGCTTTCGATTCCATTGCACACACTCATCCAACTTAGACGTCCCTTGATTCGTTGTTCCAAGAGGCCCAAGAAGCCGGTAGCTGAGGTCAAGACTAGGAGCGTCTGCAAGGAGCTAAGGGTATCATCGGCGTATTAACGCCCCGTGTGAACGCCTAAAACACCTGCGGAGCATCTACGGGCCCAATCGAGACAGCCAATGGATCCTCCTGCCGCTGAAAATGCTTCCCAACTCCAGTATCTAATGTCCGAAAACTTCCTCTATCCGGAACTCTCCTCAAGGGCCCTGGTTAAATTTGCTTGTTGCAGACGCGAACAACTCCTGCTGTTGTTGTAGCAGCTCCTCCTGTGTCAGACCGCTCTGATCCATCTTGCTTGTTTTCTTCTCCCTAGTCTACTCCCATGCATGGTCAGCCTTGGTTCCACAGAGCCTTCGTCAACGTCCACAGTCTCCCCTCCCGTAGGACATAGACTCGCTTTTCCCATAACAGGTTGCAAAACTCACCTTGAGCGATTCCTTCATCTCCCCCGCAGACGCTAGCACTTCTCGGACATATTCCGGAAACCCTAGCTCCTTCAGTGCCTTGTCGATATGCTCCGTCGCGATAGTCTTCTTAGCTTCGCGCTCTGCTATCTCATTGGCTTCGGAGGATATGAGGGTGATGAATTCGACGCAGCAGTCTATGAGCAAATCTCTGGCATCTCTCGCGAAAGTAATGCTGGATTCGGAATCGTTTGTGGCGAGAATTTCAGTGATAATCTTTTGCACAGTTGCTGCGAGGGAAAGATGGCGTAAGTAAGGTATCAAACGGGGCTGCTGCTAGCCATGAAGGAATGCAAGAATTGCAGAGATGCTCACCTTTTGGCAAGGAGAGGTCGTCGTTGCCTAGATATGTGTCAGCCATCATGGGTGTGTAGGTAATTTCACGACTAACCACCAAAATCTCGATCAGACATGCTGGGTGTTGTGTCTTTCAAGCTTTCCTTGTGAAGAGCATGAGCCCATTTGGCTGGCTGCATTCCAATCCGTAAGGCTGGTTTTATCGCGATAATCGCCGCCCTCAGCCGCCGGGTCTGACTAGCGTAAGGATCCACAAAGTGCAAATTTGCTATGCTCTGCATCAACCTTTCGCAGGTAACTTGTATCAACAGGCGACTGGCTTCAGTGTCTCAGAGCCTGTCGAAGAGAAAGCACGCTCAGCTTAAATACATCTACCCTTAGAAATGCTATGTGAGTACCACGGCAGTTTATTTCCTCATGACATTCTCTACCCAAATGATGAACTTCGTGTCGCCCCTATCAGACCATTGAGCTTAACCCGCTTTCGTGGTGACTTTACCTGTCCCGCCAAAGGACCTATCTGACCTAACATGTTCTTCCGAGAAACGCCTCCTTTGAAGTAATCATGGTCAGAAGCTGACCCAGGCGTATCTTTCCTAGGCCTGGAGTTTTTTTCGAACAGCCTTCGTGGAAAAGGCACAGCCGATGCATTGTGTAGGCGTATTGATTGTGAGTTTCAAGCTCTTTGATTCTGTGCCTTCGAGGCCTACCACACCAATTACATGATGAGCAACACATGTACTATCAAATACCGATTCACAATGACGAATCAAATGGTTCGATTACCTGAAACGCTCCTAAAACTCGACTACTGCTCTCATTCCTTCTAGAAATGTGCCATCGCTAATTAGCAATGACTGAAAGTCTAGAGTTCTCGGTGCCTGTCCGACTTTTTGGACTCGCTCGGAGGTAAGCGACCCGTGACCGTTAAGGTCTTTTTTCGCTTTCACTACTGGCATATGATGAACACAAAATATTTCATGCTAATCCTGACGGCTGCAATGGCCTTATGGAGAAACCATTCGAGTCTTTTCATCTTTCATCTGATCTAAGCCTTCTTGTTACAAAGCATTACATATCCTCCGTCACCAAGCCTAAGCTAACTTTCTAGCTGAACAGGAGTCTGGTCCCTGTGATGCGTCAAGACGCCTGATACCTCGCTAGCTCTGGACTTTCCCAGCTAATCCAATGTCATTATCGGTATTGAGCATTCCAAAGAGGACTTACTCGACGTATTTGCCACTCAACTCTTTTGGGGGATCCAATACCATCCTTGCCATCACATGACCTGGTTGATCAGGGCGCAGTAGCTTACCAGCTTGATGCAAACCCAAGAATTTGTCATTGTCCTTGGCTGCCATTACAGCAGAGTGTACTTCTCGAAGCTGTCGCTGCATGTCTGTATCCACTACGCCAGGCCTCACAGCGACGCTGGTTACTTTGGGCTCCTCGACCGCGAGTTGTCGTGCAAAGTGATTAATGGCGGCCTTTGAAGCGCCGTACGCGCCCCATGTTGAGTATGCTCCTGTTGAAACGCCCGAGGAGGTGAAAACAACGCAGCCATGGCTCTTGCGCAGTATTGGAATGGCTGCTTTGGCCTGTCTCTGTCAGGAACAGGACAGCCTCCGGCTTGTCGATACTCACGAATGCAACAGCGCTGAAGAAGTTGACGTCAAATAGCTTCTTCCACTCTCCGATGTCACTAGTCTCAATTTTCGTTACCGGATCCATCATGCCATGGTTGACGATCACGCCATCTAGCGCTTCGAATCTTGTAAGGGCGCTGTCTACCGCTTTCTGGGCGAGCGAGATATCTCCCAAGTCCCCCGCAAGTACCAAGACCTGCTCGGGATACCTTGTCCGGAGCTCTTCTAGCGGTTGCTCTGTTCTCGCGATCAGAACAACATTGTGGGATTTTCTCAGCAGAAATTCTGCTATTGCTGCACCAATACCTGCCGCCAATGTAAGCTATGAGGTGCTTGCTGCAATTTTTGTCATCCGTACCTTTCGAAGCGCCAGTGACGATGACGGTCTTCGCCATTTTTTGCTGATGATATATTTGTCTCTCCTAGTCTTTTATTCCTCGTGTTTGGGCAAAACACATGTCTGCCAGTACGTCATCGTGCATTCGGCAATTCCGCGGGGTATGCGGGAGTTGAATGTTTGAAATATTTTCTGCTTGTATACCCCTTCCATGCCCAATAAATAGAAAATCAATTATAGCCCAAAGAAACTTCATTTTTTGAAGCAGTCTTTACTCCATTCTGCATCAATCTAGCATCAAAGTGTCTTCCGTCATGGCTACAGTCATCATTGGGGCCGGTATCATTGGAACATCCACAGCATACTATCTGAGTCAAACCTCCAAAAATGCAATCCATCTTGTGGAAGCCTCTCCCCAACTCTTCGCCTCCGCATCCGGATTTGCAGCCGGCTTCTTGGCCCGGGATTGGTTTTCTCCCTCGCTATCAAAACTCGGCGAGTTGAGTTTCGATCTCCACAGGCTGCTGGCTGAAGAGAACAACGGCCACGACCGCTGGGGTTACAGTCGAAGCACTGGGACCAGCTTGGCAGAGACTGTAGGGAAAAATGGCGCGGACTGGCTGATGGAGGGAGTGAGTCGGTCAACGGCCGCTGCGAGGACTACTAACAGCAATGGCAATCGTCCGGCTTGGTTGACGCCTGGCTCTGAGCTCGATGTGATGAGTGATGGATCTACGACGGCTCAATGGTAGGTTCTGCCTATGTGTCTGCATGTTGAGCCTGTCTGAGCGCCATTTCTGTGCCTTTGATCAAATTATAATCTAATCATAAATAACATACTGAAAATCCTCTTTAGTGACCCATTACTCCTCTGCCGCTTTCTCATGGAAAGCTGCCAATCCCGCGGTGTCCAATTACACCAGCCCGCCAAAGCCATTTCCATCATCCGTTCCCCATCCGGCGCCCTCTCCAGCATATCCATCCTCGACACCTCCACCCTAGAACAAACAACCCTTCCTTGTACACGCCTAGTCCTAGCAGCGGGAGCTTGGACTCCGGAAGTTCATCGCACCCTCTTCCCTAAGTCGAAAATGGGATTACCTATCACATCACTTGCAGGGCACTCGCTAATCCTTCGCTCGCCGCACTGGCCTCCCCCTGCACTTGACAGTACCGACCCAGCCAACGCGGGTCGCCAGGACTGCCACGCTGTTTTCACCACCGACGCCGAAGCCGATTACAGCCCCGAGATCTTCTCCAGAATGCCAGATGGCTGCATCTACCTTGCCGGCCTAAACTCTAGCACATACCCTCTACCAAAGATCGCCAATGAGCGCGTCATTGACCCCGAAAGTATAGCAGTGCTGAAGAAGACGGCACGCAAATTACTTGGTGAAAATTTCGAAGTCGTGAGAGAAGGCGTATGCTGGCGGCCGGTGGCGAGGAAAGGTGTACCAATCATTGCTGATCTGGGTGATAAAGGGGAGGAGGGGGTTATCGTATGCGCTGGGCATGGGCCTTGGGGTATTTCAAACTCACTGGGAAGTGGGTATTGTGTTGCGAAGATGGTTGAGGGCAAGGATGTGGAGCGATATGTGGGACGGTTGGGCTTGTAAACAAGCGCTCGGTTATGGGTCAAATGCCTGAAAGGAACGACTTTCCCTCGATTGGACGAGCGTGACATTGCACAAATGTGGATTTTGCCAGCTCCTCAATCTCAATTACAAAGTGCAAGAATTGGCTTTGATTCTCGGAAATGGTAGGCATTATTGATCGAGATCCCAGATTCGGTATTGAAGTGTCCTCCATTGACGAGCTGATGGGACTGGCATGTCTCAATCGCGCCTTAGATCTAATGAGCAGTATCGCAGTATCGCAGCTCTTTGCCCGAAGAAGTCGGCGGTACAAATCGATGGACCCTTGATCTTTGGCTGTGTTTTTCCTTTTGAGGGTCTGATGGCAGTAAGTTTACTCAACATGTTCAGAGAAATGTTTGAGAGCTTTACCCAAAAAAAGTCGGATGAGGACGTGACTGCCAAAAGATCGACAGCGCAAAGGTAGAAATGAGGGCAAAGATAATCTCGCACCCCACAACTTGGCAAAAGCTGTACTCCCCTCGGTGGTTATTGCTGCGCCAAAACAGAGCGTTATCGATAAGGGCTCCTGCTCGAGAATGGCAAGTGGCGATGCTTGCAGACCTCGCTTCCGCATAAACCACGTGCTTCTTGAGTAGAATGGTATGCATTCAATTTCCTGCCAAACTAGCGTAATTCACGTCTTCCTGCCCAGGCGGAGGAGCTATGGAAGCCATTTGGTCTACCTCTTGGGGTTGTCCTCCCTCGATCTCTGGTGCCGGGGCCCTATTCACAGCCTTGATAGCCTTCGCTGTATCCCGTCCTGCGCGCGCATACGACATCCTTTCTTCTGTATCAAGATGATCTAGCGCTTTCGGCCGCGCCCAGTTTACTCGTAGTGGGCAACCCGCAATTATTGCTCTGCCTTGACAGTGCTCTGCTGCTGCCTCGGCTCCTTCCCTTGTTGCGTAGTTTAGAAATGCCGCATGGGACCTGTGACTGCAGACCAAAGACCTGAGGACACCAAAAGGTGAGAAGAACGTGCGTATAGCGTGCTCTGGGAGATCGTCCTCGACCCCCGTGACCATTAGTGATGTGATGTTTTTATCTCGCGGCGGTAGGATGTCCTGAGGTTGAGGTGGTAGTTGAGCAGTGCCGGGGAAGCCTCGCCCTCCTCTTGCTCCTCCTCGACCTCGCAAAGCTCCTCCTCTTGCTCCGCCGCGGCCTCCCCTGCTGTCGTGCGTCCTTATCGGTCCCGGCGCTGCAGCTATTCTTCTTTGGCCGCCGTCCTCAGGACCTGTTTCTCCCTCCGCCTTCGGATCCTCCTCATTAACTTCCAGCCGCCGTTGACGCTTGTAATATGGTTCGCTGTTCGCTAATCGGCGTAGTAACTCCCTCGCTTTTTCGTCCGTCTTTTCGTATTCTTCGACCCCGCCTCTGCCCTCCTCGATCTCCCTCTCATTCTCCTGGGCGTAGTATTCTCTGTTGATACTGCTTTCTGGGCCTGGTGCGACCATTTTGAGCGCGGCATCTCTCACTACAATGGGTAGGCCAAACGAGAGATCCAGCATGCAACACTGACAGCAATTCTTTAGGCGAGCACATGTGAGGCAGATGTTTGTACGCTTCGCTCGAGCGGTCCGGTCAGCTTTCCATCGAAATATGGTGAAGGGTCTAGTGCATATTTTGCATTCCTAGTAAGTGCCGTCTGTCAGTCGTTTGTCTTAAAGTCGTGCGCAGCCAGACTTCTCTCACCGCTCCATGATCCTCTTTGAGCATCTGTACATATGGGTTGTCAGGCAGGCAATTCTCACAAACGGAAGGGAAATCTATAATCCAAATGCGAGTCAGCGAGGACCAACAGGAAGAGTGAAGGATCTTATTTCTCAGTACTTACCAGTCGTTTCCCAACCAGAGCGATTGAGATCTTGCTTGATTTGGGGTGGCATAGTACTCTGAGCTGTTGGTTGCTGATCTTTGTAGTTGAAGTTAGAATTTGTTTTGAAGGCACAGTTCAGCGTACAATTGTAGCAGGTCGTGTTGATTATTCACCAGGTCGTAAATATGCCGACTGATGTGAAACCACCGTTGCTGTGCTGCTGCGAGATGCAAAAGTGGTCTGAGCGGCAACTTCGGAGACTTAAGGCCGGTGCCAAGCCGCGTTCCTAGCGCCGGACCCTGCCAAAGTCAAAGTCCCAAGATAGGTGAAGAGCAAATATATTTCACTCGCCCCTTGGCCATTATTGTTCCTTTTTGTACCTTACTACCTTTGCTACTTCATCAATTTACACAACACGAGATTCAAAAAAGAACCCACATCGAGCCTACGGCTACCGATCTATTACAATCCCACCATGGCCCCAATTGCCCTTGAAAACGAGGACCATTCACGAGATGCCGCCTTCAATAAGGCGATGCACGGTAAATCTGTCGACTCGAAAGGCTTTCGATCAATGCTGAACAAGGACCATGATGCACACAAGGCAGCTACTGACGAGTATTTCAAGCATTGGGACAACAAGTCTGCTGGCACGGAAACTGTAGAAGTTAGAGAAGTAAACGCTCATCGCTCCGCGAATAATTCCAAGTCCTCGCTAACAGATCAATTAGGCACGGAAAGCAGAATATGCCACTCTTACCAGGCAATATTACAATCTCGCCACAGATCTCTACGAATATGGCTGGGGAGGTTCTTTCCATTTCTGTCGATTCGCGTACGGTGAAGGCTTCCACCGAGCCATTGCTCGACACGAACACTATTTGGCGCACACGATGGGCCTTCGACAAGGTATGAAGGTTCTGGACGTAGGATGTGGCGTTGGCGGTCCAGCAAGGGAGATTGCAAAATTTGCAGGCGTCAACATCGTTGGATTGAACAACAACGACTATCAAATTGAGCGTGCTGGCAAGTACGCTGCACAGGAAGGACTTTCGGACCACCTGAGTTTCACTAAAGGTGATTTCATGGTATGTGTCAAGCTCAGCTCCAAGGGGAAGACTCGCTAATTGAATGAGGATAGCAAATGTCCTTTCCTGCTGAGAGTTTCGATGCAGTGTACGCTATAGAGGCTACTGTTCACGCCCCGTCTCTGGAAGGAGTCTACTCCCAGATCTTTCGAGTACTGAAGCCTGGTGGTGTGTTCGGTGTTTACGAATGGTTCATGACCGACCGTTATGACAATGATAATCCTCACCACCGCGAGGTTCGCCTGGGAATTGAACAAGGCGATGGGATTTCAAACATGGTGAGAGTGTCCGAGGGCCTGGAAGCGATCAAGGCTGCCGGCTTTGAGCTTGAGATGCATGAGGATTTGGCGGACCGCACAGACGCACGGCCATGGTACTATCCCCTGGACGGAGACTTGAGGATGGCATCGAGCCTTGGTGATGTCCTCACCATCGCTCGGATGACTAGGATAGGGCGCTTTTTGGCTCATACTGCTGTTGGAGGGTTGGAGAGAATTGGAGTTGCGCCGAAGGGAACGAAGAGAACCGCAGACAGTCTCGCGTATGCAGCTGATTGCTTGGTGGCGGGGGGTAAGGAGAAGCTGTTCACTCCGATGTATTTGATGATTGCGAGGAAACCAAAAGCATAGGACGTGCCAAGAAGGGTACAGTTGACAGCAAGGTGTCCAGTGTCGGCATTTCTATCTTTCAAGTCTGCATTCGCATTTGAGAGCAATTTGCGCTCTTCTTCAGCAATAAATATAGCATACCCTGCGCAAGCTGTCTTCTAAATCAAATACATCACACAAAGGACTCCCCTTTAATGCCGACATGGTGATGTCCTTGGGGGCTTGCGTTCAGCTCTAGGGCTGTTGGCATGCCAGTGTTTCTTACCCACGTAAAGATCCAAATGCTGAATTAGACAAAATCCCTGGGCAAGACCCTGGGCATACCCGTGATCACTCCCTGCCTTTCAAGGCTTTAATTTGATGAAACGCCTGGTCGTTCGAAGCTAAGTAAGGCAATTGACCGTGAAGCTGTACAACATATTAGATGGTCGACCGTGAGACCGTAAAGGTTCCGCTCCGAAATCCCAACGCAGGAACACTAGCGTCGGCGAATTCCTCCAACGTTCGCCGGCGAAGCTGCAAAGACCTCTCATTACATTCTGCAAACACACAACATGGTCTTGTAGCTACGATCCCTAGATATTGCAGTTGTCTGAGTTCCAATCAAATCGCCCACAGCTCTTGCCATGGTTACTTCACGCCTTCTCCGCCCGGCCTCACGTCTCCTCGCAGCTTCTCGACCTTTGATAGCCCCGACCCGATCCGTCTTACAACCAGCAGCTTCATTACCTGCGATCGTGAACAGAAGAAGATACGCTACGCCGAGTGGAGTGAAAGAGGTGGCGGTGAGAGATGCCTTGAACGAAGCTCTAGCGGAGGAGCTCGAATCGAATGAAAAAGTGTTCGTCCTGGGTGAAGAAGTCGCCCAGTACAATGGAGCGTAAGTGTCCGCCCGAAGTTTGGCAGGCATGATTTCTCTGACACATGAGACAGATACAAGGTCACCAAAGGACTACTGGATAGGTTCGGGGAAAAGAGGGTCATCGACAGTCCAATTACAGAATCGGGCTTTGCCGGCCTTACAGTCGGAGCAGCGTTAGCAGGCTTACACCCTGTGGTATGCTCCGATTTGCGCCATACCTGATACCAATGTGTCGTGTAAGCTGACACAATGATCTCAGTGCGAGTTTATGACCTTCAATTTCGCCATGCAAGCAATCGATCAAATCATCAACTCCGCAGCCAAAACACATTATATGTCTGGTGGGATCCAGCCATGTAACATCACATTCCGAGGCCCTAATGGCTTTGCCTCGGGCGTCGCTGCTCAACACTCACAAGATTACTCGAGTTGGTACGGTAGCATACCCGGCCTGAAAGTAGTTGCGCCTTGGAGCTCGGAAGACGCAAAAGGACTGCTCAAGGCTGCGATCAGAGATCCTAATCCTGTTGTCGTGTTAGAGAACGAGTAGGCATTCTTTCATACGGCGAAGCCCAAGGGCCAATGGGTTCGGACTGACCTGTTTACAGACTACTATACGGCACACCTTTCCCAATGTCCGAAGCAGCGCAAAGGGATGACTTCGTACTACCTTTCGGCAAGGCCAAGATTGAGCGCGCCGGCAAAGACTTAACCATCGTCACACTCTCTCGTTGCGTGGGTCAGGCCCTCACTGCAGCCGAACAAATGAAGAAGGATTACGGGGTTGAGGCCGAAGTCATCAACCTCCGATCCGTGAAGCCCATGGATGTCGAAGCGATCGTCAAGTCGGTGAAGAAGACAGGCCATCTGATGGCAGTGGAAAGTGGATTCCCGAGCTTCGGGGTAGGCGCGGAGATATTAGCTCTGACCATGGAGTACGCATTTGACTACCTAGACGCGCCCGCAGTCCGAATCACTGGCGCGGAAGTGCCTACCCCATATGCCCAGGGGTTGGAGAATATGAGCTTCCCCTCGGAGGATCTGATCGCCAAGTATGGGGCTAAGTTGTTAAGGGTTTAAAGCGGAAATTGGAATCCTGACTGGTCATCCATCAAGTACTGTACTACGACGTTGTCATTGATATTAAAACCTCCGAGGCGATGGGTTGACAGGACAAGCGGCAGAATGTGGGTATGGGTGCTTTTCCATGTGAAGTGATTCGGTGCTTATGCATTCCGTCTATCCCTCAAGACCGGGACTTGATCACTGATCAGTAGGAAAAGCGCTTAGAGGATGTAGGTAATTGAAGGGGCGGTACACCGTAATGCATGCGGAGATATCCGGTATTCGGGTGCCACCAGCGCACATGACTCGGGCGTCTCTTGTACACTGGTACTTAGATTATTTCTTAGCTTTTGATTTGCTAGCTAAGTAAGTTTGAAATTAAACATGAGAGATTAAGTTTGGGCATCAATGGGGGGGTAACAGCCTATCAGGAGTCGATGCTTCCCCCCTTTTCGCCTCCTAAGGTACATGTACTCCGGACATGATCGTTCAAAAGGTGAAAAAGTTGAATACTTTAATTCTCCTAGTGTAAAGTGTAAAAGTAGTGCGGCTAAAAGGAAGATCTCCATGATTTTCCCGCTCGCGATCCATCGGCATCCGTTCCCAACTTCCCAATTTTTCCCAACTTCCAACTTCCCAAGCGTCGTGCATCCTGGTGGCCACGTCGGGCCCCAAAGGACATGATTCGATGGAGAGCGAAATGGAGGTTGTATGATCTTCCCATCTTTGCCACGTTGTGAGATCTAGACCCCACTTCTGAGCAAGATTGAGCATCGCATCGCATCGCATCGCATCCATCACATCCAATCTATCCGCTCCATGCCGCTGGGAGTCGTAAGGCGTACCAATGCCCAACGTCTGTTCCTTCGGAAGAACGTCCATCCAAGCTGTGCAATGTACATGTAGATCCATGGCAGATCGATAGCAATGGCACAAGCGATGGCAATGGCAATGACACAACGCTGCATCACTTTCCGACCATTAGCCTTTGCCTGCCCATCTTTCTTAACATTTCATCTCTACCACTTGCCAATAATGATGATTATACATGAATACATCAATACATGGATATATCCATATTCCCGCATGAACATCTTTACCATCCGCCATCACGGACACCTGAGCTCACCGCAAGCCCAAAGTCGCCAAACTGCTTATCCATTCAATTTTTTTTCTAATTTTAATTTTCTCTCTCTTAATCCTCTTTCAAAGCCTTCAAGGGAAAGAGGCGCCCGTTGCTGGCTGCAAGGCGCGCGCTTGAGCACATGGCTTGCAAAGAGGATGCTGTGGCTATTCAGGCTACTTCAATCCTGATGTCCTAGTGCATCCATACAACACGGACGCTTAGTGTCAGCCGAGTGATAAGTCATGGTCATTGGATCTTGCATCCTGGATCGGAGATTTAATGGCTTCGGTCTGCACATCATTTACTCTCGTGCGGATAAGCCCTTCTCCGTTTCAAAATAATCTCAAGTGTTCAACAAACTGCCACCGGAAGTAAAAAAAAAAGGAAAAAAAAATAAAAAAAGCTTTAACTCCTGGTCCATGTCGGTAGCGTCCATCCTTTCCTTACTATTTGTCAGATATTATTGTGATTGTGATAGCAATGCCCAAATTTCCTCTCCTTTTCTCCTCTCTCTTCTAAACCACCAGGGCCGAGCATGGCCTTGAACCGGCCGTTAGGTTGGAAAAAGTTATTTCATCTCTTCCTTCTCCTCCGTCCTCCTTGTTTATTTTTGCCTCCATCTTCATAGAAGGAGCGCCTCAATACATAAATACATAATCTTGGATCACGACACCACCCTCTACCTCTCATACATACCCACTTTTACTCATTGCCGGCTGTACTTGCTTTCAACTTTTCGCCCTTCCACCGGAAAAAAGATTCCCTGCCTTTTGATGAACTCTCAAGACTGCTGCTGCTGCTGCTTTGTCTGTTGCCATGCCTCGTCCTCAATCAAACTGTAGGAGTGGCAAAATGAAGGCAAGAGCTACCGCTCAGCCGAGCCCACGCTTTCTCACCTGTGCCCTAGAGCTACGTGAGAATATCTACGCGCATATTTTACGCAATCACTCTTCCTCACTCGTTGATCTGCTCCTTGTCAATCGTCAGCTCTGTCGCGAAGTCAAGCCATTCCTGTACAAATTGCCCTTGACCTTTGATGGCCAATCTCAGCTGTTCGACTGGCTGTCAAAAGTAGATCATGGTTACCTTCGTCACGTAGAAGAAATAGGCTTCAAGTTGCACGATATCAACCCCGACGAAATTGTTGGAGCGCTGGGCAAGAAGCTTCAGAACGCAAACATCACTAGGGCGAGCGGCTCTCGCGGTCCAGATACTCCAGATAACCCATATTTTGAGGCTTGCCGTGCGGATCTCAGACGGATCGGAGCAGCGTTCCGTCTGCTCCCTAACCTCCGGTATCTGACCATCCTCTCGGCTTCAGACAGAGATTCCCGGCCCCATCACCGGACCCAGGACGCCTTTTCCAAGTTGGTCGGTCAGTGTTTTCCAAAATTGAAATCCCTTATTAGCGAGGAAGATCAATTCCCGATCGACTTCGTGTCCGGAAAACCAGAATTACGGAGACTTCGGTTTCCGGCCACGACCAGTAGCGACGACGAGGAGACCGAAGGACTCTTCTCGGCTCTGTCCTTGAGTGAACTCGAGATTTGCCGGCTGCCACACCATACCGCCAGCGGTGCCGAAGAATGGGACTGCGTGACCCCCATCCTCGAGGGTTCACCGTCCCTGCAGTCATTGACCCTGTTCGAGCGACACGGAGCCGAGACGCCGAACCTGGCAGCCGAGGTATTCGTCGGGTCACAGGCCGCGCTGAGAAGACACCGGGGTTCCCTCCGGACGCTGAAGCTCCTGGCCAAACCCGGTCCCGAGTACTCGGCAGACGAAGACAGTGACCCCGTCCACCCCGAAGCCTGCTGCGCCGCCTTCCTCGCCCAATCCTCCCTGACCCACATCGAATTCACCGACGTCTGGATGCCCATCTACGAGCAGCTCCCCCGCACCATCCAGACCGTCACCTGGCGCCTCGACGAATCCCCCCGGCCGCCCAACGTGGCCACGTCCGTCGCCCGGATCAAGAAGATGGTCACCCACGCCGTGCGCGCCCGGGGCAACCCGCGCGATCCCACACTCCCGCTCCTGACCCGCATCTCCATCCACCTGGACGGCTTCTTCCCCGCCGCGGACATCCGGCATCCGGACCATCCGTCCCGAGAGATTTTGATGATGGCGCGGGCCAAGTTGGGCGATCTGGGCATCCGGCTCGACTGGAAGGGGTGGGAGGGGGTGCCGGGTTTGTGAGGGGCGGTTGTGTGGATGGATTCCGTATCCCGATGGGGACGGTGGAGCTATTCTTTCCACGTCCGCCGATCGCTCCCGGCGACAGGTATCATCTTGGAGGAGTCGAAGACCCTCCTTTTCTGGCCCAGCGGCTCAGCATCTTGACTCGTCTCGTGGCGACTCATTGCTGTGTTTGGACGTGGCGTCTCCGCATAGCTTCGAGTCTCTTTCAGCGGCCGGTATCGACTTAGCGAGCATTGTCGTTCTGATCCAGCGAGTATTGATGATCATAGCAGCACCGGATATGCAATGGAGCATTATCAAGCGATATGGTCTATAGCATCTACATACGTCACGAAGCGAGGAATGCATAGCTGCTATCCCTTCTTTCAACGCTAGCGAGGACTCCATCCATCCTAGCGCGTCCACAATCCCTTTCCTGTTGACATAATGTACAACCTCTCAACACTTCCAACGCTCCTGTACCCATTGAGCAATCAACCCGGTCATGTCCCTTCCTTCCATGTAAACATCCGTGTCCGGCTCTGCATAATCCGTGCCCAAGAACTTCAGCGCCAGCAAGATGTAGCTTTCGATGAAGTCGACGTAGATTAGATCCACTGATACCGGATCAGCGGATTCTTTCGAGTCTTCCGTCGCGGCGGGGGGGAAGCCGATACGGGACTCAAGGGCATTTGGGACGCGGTAGAAGTCGATGGGGGCGTGGATGGTGTCGTCGCCATCAGAACCTGCATCGTCTATTGTGGTGTAGCCGGGTGTGAGCTCGGCGTCGTGGTCAGGTGCGTGGTGTTTCCCCAATGGCATCTGCCCGTTGGCGAGAAATAGTTGCTCATCTACTGGGTGAGTGCTTGCTTGCACCGATTGTACTGGCCCCTTGAAAGCAATCGACTGCGAGGCGGGCCAGAGCTGGGGCACCTCTTGATTGATTATCTGCAGCAGCCGCTTGGCAACGCTAAATGGCACATCTTTGATGTAGCGGAAGCCGCTAGTAAATGGGCTGACCGTGTAGGTGGTGTCGACTGTGAACGGCCCTTTGAAGATATCGAATCGTAGGGCGCCGGTGTTTGTAAACGCCATGCGTGGCACATCAGCTCTGTCGATGTCAAGGACCACGTCTGGCAGCACCTCATCTTGCAGCCAAGAGAAGATACTATTCTCGCTTGGGTACGGGGCTCGATTAGTCCAGTAGTCCTTTGGAGCGCAGCCGTAGGCCTTATCGAGCTTCAGGGTCTCGCGAGCCGATGCAATCATTGAAGAGACATTGCGGCCGTGCTCGGTAGGGAAGGTAGTTTCGTTGAGATTCGTGTGTTGGTGAAAGGAAAAAAGGTTGTTATCGATGTAGCGGCGGGAGAAGGTTGGTGAAGCCACTCGAGCTGCACGAGGTGCTGCAGCATCTCTGTACATTGGGTTGGACTTCCCATTGGTAGGCAGCCCAGTGACGGACATGAAGCCAATGGTTTCCATGTAGCGACCGCTCTCGAGCCCGTAGGCTTTGCTATCGTATTTGGCGTAATCTCGGATATGAGTGTGACCGCCAAAGAATTGGATAGTGACGTCCCATTGCTGTTCTCGGATCGCCTTGAAGATACTGGCGAACTCTTGGGTGCGGAGCGGGACATGACCGATGACAAGGAAAAGGTCGACCTCCCTATCTCGTATAGCTTCCTGAAACCATTTTTCCTTGATGGTCTCTTGCACCCTCTGGACAACGGTATTATGGGAATTGCCTCTAAAATTGAAAAGGAAGCCAAAAGCTAGGACACGGATACCCTGATTCTTCGTTGTGAACTTCTTGAATCGTTGAGCTAAGGGCCGTTGTTCTCCGGTCTTGGAATCAATGATGTCGAGGTTTGATGCAAGGTAGTTGCCGAGAAAGTCGGGCACAGTCTCGTAGTATTCGTTCTCGGACGAGGAATTTTTGTAGAGCTCATGATTTCCCGAACATATCACATCAACATCCTGCTCTCCAAATATCTTCAAGGTGTATTTGCCTTTTGGTTCCGAAGCATCGTAGAGCCCATTACCTTCTATCCGGTCTCCCGTATCCACAAGCAAAAGATCTGCGCCCTCTTCATCCGCTCTCTCGTGTAGTCTTTCTGCAAACGAAATGTAATCACCCCAGTCGGCGCTGAATGATGGTCTGCTTCCAGATGAGCGGAAGCTTCAAATGCTGCGGAAAAGTGGAATCTCACTCTTGGAGATGCCCAGCATGCCAGCCATGGGTATCTGTCGTATGTAGGAAATTGAGTTGGCCCCAAGGTAGCTCTCTTAGAGGCGCCGAGACTGGCGGAGCAGCTGAAGGTTGAGCTGCAAGGACTGCCCTCACAATCGTCAGAGCCAAAGCTCCGTAGCGAAACCTGATTATCATTGTGAGAATTCCTTTCTCCTCCACATCGTCTCGTAGAAGTTATTCAAGTGTCAAGCTCCATCAGACGAGACTACATTCAAAGCTGTTGATGGCCTGTCTGCCTGTGACGTTTGGCCTACCGGAGATAAGACCGAACGTTTAGCGTATTCATAATCCCTTCGAATGCTTGGCATCAAAGATTCCTACGTACCCTATAGATCCAAATTACCAACGTCACAGCCATGATTTGAATTGTAAAAACATCTATATATGAATTAGACTCCTCATCGCGGCGATTCCAGCGCTACTAAAAAAGATAAAACCTATACGGAATTGGTAAATCTATGAAGTCGGGAAGAAAATGAAGTTATTCTTGAGCAGCGTAATCGATAATTCGTTCTCAATTTCTAAATAGTCATGAATGAATAATTCAAATACAAACCTTCTGTATACAATACTTTTATCCACTATTATTGCGACTCTACGCGGCCAAGTCTGTCAAAAATCCGAATTGTAGTTATGAAGTTGATAATTGGAATCTATGGGGCACCAGGGGGTACGTAGGAATGTCTGATGCCAAGCATTCAAAAGGATTATGAACACGCTAAATCTTCAAAGCTTCCGCTGTCGTCGACCAAGTGACCAGGAGAGCACAGCACAGCATTCATGCCCCAGAGCGTGATACATGTCGCTGCTGCGAAGAGCTGAGACGTGTTTCGCCAATCAGCAGGTCAACAAGCTTCTGAACGCCTTCGTATGCCCCCGCGATGAGGGCACTTTGATCTCGGAACATACTTCGAATCTACGAGACGCAGATAAACGACGAGATAGAGGTACATCCATCAAGGAAAGCTTAGGCAAAGCGTATCTGATTGCTCTCATAGGTACACCAAAGTCTGCCATTGATGGCTGCTTAATAGCTGTGAAGGACAATATATGCACATCTGAAGAGCCGACGACATGCGCGTCCGCAATTCTGAAAGGCTTCCACAGCCCGTACCCGGCCACGGTAGTCGAAAAGCTCAAACACGCTGGGGCATTGATCGCTGGAAAGACCAATTTAGATGAATTTGGAATGGGGTATGCTTTCAGTCGGTTCGTGGCTGCCAACGCCTGGTTTGACAGATGACAAAGGTCCGACTCTATAAACTCGATCTATGGTGCTGTCAAAAATAGCTATACTCAAGACGGAGGTTCTCTGTCAGCTGGTGGAAGCTCTGGTGGCAGCGCTGTAGCTGTTGCTACTGGGCAATGTGATGCGTACGTTTTGAGTTTTGGACTGCAGAACTCTGGCTCACTGGAATAGTGCATTGGGCACAGACACCGGAGGGTCTGTACGCCTTCCAGCTGCATATACGGGTATTATAGGCTTCAAGCCTTCGTATGGCATGGTGTCCCGATGGGGTATCGTGGCATATGCAAATTCTCTTGACACTATTGGCATACTAGCCAAGGATAGCTCCATGGCAAGGAATATCTTCGGTAAGGAGACTCCAGTCTGCTCATGTTTCTGGCCTGACGATGGTTGCAGACGCGGTCGAAGGCTTCGACTCTCGAGATCCTACCTCCATACCAGTGAGCACACGCTCCAGGATTGCGCAACAATTGCTTGAACGCAAAGCAAAGCAGGGCTGGGGCGACACACCTTCGGTGCGCGTAGGAGTCCCAACGGAGTACAACACTGCAGAGCTCCAACCGGAGGTAAGAAGAGCCTGGCTGGAAACATTGCAAGGTCTTCGGAACCAGGGTCATACAATCCACATGCTGTCTTTAGCCACCACAAAAATGGCTCTCTCAGCGTACTACGTGATAGCGCCAGCGGAAACATCTTCAAATCTTGCCAAGTATGATGGCGTCCGTTATGGCAACAAAAACTCGGCCTTGGAGCGGGCCGACAACGTTTTATTCGCGTCTACACGGGGCGCTGGTCTTGGAGAAGAGGTAAAGAGGAGGATTCTTCTCGGTTCCTACAGCTTGAGTGCTGCGGCAATCGACAATTACTTCAAAACGGCTCAGAAAGTGCGCAGGCTAGTACAGAGGGACTTCAATAATGCCTTTGCGTTAAGTCACCCCCTCCTAAAACACCAAGATGGGTCTGGAAGTGAACCAAAAGTCGATGTTATTTTGACTCCCACAGCGCAATCGTTACCGCCAAGGCATAGTTCTCTCAAAAATAAAGCCTCCATAGACTCATATAGTGTTGATTTTCTTACGGTGCCAGCAAGTCTCGCTGGAATCCCCGCTCTGAGTCTACCAGTGTCAATCGCAGGACAAGATGGGATTGATCAGAACGCGCCGACTTCAGTGGGAATTCAGGTAATTGCGCAATATGGCGATGAGGAGATGGTCTTTGCCATGGCTCGGTCGATTGAGTCACTGAGGGATATAAAACAATCGAGTTGATTTTCTAATCAATTGAGGCGTTTGAAAAATGCCAATTATCTGCAAATTGTGCATTGGTATATAAACCCCAAACTTTCTCTTCCTTTACTACTTCCTTCAAACATCTCCACTCTGCATCTTGACGCACAGAAGCACAAAACTCTTTCATACAAAGCACTCAAAGCTTCTACTGCGGCTGGTTCTTGTCTATACATTCTTCCACACATAGCAACATATTTCCCGCCTCGCACTCACTACCCCAAGCATCATACACATACACCTGCGACCTCTTACTGAATTCTACGAGCAACCCACATCAAATTATGCGACCGTGCACTGAGCTCCACAAGCAACACACTAGATTTTCGCAGCCTCGCACTCAGTAACACTAGCATCGCACATACACATCAGCGGCCTAGCTTCAAGACCATGAGCAACTATCCCCACCATGAGTATCTCAAAAATCAGCGCGGGTCACCGTTCCAAGAGAACCACAAGCCACCAGGCAAAAGACAGCCACTACCGTCCAACTACACAATCTCTCTGCGACCGAATACCGCAGACGATCCTGGACGCAAGGACAACTCTCTGGTGCAAACTACCTCAAAGTGCCAGCTTCAGTATGGAAAAACATTCACGATCCAACCCGGCAGAATGGATAGACGCAGCAGAGAACACCCTCGCGTCAGCGCTCTTACTTCTATACCTATCATCGGCCTCGTCAGAGTGTAAGCACACTTGCTGATTTTAGAGCCTGACCATTGCCTCGACGAGGATCAGTTTTCACACTGACTCTGATTGTTGCAGACACAAATGGTTCTGGGACAAGAGTATCGAAACCAAGGGCCGCAAAGATACCTATCGATACAGGGTCATCGACCAAGCCACAGATATCACGATCCTTCCAGAGAACGAGTGGTATGACCCCATCGAAGACGACGAGACCAAGATCAAAATCCTGTTTGTTGGTTTGGCCTTGAAGAGCACAGTAAGTACATCACAGGACTCCACATCTAGTCCACTCTCAGCGAAGAGATTCTGACTCCATCTTTCAGCCATTCTACTCTCGCGACGCATCTGCCCTGATGCCAGCATGAATACCATTGAAAACGCAGACCGGTGGAGGCAATATCTCTCGCCTTGCATCCGAGAGGGTTTCTCCCAGATCAAGAAGAGTACCACGTATGGCTGGTCACCTATCGTCAACCGCAAGAAAAGTCGCAACGCCCAGCTGCCAAATCCCGCGGCCGCGCCTCGGTCCAAGAAGTCGGCCATTAGAGACATCGCCAGGCGGTTGCGCTATTGAGATGGGCTTGTATGTCTTACCAACGGCCTCTCGCGCCTTCGAAGGAGGTTCCTTGGCTGGGATTAGTGTACAGCATTGTGGAACTTGTTATGGAATGCAGGGCGAGCTCGTTGAATTTGGAAACATTGGTTGGGGAATGGAAGCAATTATGGGCGTTCCGTGGAGTGGTTACGTTTCCTTTTCTGCATGTGGTGGGTTTGGTAAATGATTGATATTCAATGGACTTGTCAACCGATCCACAGCCAGAGTCATGCAGAAAGCACATATCGTGCTCTGAATCAACGCACTGAAAGGGCAAGGAGCCCAAAGATTTGGTGAAAGAAACTGAAGGTCACCTTTATTAGGCAAAGACGGATGATCTGTTGGAATATTGCTTGTCTCAGAGCTCGAGGTATACCAAGACTGACAGCGATCAGAAGAATATGGCCGCACCCAAATACGACTCCTTGAGTTGACAGCGTTGTAGACAAGGCTACGTTCTGAGGGTCTGGTCCCCATGTGCGAATAGGACTCCGCACTATGGTAAAATAGAATAGAGCATCTTTAGAGACTCGTGCCCCTGCTTCTGAGGCTTTGTGAGCTCGATCAGGGTACGGATGGCTGTAGAATGGGGGTCGCAAGCCCACCAATGACAGCAACCGTGGGGTGGACAAGCTGAGGGTATCAGATGTAGGACTGGTCGGTCCCCAAGATGAGTAATCTTGGGGGGACTGACCGATGTCCTGGAGGATGGCTTGAGTCCATACCGTACCAACCTTCCTTCTACACTTGAAGCCGCCGAAGTGCTCTTGAACGCGGCCTCTGGCCCGCAACACGATGCGGACCCTGTCTCGATGTCCTCGCTCATACCTCAGACTCTACTCTCACTGCTCCCAACCCACGCATGTATCCCCGTACTCTCACCGTCTACCAGGACAACCCTCCCAACACCCCGTCGGCCGTCTCGGATCATAGTCTCCCCACTCCTCATCACTTTCCATCTCGACCGGCTCTGCCACCTTCCATCCTTCCACCCTTGGCTCTGCCTTCGTCTGCTTTTTCTCGTCCGTCTCTTCTTCGTCGTCGTCAGCACTCCCAAAAGCGTTCTTGAACCCACCCTTCTTGAAGCCTGTGGGTTTCGTGGCTTCCGCAGAAGGGAGAGACACGGGCTTAATGGTAATGCCTCCGGACTTTTCGTCGGCCCGACGTTCGGCTTTGCGTGCTTTTGCGGCCGCGAGGGGATCACGGGACATTTGTTTCATTTCTTTGAGACGCTGAAGGGAAACGTGCTTAGCACATTGTGTACAAGAGCTGAGAATGCATGCTTAGATATAGAAAAGGGGGAGACCGGTGCCTGAAGTATAGGAATGCAAAGGCATCAAAAGCACAAACGTAGAGCATCGCCCTCTTCAATAGCTTTGAATGCCTTGATCATGAGCATAATCGTCTCCAACAATCACTCGTCATCCAATGAATAGACGGCACTCTTGATCCAACCGTCACAATGTGAAAGATGAGAAAAGACACATACCTTCTTATGCTGATGGTCATAGCTCCCCTCATGTGCCTCGAATTCATTGATCCGGCTGTACCCCTTTTGGCAGAGCTCACAGTAGAAAGACTTGCGGGCTTCGCGGGCGGACTCTGTCTGTACACTCTATCAGAGAGCGGAATGCCCAGAACAGACATGATTTTGGCAATTGTATAGCTCGCAGATATTCTAGAGTAGAGAGACAGTGTGTGTACAATAGACGGGGGTCCTTCAACTCGCATCAATAAAGCAATGGGTCATTGTCTCAGCAAAGAAATTAGCAGAGGCTCAAGGGCATGGAAGGAAGAGATTACGGATAGGGATATGCGTACCTTGGGAGCTGGGTTCGTGGACCATGGCTGTGACAGAGTAAGGTTAACGGAGTCAGGTCGTGTTAAACAGTCAGACTTACAGGTGGCATGGTGAAGCAAGTCAATGGGTCAGAAAGGTGTGATGCTACGAAAGATTACAGAGAACATTGGGGAGAAGATGTACGTGCAAGACTGGCTTGTCAAGTTTGGCCTACTTGTATGAAAGAGATGGAGTTTCTAGGGACCACGGGCGGCTCGCAACTTATTAGGTCTCGCGGTCTCGGGCAAGAATCTAGGGTGCGGCATCCAAAGGTTCCAGGGGTGGATTAGGGTCGCCCCCCCGGGCTCGTCCGTAGCTCAGGAACGGTCAGGGCAGGACTCAGATGAATTGATCAAGGTACCATGAGCCGATAGAAAGCCAGCAGGTCCTCAGGTCTTCAGGTCCTCAGGTCCTCCATCCTACTCTGCAAAACCAAGGCGTCCAGATTCTAACCCATTTTACCCGTGTCCTCATAAATCATCATTCACCATATACTGCCCGCTAGACTAGACTACCTGTGCATACTGACATGGCTTGTCTTCATGCACAACATAGACACTTCCATCGGCATCATATCCAGTAGATACAACGAATCAGGATTGCATCTATGCATTCATCGTTACAAGTCGCGACCCAAACCAATCCACGCTACCACTCGTCTAGAAGACAATATACTACCACCCACCATCGAACCGATCGCCTTGCTAAATGAGCGTTGCGTGTCCAGACCACCGGAGCCTATCCTTGGTTGGAGCCCATCACCGCTTCTTCACCTCCGTCGCCCATCCTTCAATCCCTTCTCCTTTGCTCCCAACCGGTATGTTGAGGTTGACATGTTCCATTCCCTTTGTGTCTGCTAAGAATGGACTTGCGCTCATGCCTCCCGCGTTTGCCCTATCCACCGGCAACAAAGCCAACATCGGGACCAAGAACTTGGCAATGCTTTCTGCCTCCTCTTTGCTAAAGTGGTATTTCTCCTTTAATACATCCGGCAATGCCCAGTGCCTCAAGCGATGAATGTTTCGGAGTTCTCCCTTTCGAGAGAAAATCTCCTGAGACCATTTGCCGTTCATGAAAAGCTGGCGCGGAAAGACACCAAGGAGCTCGATGATTTGGGCGATATGGTCGTCGTCTTTTCCGTATTTAGTACCAGATTGAGGGTCAAAGAGGTAATCTCCTGTAATTAGTTCGAAGACCTATGCCTGTCATTATACCGTAAATTTCGCAGACAGCAAGTAGTCATACCATAGCAGACATGCTCCAAACATCCGTACTTGCCCCCCATTTGGCGCCCAGGATGACTTCTGGAGAGCGGTATTGCCTGGTTTGGATATCATTTGTGAAGTGGTGTCCGACCCAGCAGGCGTTTCCCAGATCTGCGATTTTGACCGATATAGTGTCCATAGCTCTTGCTACATCTTCTTGGCTTGTTTCCATTGGAGAGGCAGACTTGTTTAGGGAAATACCGGATATGGTTTGGGAAAGGTTCTCACTGGAAATTATGTCAGCGCAATTAGATTGTGCAGAAGAAAGCACACCCACGCAGTCTTCTCTTGGTGTTTCTGGTCGTCGTCGGTGGTGTTGGAAGGACTAGGATCTGCAAGACCAAGCATCTCTCGCATGGATTTGGGAGGTGTGGCGGAAGCTACAGCACCGCTCATTACAACGCCGTTCTTAGGAGTAGCTGAACCATGAATGGAAAAATTACCTGGGCTCTCGCTTATCATCTGGTTCAAGCTACTGTGTGACCCTGCCATGCCACTCGTGAATCGCAAATTTTCCAAATTGCTGAAACTCGCATTAAGAGGACTTGGAAGAGGTTGACTGCCTGTGATGAGGGTTCTTCTTCTTCGGCGACCATTGCGGTTGTCTTCCTTGTCGTCGGATGTCTGTTCGCCTTTAACGAAAGTCTTGACTATCTGTTCCACATCACCAATCTCGATCAGAACGTTTTCGGGCTTCAAGTCTGTGTGTATGATGCCGCATTCGCGATGAAGGTAGTCCAAGCCCAGCAAGACTTGCTTTGTAATTTGCTTGACGAGAGGCATGGGGATGCCTCGGTGGTTCCATCGCTTGATCAGACCCAGCAGGTTCTCTCCTAGAACCTCGAATACCATGCATACATGGGTCCCATTTGGCCCTTTGTGTTCGAATGAATCCAAGAGACTAACGACATGCTTTTTACCAGGATGATTTGGGTTTGCTTGCACGATCTTGTTGAGCAATTTGATTTCGTCAACAGCGGTTTCCGTGTAGTGAGCTGCTGACCGGACAACCTTTAATGCGACATGCCTTCCAGTCTCAGTATCGCGAGATAGCCAGACAGTTGAAAAGTGACCCCATCCGAGCTTCCGTGTAATGATGTATCTGCCATCCTTGAAGGTTTCGCCAACGCTCACGGGATGATAACCGCCTTTACAGTAATCTTCTGCATCTTCTTCTTCGGCTGTGGCTTCTGTAGCATCATCACGGGAGGACGACGATGACGATGAGCGGCTTAGCTGGGGTTTGAGGTGAGACAATGGCGAATTAGTACTGTTTGCACTGCAGGTCAAAGATTAGCGCTAGACGAACATGGGCACCATTGCGCCTGCGTCCCTTGCTAACCTGGAGCTATTCATATTATTGGCGCTTTGCGGACTGGGGTTTGCGTTTTGTTGATCCTCTGTTGTGATGATTGGCTTCAGATCTCCGCCTTTCCTCCTCTTCTTTCCTCCGTTACCATTTGCAGCATTATTCGCAGCAGTCACTGCTTGCTTCGCTTTGCTGATGGCGGCCTTCTTGATGTCACTGCCATTCATTATATGCTGGTGGAGCGATCGTGGCAGGTACTGAAGCGTTGGAGGAGAGTGTTTATTGTTGCGCGCTTATTTGGTTGACAGCTATCAGAGGCAACAGGTCAACAACATTCGACGAACGTGCGGCTCCATTCATACTTGCATTGAGTGTATGAATATGAACGATTTGCTCTTGATTCTTGACAGGCTCACTGGCACCACACGAGGTCGACCAGGGCCCGGGAATGTGTAGCCGCTTGGGTGGCTTGCTTTGTTGATCCTTCTGGCAATGTTGTTGAGAAGGGTGGTACGGGTAGGAAATGTAGAGGAAGGAGTGAGGAACCAAGTAACGATGGCCTGATGCCGCGCTGCCCAGCAAAGAGAGCTATTGCCTATGAGTCTATGTACCTGGACCGAAGTAGCACTGAAGCAGATCGAGTGCATCGATGGAGGCGTTTGTGGATTCGGCATTACTGCATCTGATCTAACCCAATTAGGCGTAGCGTAGCCCATTTACCTTACCTAACCTTCCCTACCTGAGACATCAATTTTCTGAGTGTCTTTAACTTCTTCCAGATACATTCAAAGCTTCCCCTAACGTAGTTATCAATGCATTTCTGCACAAGCACGAACCATCTCCATGAGATACTACATATTGACGACAGCTGTTGGAACACTACCTCGGTCATGGCTATTGATATATACCAGCGACTCAAACAGAGTATTTGACAAGCCGAACATTTCTCTTACCTGTGAAGTTTTGACATCTTTCCTAGGAACCATGTCCTCACCATTGGCAGCGCGCTTGATGCTTTTCCTCTACTCACCGTTGGCATGTACCCTATTGGCTTTATCCCTTTCTCCCTGTATCCCATTCGTCACCCTCTCATTGAGAGTTTCACCCTCAACCCTGTTGCCTTGACGCTTGTCTCACCCTTGGCTCCCTTCAAGTGCTCTGCTCCACCTATGGTGACATCCATTCGAACCTTTTGATCCATTTCTCTTAAGCTTGGCCTTTATCACTTTCTCTGGCGCAGTCATTGGTATACTCTCGGCAAATTCCACGCCACTATCAAGCCGCTTTTAGCGCGCTAGCCTTTCTCCTATATAACCCTTGACAAGCTCTTCTCTCCCTCCTTCTTCTTCGTCGGCTGCACCATAAGAAGTAGCCATGTGCTCTTGAAAGAGTTTGGATTTGAGCTCGATGAAGGCGTGTGGAACTTCCCCGTGGCCTTCGGGGGCAGATATACCGATGACTGCAGCGTTTCTAATGGAATCGCGGGCAAGAAGGATGGTTTCGATCTTCGCGGGGGCGACTTGCCAACCCGGGACTTTGATGAGGTCCTGTCGCCTTTTGTCAGAGGTTCTCATCTGCTGGGACTCTTTTATTCATCCATAAGTGGACCCTTCTGACGTTCTCTAAGATTTCTCGTCCGGCACGTCATCGTTGGTAGCGAAACCTTTTCTCGCCTTGACGCCAATATGTCTACGGCGACAACAGTGTTGGACGAAACGAGAGCGACGATACAATGCCTTGAGGCCCTATGTCGCCGAGTAATCGTGTTACTTGATCTGACAAAATGACCCATACGCTGCTGCTCCAATGGTCAAGCTAGAAATCTCGAATTCGAAGGTGAGCTGGGAGCGAAGTGGTGAAAGCACGAGCAGAAAAGAGATTTTGATAGGAACGAGGAAGTCAGACATTCCGAATGACATCCAGGATTGGAGATCGTAATTGACGAAGAGTCTCTGGCCTTGCCAATCTTGGTCTCCGTGACGGAATGAGCTGGTCTGGAACAGAGGCAGCACCGGCAAGGGCATCAAGAAGATGGACATTGTTGATTCGAAGTTCATGTGTTTTGGTGGCCCAGGCTGCGTGCAGCTTTACTGTGTCACGGCCGTTGCGTGCGTCTATCTTAAATAATGTATCCTAATGCTACTAAAAGAGTAACACTCGTCTCGATTCCCAAACATTCTCGAACGAAGTCGCACCCATATATCTTGGGCTTCTCGCGCACATACAAGGCAAAATACAATTCCGGGGTCGCTTGACGTTTCTTCCAGGAATGCTTCTCGTCATCCAGTTACGAATCCCAGATTGGTCCGTAAGCAGGTATACCTCTGCTTTCCAAGCCATAGACGAGCTTTGACGTCAGATAAGGATTCGAGATAACAAAAACACTTTCAGCCTTTGTCTCCAGGTAGAGATGATAAGTCAATGCTACCACATCTGGGCGTCCGGTAGCCCGTGTATCAATGATCATGGCCTCAGGATCCGCTTTTGCGACTGCACGCATGACATTCTCCCCGTATGTCTGAACCGGGTTAGGGGTAGACCACAACAAGCGGCAGGGTATCGGGTGGGAGGTTAGAAAAGACAGGCATGGGCCGATGCCTGAGCCCGTTGCCACGAGCACGATCCGCCTGAACACGGTAGCCATGCGGAGGACCCCGGTAACTGGAATACCACGAATCCAGTAAGAATGTGCCGGCTCCATGATCTGCTTCTTCGTCCAATCCCCATTATCAGATACGATGAGGGAAAACGATGAGCCATCAGCATCCGGAATTGTTGCAAAGGCATGCCATTCTTTCATCGGATTGTGAGTGATCCGTAACCCAATAACATTGCCAATGTTCTCGTAGGAGTATTTGAAGTGAATGCGGACCGCATGTTTAGACAGGACCTCTGGAAAGGCTTCGACTTTTCGAAGCCGTATCCACGGCAGTATGATGAAAAAGGTCACGACGAGCAGGAACCAGAATGCTGGAGCTTGGACCACCAATGATCCGAAAGAATCTGTTCCAGGAATGTTTGACTCCGCGTGCAATACAAGAAGGATCTCGACCCAAAATAATGCAACAGCAGTCCAGCCCCCGAAACGGTGCACGGCTTCGAACGTATTGTGCGAAAATATTCGGAGCTTCGGTATTGCAAAGACGCAAAGTGCAAGGAACAGCGCCAGTAAGATGTAGGTGATGGCGATGACCGCGGGCTCGTTGAAGTCTCCGTCGACATACCTTTTGGTGACTAGTGCCGAATATAAGATGAACCATGCGGTTGCAGAGACGGCGCAACCACTATGCACGCCCCCAAAGTGGTACAGCTTTGAAACCACGCGGCGAAACCATAATGGCATCCAGAGAGGGGTCCAACAGAAGATGTTGTACAGAGAGTTGATGACGTACTCCTGCCTGATCAAGATCGCGCCCATGACGTTGGCTGCAACAGCGGTTGCTAGGTTACTCAGAGGTGGGCCGAACGGGTGTGAGTGCCTGTGTAGCACTACTTCGACAATGAAGGCGATCATGTTGCCTATGAAGACAACGGAGAAGAGTCGCTGATACACTGCCAGAAGGTTATAGCGCAAGCCTCTCAGTATCTTGCGATCACGCTTATGTGGCAAGTTTGGTAATTCATCCGGAGGATGAGAAATCTTGTATGATGCTGCTGGGTCTGAACCCTTCCTCATCACAGCCAATGCACCTGGCTTCTCATAGTCGTGTGCTCCAAGTTGTTGCTGGACCAGGATCGGGGCAACGGCGCCTCTTTCCAAGTCTTCAGACGAACTGCTCGAATCAAACGGTTGTTCAAAAGTTTGCTCGGTTGGGTACCCTAAGTTGGTGGCTTTTTCAAGGGTGAGGTCTTCTAGCCGGAAGAAATCTTCTCTTGCGGTGTAGACAGAGGCGATAGACTCTGCCGGAGAACCCTGAGTGGTGGAGCCGTTGGCTGAATCGACATCGTGCAAGTCGGCGAACGGGGATGAAGGCTCTTGATCTCTTTTCTCGATTTCTGACATGTTGTCTGCTCGCTACCGTGTAGAAGATGAATCAAAGAAGGTAGAGGTACAAGCCCGAGGAGCTTTACGTAAGAGTATATTTTAAAAGAAAAAGGTCTCGACGTTGCAGAATTCAGCAGGATGTATGAAGAGGGTGTGGCACACATAAGAAAGGCGACAGCAAATGAAACTGATTGTCAGTGGTATAGACTTTTCCATTGGGTTACGTATGCCCGGCCCGTGGCAACGGATTCCAAGTCAAGAGAAAGCATAAAGCTGTAGCAGCGAGCAGATACCGCAAGTTCTCGTGTCATCCCTTTACGAGCGGCACAGTGGGCGAAGACGAAGAGTATTAGTAGAGAGGTAGTAGAAGAGACGGCTCCTTCGGGGTGAAAGCTGAAAAGAGAATGGTGCTTGGGAAAGATGGAAAAGTTCGTCCATGGGTGCATTGGAAGTTGGACTGGAAGGATGGAAGAGAGCAAGGCACGCTAAGAGATGCACTATTCTTCGAATTTGCTCGGGCGCAAATCCTTTTGATGGACATGAGCCCTCAGGCATAATGAATGATGATACCCAGCAAATACGTATGAGCAGGTTCCGGGCCAAGAGAATGGGTCGAGAGGAACTTCATTACCACGAAAGGGAAGGTGGCATCGTTTGCTTATTTTGGCGGGCAGAACCAAGTAGACGAGGGGAATTTCAAGCGAATTGCCAAACATAACGGATCTCGACTCAGGATTACTATACCTGTTCTTCTTCTCCTCCTTCTTTGGCTTCGCGTCTTTCGGTCCCCGTTTTCGGCTGCCTTTGGACTCCTCACTTGGGTAATTCGTTCCTTTCTCCATTCCGAAACGAAGAATATATTGATAACAATGTCACCAGCCCGCTTGTTCGCATGATCTGATGATGGTCGACAGTACTACCCCATTTGTCCCGGGAGAATAGAATGGCCACAAGAGGCGGAACCCAAATCTTTACCTCTTCTGGCGCACTGGCTTGCGTTTTCAAGGATGCGTCGAGACCGACCTGACCTCTTAGTCTCTGGGAAAAAGCGCGACGCGGCGACCCAGAATCGAGGTGGTGGGTAGAAATCTGTCTTTAGGAGACCCTGCATTGTCTACACACATGCAAGGCTTAACGGCGCCTCATGTGGTTGCATAGAAGTACACTCTCCATGCCTGACCCACATTTGGGTCAATGTTCTAGGGACAAGAGCGGCACTTGATGGAAACATTACCAACGGATGTTCGCGTTCGTCGAAGCCGGGGCCGAGGCTAATATGGGCGAACTCGCTCTTCCACACCTTTGGGTGCATGAAGGATCTGACATCCATTCTTAGATCATCTTCGTGCCCACGCGCAAGAAGGATCACGATCAACGTGCTTGTTGCGAAACCACCATGTCGTCACTAGGTCCAGCCATTGTAGGGAACATTCTTCCTTTCTCCATCGCATGGCGAAAGGACTCGGCGCACGCTTTTGTCTTTTGTCGTTACTCTACCCCAAGTCCATGCATCATCTTGCTGAAGTCGTCTGAAGATGATCAAGTGATTCCGTCATGCGCACTTAGTCGGAGTTATTGATGTATCGTACGAGTAGATGCGATGCGCTCTTTCCTCACTTTGTGGGGAAATGATGAATCGAATGACGTTTCAAAGGCATCTCGGATTCGTGTCCACTGCCGCATCTAGATCTGACTCAGACGCCTCGGTCGGGGACGAGGAAATGCTCAGATGCGATCTTACTCCAAAAATGGTGGCTGTATCTGGCCACCAATGAAATAGCTTAAAATTCGCAGAAAGTCGGCTCGGCCGAGGGGGATTTGCAGGCTTGGCGTTTTCTTGGCTTCGTGGGGATCCATCATCACTTTGCGCCTTATAAATTAGTCGGAACCAACCCAACGGAACGAAACAGCCACAGGAAGTACCGTAGTCGGGCCTTCACTCACTTGCTCCGTGCAGGTGGGGCCACCACCAATGGAAAAGAGGAGAGTGGGGTACATATTTGCTTCTGAGAGCTCTCTCACACCCTCAAGTCGAATGATCCATGACCATACCTTCCTTTTAGTGTACTTGAGATCAGCTCAAGCGATAGCTGATTCCTTCTCACCGACACGAATCCTCCGTCTGGGGCAATCGCAGTGACTGCTGATCAAGAGAATGTAATCAATCATCGGGTGGCGTTGCCGCCGTGTATCTGTGGTAGTGATGGTTTTTCGTGGAGGCTTGCTTGCTTGCTTATTAGAGTCTCCGTCATAGCTTCACAGAATCCGAGGCCGATGAAAGAAACAGAAATGCAATCAAATGACATCGTGGAAACCCATCAGTGTCAAAGACGTCCACACTAGTTTGCAGCCGATTTCCATGATGAAGCCTTGTGCCTGGACTCGAGTTGGAGTCGAGCTCCTTCTCAGAACTCTATCAAACTGTACAAAGAAAGTCAATCCTTTCGCTTTAGCGCAGCCATGAACTTGTCTCTTTCTTTGCTCAGGGTCTCAAGCAGTGGGGAAGAACGGATACCTGCTGACGGAATGAATGGGTTGTGCGACGCCTGACAATGATGCACACCTTTCGAAAGGCACACATCTCAGAATGCTGTGATGAGTGAGGCAAAGCCTGCAGTAAGGTGCAGTCGAGATGTCCAGAGCACTTGTATCATTGGTTGGGGGATCCGCCAGAATCGATTCGAGGCCTTTGAAGTGGTGTGCAGAGCGGGAGGCCGGATTCTCACATGCTTGAGAAGAGGACAGCATAAAGACCTAAGAGAAGTTGCCACGAGAATGATCACATGCCGAATTCTCGATGAGGGTTTCAAGGTGGCAGTCGTTGGACGCCTGTGAAAACCATACCAGGCCACTTTTTTTTTTAATGTTTTACAACGCCAGCTTCAGCTCTCCCTTTGGCTTATTCCAGCGTCCACGTCCAGCAGGGATCGCCCAAAATAAGCCTCCGAAGAGTACAGTTTCCGTCAGATTGTAATTCAGTAGCCAAAGCATCCCTGCGAATTGGTATGCGTCACCATGAGAAAAGGAGTCTGAAGTGCACAGTGTGCATGAGTCTGACTGACTCTCCGGCTGGCAAGCGCGTTGTCAGAAAGCAAGGTATATGCACTGCTTGAACCCCCTCGAATGTCGACAATACAATCACAAAGTACCGGGTCTACGGTCCATAGTTCATAGAGCACGCTGTTCAGGCTGTTTCTGCACATCGATTGCCAGATTTTCTTGGCTTACTACCTCTGGCTGCAATAGATTTGGAACATGGCATCATACCAGTGCCCAAGACTGCCACTTTTCTTGGCAGCATGCCTGGTCGACGTTGTTATGCCAACGTATATTGTAGCGCTTTTTGATCTGTAGTCCCCGAGCCTTCAAGTTCTGGCTAGAAGCGTGTGGACCAATAGAAACCTTGCCAATGATGCTGAAGCCTAGCTATCACCGCCATTATCGATCTGAAAATTTCTCAAGTTCTAGGTATGTCTCAGCAGTGTTCAGCAGTGTTTATCCAAAGTAGATATCTCGGTGTGGATAAGGCTGAATCGGTAATACGAACAAGGCACGCGTAATTTTCATCACTGCGATTCATTCCTTGATGTTGTATCTAATTGAAGCGTGAAGCACGAAACCTTACGTGTTTGTGCTTTGCTCCGCCGCCATCTGTTTCATTGTCTAAACAACGCAACGACCATGGTTTCTCACACCCTTGATGGTGCTTCCTCCCTTCCCCCGCCAGAGACGAGGTTAGAGATCAAGCAGAACTCCGCCTTTCTACAATTACCAGATGAGCTGCTTCAAATAATCACAAAGTATATGGACACCGGCACATTTTTCGCATCCCTCCTAACATCCCGCCGCTTTCTCGAGTCGGCATTGTCAAGAATACTCCTCTTCCATCATCTAAAGCGCATACCTGGGCTCACCCTGGGACTCACAGACCTTCCCACGCCTGATCTATTACTGTTTTTCAGAAAACGTGCGGCACAGAGTGGTTGCGCAGCTGGAGCCCTTGCCAATGTTACTAAGTATGCTCATCAGTCGCCAGGGAAAACTATGAGCAACGCACTCTTCATTCCTTCGGATCCGTCGCAAACTGGCAACTTGGCTCAACTGGTAACGACTCGATACGACGGTGTACTACAGATCTACGACCTGGCTAAGGATCACATACGACGCAGAGTCGAACTCCACATAAGGCCTGAGGGGGGCTGCTCAAGCACCAGGATTGAGATCCTCAAAGTGTCCTTCTCTCCCAGCAGTCGAGATCTAGCCGTCCTATACCGGCAAAAGGTACATTCACGTAACGCATCTCCTTTCCCAAAGAGAACTGAATCCGCTTGTGACAGCGAGGTTTACAGGCTGGTCACCTTTCATCGTTGTTTTGCAAAGACGCTGGGCTATTTCTACGACTCTTCTCTGCAGGAGACACGAGACATAGAAACCCTTGAAGACCAAGAAACTGTTGGTCTAGCCTTTGCATCGAACGGTAATGCGTGTATTGCTTGGAAAAGTCCCGATGGGCTTAACAAAACCAGGATATGCCTTGTCGGTCGGAATGAGAAGATCATGGTATGTATTGTCTCGAAATAGTTCCTCTTTATTGACACCAGCATTGGGATCGGAGGATCCTTTTCGCGTACCAAAGGCTCGTTTCCGCTATAAGATCAATCTGACAAGTCTGTTTGTTCGCGGTACTGAAGATATGCTGACTTAGGAAATTAGGAAGAGTGTAGATATGGTCAGCGATTTTTTACTTTGTCAAGTGTCTCTGATCTGCATTGCACCTTGTTCTGTCTCACACTGCTAAGATCAACCGTGAACACTGGGGAGTATCTGCATTCTTGAGAACTGACCGCACCCCCTGTCCATGGACACTGCTATTCTTGTCTTACATCGACTTACCTATCTGTTGGACTTGCTGGGGGGAAGACCTCAGCATCGTTATCATAAAAAGGAAGAGTCATTCTTAAGTCATTTCGAAGACTTCGCTAACGTTCCAACACCGTAGACTCGTCTCCTGACGTCTTGGATATTCATGACCCTTCGGCTTTACCTGCACATATGTACAAACATGGCGTAGTGTCGAACTGCCAATTCGTCGACAACGACAGCAAATTGAATTTCTACAAGGCGGGCGCCCCTGTCCATAGCTGGTACACGAGCTGCCCGAATCCAGCCGAAGAAGAGAGCGGCCCAATTCTGTGCAACACAGCCTCGATCGATATTGAGAACGATGGTACACGCCAAGCATTTGAAGTTGGAATGCCTTACTATGGCATCCATACCTACAGCGCTTTCTCATGTCGAATCTTCTATTTTGCTCTCGCTATGAGTAAGAATTTGAACAAATATGGCCGGACAGATGTATTTATTGTGCAGGCGGATTCCTTTTTATCTTTGGGTTCCTGTGATCACAGTATGCATCTCGACAAGGGTCGAAAGCAGAGATCGTGGGCGGCGCTAGCACTTCTGGCAGGGTTCAATGAACGGAGCGCGCAATGCCTAAGCTCGCTGGGCACCGTCGTTGCGATTTCCCCTGGTGGTACACGGATTGCGGCAGCGAACTGGTCTCGTGTACTAGTCTGGTCGATGAATCCTAGAGTGCTTTACCAGGGAGAATCACAGCATTACTTTCCGGCCCGTGACTACAACATGAGAAAGGGCATCGGCCGGTTACGGCCCACTTTGCTATCCTCGGAAGGAGTTGTACACAAAATGTTGTGGGGAAATGAGGTGCAACTCTACGCTACAACAGATCAAGGCCTTGCAAAATGGGACATTGGGCACATGAGCGAAGGAAGAAGAGAGAATTTGTCGTTGGCATACGACGTCAGGCCTGAGGCTGTAGTGGCCGCTCCGGTAACGGGCAGGGTGGCGCACCAAAATTCACCGCGACGAGCGTAGCCAATTCAATGAGGATGGTGCAGTCAAGGAGGTAGGCGACGAGATACTACGAGGCCATAAAATCATGAACACGAGGAACTTTCGCCTCTCAAAGGAACGAATGATCAGACTTTTCCAAAGACGTTCATGGTGTTGGCAGCGTTCAGGCGACGAGGAGACTACGTGGATTTCCAGCAGTGACATGGGCGCCCGGCTTTCAAGCTGCTATAACAATATCGTTGGTTACTCAAGGCTGCGCTTAGGACGGGGGATGGATGAGCTTGGAGATGATTTTTCTGGGGAATTTGTCACGTGTCCTGAGCTGATGCAATGCGGCTGACGCACATAACAGCTGATGACTAGTGATCCGGGTAGGCTACAGCCTTTTTTTTCCGGCGAATTTGGTGAGGAACATGATCTGTAGGCGCAAAAAAAGTGTACCAGTATAGTATGGATGAAACCTGAACTAGACGGCCTGGAGTTAGCAGAGAAAATCGAGCAAGTCGTAGCCAATGTGCATAAAATTGAATGGTAAAAAAAGAGAAAGAAAGAAAGAAGAATAAAGAATAAAGACACAAAAAAGCACACGACCATGAGAGTATAAGTAGAGTTAATTTTTTCTTTTTTTTACGGGGCGCAGAAGCTGACAGCCGGGTAGCCTGGTAGCCTGGTGGGCCTGGGTGTTGGGATTTATTAGTAAGGCAGGGGCAAGCGAAGATATGACGTATAAGGGTCTCCTTAGTGCCCGTGTGGGCGGCGTTCTATCAGTGTACTCTGTAAAGTAGACTCCTCGACTATAAAGTAGGAGTAAGGAATGCACAACACTAGGGAGACATAGAGAAAGAGAAAGAGACTGCACTCTTCATTCAACACTTCTTCTTCCCTTGATCTCATATTCCTTCTCCCACTTTACTGCGTCTTCATCAAACGTGTGAGTACTCGATCTCGAGGAGCATTTTCTAGCCTGGTGAGTCCTTCACTAACACTCGTCCAATATTCCAACCTTCTTCTTCTTCTACCTATGCTGACTTGGGAGCAACATCCCACAGCGCTCCACCCTCTGCAGTTAATCCTGAATCGGCATTCACGGCAACAAACCAAGTCAGAAGCCAGATGTTAGATTAAAACATGGCCGTCGTCCAATGAAGATTCACAGCTCGGCGTAGCTGCAAATGATGACGGCCGCTGCGACTCCTCGAGGCCCTTGGCCTCCTATGTCTCCCTCTCGGGCTCTCCCCATCTCGTCAACCACGCCTCTCGGATATCCTTCACGGACACCAGGTTCTGTTGGCCCACAAACACCAGGACGCCCATCCAAATCTCTGTCTCCACATGCAAAACGTGCCCCTCGCTCTCCAAGTCCCAATTATTTCGAATTCGTCACAGATCCTAGCAGCAACCCCCCAAATTCTAATGCCGTGGGGGAACAGGGTCTTTTGAAGGCTCCATCTTATCTGGATCCGTCTAAGACAATCCACGCCAGGAAAGACCGGAGCCCACCATCAGCTGGTGATCCACCTACTACAGTTGCTTCTCCACACATTGATCCTTTAGAATCGCAGCCGCGGTTCGAGAATTTTCGAAGGCAGTCAGAGACCAATACATTCAACTTGAGCCATGGAAGCCTTTCGCATTTTAGTGCAAATGTAGGGAGCGTCCATCCGTCGACACTCGAAGAAGTGCCAGACCAGAGCCACAGAAGGCTGAACTTAGTGTCGCCGAAACCGCAACAGACGCAGTCAGGAGTTGGGGCATCTTTGGTGAATCAAGAGGGAATGGACATTGATGAGAGCTCGCCGAGTGGTTTCCATCAGTCCCTGCTGAAGACTTCAGATTCTCAAGAACCATCTTTCTTTGACGTTCCACGGATGCAGTCACCAGCAAATGCCTCAACCCCAGACCTCTCCAAAGTACAGAGAACACAAATATCCCACATTGATGAAAGGCACCCTCGAAATTCTCTGCCCCACAACCGAGTCGAGCCTCTCTCGCACATCATTCAACGCTCAGAGACACTACCTTCCTCAGTCAGTTACGATGGCCCTACAATGATAGCGCCACAAGATTTCGTTGATATCTTGAAAGGTCATGTTCCCCAAGACCTCCTTATACTGGACTTGAGAGTTTTCCCGCAATACTCCAAGTCTCGAATAAGTGGTGCAATCAATCTTTGCATACCCACTACGCTATTGAAAAGATCGTCTTTCAATGTGCAAAAATTGTCAGAAACATTTACTAAAGAGAAGGAGAGAGCTCGATTCGCCCAATGGAGAGATGCAAAGTTCATCGTCGTGTATGATGCAGCTTCGATGCAGCTGAAAGATGCTACATCATCAGTCAATACTTTGAAAAAGTTCACCAACGAGAATTGGAGAGGCGCCGCTCTCATTATCCGTGGTGGATTCGACAACCTCGCTAAGAAGTTTCCGGACCAAGTTGATGATAGGCTAGCCAGCGAAATGGATGGTTCGAATACGAGGAAACTCTCAATAGACCCACCTGGCGCAGCCCCTATTGCAGGAGGGTGCATGATGCCAAGTACTCAGACTGCGGCGAATCCTTTCTTTGGTAATATCCGGCAAAATATGGACTTGATTGGTGGTGTGGGTCAGATGGCTGTGAAGCTCCCAGCTGGTCTCAAGGAGACAGCCGTCGCAGGATTGCCAGCATGGTTGAGGCAGGCTGCGCACGTGGGCGACAAAGGCAAGGCTGTTGCTGATCGCTTTCTTGGGATTGAAAGGGCGGAGCAGCAGCGAATGCAAAAGGCGCTGTCTTGCAATGTGTCTTATGGCACCCCAAATGCGCTCTCGCCTGAGGCCGTGCAAATCGCAGGAATTGAAAAGGGAACCAAGAACAGGTATAAGGACATGCTGCCATATGATCACTCGAGAGTGAGGCTGCAGAACGTGCCGTCCGGACATTGCGACTATGTCAACGCAAGCCACATTAAAGCACAACGGAGCAACAAGCATTACATTGCGTCTCAGGCTCCTGTTCCAGCAACGTTCAACGTGAGCTTTCTGGTTCTCTAACCGTCTACGGCCTCATCTAGCTAACGGCCTATTCAGGATTTTTGGCGTGTAGTCTGGGAACAAGATGCTCGCGTAGTGGTAATGCTGACCGCCGAAACCGAAGGTGGACAGCGAAAATGCCACCCCTACTGGCTTACAGGCGACTATGGTCCTTTCAAACTCAAGTCATTCTCGGAAAGGCATCTTCCACTGGCGTCGTCTAAGAACACACCGGGCAGGGTCTTCTCATCGCCTCTCAATTTGGAAGCAAAAGACAGACCCGACATGGGTCGTCGCCGCTCTACCAATTGTAGCGCGCAAAACACTCCTACACCCCAAACCGTCGACGCTGAAATCCCTCATGTTATAGTGCGCAAGCTCACCCTCTCCCACACAGGCCACCCATTTGAACCCCTCCGCGAGATCACCCAACTCCAGTATTCCAGCTGGCCGGACTTTGGCGCCCCAGCACATCCTGCCCACGTTCTAGGATTAGTCGAGCATTGCAACTCGGTTGTACGCAGCTACGAGTCCAGCAGCCCCAGCCGTGAGCCCGACGAGCCTGCCCGTAAGGGCGAGCGGCCAACCGTTGTGCACTGCAGCGCTGGTTGTGGCCGAACGGGAACATTCTGTACTGTAGACAGCGTTGTGGATGAGCTCAAGTGGCAACGTCAAGCCCGCTTACAGAAACAGATGACCTCAAATCCAGACGATATGGATGTTGACAGCAGTAAAGAAGATGGCTGGATGTTGAAAGACGATGAAGATTTGGTTGCCCAAACAGTCAGCAACTTCCGCCTGCAGCGACTGAGCATGGTGCAAACGCTGAGGCAGTTTGTGCTATGTTATGAGACTATTCTCGAGTGGATTGTGGGGGAGATGCCGGAGAAATTCAAGGGACTGGGAAGCGACATAGAGAGGAGGAGTCGGGGCGGATAAAGGCAATGGTAATGGTAATGGTTTAATGGTAATGGTAATGGTAATGGTTAGCTACTAGAAGAGTGTACAGAGATGAGGTACACGAACAATGGACAGAAGTCGCCACAGTGATGAGGAATAGTCGTGGTGATGAGCAACGATAATGGTAATAGGGTGAGAATGGTGATAATGGAGACTCACAACTCTGACCCGGCAGCAACAAGAAATCGCTGCATACACAAGTCCTCACGCCTCTTCTGAAAGAGATGTCCGAAGGAAGTGTCTGTCAGGCCACGATAGACCTTGGCTGTACTCTTATGAGAACATTGACAATGTGTAGATATCATAGCAGAAGCTAATCAGTACAACTTACCTTACCTTGGCTCCATGATGTAGCTAGTGCTAGTTGAATCACAGAAATCGCGATGATCCAAATAGCTCCGGCCTCTTTCTTTTGATGTAAGATATGTACTGTCTTCCATGTTAACCTGCTACTTTGTTCTGCTTTCCCATATGTCGGTCCTTTTGGCTCTTCTCCGAGGGAGGCCTGGGATGGTACGATTCACTCTCAATCAGGGCTTTAGTGTGCTGTTACGCAGCACCAGTTACGGGAAATGGCCTAAAAAACGAGCATTGTTGTTGGTGCTTTGTCTTCAAGCCAGCCATGAATCCTACTTGACCCATCGTGAAAGGTCTTTCAAACCTATACACGGTGCGCCATCCCCCACCACAAAAACTGTCGTAGATAGATGGTGCAATGCGCCGATTGACCACCTTTCCAGCGCCTCGCTCAGCTCAACACGAATGATTTGCAACGACAGCAGCCACAACTTTAGATTCCGGCGTCTCTCAACTTGGTTCAGTCTCCACAGCGAATCCGGCTTACCAAGCCCTTCCGCTACTTCTCCTGCCCACTGTCTTGAAGCTGCTCTGGTGTCCCAAAGCAAGTGTATCGAAGCGGTCAATGCCCATCATCTCGATGTCACCCGAATATCCTGCGAGATAGAAACCGACCACAATCACTAGATAGGCCAGCACCAGGATGCTTCCTTTGAAGTAGTTGCTCTTGCCCTCGCCGTACACATAGCTGAGCAGGAAAACGCAGAGGATAACGGTGACCATGTCCCATTGCGGGAAGATCAGGTTGAATGTGTGATCCAGAAGCTTTTCAGGATCGATGTAGCGGCCGTGGACAGCGCTGAAAAGGACAAGGGCGGGAATCTGGAGGAGGCACACTTGGAGAGCGTAAGCGGAACCGATCTCCATTGAAAGTGCGATATTGCCATTCATGGCGAAAGAGATGGCATTCTGTGCACAAATTGTTAGCTACAACATTTGCTTCATATCGGGCGTCAGAAGAGTATACCAAGAATTCTGTCGTATTGGGCACGAGCGCGAACAGAGTGATGCCCAAGAACTTCTCATCAATGTCTACACTTTCTAGTACTACATCCACAGTGTTGACCAAAATTTCTGCAATGATCGCGTAGAGGACCGTAGCACCTAGAAGAATGACGGCGCTCTTCACCCTCCCCCAGTTGGGAGCGTCATGCCCACCATCAGCAGGACCTTCTGCATTTGCGGCTGCTTCGTGGTCATCCTGGAATGCACCTGTAGCTGGAATAGAGGCTTTGGGTGTGCGTTGGGCAACAGTACGCGTTGATGTTGACATTTTGCGCGGAGCCTTAACAGCATCTCGAGCCGCGACCGCAGCCGCAGTAGCTGCCATCTCCGCAACATGGCGGACAAGATTATTGTGCTCCTCCTCGGAAAGACCGGCCACCTTGATACTTCTCAGGCTCGGATTGTCCTCCAAAACATTATTTTCGCCCTCGCTACTTTTTGGTGGCACGACATGCGGTGGCTGACCATGGAGATTGTTACTAGATCCAGATGGCTGCCGAGAATCTTCTGGACTGCGTAGACTCAGCCCTTCGTGCTTGAGAGACTGACTCAGAATGCGCTTATAGAGTTGAGTGTCACGTATCGCAGTGCTCACGTTCCGGCCGCCCGGAGAGTCCTTGCTGCTACTGCTCGTCTGGGGCTTAAGTCCGGAACCATGGAGTGGCTGGTGTGATATGCTGCCGTTTGGTCCAGGATGTACCTGAGCCTTTTTCTCCTCTATTTCTATGTTCCAGATTGTGGCTGCATGGGTCCGTAATGTAAACCATAATCCAATTATGTACGAGAGGAACAGGAGAACAGCCGCGAACCAACAGTACGGCCTCACTGCTTTGAGAAAGAACTCGTCGTTGATGGCAGGTACTTGGGAATAGTAACACCGTCGGCAGTCTTCATCAGGTCCATCGGGATGGCCAGGTCCCACCACGATGCAGGAATGGCAATTAAGCTCATGCTGCAAGAAGCGTCAGCAATGATCAGGTACTTCGGAAGGCGTTCTGCTTACACTTCCATAGATTTGATAGAACAGGGTAGGCCCAAAAGCAGCGATCACCGCAAATAAAAGCATAGTCGATGTGACGCCCGCAGACTTGACATTGAATCTCTGAGTCTTTCGTTTGATCGCTCCAAAGCACATGGATAAACCTGGTAGGAATAAAATACCAGCAAAGATACTCCCGATGATGCTGCCCTCGACCAACTGACCTTTGCCTTGGTTCAATGCTACGCAGTAGAGAAAAACCTCGACGACGGTCGAAAAAAACGCATTGATGGCCGCTCCCACGCCCATTGACGACTGCGCTGATATTGAAGCTACAGCCTGTCCGATGAAATATGCCAGGGGGATTATAGAGAAGAGCGCCAGCGCGAAGATAAGCCCAGGAGCAACTATCCAGCTGTCGAGGCCAATAGCGACATAGAGCACCCAGTAATCAAATATCGCAAACAGCACTACACCAATCAAGTTGATCAAAAAAATGTTAGTTCCATCAACGGTATACTTCCAGTACTTCAAGCCCACAGCTCGGTAAGTGCAGAGTAGTATGGAAGACGAATGTGACGAACCGTCCCGTGAATAAGTGGTGTCCGCGTTGAACGACAGGGCGAGAGGGTGTCGACGCAGGTGGTAGAAAAGAAGTAAAGTGGCCTTGCCCATGGGAATCCAGAAGACCAGGAACCAACAGATTCCAGATGCAAGCAGTAAGAGTGGTGCGAGCAGGAAATAGAAGAAGACGAAGAATATAACACGCCCGATAGTCCATTGTCCTCGACCAAAAAGCCTAGCCCTTCGATTCTTCGGCCCTGTCTTGGGATCATCCGCTCTCCTTGTGCGTCCCAGAAGGCTATCATTCTCATCTGCCGAATCCATGCTTCTTCGCCGACCAATCAATGATCGTGAAGTTAGGGGTCCGAAGAAAAGGCGCCCGTCTTCGAGGTCTCCGTTCTGCCATTGTTCGTATTCTGTGATGCTGCGGCCTTCGCCTTCGTCCTCTTCCGCATAAGCTTCATCTTGCTCCAGCTTGACGAATTGGCCAAAGGGGTAGAAAAGATATAGAGACAGGCCCCAGAAAACTCTTCCATAATCTGCGGCGGCAGGTGCAAAACCAAATAGAAAACAAGTGAGAGCTCCTAGGGCCGCGGCTGTGGCAAGCCACCAGCCGAAGAGGATAGTCCAGAGGACGTTGAACATCCATAACCAACTACTTACTCTGCCTCCTGGGGACGAGTGTATGTCACCTTCTGCTGTTTTCTCTATGGATCTGTTCTTCTGATAGAGCGCAGGTTTCCAGATACGGATACCAAAAGGGTGTGTCTCGTTGATAGCATTCTGACGGTCTTTCAGGGTAAAACTTTCGGCGTCGCTCAATTCATCATCATCGTCCTCATCACCATCTTCGGCGTCTGCGGGACTATTTCCTTCCTCTGCGGATGAATCATGACCGTCCCCAGCAGCTTCCTCGCGAGGGACGGTAGAGTTTTTAGGTTGCTCAGCTTCTTCCTCATCTTCGCCGCGTGAATCGACTCGCGGTAAAGATGTTGGTTGTGCAGTGGGTCTTCTGCGCAAAGTCGATGGCTGTCTCCGCAGACCATTACCATGTCCTGAGCCCGACGCTGACTTCGCAATCGACGATTGCCGTTGTGCGAAGTCCGACTCATATTCATCCGGATCATCATCTACTGAGAAACCTTGACCTTTATGAGGAGGGTGGTATTTAGAAGATGCTCGTCGCGCCATTTTCGGCTTGCTCATTGATGGTAATGGTTCGGGAGACAGCACTTGCTGGCGATCCGACGATGCGGAGCTTTGTAGACCTTGGCGGCCCTCATCCTGTGTAGGTGTTCGTTGACTTTCGGTATGGGGTTCTTCCGCAGTATTGTAGGAATCCAGGGAGCCTTTGACGCAATTAGCAGCATTCCTCTGCTGTGGAAGAGAACATGCCATGATTACCGCTGCTGGTCAAAATGGCCGGAGGCCGATTTCGACGTATTGTCCCCGTCGTTCTCGTATTTAGATCTTCATCGTCACGGTCTTGATCGTGAGTGATGGGCTCAAATCGTCGTGGTTTGTCTTTGGGAGAAGTGCCGCCCGTAGAGTAATTGTGCGCCCCAGGGTCGGGCGAATTGTTATCGTCTGACATACTAAAGTCTCCTATGGCTCCAGAGTGTACTGGTAATTACGAAGCATGAGCAGCTAGAGGACGAGTCCTCTATCAGCTGAGAAACCTGGGGAAACCGCCTGCTGTGGCGCTGAGCTTCAGTGTGTAGAAGGTCATGATCAGCAAGGGAAGAGTGCAGAGAAGCTCAGTAGAGTCGACGTGACAGAGGAAAAGGATTGGATAGCAGAGGAGGAACGATTAGATGATTAAGTTACATGTCAACTCTCACGGCTAAGACGTAAATGTTTACAATTGGCGCTAAAATTACTCTACGCTAACGGTGCTTTGAGCGTCACTTTCATCCTCCCAGCTAGGTTCCTCTCCAAAACCTGTCAACGCTCGAACCTGTCAACCATCATCACTTCATGTCCCATGCTTAGAACGACCACATTGATTACTCGCTCTGGTCTACGTCCCCCTTGACAGACTAGTAGTCCATTGACAAGGGAAAACTCTTTCCACCTTGGATCTTACACGACAACCTTTCGTTCCCGACCTACTACACCGACAGCATGGCTCTCGACAACTTCTTTCAAAACAAGATTGAAGACGCCAAACTCGAGATAGTCGCAGGACAAGCCGTACTACGGCGATTAGAGGCACAACGAAATGACTACAATTCAAGAGTGAGGTTACTAAGAGAAGAGCTGGGACTGCTACAACAGCCAGGCTCGTATGTTGGAGAGGTCGTTAAGGTGATGGGCACGAAGAAAGTCCTGGTCAAAGTACATCCAGAAGGCAAATATGGTAAGCTCGACTGCTCCCTCATGCGTGCTACACCATGCTGACAGAACCTCATTACAGTCGTCGATGTTTCCGACAGTGTCGACATCTCCAAACTTACCGTTGGTAAACGAGTTACCCTTCTCTCCGATTCATACAAACTCGAGAAACCCCTCCCTTCTTCCGTCGATCCATTAGTCTCCCTCATGCTGGTCGAGAAAGTCCCAGATAGCACATACGACATGATTGGTGGTCTATCTCAACAGATCAAAGAGATCAAAGAAGTCATCGAGTTAGGCCTGAAGCACCCGGAACTCTTCGAATCTCTCGGCATTGCCCAGCCAAAGGGCGTGCTGCTTTACGGACCCCCGGGTACCGGAAAGACGCTGCTTGCAAGAGCTGTGGCGCACCATACGGACTGCAAGTTCATCCGTGTATCGGGCTCAGAGCTAGTGCAAAAATATATCGGTGAAGGAAGCCGCATGGTGCGTGAATTGTTCGTAATGGCCAGAGAACACGCACCCAGTATCATTTTCATGGACGAAATCGACAGTATCGGTTCCTCCCGCGTAGAGGGCAGCAGTGGTGGTGACAGCGAAGTGCAGCGTACCATGCTCGAGCTTCTGAATCAACTGGACGGCTTCGAGCCAACCAAAAACATCAAGGTCATTATGGCAACGAATCGTCTGGATATTCTGGATCCGGCCCTATTACGTCCAGGCCGGATCGACAGAAAGATTGAATTCCCGCCACCAACCGTTGAAGCAAGAGCAGATATTCTACGGATCCACTCACGCTCCATGAACCTGACCAGGGGCATCAACCTGACCAAGATTGCGGAAAAGATGAACGGATGCAGTGGTGCTGAACTCAAGGGCGTGTGCACAGAGGCAGGGATGTATGCTTTGAGGGAGCGGAGAGTGCATGTGACGCAAGAGGACTTCGACCTGGCGACGGCGAAGGTGCTGAACAAGCACGACGACAAGGAAGTCAGTCTTGGGAAGCTGTGGAAGTAGTGTTGGCATAGAGGATTATGACATTCGTGGCGTCTCGAGGAGGATGTGTATATACGACGCCCACACTGGCATAGAGTATTTAGAAGGCAACGCGATGAAGGTCACTTCGTGGCCTTATCTACAGAGCTACCGGCAGGTTTGTCAATCAAGAAGTATCTAATCATCCATCGATTCTTCAAACTGGGGCGAGCTTAAGGGCATTTTCCTTTGTAAGTGGTAGAAGCTCTGTCCCTTTAGCGTGAAATCATGAGTCTATCTTCTTTTCGTTCTTGGTCATGATTCCTTTCTTCGAAGCATTCATAAGCCGTTGAATACCGTCCCTCATTGCAGCTCAACGAAACATCAACTTTACACGCTCCCTGGAAGCCTCGTATTTATCCCTCCACCCGCTTTCCCTTTCTCGCCCTGTTCCGCCTTTGGCTTCAAAGTGCCCTCTGCATCCCCACTTGCCTTTCCCCACTTCCCAACCACATGATCGACATCTTTCCTGTACCCTTGCTGGCTCTCGCACTGCTCAAGGAAGACTTTGTACTTCACAGCCAGCAGTTCCTTCTCATGCGGATCATTCGTTGGTGGAATGGCTCTGCCCGGTTTGGACATGCGATCCATGATATCCCACAACGGCTCTGTCTTGCCGTCCTTATCTGCAGATGCAGCCTTCGCACCCAGCATAGCGGCACCGTGTACCACAGCCGCATGCACGTACTGTGGGATGAGAACGGGCATATCGCAGGCTGATGCCATCAAACTCATTAGAATGGCGTTCTGGCACTGACTACCAGACATGAAGATTGACTTGATTTGATGGCCGGATTTATTCATCGTCTCAATAATCTGGTGCGTCTGCAGGGCAATGAACTCCATCGTGGCGTAGTAGTACAAAGCCAATCCGTCTTGGGACTTATCACTGCTGAGACCAATGACTGAGCCGGTCATGCGAGGGTCGGCGACTGGTGAGCGATTACCGAATAAATCGCCATAGAAGAAAAAGTGGCGGCCTAGATAAGATATAGTTGGTGCATTTTGCTTTGTCTTCATCTCTTTGAGATGCTCATTCAGGTAGTCGTAGATGTTCATGTTGTAGCTCTCTGCTATACTGAGTACCTGCTGGAATGCCGGATGCGTCTCCAGCACATGCTTGAGGAGCTCTCCCGTAGCAGACTGTCCACCTTCGGCCATCCAATAGTCGGGAATGAGAACGTCTCGATAAGGTCCCCACACTCCTTTGACGAACACAGGCTTTGGGGACATGGCGATATGGCAGGTGGAAGTGCCGGCCACAGCCGCAAGACGGGTGAAGGCTTGGTGACGGTCGTTGCTAGCGTATTCGGAGCTAAGTGCTGTGCCATCGAGCTTGACTTTGGCACCAACAGTACCCACCCAGCCAGCGTAGGCATCAATGACGCCGCTGCCCACCGCGATACCGGCAGGTAATCCAAGCTCGTAGGCTGCTTTCTCGCTGAGTGTGCCGCACTTTTCACCAGCACTTCTGTATATACCATTCTTGTCCGTCAGCAGCCTACACTTGATGAAGCATCTCGAGTACTTACTTCGCCGTTGACTCCACCCAAGCGCTTGAAATCATCTTTCACCAGATCGCCCAAGCCAATCTCTTCTAAAAAGTCTCCTTGCCATCCTTTGACACTGCCGTCAACGCCCACAGGAACGTAACCCTGCTTGCATACAGTGCTACAGTAGCTGCGGTTCTCGTTGCCTGTAGCCATGTGCGTCAGAGCGTCTGCGAGATCGTAGAACTTGCAACGGTCGAAAAGCTCTTTGGGCATGTTGTTCTTCAACCAAAGCACCTTAGGTATCTCCATCTCAATTGACATGGTGCCTCCGACGTAACGCAGTAGATTGTGCCCAGTGGCATTGATTTTGGCAGTCTCTTCGACCGGTCGATGGTCGAGCCAGAGAACGACATTGCGATCGTTGTCGAAATTAGGTCCGGTCACTGAGACGGGCTCGTCCGTGTCGTGAGAGAAGACGGCTAGAGAGCAGGTAGCGTCAAAGGCCATACCGCGGATAGTGCTGGGATTGATGCTGTGTTGATTCAGTATACGCTGAACAGAAGAACAGATGCATCGCCAGATATCATTTGTGGATTGCTCCTGTATCGCACGTCAGTTTTTTCCTGGCAGATTGAGCTGTGGGCTGGAAGGGCTGAAAAGGTCAGAGGTCGTACGTAGTAGCCTTGCTCGGGCTGCCACAAGCCAATGTTCTCTGAGGCTAAGCCAATTATATCTCCTTTGCCATCAATCACGCAAGCTCGAGCAGATCCAGTACCGACTTCAAGATTTCAGAGTCAGCATCTCTCCGTTGAATTGAAAGAAGAAATACCATCGATCCCAACGTAATGGCTTATGGTTCCATGGGTCAGCATGTCCTTCACATGGAGGATGAGGTTGTGAAGATCTGGAAAAGTAACTTACTCCATGTGGGGGTTGAGTTCGTTGTGCTACAAGCGATTCCTAGTCAGCATCACAGCTTCACGAACTGGGAGCCAAAGACGAGTTCAAATCTTAAGAAGAGCCTTTGCTTCGGAAGAAGTCTCGAGGCCCAAGGTATTTCACAATCGCTCCAGGGAGTGGGAGGGAGTGTACGTACAGGATCGGTCGACACTATTTCTCCAGATCAGCATTTTGGTCATTACGACAGCAATTGAAACGTGAAAGCGATTGCATGATCCGGCTTACTCTGTCTAGACTGCTGCCTGTACGGCTGTCTGAAGGGAAGGGAAGCCATGGTGAGTCTGGGGTTGCGATGCGTCGCGTGTTGGGGTGGTAAGAGCGATGCAAGCGATTAATTGGTTGTGCGTGCAAATAGAAGAGAGGGAGAAGGAGAATTGAGGTTTCTGCAATGCTAAAGATGGTGGACGTGGGCGATAGACAAGTCTTTAGTCAGGAACAGCTTAGCTTTGACGAAAGGAAAGCAAGAAGAAAAAGCTCGGGTATGGTTTCGTTCTACAGGCCGTTGGGGTGTTTTGATGACGGTGGTGACGGAGGCTGGACGATCGACCATTGGTGCCAAAGTTATGGGAGTAGGTACTCTACTGTACCTAAGGTAATAACCTACCACCTACTTATCCTTTCCGTCTTCAGCGGTCCCCAACTTCCCCCCCACGAAATGGAATCGATAGTGGTGGGGCTCGGCTTACCTGCCCTACTAAGAATTGATTGGCATCACCCACTACCCCTACTCAGGCCCTTACGCCGTGAATCAAAAAAACTTTCGCACAACGCTCATGCTATATTATTGAGCTATAGAAAGTAGATACACGTATTCAAAGCACTCAGTAAGGCCAGTACCTCTTCAATTGGCTTTAGGGGACGCTTATACCCCTATAACTATATCGAATAAGGCCAGCTAACCCTAATAGGATCATAGTAATCACAATTTTAAGAAGTACGCATTTATGCTAAAGTTATCGATAAATATCATACTAAAAATAATAGATGAAGGCCAGAAATTATTAATAAATGAAGTAGTTACTACTCTTAGAGGGCGGTAGTATTTATAAAAAGATAAATAATAAACTTAAAATTTAGATAATCTTAGATGAAGTATATAAACTAATTATTAACTTAAGTAATCGAGATAGCAATATAAAGAAAAAGATTATATATATTAAGTATTAGGTAGTTAGTCTAAAAAGTAATATATTAATAGCCAGCTACGTTAGCGTACTAAGTCGATTCTTAATATTCTTCTCTATTATTAAAGGAATTCTTATTATATTATTAGTAATATCGAAATAAGACTAAGTATTATATAATAAGCTAAACGAGATTATTATAAAGCTATAAGACGAGATAGTAAGTAAAGTATTAAAGGGGAAGATATCGAGCGAGATAACTACGATGATTAATAAATATATAAAGAGTATAAATACTATAAGAAAATCTATTAGAACGATTAGAAGGCTAGCGAGTAGTAATATATATATTATAGCTATAAATGAGAAGAAGATGAATAAACTAAGAAAAAGTAAGAATTAAACTCTAAAGATAAGTAATAGTATGAGAGTAATTATTAAAATGTATAGCCTTTTACTTTATAGAGTAAGAATTAATATATTCGATATTAAAGATATGGCTACGATAATTAAAAGAGTTTAGAATAAGAATGCTAATATGTTAAGCCTCGATATAGTATAACTAAACTAATTTAGCGCGAATAAAGAGAGTTATAATAAGAGTTTATTAATTATTAAATTAGTATTCTTAAAGAAAGAAAATAGAGTACTAAAAGAAGGCCTAGTTATCGATTTAGAATTATATAACTATTACGTCTATAATAAGTAGTATAAATTAAAGTAATACTTTATATACTAAAAATACGATTATCTATCGACTATATACTCTAAAAAGAATTACTTAGTATATAGAAAATACTTAGAAAAGTATTATTATAAAGATTATACGGCCGATACTCGTAAATACCCGATTTGCGAGAGACTATATAAGGCTTAAAATAAGATATATATAGTAAAGAAGAGGAGATAGCGAGAATAAAAATAGCGAGATAATAAACTCCTTTATAATTTATAATAATGAAGGAGATATCGGCTAGCTATTAAATAAGCGATTAATTAAATAATTACTTTTAGAATATATTTAATTATAGGCGAAATAAGGAATTTTTCTAAAACTAATATTTACGCGCGATAAGCTAGTAGATAGAGATAAGATAATTAGTAGAGAAGAAATCAGAGCGTTAGACCTCGAAAGAACTATTATATTGAATCTCTAGTCGAGTAAAGAAGATATACTTTTATATTATTAATAAGGGTCTCGTCTAGAAATAGATCGCTCTTTAAAGTAGTAAACGAAGTTAAATAATATAAGGATAATATAGTAATAGAGGAAATTAATAACTTCGAGGATAATAGATAGTCTCTAAGTCAAAAGAGTAATAATAAGAGAATTACGGTCTCCGTCAATAAGAATAAAAGAGATATATTCGATCTATCGATGACTAAAAAAGAAGAATATCTAAAAAAAATATAGACTTTATAAACTAAGCGATACGAGTAAGTAACACTAATAATAATATTAAGAAATAATAGTATACTTTAGTTAGCTATTAATACTATAATATAATATAAGAAAATTTAGAATAATTATAATAGAATTCTTCGATAATAAAAAGATTTATAATATCGATATAGTAGTAATTTAGAAGCTCTAGAGAAATATTAATATAAATATATCGTATTATTCTCTAAAGGATAGATTTAATTTAATCTACTTCTATTATAATAATATATAAGTATACTTCTATATTAATAAAAGAATATTATTAAAGTAATAATATCTATTATATTACTTATTAAACCTCTATATTCTTAATATTAAATTCGAAAATAATAGAATTATACGTATATATAATATTTATAACCTCGACGACTAATAAATAAACGAACTTAACGAATTATATAAAACGCTTAGAAGTCTAAAGATAATAAATAGATTATATTAGGCGACTTCAATCTTTATTACACGATATAAGAGAGATTAAATATTTATATTGATGAGAAAGTAGAAGAACTAATATTTATAGCGAAAGAATTCGCTATAAAATAAGTATTATTAATAAAAACGATAATATATAAAGAAAACTATTAAATAATAATAAATCTACTATTCGCTACTCTAATACTAATAGTAAATATTATTAACTATAATATCGAAAATAATTTCGAAAGCGAATCTAATTATCTTTTAATTTTTATAAAGCTTAAGCTGACTATAATAGAGTTAGTATTAATAATATACTAAAACTTTAATAAATTAAATGCCGAGATTCTAAGAGAGATACTCGCTAGAGCTATAATATCGAAAGAGTATTTAATTAATTTCTAGAGGAATAATAAAAACCCTATTAACGACGATATCGATTATTAAGTAGCGATTATTATTAACTCTATCTAAGCGACTATAAAGAAATCTACTCTAATTATTAAATTATCGCTATAATCTAGATCGAGATTTACGCTAGAATATAAGAAAGTATAAAGATATTATAAATTGCTAAAAAGAAGCTAAAGAATAACGCTCTTAAAGAAAGTATAAGATAAGTATAAAGTCGCTAAGAACTTCAAAAATAATCTAATTAAGAGAACTATTAGAAAGGCGTTTAGAGAGTTTATGATAGAGGTATATAAGTTACTATAAATAATATAGAAAAAGATTAAGTAAATTAGAAAATAACTTATAACATAGATATATCTCTCTTTACTATTTAATAAAGATAAATAAGAATATAACGAACTAGGCTTAAAGGCAGATCTTCTTATAAGAATATTCTTCTTACTATTAATATAGGCGGATTTAGATAATATCAGCGTCAATATAACGTATTTATAAGTCTATCTAATAAGTATAATTATTATAAATAAAATAAGAAAGATTATAACGCAGGCACTATCAAAAAGAGTATTGAGAGAAAACGCGATCTTTAATTTAATTCTTAAGAAGATTCTAAAGCCGTTACTCCCTTATCTATATAGAATATTTAATATATATATAACGAATAACTACTACTCGAAGTACTTTAAAATATCGATAACAATTATTCTTCCGAAGTCAAATAAGAACTATTTAATTTCTAAAGAATATCGATCAATAGCTCTACTTAATATTATAAAAAAATAATAAAATTTATTCTTACTAGGAGAATAGCGTATCTTATAGAGATATATAGACTCCTATCGACTATATATATAAGAGGCCATAGATTATAATCATATAAATACGATATTTACTACCTCTAGAAAGGATATATTAAGCCTAAAACTCTAATAAAGTAGCTACGATATTACTATTAGACGTTTCAAGTATATATAATAAAATCTCTTATCCTCGATTACTCTATAATCTTCGAAAGCGAAAAATTAATACGAGTAGTTAACTAGATAGAATCGTTTTTATTTAATAAGATAATAATACTAAAAATAAGTGAATACTTTATATTAAAGACTTTTATAGTAATCGAAATTCCTTAAGAATTACCGCTATCGCTTATACTTTATCTCTTTTATAACTTAGATCTTATTAATAAATATAATAATTATATCGACTTAGAAATAATAGTTATTAACTTTATAGATAATATAGATCTTCTAATAGTAGGAGACTCTACTAAGAAAAACTATAACGCACTTTATAAAATCTACGACGAAGTTTATATAAAGTAGATATTACGATATAAATCGAAGTTTAATTTTAATAAATATTAACTACTATATCTTAGTAGAAAATAGAGATTTAGCTTAGATTATCTCTTATAACTTAACGAGAGATAATATATTAAGGCGAGATACTTTATCCGCTATCTAGAAATTGAAATCGACTTTAAACTTCTATAAAGTTACTATAATAAGAAGATTTAGTCTAAAGCTATTAAAAGTATCGATATATTAGCGAGGATTATTAAATCGATATAGAGCGATAATTATAAGAGTATAAGATAGCTCTATTAGATAGTAATTATCTTATAAATAATATACTACTACTTAATATAATATTAGTTTAAAGATACTATTAATTATAATAAAACTCACCTCTTATTGCTATAAAGAATTTAATCTTAGATAGAGAAAAGATAACTAAAGCATTTAAGGCTATATTTATTTCAATACTCGATATAAAAGCGTATCTCTTATTAGTTAAATAACAGCTAGATAAGATTACCTTAAAAGCTATCTTACGAATTATTACTAATCTAATATATAGCGAGATTATTAAGTTATAATTCGAGCGATAGAAATCTAAAAGAAAATTTAAGAAGAATAGAAAACTAAGTTTACTAAAGCGATATATCAATAAATTTAAAGAATAATACGGCGATACTAATAAGATTAAGAAACTATACTCTTTTAGCGTCGCTCTTAACTAGAAACCTTTCAAAACGATAATTTATAAAATTAAAAAGTCGCTAAAGAACTAATTAAAAGATCGATTAATAAAGAATATATAATAATATATATAGATAATAGCGAGATTAATAAAAAGATAGAAGCTTTAGCTATATCGTTAGATATTAATTCTACTTTTAATATCTATTTAGATCTAAGCGATTAATATATAATATACTCGACGAAGCTACACGATATTCTTTAAGCTCTAATTATAATAATTATATATCAAATAAGACTATAACTTAGTAGAGTTATAGTAAATACGAATAATTAAATATCGATTTAGGCTATCGAAGATCTAGATAAGTATTTAAAATAGATCTATATAATATAAATAGTATAGATTATTAATTCGCTAAGATATCTCGAGGTAGTAATAGAATTATACTAGATTCTAATATATATTAATATCGATAATAATAAATAAATAGATAGAGAGCGAAGAAAATTACTAGCTAGCGAGAGCGAGTAATTTATAATAAAAGAGTAAAGGTAAATACTAACGAAATAGCTTAATTATTAGTTATATAGATAAGAATAATATCGATAATTAAGATAGCTATTAAAGATCACGCGATAAAATAATAGATTATCGAATAGATTAACGAGAAGCGAGATAGTATTCTTAGAAGAATTTAATTAATATCGTCGAAATAAATATAACTTCTATATTCGAGAGTTAAGCGCCTAAAACGTCGCTAATAACGTAAATAAGAATCGAGAAAATAGATCTTAAGGCCTTTCTTTATAATCGATAAATATCGAATATAGAGAATAAAGAATACAAGTGTGAAGCGAAGTAGACGACTCGATATATTCTTTACGAATATAGACTATTTAGTAAGAAGCGAGAAATATAATAAGTCGAAGAAAGAAGAAAGATAAAAGAGGGTTATTACTTATAAGAATATACTAATAAAACTACGCTACGCCTCTAAAAAATAAAAAATTTTTTAATTTTTTTTTTTTTTATTTTTTTTTTTTTATTTTTAAAAAAAAATTTTTTTTTTTTTTTTTTTTTTTTTTAAAAAAAAATAATATATAATTTATATGGTTTTTTTTTTTTTATTATTTTTTTTTTTTTTTTATTTTTTTTTTTATAAAAAAAAAAAAAAAAAAATTTTTTTTTTTTTTTTTTTTTTTAAAAATTTTTTTTTTTTTAAAAAAAAATTTATTTTATAAAAAATTTTTTTTTTGGGGTTTTAGGGGAAAATTTAAGGGTAGTATGATGTAATCAATCAATCAAATCACTACCCCTACTCAGTGACCGAGGGATTGTTCGCCCACTCGCGATAGAGAGAGTACAGAGAGTGTACAGGGCTAATTGGCCAACACATAGGCCGTTTACGCTGAGGGTGAAATTCAACATCTGAGCTTGTGAATCGGCAAGGGATGCATATCTTGACTCCGTCAGGTATTCTTCTCACTGTGTTCAACAGCGCTTTGGATGAGAGATGAGGAGGGGGCACAGATGGAGAAAATCAAGAGCTCTACAAATACATACTGGTAAGAATAAAACATGTCCAAGGTAGCGGTTGCTTCTGAACGCCAGAGCTTCCAAGTGCCTCTGTAATTGTGGACTCGGGGACAATGATTCACGCTCGGGCTCTCTGTAGCGGTTCCCTAGCGGCATTCGAGCCCGAAGTTTACTTTACTTTACGCAATTCCGTGCGTCTAATCTCTTTCTCGGGCGGGGCATTACCCGAGGCCTTGGCGCTCAAGGTCTGTCCAGGGACCAGGAGTAATGTATTGGGGCAAGAGGACCGAGGTTCGCGACCGACAGTATTATTCTTAGACGTGATATTCATTGTGATCAGACACTTTAAATCTCTTCTCCACACAGTGCTGACCATGGTCATCTTACTTGCCCTAGTTGCCAAGCCACCTGACCACCGCTCACCGCTCACCGCTTCATTAGAAGGCTTGACAGTAACTCATGCAGCCGTTATACTTCTCCCTGCTCTTACCCATGTTTGCTTGGGCAGTCCGCCTGCATCCGGCATCTCTCTTTTCCCCGTAGCTACTCACCCTTTGGTAGATATGGCAGAAATCCACCGTTGTTCGTCCTTTCTGTATTACAGTCAGCGTCACCGTCCTAATCGTCCGGAAAGTGAGGAGAGCATGTACCGATCGAAGTGCAAGAGCATCCCAAGAACCGGGATAAGCTGCACCTGGTGCTTCTTATCCTTCTGCTCGAGGAACTGCAACAGTACGTTCTTGAGATAGACATAGTCCATGGTGCCTGGCGGAGGGCCATTGGGCGCATCTACCAACGCGGCAGAGGGTGTCCTGCTTTTCGCTGCTGGTGAGCCTAGGTGTGCTGCCGAGTCGAACGATGAGCGAGAAGAGTGTGCTTCCGAGTCCATGGCTTTGGTCCTGGCTGTTTGAATCTTACCCATCTCATCCGCCATCGACTGCATATGGTCAGTGTATTGAACAACATGGAAATTTGGTGGCATAGAGGAACATACCTTATTGGACTTTTGCATCTTTTCAAGACGATGCTGTATATCTTCTACCGACCTCCGCAGCTCAGCCTTTTGCTTCTCCAGATCCCTCGCCTGCTTTTCGCTCTCATCTAAAGCATCTCGGAGTTCTGCCATCGCCTTTCGTACGTCGTCGACCTCTCTAGTGGACTGCCCTGCACGGTGCTTCAGCTCTTCCCGCCGTCGTTTCCAATCCTTTTGTGCCATCTCCAGCTCTTCCTTATCCTCCTCTGCTCTTTTCAAATTCCTCTCATTATCTCTGAATTTGTTTCGCAGATCTTCCAGCTCCCTTGCTCTTCGCCTACCAGCGGTGCTAGCTTCATCCTCTGCACGATCACGCTCCTCAATTGCTGTGTCCATACGCTCTTTCATCTCCCGGGTTCGTGCATCAGCTCTTCCCTCAACATCAGCCAGAAGCTTTCTCATCGTCTCACCCTCACGGCTTCGCTCACTCAAAAGGCGATGAGCATCTGCAACCTCCTCGTCCAGGCTTTCGCAACGCTCTCGGGCTTCTTTCATTTGCATAGCCATCTCTGCAGTCTGGTCTCGCATACTAGCCATCAAGCTCTGTGCGCTAGCATACTGTGCGGTCTTGAGATCAAGCTCCTCCTTCAGACCCACGCTTTCGCTTATAATCTTGGAGAATTGCTGCTCGAGCTCTCTTAATTTTGTCTTACTGGCGTTCAATTCCTCTCGTGCCTTCCCAAGCTCTCTTGATAGACGGTCGAGGGATTCCGTTGCCTGGCGTCTCTCTGTATCCAGCCGCTGGACTTCCTGTGCTGCCTTTGAACTTGCATCTTCTGCCTTGGACCTGTTATTGCTTTCCTGATTTATCTTCTGGTTCAAAGTCTTGATCTCCGTCTCTCGATCCGATATAGTCTGCTTCAGTTTTGTGACCTCGGAGCGCAATTCTTCGTACCTAGAATCCAAATTTACGAATGCCGCGTCTTTCTTGCCAAGTGCTTCTTTGACGGATCTCACTTCTGCGGCTTCGATCCTTAGTGCGTTGATCTCTGGTTGTGCCTTCTGCAAAACGTTCCTCAGGTCGTTCAGGTCCTTGAATCTAGATGATGCGAGTTGCTGTGCAGCAAAAAGATCTGTTTGCAGCGTATTCGCCTTAGCTTTCAAGTCCTCAAATTGAGCTGCTAGATCTTTGTGCTTCTGCTCTGATCCGGCCGCGCTGGTCGCATGGACACCCCTGAGTTCAGCGATCTCTTTCTCAAGGTTCGTGACAGTAAACGCCATGGCAGTCTTCTCTGCCATCAACTCTTTGACTTGGTCTTTGGACTCGACATGCTCCTGTCCAACGTTCACGAGATCGTCCCGTAGTGTGTCGATCTCTTCTCGTAATCCATCCTGATCTATCAGCTTGCCGTGGATTCTCTCAATAGCTGCATCTTTTTCCTCTATCAAGATGCGCAGTTGGTGGAGCTCCTCTTGGAGCTTGGACACGATATCTGTCTTCAGACTTTCTTTCGATTCCTTAATATCTGTGATTGGCTCCTTCTTCAGGTCTGTCTGCGGTGCCATGTCCTGTTCAACAGAAGACTTGCCGCCTTTCTTCTTCTTCTTACTTTTCTTCTTACTCGAATTGGATACACTTTGTATAGAGCCTTGATCGTTACTAACGCTCTCAGATCCTTGAATCGAAGGCCCCTCACTGTTACCATCTGCTTGACCAGTCGGTCCTGGGCTATCTGGCTTGGGCAATATTCCGAGCTTCTCGGCCTTCTTCTGCAGAATTTCGATGGCCCTCGACTTCTCTTCAATCACGGCGCTAAGATCCTGGTTCTTTCCCTCAAACTCGGAGAGCTGAGAGCGCAGGCTAATCACAAGGTCGTTCAGTGTATGTATCTTCTTATCGCTCTGCGTGGCGTTTGATCGTAGCTCCGATAGTTCTGTTTCCAATTTGCTAACGTCGGATTGAAGCTCTTCGACCCGCCCTTTGTCGTTCGTGTTCTGGCTGGCTGCTAAGTGCGCCCTATCCAATTCCTGCCTTGAATTTTGCAATTGCGAATCAAGTTCGGTGATGCGGTCAGAGCATTCAGAGCCATGCTCAGCTTGCAGATCTTGTAGTCTTGTCCGAGCTTCTTGCAAGTCGGCGCGTAATCGCTCGGACAGCTTCTCTGTTAATACTCTCTGCTCTTTCATGTCCGATTCTAAGCGGTCTTTGCTGTCTCGAAGACCATTGAGTTCCCGTGTCGCTTCCTCGAGTGTTTGGACCATGCTTTGCGTTGACTCTCTAGTAACGGCAAGATCCCCTTTCAAGATCGTTACCTCGTTTTCAAGAGCATTGATCTTCTCCTGGCGGTCTTGAAGCTCGGTTCCCAATCTAGGAACCTCGCCGTCATAGGAAAAAAAATCTTCCGACCCTTGGCGAGCTTGGGAAGAGTCCGCTGCTTTTTGCTTTGGGGAAAAAGGAGTCATGCCAGGTGCCGAGACTGTGGGTGAGTTGATTGAAGCTGGTGAGGACTTAGTTGTTACGCCTAGAGGTTCTCTATTGGTGATCTCTTGCATTGAGGCTTCATCATCAGACTGCGAACCGTTCGCTAACCTTTCGCTTCCTTTGGGATCGGCCTTGGTGCTTGCCAAAGACTTAAGGTTGGCCACCTCATCCCAAGCTTCGTTGGTGCTTCTTTCTGCCTCGCTCAGTCTTTGTTTGAATGTGTCCCTTTCGCTTGAGACTCTTTTAAGTTCATCCAATACCATGTCCCCTTTCAGATTGACTTGATTCAAATACTCCACGAATGCATTTGGGTCGCTAATTGATGTTAAAGGCGTATTTTCTCGAAGAGATGTTTCAAAGGGCTCGATGGTGAGGACTCTCGCATGAGCAACGCGATAGGACCTAAGCAGCTCTTGGAGCTGTTAGCAACGGTCTCGGACAGTTGGCAATCCTGAACACACCATGATATCTTGACTCGTATTTTTCAAGCTTCCGGAGCTTATCGCGTATATCTGTAGGTAGATCTGACGAAGCACTGGATTCTCCGGCTGATGTAGACGTTTCATATGTTTCTTGGCTACCTTGTTGGGGAGCAATTTCCTGCATGTTCTTGATGCTACCATTCTGATTTGATTGAGGCTTCAGAGTTCCAGACCTCCCCAGATCCTCGTCCTCGATTGTAAATTCAGACTCGAAATCTGCAGGGTCGGGCGCCTTTGCTGGAGGATCTCCATCCTGCCGGCCTCTCGTTCCTTGACGGGAAACCCTTTTGGCTGGAGAGATAGCCCGCGAATCAGCTCTCCTGGGATTTGAATTTGATCTTGAAGGAGAGGCTTGGGCTTGACGCTGGCGAGCTTGTTCCTGGGCAATCGTGGAGTCGATTGCTCCTCTTATGCGCTGGGTAACTGTTAGTGAATGGTGTAGCCAGTGAGATCAAGCCTTCGCTGACCTGGAACATATTGCCAGGATATCAGCATTGTCTCGAGTAGTGAGACCTAGTTATGAGATAGATCATAGTCGAACTGAACGATGGCCAAAATAGCTGTTCACGCTGTCCACGCTGTCATCCTGCAAGCAAAACAATTGGCTCTACCTCGGCAATTAGCATACTCAAAAGTCTTTGGATTTCTTGGCATTGTGTCCTGTCACGCAACGCATCGATCCAGATTATCATTTCTCCCCCTATGAGTCGGACTGTACGAATCCCAACGGCTTTCGAGCCACAAGACGTCTAGTCGTATTATTGCATATGAAAGATGTAGATTTGAATTACTGGTTTTGGAGAATCTATAGCAGATAGGGGAAGCGAGAAGGTACTCGTACCCTCAGGCGGAATGACCCCGCTTCGCTCAAGATCTTAAGATATATGTAACTCTACAACATAGTCGTTTTCTCATAGATTTCTAACATCTTAGCAGCGTTGAAATCGCAGCGATAAGGGGTATAATTCAATCATAGAAATCTTCACAATGTGGTTTGTAAATTGAGAAGTCAATAACTTGGAATTATGCTTGAACACAATGCCAAGAAATCCGAAAACTTTTGAATACGCTAAATTGCTTCAACCTAAGGTAAGGTAGGTACCCACGTACCTTACGAGCCTACCTAAAGGTACCCGACACTTAAACCACGCATTCTCGTGAGTGAACTCCGGGCGGTGACCTTACTATATTTTTCATGTAGAGTCAAACCATGGTCTCCTTCTGGCCATGGAAGGCATGTTGCCCATAATCACAACGGGGATCCTTTGACTGACTGCTCCAAGGGCGACGACAACTCACCGGCCTCGTTTGAGAAGATTCTGTCAAATCTTTCCACCAAGATATCCAAAACGAGCAGCAGACTCGATGGCCTTCGACAACGTTCAAGGCGTTTGAAGGTTCTCTGGACTCTGTATGCCGGTTTTGCATACCTACTATGCACTATCATCCTTATACTCGTCGTGGGCTGGAGGAAGTGGGGTCCAACAGAATATACAGCAGTCGCCGGCGGCCCCTTCATGTATAGTACCTGCGACTTGCTCTTGAAGAGATGTGCCTAACATTCTATGGAGTGTATACCTAGTCAGGCTCGGCTTAGCGACTTATTATGAGTATCGAACCTCGAGCATACAGAGCCATCTAGACGAACTGCAAAAGCAGAGAGATTCTACCATCGAGAAGCTCAAGGCAGCCACCAAGTATAATGACACGCAAGATTTGCTCAAGAAATACGGCGGAACACCAACTCCAAAAACAAAGCCTGCAGGGCCCTCTGAGCGTAAGACGACTCCAAAGCAGGGCAACGCGCCGAAAGATGGGAGAAAAACAGTTGTGCCGCCTCCAACGGCGAATATTCCAGGCCGTAATGGACCTGCAACACTCACGAACATGCCTCAGCGCACAATACCTCAAATCAGAAGCCCTTTAAGCCAAGATGCTTCTTACGCGGCGTTGGGAGCAACATCGCCTACCCAGGGGCCCGTGTCTTCCCAAGATGTTTCCGCGGAATTTGCGCCCAACGCTTTCTCAGCCGCGCCACAATACTCTCAAGCTGATGAGGGATCACGATGGTATGATCGAATCATGGATGTGCTGCTGGGAGAAGACGAAACGTTGCCGCGAGCTCGTTTGGCTTTGATCTGCAGCAACTGTAGGCTCGTAAACGGCCAAGCACCTCCAGGAGTGAAGCGGTTAGAAGATGTTGGCAAATGGCGATGTGGAGGCTGCGGTGCTACGAAGTATGTATGTTTCATTTCGAAAGATATTTCCCTAAATCAATCCGGCAGTATTTGGGCTACAAGCCATATGTTGGGATAAATGAGATACCTTATCTGTCTGAGTTCTTCCGATCGTCTTATGGCGTTCCCTTCGAGTTTTGCTTAGAAAAAGGAGATGCTGACTCCCAAACCCCGTTTAGCGGGGAGGAGAGTGAGACGAAGAAGATTGTTGCAAGCATCGGAAAGCAGGCGTCTGCCGAAGCGAGGCATTCTGAGGAAGAAGAAGAAGCCAACTCGGGAATAAGATATCACGGTGTGAACCATAAAGACGCTCCCGCTACTCAAGATAATGGTTCTGAAAGCGATGTTACTCAGTATTCGCCTGAAAGCTCGGAGTCAATGCAATACATGGAGCAAAAAAGGGACAATTCCGCAGAGCCGGAGAACCCAAGACGTCGGTCGACTCGATCCAAAGCAAGTGGGACGAAGGCCAGTTAGAGTGCTCATTACCTAAATGTACATTCCTTAGGAGACGACTTGCTGCTTGGGCATTGTTAACGCGTGAGCGAGGGCCTAGAGATTGAGATCGCTTTTATAGGATCACCCTGAAAGGTAACGGATAGAAGACGACGTCGATCAGGCACAAGGTATTTGGAAGAGATGCAAAAAGACTTAGCTTGCCCAGATGAATATTAGTCTCGAAATTACGTACCGCTGCCACCGCTGCCACCGCTGCCGGTATAACTCCGAGTCTCAAGCGACCAGGGAACTGTTTGCAGCATAAACATCAGTACTTCGGAACACACATCCCTTGAGGCTTAGCGTACCAGGGGACAGGCCGTAGTGATACAATGATACTCCAGCTCTAAGGTCTGGCTATCTTGGATTCTCGGGCGCCTGCTTACGTTTGTGGCTTGATGCGGCCAAAACGCCTTTTGAGATCAATTACTGATGCTACGTAAATTCGTGGTGGTTGATTCTTGTGGATGTATGCCGTGGAACAGGAGTTCGACTCCTCGAGCCATAAGCCCCTTGAGTGGGTTCCAATGCGATGGCACACCTATGGTGTGGCATAAAGGACAAATCTGGTTTCCACTGCTGTCGAAGGTATGATAGAGGAAAGAAGTTCAATTGATTGGACTCGTCGTTGCACAAGGGGTGAAGGTGTGTGCGAGACCAGTATCATTTAGCCTTCGTTCTGCTTGCCAAGAGAGACTCTAGTTTTTGAATCTTCATCCTTTGCTTGTGAATTTCTGTGTGCCCCATGATTTCTTCTGCTACCTGTCTCGTTTGCCATACGTCTGTCTTTGTTTGCAGCGCGGTGAGCGAAGCTGCTCCGGTATTTTGGCGCTTTCACCTTGTCTGTTTCCTTGCTGTGTAGGCCCTCAAATGCTATCAGACTTCCACCACATTTACCTTCAGCCTTGGTGGATTTGACAGTGTGCAAATTCGGTGTCGCAAGCGTGTTGATCGCGGTGAAAGCGTGCTGTCTTGGCTGCCAGTCCGACTCTGCGTCTATTTGTACCTGACTATGCCCTGATCTTGTTTCGGGGACTAGAGATTTCTTGTCTTTGGAGCTTGCAAAGTCTCTTATGGCCTTTGCAACATCTACAGAGAGCTTGGTGGCCGCGATTTTAATTGTGCCTCCTGCACGGTCAATCTTTTCAGAGAGCGCAGGTCTCAGATCATTGGCGATATCTACGACGCTGTTCCTGGTGGTTTCAAGACTCGGGTTTTTTCATGCGTGATTCATGGTCATTCCAACCGATTGGTAAGTCGTTGGCGGTACATACTTGTGTTGCCTGCTGCTCGGGTCCTGCAAAGGTACTTGTTACCATGCTGGACTCACCACTCGGCTCATTTACAGCCCCTTGTTGACGTACCCATTTGCGCCCACACATGTCATCGCCGTCGACGAGTCCGTAGCCCTCCTCAACAGATAGTTCGCTTGCCGCGCTTACTGGCCTAAGGCTTCGAGACCTAGGCATCTCTTCACAGCTTATGGCTTCCGACCACTGGATGGTCAGTACCTGGTCGTCATGTTTCGGCTATGGACACCTAATATACCACTTTAGTCGGCGAGACAAGATCTGGCTGTACGCAAATGGTCTGAAAGTTATACGAGTGTTATCAACACCCTGAATGGTTGGCTAGAAAAGATGAGGAGTGGTTGGGGGCGAACACAACGAAGCTTCTCGATATCAAATCTTTTGGCAGCTCAGCAGAACAATCAACTTCCGAGTCTGCTAATGCTGGCAATGTGGAAGACGTGGGATGATTGCCTTCATCATTTTCGAGCCAATCTCAGAAAGAGAAACGGGGATTCACGAAATTGTTGTCTGATCTAAAGCTGTGGTCAAGCGGCTTTGAACTGGCAGTGTTTTGATGGGCGAAACGGTGCCAAATCATGTGTGAGACGTTCACAGCAGCTCTTGATGGCGAGGTTTTGTGGCAAAGGCTGTGTAGCGACCAACCAAGCGTCTTGACAGCCCTTCTGGGTAAGGAAAAGAAAGTCGCCGTTGGTAACCAATATTCGTGATTTTTCATTGAAAGCTTTGCATTGACACATTCCTTGATCTTGTCTGAAGTCGCTGGACGACTGTTCCTCAGTACAGTTTAATAGATCCCAACATCGCCTCCAGTAAAGCATATCGCTTCCCAAACCTTCTCCCCGAGTCTATACTTAACCAAACCCGCAAAAACCATCAAGTCTCTTGCACTGCCCAAAAGCTCGTCGCTAATTTCTTTATTCATCCCTCCCTCTCCGCCTCCGTACTGCCGCGAGGCTAATAACTCTCTCTGCTGCCCTATGCATGTGATGGTCCAGAGAAGCAGAGGACCAATGTTGCGGGATATCACTGGAGCAAGCTCGTTAAAGTTGTTGGCGCACGCACGGATGACTGGGATGGAGGCATGAGCTTGGAGGGGTAGCAATTTAAGAGAGTCGATAATCTGGAAGACATCGTTAGTCAAGAAACGGGGAAGCAAAAATTCAGGCATAAGGAAATCTTACGTCAATGGCTTCCGACCAGTGGCCTGCAGCAGTTCTGGCTTTTGCCTCAGCCATCCCTATGAGCATATCACACGCGTCACGATTGCTCTCACGGATCTTCTGACTACACATTGCGTTGTTCCCGTATAGGCGAATCATGTTGCGGGCCAGCAGAACTGGATCATCAACAGAGGTCAAGCTCAATGTACCGGCATCAGTGTGCTGATTATGTTCCTGTTGAGCGTTCGTTCTCGGCCTTGATGGTTGCAGACGCATTGGTTCTTGACCGATCTCGACTCCGATGGCTTCAGAGAGAGTCCGGTTAACAATGGAAACTACATTATCATAATCCTCAGCCAGATGGTAGAGCAACACTGCGTCATTGACTCGGCCGTTGTCATCTGCAACACTCGCTGCTTGGATTGTGACGACTCGGAGCAGTTGTTCTTGGTCAGCTAACGCGATAAGTTTCAGGCGCTTTTCGATGGCTCCTTTCAACCTTGTCCCATCCGCGCGGACGTCACCGAGCAGTTGCGCAAACTCCCGTGTCTCAAGAACCAGCTCACGCAGAGCCTCATGGCATAAGGATGCTTGAGATCTGCCCATTGCTCCTGGAAGGCCAGCATTGAGACAGATCAACGTTAGATAGTCGACAGCGGCCTCGGCGTTACCTGCTCGGAAGTCGCGAGTATAGAAGCCAATCATGCGGCCAAAGCTGATCTGAGGAAGCTCCTTGGTGTTAAAAGTCACTGGCGTATATTTAGTTAGGAGTCATACTTGTGAACATATAAGCTTACGAAGTTCTGTCTCATTGACTGAGAAGTCTGAAACACGCAACAACCCGTAAAAGTCAAGGGCAATAGCGAAATGTACAGCAGCGGCATAGGAGTAGGAGTACAAGTACGACACCGCCTGCTCAAACATGCCTCCCAAGATCTGCAGGTAGAAGTACGTGCCATAGCCTCCTATACCCTCTGCTCCTTTGGAGAAGTGGCGTTGGCCAATTTCGCGAATAGTCTCTCGTACTTCTTCGAGGCCAAAAACTTCGCCAGCGCTTTCCTCAACACGATTGACCTCCCTTGCGAGGCTGAACTGGAGCCAGATCCAATCTTCAACTCCTTGGCTGATGCTATCAATACTTCGTTTGGTCAGCTCGCAACGACCAATAATTTTGTAACAAGCTAATTGATATGGATCAGTTGCATTGTCTGGAGCAACGCGAGTTTGCGCAGAGTATTCTCGGCTGATGTGATCCTGGACTTTCCTATCAAGTCTTCTGTCGGGGTTCCTGGCGTAGGTAGTAATATAGTTCAAGAAGTTTCGATCGATCGTTCGGAACGCTGTACCGTTAGCAACGACATAATCCGCAGCCTCTTTGACTAGACCACTCCTTAAGAGAAAGAAAATCAAAGGCCAAGGATATTCGTCATTCATGGTACGTAGCTCAGAGCCATCCGCAAAGAGGTCCCTCCTCGCTGCACGGATCCTGATGTAAGCCCGGACTTTGTTGATAGTCGTCGGAACACCTCCAATGTTGGCCTCCTTCGGATTTCTAGTAACGAGGTCCTCGAGATCGTGCAAAAAGCTGTAGGGTGTTAGTTCTGATTGGATTTGGATGGGAAAGATCACATACGACTTCTCTAAGCAACGTCTTGAGCCATCTATGATCCTCTTTCGTATATTCATAGACTTTGCAGAGTTAGGAACTTCATCGAGGTAATCATCAGCGAATTGCCGTTCCTTTGCCCCAGTCTCTCCGACAATCTCGATCAATGCATCATATGAGTCTGCGAGCTGCTTCGGGGACTGGTTGCCCCAGTCAGTTTGAGAAAGGTTCCTGAACGCTCGTGTCCTTACCTCTCCTCCCGGCTGACTCTCAATGCCTTTCAATTCTTGAAGCACAGGGTATGAGCTTTCGTCGAGTCGTGCGCGGTTCAGCGTTTGCACTTTCTCCGCGAACTTGCGCTGCTTCTCCCTTGTGAATCGACCATCTTGGATTGCTGGTGCTGGTGCGTTTTTCTCTGCGACATCCGCGAAAAGGGTCGCATTCGCAGAGCCTACCCCTGGAGTACCTATAACAGACTTCTGGATACTCGACTGACCAAAGATACTTCTGTTGAGACTCGATTGACCTGGACGGTTGGCATTGTTTGTCCGTCCTCTTCTTGTCGATTTGCCAAACCTTCCTCTTAAGCCAGGACCGCTTGCCACGTCATCAAAAACTTCTCCATGCTTAGGCATAAGCCCAAAGTGCTCGTAAATCTTTTTCCGCTGCAGCTCCCAATTGATGTCAACATTTTCTTCAAGATAAGCATCGAAATTTTTTTGGGCTCGTTCCAGACCTTCAGATATCATTCTGAGTGTAGATTGCTGCTGTAACTGCTCGACATGTTTGTGCGTGTCAGGATCCCATTGTGGAGGCGGATGCGAATTTCCACTGGAGGGCGCTTGCGCGGCCAGAGAGTTGAGATCTCGCTGCGTCGTGCCAGGGATGATGCCAGAGGCAGCGAGAAGATAGTGCGCACTACTGTCCACCGCTCTACCTCGGTGCGTTTGTGTACCGACACTTCCCAGCTCCCTCACTTTCTTCGCAATATCGCCGAGGCCTAGTTGCAAGCTTGGCAGGTCTCTAAAGCCAGGTCCTCCATCAGCATCATGGGTCCTCTTCCTTGCTTTCTCGAGCAGGTTATTAAAATAGGCTGGTTGCGAAGTCACTTGTCCTCCTTGCGATTGTTGACCTACTTGCTGTTGCTGCTGTCCCTGGGCTGCTTGTCCCGACTGGTCGTCTTGTTTCTGTGGTTGTGAAAGGGAAGGGCCAGCAGGTTGCGTTGTAGCTGCATTGCCCTGAGCGCCTCCAAACAAGCTAGACGTCTGCTGAGGCCACACATGTAACGCTGAACCAGTGCCGAAGAGCCCACCGCCGGCGGTGCCCGTCTGCTGTTGTGGTTGTGACGAGCCGAAAAGGGTTGGCTTCTGATCGCTTCCAGGACTGGAAAACAGAGAAGATTGAATTTGAGGTTGTGAAGCACCAAGGCTGCCAAAAAGGTTGGTTGTCTGTCCTGAAGATTGCTGAGGTTGTGCAGATGTGGCAGGGTTGAGGTTGCCAAAAAGGCTGGACGTAAGCTTCGGTTGCCCGAATATTGAAGACATGGTGAGGGAGGGGCCAATATTGCTCTGTATCGAACTTTTACATTGTTTTGTAGTCCACACGTCCACTGGGGAGACCGGGAGACGTGAAGTTTACTTTCGTGTTATAGGGCTGCAGGTATTTACGAGTAGCTACCTTTCAAAAAACCAACCTCCCCCCCATCCCCCCCCCCCACCGCCAAAGTAGCCAGGTAGCGTACTCACAACCCCTGCGAAAGCTTGGCATCAGATCTTCCTCATCACAAAGTTCACAACGCATGTAATACGATGAAATTGTGTATAGATTTTCTTATTGGGTGTATAGAAACCCATTATGCCTGTATTCCAGTCTAAGAAATTCCGATCCAGTTCCTATCATCATAGCTTCGGCGCTTTCTACAGGAAAAATCTCAATAGCCATCCTTTTCTCCTCTTCGGCCTTCCTTTCATCTTCACAATCGTTGCGGGTATGTACATTTCACGAGCCCTATCTTTTATCTGCCCTATCCTGGATCACCTTTCCAGTTGCAAGACATGTTCCAAGAGCAGAAGGCTCTTAAGTCCCCTTCTGACTGTCTTGGTTGCTCGGCGTCCGTGCTTCGAAGAAGTAATGCTGACTCCGAAATTTTCCTTAGGCTCATTCATACTCACACCCGCCACTGCGCTCAGATACGAACGACATGATAGAAAAGTGCAGCAGATGACCAAGGAAGAGGAGTTGGGCATCGGCAAGGATCGGCGGAGAGTGGATATCAATGAAGAGTATTATCGTTTGGCTGCCAAGGTCAGTTTCACATCTCGATCGTTGGGGACACTTGCAATGCTGAATCGAGTCGCAGGATCTGGACGATTGGGAAAACAAAAGGGTCAAAAGATTACCAGGCGAGAATGATGGAGTATGATGCACCATGCCACCTTTGAGAGTTAGAGCTCTACAACAACCTACGCATTTCGTCGGCTATGGTGCTATTCGACCCACCGCACATAAGTTGCTGTTGAGGGTCGTAAAACTGAAGGAGTAGCCTGGGCAGTGCTCAGGCTTTTTCTCTTGCACGTGTCCCCTCGGTACCGCCCAGGCGACCTCAGGCACGTGCGTGCTAACCCACTAAGAGTCACGACGACACCGGGAAGTTTGACTTCATTTATATTGCTGAGGAGGTGAAGAGGAGTCAGAGGCAGAGAAGGATAAGGCGGAATAGCAGGGATCAAGACGAATATAACAGTCACCCAAAACTCCGTTCAGGCTCTATGGCAATGATCAAGAGCTTCAGTCACCAGGGTCATCGCGACGTCATTGAATGGATGCAATCGTGGTGTACTAAGGTACTCATGTATGGCTAGCAGCCATGCAAGCCGTCAGAAAAGTTTGCTGTCTAGGGCGGTGACCAAATATTACGCGGAATTAGGGTATCATACCCAGAAACGTTGTTCGAACGTGAAATCACTCCAAATTTGAACATTAAAGGGCGAGATGACTCCTCATTGGTGTTGAACACGTCGTATACAACGCGTTGTTTATCATTAAAAAAATTTAACACGTTAGGGAAATGTACCACTTCGACTGCCCCGATTTTTGGCATCGAGGCATCTTGCCTGCAGCCAGTAGAATGGACTGGCTCCTTGATGCTCTCTTCCAGTCCTTCACACCTCGGCACCATCGGTCTCTCTGATCCTTCACCTACTGGGACCTACTGGGAGCACAATCCCCAACTTGCATCGCAGAGGGAAAGCCTGATTTCTGCACTCCTGACATCTGATGATAGTGCTCAAATTTCACCTGAGGCAAGGATGTCTTGGCGTTACTGGGCCTTGAACTCGACTTTGGATCTGTGATCCTTAATGTCCCCACTTTGGGTGGGAGACTGCCCTACTTATTGGCTGTGTATCCCTAAGTGTCATACGCATTCTCTCTTCATTCAATACATCGTTCACATCCAACCAGATCTAGACCTCGCTCGCTTATGCCCTACATAAAGGAACATTTCAGAATCTGTGCTCCCTTGCTCCATGGTTTCAGAACACTGGGGACCTTAAGAGCATCCTCTCCAATGCAGCAGTCACGTACCCTATACACCAGTAGAAAGAAAAGTTCAATGCCCACCATTAGTCTGCGCAGCTGTAGCAGCTGCTACGGCCTGAGCGGCTACGGCGTTCGTATCGGCTTGCAAAATGACTGCTTGGACGATCTGCTGCTCTTCCGGATTGAGGATCTTGGTGAGATTATCATAGAGCTGGGGTTGCTCCTGTTGCAGTTCTTGAGATACGCGTGTCAGTGAGCATGAACATAGGTCATCAAGAAGGATGTGCGTACTAAACAAAGTTCCTTTGAATAGTCCGTACGGTTCCACTTTGTCAAGAGGAGTCTCAAGCAAGCTCTCCTCTTCTAGCTCGTCGTCGGATTCGTCCTGTGCGGCACCGAACTTTTCGGACTGTTTCTCACTTTCAGCCGTGTCTGAACGCAAATCCACCAATTGACTCACCTCTTCTTTCAGAAACTCCAGATAAGCAGCACTCTCGTCCTTGACGTCCTCGGCATCCTCACCTTCGTTGGTCCATATCTCTCCGTCCCACTCTTCTTGATCGTCATCGTCGTCATCGTCATCATCGTCATCATCATTGAGGGTGAAGTCCCCTTCCTTTGTAGCCTCCTCACGGTCTGCACGCTGTCAGCCATCTAACAGATACAACAGAGTTGATGCTTAGCTTACTCTTTAATGCCGCTGGGAGGGTCTGAAACAAGCGGACCACGCCCTGCAATAATCGCGGCCAGCCTTGTTGAACGCTGGTGGGTACTTCATTGGCGTTCAGTGTTAGTAGGGAGCTTATGGCGACAATAGACAATTTCTTGTCGTGGACTCGTGTGAAGCTCTCAATATTCGAAAACCAAGAGCTAAAGAACTTGTTGGTCCATCCATTTGACTCTAAGACATGCAGAGCGATCACTGGATTGTAGTAGAGGGCGTTTATAACCATTTCCATAAGGTGTATTCTGTAAGATTTGACCTTTAGCTCGTTACTTGATAGCATCCTCATAGCTAATTCCACGAAGGTGGGAACGAATCGGTCAACATGTCCCCGAAGATTGAGCATGATTGCTTCTGCAAGCTTGCAGCCGCAGATTCGGTCCATACCTCCGACCTTTTCGTCGTGGAATATGTCCGATACCATACCAACGAGAGCTTCGATATATGTGGGGGTCTGGACCAGCGTTTCTGCCCCATACGAAACGAAATTATCCAAGGCGGGGAGCATGTCTTCCAGGTATAACTCTGCACCGGACTTGAAGGTTTTGTGCATTAACACGAAAGCTTGCCACATTGTAGGTGACACTGATTTAGCCGAGAAAGTGCAGCTGTCAATGATCTCGAATACCTCATTGTACAAATCAAAGAGCTTGTTCTCGAGGGTGATCTGAATCACTGGCATTAGAATGGTTTCTAGGTGCATTAAAACATCCGGTGTTGCCTCCAAGGTAAGAATGAGAGTACCAATAGTTTGAAGAACGCCAAGCGCGGTAATGCTCTTGTCGTCTAAGAAGTCTCCATAGGTCTCGTCTTCGTCTTTGGCGCTCTGCTTTTCTAATAGTTCGCGGACGATCCGAAGGTACGTATCCCGCAATTGCTCGCTCAGTGCGACTGCGAAAGGGGTGAGCTCGGCGGCGAATTCTTCAACGAAATCCTCCATAACATTAGCTAGCGCATCTACGTCAACTTCATTAGCCAGCTTCAGTAATTGCTGCATTATCTGCGGTATGTTTTGTTGCATAGAAGCCCGAATGACTTCGTGTCTGATGAGAGGTTGAAGGGCGAGGGCTGCCTCTACGCGTACTGGCAGCGCAGGATCGGCCATCGATTCGAGTATGTTTCGGTAGATGATGAGCAGATTGCTGGGGTCCTTAAATTCAAGTTGCTCAAATTTGCCTAACGTGTCGCAGGCTCGTGCCCGAAGAAATCCATGGGGACTGCGGAACTCTGGGAAGACATGCCGGACAAAGAAATACTCGACTTGATCAGCTATTGGACTTTTTTTGCTCAGAATGACAGAAGCCAACGTTCCGATCATGCGGAGTGCTCCTTCTTTCTCTCGAGCGTTCTTCTGATCGTCTGGAGCAGATTCGTACTTGTTGACAACGCCGTTGACAAAGTTCAAAATTGAGAACGTCTGTTTCTTGCGGCTTTTAGTCAATGAGACTAGGAGATTGGTCGCAGCAACATCAGGCGCTGAGACTTCTTCATAGAAATTCAGCTTGCGATGAAGGTATTCTGGAGGATCGGAGTCAAAGAGCTCAATGTCTTCATCGGATTGGCAAAGAATTGGAAAGAACACGTGGGAGATGAGGGTATCCATGTGCGGTTTGAGGTGATTCCACATTGACTTTGGCTTCACGCACTCGTCCAGAAAGCTTAGCGTATATGATAGCGATGGCTTGCTGAGCCAAGTTGTTTTGGATGCCCACTTCTCGATTGACTGTAAATATCCTTTGAGGATTTCAGGGGCGAAATTCGCAAGAAATGATTTAGAGAATTCCACCATCTCTGGAGAGGCATTTTTCTGGTTAGTGCTGGGGCTGCCGTATCTTGAGACCATTCAGTAATCGCCCATTGACAGAATTCAGCGCCTTGATATTTACTACATACCGTACAAACAGCCGATTGAGATTTGCATACGCCCATTTCTTTGACTTCCAGAAATGATTTCTTTCTCGCTCGTCGTAGTCCTCGTCAAGGGCGTGGCCTGGGGCCTCTTTGGCGACGATAGTCAGAAACAGGGTACACCAACCAACCATTCGGTCTTGATGCATCAGGTATCCAGGTAATTCGAACTTCATGCATGTTAGCATGCCACTGGTTGTAGGCGTGTAGAGGATCGACCCACATAGATCGCATGTTTGTACGCTTTCATGATGATGTGTAACATTTCCCATGCCTCCACGCTTCTTTCTCCCACCAGTCGTGTGGCAATACCCAGCAGCTGTGGGAAAGATGCCTCAACAATTTGGTTGAAGTTCCCCCTGTTCTCTCCTCCCTTAAATCTATACATCCGGCATATTGCTAGCATACAATGTAAGCCTGCGAAGACGGAGTTTGCATCGTTTGTATTCAACAGTTGCATCGTTATATCTAGGAAGTTGGGCCATTTGGCAGGAAAGTCGTAGGATAATATTTTTTGCAGGATTGGTATGAGCTGTATCCGGACTTGTGGTGACGAAGAGGCTAGTATAGGTAGAAGACGGTTCCGCAGGTCGAGCTTCTCATCTTCTGGTATTTGTTTGTGTGCTGCAGAATCTTCGCTCGGTTGCCATGCTCTGGTGACTCGGTTTTTGAGGTATACAACAGCTGTATATGAATTAGCGGTGTCACTGTAAAGGCAGTCGGAAGGCGTACTGGAAAGACGTATGCTGTTGTCCTGCTCCGCCTGTAGTATGTTGAGAAGAGCGTTGGTAAAGCCTGGTTGTTCTTCTGCCTTGGAGGGGGCATGTCAACACATTGTGAGAACAAGAGCACCAGGGAGCTTACATATCTCAAGTCTAATTCAGCTTGACGTCTCGCATCTGCATTTGGGTCCACTGTCGACTGTATCCGGTTTCGAAGGAGCGTGACATCCATCCTGTCTTATGTCTGGCGCGTCAGCGCGCCCAAGAGAGCGCAACGGAAGCAAGGTTGAGGGCGTGTGGGGGGTGGGCGTGGACTGAACGGCGGTCTATTCCACGTAGGGTGCTTAAGACTAGGACAGTCAAGGGTCAGAATAGCGCGCTCAAACCAAGCTGCGAATGCAAGTCAAAGGCTGCGTGGAGTTTAGGGACAACATGCACTTGTGTTGCGCGGACTGAGGAAATGTTGTTGCACGAGAAACGAGGTGCAACCACAGTAGTGAGCCGCCAAGATTTCGAAAATGTCGACTATATCATCTCCTTGTGCTACAATTTTCACAGGAACCAACCTCACAACATCATGTCTGATCAACCATTTACATTGTGCCAACGTTCTCACTCCATCAGTTACATATTTTTATTGCCTACCTCAATGTAGGAGGTGTTGGTATTAAATACAATACAGCAGAGAACTTCACATGATCATTGCTACACATCCATCTCTCACATATAGAGCGAGGCGACCGCTGTGATGTCGCGTTTGATCAGCTCTTGCGCAGTTTGCATCTTTGTGAAGAGCTCAGGGTCTCCAATGATCCTCGCTGCGTTCTTCACCTCCCTACACGTCTCGTCCAATCTCGTGATTACGCGGACGATCGTTCCCTCCAGCACATCCGTGAGGTCGGTGATCCGGTTGAATGACATCCCCCTGGCCCACTCATACACCACCTCCACGAGACCAAACCGAGGTCGACTCACAAAGTCATTCGAGTCATCGCTTGAGAGAATGACTTGATGCTGCGTCTGGAAAGCGTTGACTTTTTCAGATATAGCAATGATCGTCTCCTTCCCTTTTTCCAGATGTGGAGTCAAGGTGGGCTCGGCCTCGGTCTTTTCTTGGAAGACAAATGCTGATAGAAGAGCGACAATCTCTTCTGGTTCGAATTTTGCAAGCACATTTTCGAGTACAAGCTCAGTAAGGACAAGCTCGTCAGCCGAATGAATCTAGACATCTTTCGTCAACAACGGTCAAGAAGATGCATCACAGGTTCAAGCTTACTTCACAGGCTACCTTGCCTTTGAGCTCAACCCTTGAGTGGTGGTCGATGAACCCCAAATCTTTCAAGACAGATATTCGCTGTTCGTAGTCGGGAAGGAGCTGTAAGTTCTGATCCGACATTAGTTGCCTCAGCTGTGATATATTCTCTTTGACGAGCCATTCATCATGACGCATAGAGAACTACAACAAATCAGCATACACATGGAAGTTTTAGAAATTCAGTGCCTTACGTGCTTGACAAAGTTCGGGCACTCGAGCGCACGAGCTTGCTGGGCTTTGGTGGCTTCTTGCTTGCGATGTTCCAGTATCTCCCGTGTCTGGAGCTCCTTCATCCGACTCCAGTCCAGTTCGTCCCAATTAGGCTGGTCCCATGCTGCACAGATCTTCGCCACTTCCCCTACTGCGATCTTTGTCGCTTCTTCACTGTGTTTTAGTAATTTATCGGTCCCAATCTACGATTTGGTTATCAATACCTTTCTTAATCTGCAGATGCCAGGTAGGTCCTCTAACCTGTACAATGGTTTTGGTCACAGAGTCAATGTCACTCAAGGGGATCTTGAGGACCTTGAGCTCCATCTCTGCAACCTCTGTAGGTAGCTTTGCGAAAAGGGGGCGAAATTTAGGAAGATAGGGTAAAAGATCGCCCGGATTACGAGTTGGGTTTTTTGCTCCTAGAGAGAGAAGCTCGAGGGTGGGAGCAAGGCCCTTGCTCACGCCTTCGCGTAGAAGGATTCCAGCTGTATGTATACCGTTCTGAACTTCAATTAGCTCCATCGGCCTAATTTTGTTGTATGAAAGATTTTTCACCTTTCGAAATACGACCAAGCGCTTGGCAGATAACATCCGCCTGCCAACAGGAGATGCTAAAAGTGCAAGGTACACATCTGCAGTGGCTAGCAGGTATTCCATGGCCGCGTCGTGACACACGTCGATATCGATATCGCAAACTTCGCAAGGTTCACGTTTGATCTTGGCCAAGTCCGATTCGGAGAGCTTGATCTGCTTTTCTTGCTCGGGGAGCAGCGCCTGGGTTGCATTTTCACTGAAGCTTCTTTTGATCATCTCCTCAATCTTTAGTGCCTCTACTCTGAGTAGGTTGAGGATCATGTTGTAAGTAAGACGAAACTGAGATCGTAGTTTCGTGGGGTCCCCAAGAATCATCTGCTTCAGTGTGGCAGCAGGCGGAGCCTCGTCACTGTTAGAGTTGACGATAACTACGCTGCCAACGGGGTCGATTCCGCGCCGACCAGCTCTACCTGCCATTTGCGTGTATTCGCCGGGCAGAAGATCTCTAAAAGCTCGACCATCATGCTTGCGGAAGCCAGAAAAGACCACTGTACGCGTTGGTAGGTTAAGACCCATAGCAAAAGTTTCCGTGGCAAACAAAACTTTCACAAGTGTCTTTGCGAAGAGGATTTCAACGACTTCTTTGACAATTGGTAGAAGACCACCATGATGTACGGCGACACCCCGACTGAGCAGTTCCCGTAATCGCCTGATTTGGGGTAGAAGGCGATCCTCTGGCTTGAGCCGAGCAATTGATCGCTCGATTGTCATGTGTATCGCGCTCTTCTCCAATGCAGTACAGAAGTCTAGATTTGACAAGGCGTCGGCATTTTGCTCACACCTTTTCTTTGAGAAGACAAAGATGCATGCGGGAAGAAGAACATGCTTCTTTAGATGCTGAATGAGATGGACCCAAATGTTTCTGTCCTGCGCAGCACTTGTTCGACCTCCGCCCCGCCCTGTCCGAGCGATATTCCCGACGCCTCGCGGAGCCTGAAACCTTCCCTGCGACTGTGTCCCTCCACGCTGTTGGCCTCCACGCGCAGGCCCACCACGTTGAACCTGGCCACGGCCTCCTCTGGCATTAGACGCACCGCGCTGAGTAGCTGATCCACTGGCTTCAACCGCAGATTGACTCTTGTCCCTGCCTGACATGGCTATGTTTGCCTCCTTCCAGCCTTTATCTAAAAATTTCTTGTCCGCATCGATGATTTTATGCATGGTCTTATCAGCCCACAGGTAGTGTTCCAGTGGCACTGGTCTTTTCGGTGTTGAGATAACATAAATGTCTTTCTTCTTTGTTCTTCCTACCCAAGAAGCAAACTCGTAGGTATTCGGAACAGTTGCTGAAAGAAGGATGAGAGTGACGTGCTCTGGGAGCATGATGATTACTTCTTCCCAAACGACGCCCCGCTCCAAGTCATTAACGTAATGAACTTCATCGAAGATGACGAATTCGACATCTCTGAGTAGGTCCGCTCCGCGGTAGAGCATACTTCTTAAGATTTCCGTTGTCATGATAAGGCAGCTAGCTTCTGGATTGATCTGGACATCACCTGTCAAGATGCCCACGTCTTGGAACCCAATTCTGAAATCTCGAAATTTCTGATTGCTCAAGGCTTTGATTGGAGACGTGTAGATAGCTTTAGTCATGTGCCTGGCTGCCAGCGCTATTGCATACTCAGCAACGACGGTCTTCCCAGCAGAGGTATGAGCCGCTACGAAGACCGAATCGCCATTTTCGAGATGATATACGGCCTCTTTTTGGAAAGTGTCGAGTTCGAAAGGCCAAGTCCTGGCCATGTCGGGCACAAGTTCTTGAAAATTAGTGAGTTCTCTCTTCACGTCAACCATGTGAGCCCATTCTTTGCCGCCTTTCCGCATCGTCGACGCTGCTAGGATACCATGAGGCCCAAGGGCTGGAAATTCTACGGGCAGTATGCAGTCAATGTCTTCCTCGTCCCCCCCGTTTGAGTCGCTGTCACCAGACTCATGTTCTTCCAACGAGACACCGTTGACGCCGGAACCCCCTTTGCCATCAGAGGTACCTATTTCTTTAGGCTCTGCTCCTAGAGTGTCTTCCACTTGCTTTGCAGTAGCCTCGTCCAGCTTTTTGTTATCCTTCGTTAAATCTAGTCCTCTGTCAAAGCCGGGCGGTATCTCGAGCAAACCAGCATGCGAACTAAAATCGATCACACGGTCTAATCTGCTCCCTTGATTGCCTTTGGCTTGTTGCTGTTCTTGAATGGCTTGGTCTTCATGCGCAGCAACGGCAGTTACACCGTCAAGCCCGCCTGGCGCAAACGGAAAGAATCCAGCAGCTCCACGAACGAAGTCAGCACGATTAGCTGGTTTCCTGAGTAATGAGGTCGAATTTTTGGCGGTGGCGCTTTTGGCAGGTACGGTGACCTCTTTGTAGCCAGTAACTTTGCCTTCCAAACCTTCTCTAGTAAAGCGAATAATAGTCCTCGACTGTGTGGGTGCCAGCTCATATACACCAGTGTAGTCTGTGGGGATATCCCATCGTCCATAGAGAATGTCAGCAGATTCTCACGCCTCTTGGTTGAACGACATACTGTTGTAATTTATCAAGCCATTCCACGTCAAAAGACGTCTGCGGTGTGAGGAAGTCCTTTTCCAGCTCCTTCTTCAGAGCCTGAGTATCTATTTTGGTTCGCTTCCTTGGCCTCTGCTGAAGAAGCGTACCGTCGATGCACATATCACGGTCAAAATCGTGCTTGTTGGCGCTCATACGCAGCCTTTCGACCGCACGCCAAAGATCTGAAGTCATGAGGAAAAAAATCTCTACCTTTATCAAGGCAAAGATTGATGACACAGAAATGACCAGACGGATGTCAATGGATTAGAGCAATGGAAGATCAGGATGGCATGGGCCCCTAAAGAAGGGGGTTTTGGGGAGGATATAACCTTTTGATGCCTGTACGGCGAGAAAGCAGAGTCTGAAACTTCACTTCGCTTGTAATCATCTACCTCACCTTTCCGAAGATTCTACGAGATAGGTGTGGCTAGATCTCTGCTGAGTGAATAAAGGTTGGGGGCTGCTACCGTCAAGAATGGCATCAACGTGGTCACAGTCAGAACATAATATTGCTGCTTTGGGTCTAGCGCCTTTAGAAAGGCCTGTGATACATGCACACCCCTTTTTGATACATATTGACACCCCCCTGTGGTTGGAGGTATTTAGTTCGTATTAGGTTCGATTCCTAATGGCGCTGGTACAATGGTGTTGCGGTGCTTTTTATTTCTGGCAGCGCCATTAGCCACAGGTTTTAAAGTTCCGTCGAGCGGTGTTGGCGAGGGCTTAGGTTCGAAACCCGTGCGACGCATTGATTTGTGAAGCGAAATGTTCCCCGTTAGTCATAGTCCGGGGGCGGACACCTGTTGGTTGTGGTCGTGTGGTTGGAGGTATTTAGTTCGTATTACCAATTAATTACTAAGGTAGCAGTTATATGGTGTGATGGTATTGCCACCACTATAACCGTATTTATATGCAAAACAGCGTTATATGCCAGTAGGACTTTATACATGTCGCCGCTAGTAGTAAGCGAAAAAGAGATGAATAGCGTGTTACCTACCAAATTGATCCGCGTCAAGACGTTTTCTCAGGTATCTTCCCATCAATACCTCAACTCAGCTACTCAGCTACTCCACACCTCAATCGCATCACCTCCATCCAATAAGGCTATTCCTACAGGTATCGAGCCACCTACTACATAGACTACGACGAAGAGGCTCTACATGGTCCTGAGCAAGATGCTGAGGGCGAGGATGATGAACAGTGGTGGTAGAAGCATGGCAACTGGTGGGTAAGTATTAACTGGCTATGTAGATGACTAAGTAGTCTATATACCGTCTCAAAATACCTACCTTATATGACCAAACCCCCAGTGGTTTCAAAATAGTCATTTGGAACCATACTTTATATGCGATACTACCTTATAATGAAATACTACCTTATAATGAGTCAATTAATTCGGTAGGTTCGATTCCTAATGGCGCTGGTACAATGGTGTTGCGGTGCTTTTATTTCTGCCCCCCAAGAAAACAAGAAGCACCGCAACTAGGACACCATTGTACCAGCGCCATTAGGAATCGAACCTAATACGAACTAAATACCCGCCCCGGACGGTAAGCCAACCAACGAACATTTTCCGGGCATGAAAGCACCGGTGACCGGGGAAATTCGAACCAACGGCTGTTCCCGGTTGAGAACTTTAAAACCTGAGGCTAATTTAAGGCGCCGCCAATAAATAAGAAGCACCGCAACACCATCGGATGTGAGAGAAATGAAACACAAAACCATTACACCATTGCACCAGCGCCATTAGGAATCGAATCTAATACAGTTAACTTGATACACTGACCACAGTGAGGATTTTACAGGGGTTGCCTAGCCAATATCACTAGTGGGCCTTGGCTACGAGTAGATATCTGGCTCTGCACCAGTCATACATAGCCAGTGATCCTTCTACCTCTGGACCGTACATCATTGGTTCCTCTTACTTCCTTGAGGGGGCTGTCAATGTATCAAAAATGGGTGTGCATATATCACGAGCGTTTAGAAAAAGTAGCAGACACGCTCTAATTACTTGTAAGGTATCTCATGACCAACCACATTGACCGATCCACGGATCCACGTAGTCGCATCACCACACATCGTTGTGAGCTAACAGTGCATCCTCATCATCGGCAAAATTCTCCTCCCTTGTTGGGCTTCTGGATTCTTGCCCTAGTATTAGAACAGTCTTCGTTGAATCGTCCAAAAACAAATTTTCCGTGTCACCATCGCGTTCCGTCTTCCCATCGTCTCGAGGAAATGTTGGTGTGGCTGCGTGGATATCATTGTCATCCCCCACAACTGCAACAGGCGTTCTCGGCCTCTCCCTTGACTTGGCCTCCCAGTATTGTTGCTGTCCCGCTTTCGAGCTTCTTTGTTCGCCTGCCAGCTCTTCTGTGCCTTCTCCTAAGCTATCCAAGCTGTCCTGTGGTTTCCCTTCATTGATCCACTGTCGCCTCATTGTTTGCATTCGTTTTGTGTGGCCAAGCTTCTCAATGATGGCAAGTCCGTCTGCAAATTTTGCTCGAGGATATAGTTCATCTAGCCACAACTGATACATATTCAGCAGTCGAGCCATATCAGAGTACTGCAGACCGGAAGATGTCAGCCATCGCCTTGTTAAGCTCTTTCGGACGCCATACTTCGTGCCCTTTCCCTTTGAACTTCAACCGCTCTTTCGCAATTCTCCGTAGCTTTGGGATACCAGCAGGTGACAGGAGCCTGTGAACCATTGAGCGATCGGTCCACCGTTGCAGCCCTTTTAGGCGCGAACCTATTTTCGTCCAATTTCGGTACAGGAGCCCTCTTTTTGGTCACTTTGATCTCTTCGTCGATGCCCAGACCTGCGCCATTCTCCTTTTCGTCTGCTCTTGCGGCAGGCACATCCATGTTAGTGTCGACATCGCGAAATACATCACCAACGTCGTAGTCGAATAAGCTGTCATCCAAATCGTCGACTGGGGGAACATTTCGTGCGGCTACATCGGTAGTTGCCATGGTACTGTTCAGGATAGGTTGCTTGTATGATTTAGGCCTCTAGACTGGGATGGTGGAAGAGTCTTCTGCTGTATGTAGATAAAATCTTCTTGTTTTTGCTTTGAAGCCCAAAGAATGTTCGATATAATGAAATGACGCGATTCCACGCGACGTGCTTCTTCGTAATCCTTGGCATTGACAAAATTTTGCCCCCTCTATGACCTATTAAGACCCTGCCCCAAATGTAGCAGGCACTGATATAAAAGGTCAACAATGATTTCTATCATAATACATTCAAGAACGTTTCAACCATCAAGTTTGATAACGTATTGCGAAAGTCTTTATGTGTTCAAATTTTCATGCTACGGTCTTGAAAAAAAGCCAAGATATCTCGAAGCATTGCCGATTTCGTATTTCCTCTTGTATCAACTACAAGTATGCATAAAATTGAACTTGGGAAAGTCTAGACAGATGATCGTACATTGATTTTGAAATGCTGTTCGTCAAAGTATTGGCGGAGTGGAATAGGTAAGCGACAGAGAGCTCTTAATGCCAAGGATTCCGGACCTTTCTGCATACGCTAATATTGTCCCGAAGCCGGCCCATTGAGCCCAACTCGAACTTCGCTTTGTTCAGTGTTCCTTCTTCCTGAATCCTGATTGAGCACGCCCAGCATGACAGACCTACAGCAGCGGCCATATGTGCCAGCGAAGCAGCCAAACACAAGATATCCAGTCAGTAACCTTTGAAGGATTACTGAGACTCAACTAATAGGCTTCCAAAGCTCATTGACAATGATCCGTACGTACCTCAGGCTGCTAGTGCTTCATTGATCTGACCACTGTGCAGCCATTTCAAGCGAGTTGTCAAATATGCGCGACCTGAAGACTATGCAAAAGGAGGTGCTATGGCTGCCTTTGGCCCCGCCTTAATGTTGCTTTGGGAAAAGCTATCTCCATCATATGTTTCCAAGGGGAGCTTTGCGTCTATCATGCGACTCAGCTGCACTATTGGGGCAGGCGCGGGATTCCTCTACTTTTACGAAAACTCAATTTGTACAATCACCTCAACCACTTCCAGCCCAAGCTCTAGCTAACGCCTGGGCAGTGCGGTTCTACGGGGTGGAAGAAAACAAAAGAGAGGTGGAAAGAGATATGCGGGAAATGGTCGATAAAGTCAAGAGGAACGAGCCATTGTATGGAAAATCGAGCCTCACCCCATACATGCAAGGCGTGGCTTCACGTAATTCGCGGTATAGCGGCATCTGGCTCCATGTCATTCCCTGGTTCAATTTTGTCAACCATGATCAGGTATTGCTCACTTTGTACGGCACGATAGGTTCAATTCGCTGATGTTCTGTAGCACGGCGTCGACACGGCTAAATACTACAGACAGGCAGAAAGAGAGCTTGCTGCAGAGCAAGCCGGCAGCAAATAAGAATTGTCACGGCGGATAAAGCAAAAGAAGGCATACGGAGCGACTGTGCAGTTTTATGGTTGTGCTGCCTTTTTGTTCTGTCCTGGTTCCTGACAAGTCCTTTAATATCGTCACATTGATGAGCTGGCCATTCTTAGGTCTAAGACTCACTACAAGAATCACAAGGCTCCGCAGAGCTCAGCTTTCTATCCCAGAGCGAGCTCCTGCTGCTCTATCTCTGCCTTTCCACATCTGTCTTTATATCAATGCGGATCAGATGCTGTAGTGAAATTACTGGATCTCTATCGACGCTGCTGAAAAAGCGGCGGAATCCCAGTGTTGAGTTGTCGATCTTTCTTTGGTTTTGGTTCTGGGGCTGAACTGACCGTCAACAAGTCTTTCCTACGTTGCAAGAACAAAAGTCATGCCTTTGCCATTTTCCTGGACGTAAAATCGTCGCAGCAACATGATTGCCTGATCCCGAAATAAGCCGCCATACGCAGGAAAGGGCTCGTCAACGCTGGGGCTGTCAAGACTGTGTTAGCGATACGCATTGTTCGAAGCGACGTTAAGCATACTCAGAGTGGATTGAGAGTACTCCACCTGTACCGCCAAAACGATCGTTGGAGCACCCGTAGTACACAGCTTTGATGTGAAATTGGCGGAGAGCTGAAGCACACATGATACATGGTTCGACGGTGACATACAGACTTGTCTCCCGAAAAATCGAGGGTGGATAATTGTCAAGTATGCTATTGATGGCAAGGAACTCAGCGTGTCGGGTCCCCTGCGTTGCTCATTAGAACAGTAAATAGTTGCAATTGATCAAGAATCGCCGTTGAGGCCAATTGCTGCCTTGCATCAACAACCGAACATACATTCAGAGACCTATTCGTATCGTTCATACCCCGCCCAATTATTTGACCTTCATGCACAAAGACACATCCAACAGGTACTTCGTTAGAGGCAAGAGCTTGCTCTGCCTGAGTTGTTCAGTCCGCTGTCTTCACACTCTATACATTATCGGCCTGGCATACCATGTCAAGGGCAGCACGCATACATTCTTGATGCTTCTGGTTATGCAGAATTTCATCCACTTGAACATCATCAAGCCCCATGATGATCAGTCCTCAATGTCACGCACTTAGTGGTCTCATTTGTGAACGCCTTGGACCTTTGAACCAAGAGCAATAATCATGCCTGTTTTTGTAGGGCTGCGGACTTTGCGGCCGCGCTTCCGATGTCTCTTTCAACACCGGGCGCCAAGCGATGGAGACGCGTCGTGTATTCCATACTCTAGCCATGACTGACAGCGAAGTAAACCTGATATCAAGGGAAGACCTTATGCTGATATGGCTCGAGACGTGGGAAACAGTGGGTCAGGACGTCCTGTACTCAAAGAACTTTCCCAGAACGCGGAGCCACCACAGTCCACTCTTGCAGCACAGCTTGTCAGCCATTTCACAGATGGGAAGAAGCATCCCAGAACTCAAGATGTAGAGACATTTCGCCAGCTGCTTCGAGAAATCCTTGGTACTGAAAGTGGACAAATTTTTCACGCAGAACCGCTCGAAACAGACAGTGACGTGGATTGCAAGCTGATCTATGTGATCGTGAAAGCCGGCCTTGAAAAGATAAGCTCGGACGACCCGTTCAATGGTAAGACTGAACTATCTAGACACGCTGCTGACAGTTTGACTGCCATAAACTTCACTATCAAGAGGAATCCTGAAGTTCTGTTTGCTGCTCCCCAATTCCACGGACCAGACCCGCGGCCGATTGGTCCCTTGTATCTATGGCTTCTGCCGAAGCTCCTGGCTTTGACCGGGTGCCTACAAGATAGCGAGACAATAGAGGGGGTTCTCCGCATCTTTACGACTTTTCTTGTCACCGAGAGAAAGACGCATGTTAGAAGGATGAACTTACATCCAATTCTGACATACATGAAAGGGTGCACCAACGGTTAGCATGCGTATCCGCCCCTTCGCGTGCATCACCAGCTCACGTAATATCCTGAAGACCTTTTGTCCCATCTCGAAACAAAGACTTCTGATCTGGCTGCAAACCCCAACATGCCCCCATATCATGTGCCTTCTGGAGCGACAATTTCCGGACTCTGCCCGCGGGATCTGCCACCAAATGAGTTGCAGGATGCTATTCAAGTATTTTTCAGACACAAAAGACAAATATTCGATACGACAATGTGCCTTCTAACATTTTTCACTACACCTTCCTCATGCAGGCCAGGTGTCATGTCGAATATTGATTTTCTTACTTCCGAGGACAGCTGGACCTTGAACACATTGACTCGATTTTGGGGCGCAATAGCTCCCGAAGGCGGCCAGCTTGACTACGCTGAAAGCACCTTGTCGAGTGTAATATCCTTTCTGGATCGTATTCGCGCGTTTTTCACCCGTACCTCGGGCTTCGATTCTCGCTCAGCAGTCGTGACCAGGGTGTCAACATTGTACTCGCAGATCACAACGACTTTTCTTGTCGCGGACTCATTACCTTTACCGTCTCCCGTTGAAAAAAGACTTTGTCTCATGGTTTTCGATCTTGCTCTCACTGATTCAAAGTGGGGGCCTAGGCTTCGAAGCTTTGCGGGGAACACACTATCAAATCTTCTCGAAGTAAGAAAAGATCACAAGCGTTTCGACGCATTTGGTCAAGATCTCCAGGTACGCGCAAGCAGATGCTCTTACTGACAGCTACTGATTTGCAAACCTCACAGTACGCTATATCCTTGATAATCTCGCTCCACGAGCAAAATCCGCTACAGAACTTGCGCTTGCTGCCCTTAAGTCGAATGCCGTCATTTGAAGATTCGGAAATTCAGCAAACCAGCCACAGCTACTTCTGCAATCCTGTGCCCGACACAGACAATCATGACCTCGAAAGACCGTCAAAGAGAGCACGCCTGGCCACTGTCAATGGTGGTCAAACCATGAACGACGTGCGATCAAGCATCGTGAGCAAGATCTACAGCTTGTTGGGTCTTCCCGATAACACCGCGCTTATAGGCCTTAGTCGGAATGCGGTGTAGGTGACCGCCATGCCTGTCTTCTGATGGAGGTGCTAACGTTTGATAGCGACTGCTTTCCAAGGCTTTCTGAGGAGGAACAGTGTTCCTTATGTGCTGCGATTGGGCAACTGGCTTGCGCAAGCGCCCAAGCTTTGCCAGAGACCTTGATTAGCGAATATCGACGACCAGTAAATAACAAGTGCTACATCTGTGACGCGGACATGAGGGACAACAGTATATCAACACAGTGGGAATGTTCCGGGTCGGAAGAGGCGTTTTCCACCATACTCAGCCTAATCAAATTGCCCAAAACCCAAAAATTTCGAAGACCTCGTGTCGCAGCTACGCTGGCTCTAAAACGTTTGTTGTCTCATACCGCAAAGGAAGAGCACTTGAACCTGACAATGTCCGCGTATGGCCAATGGTGCTTACAAGCCTTGCAAAGTTCTATACGGGAATTGCGCATTGCGGCTGGGTCAGTCAAAACAAGTTGATTTGGTAAGCGCTCTACTGACAAGTATTAGACGGACATTGCCAGTCTTCATGCAGGGCACTCTCAAACCTTCCATAATCCTCAAAAATCGACACGTTGTCCTGGATTTCTTGCGTACTCTTTCAGAAAAAAACGATCTTGCACTGCAGGAAACGTGCATACTCGCCTGGGGCCAAATTGCTCGGTATGTTGGCAAGTCATGGATTCGTTCCCAGTGCTGATCAATTTATAGGATCTCTGGTGGTGACGAGATGAATATTGTTCTTCTGAAACTTGTGGAATACTTAGGCCACACTAATGCATTAATATCTGGACTTGCGTATGATGAGGTAAGGGCCTACTATACAGATCCAATCCACATATTGTTAATGCATTACAGATTCAAAAGATATCTAATCATTCCCATTTTTCAGCAATGAAGCTGTTTGCTCCGTACTGGCGTACCATTGCGGTAACAGTGGTACAAGATATACACCGCCGTCCCCAGATTGCGCAGCAGATCTCAGACTTGTTGGCGATGAGTGTTTCTGACTTCCTTTCCATGACTCAAGTACACACAGTCCCTTTCTTTGTCTTGACGAAGAAGCAGGACGTATTACAACGAATTGCCGACGCTTGTGGACAGTCGATCATGGTGCTGTGCAGGGAACACAACAATTTGGCTGCGATTCTTTCATGTATACTGCTCCGAACTTCTAGCGATGTAGAGAGTCTAGTCATGGGCTTACTCAATGCTGTTTCTCCAGAGTTCGGCAACGTGAATTGTGCCGAATTGCTCAAATCGGAGCCACAATCAACAGCGTCTGAATTATTGAGGGCTGCAGGTGAGAATGATGAAGCAAAGAGGCCCAAGGTAAGCGGACCCTTTGGAAGATCTGTAAGCGTGAGATCTAATCCGTTGAAGGCTCATCAAGCCCTCCATTTTCTCGCCGACATTACCCATGGTAGATCGATTGCTGGCCGAGGAACAGCTCGTAAGATGGATTCGATCGGTCCATTCTTCGAGACCCACGTGCTGGGTATCATGGCTCTTCTTGCCGATACAATAAACGATGGGAAAGGTCCACAACCTATCCTCGAGAAGACTAGATGTTTGGGCGCGATTCGCGAAATGATAAAGCTTGCAAAAAGCCATGTCAGCAACGGTCTGCCACAGGTAAGCTCCTCACATTTCCACTTCCTAGGCGCTTCGATTAAGTGAACGTTACTTGTAGATATGCGCATGTCTTCGATCCGCGATCGAAATTAAAGCTCTTTCCAATCAAGGCTTTAAGGCTTGGATTGTTATGATGACTACCCTTGGGGAAGACGACATTGCAACGCTTGTAGACCCTACGTTTGCCATTATCGTTCAGCATTGGGACTCGTTTGTGGCCGACATCCAGAAAGAGGCATACGAGATGATTAGTTATCTCCTGAAATCCCATTCATCTATGATATGCGACATCGTACACACCCTACCCTCGCTTGCCCCTGTACCATTAATGGCCAAATTCGAGGAAGAACTGGGCGGGCTGAAGGCTAGGATGGGTATAAAACACCACTATCAAGCTTTCAGCCAACGATGCCAAAACGAAAATGTGACGGTTGTCTTCCGAGCTCTTTCTGAGCTCGCCGAGTACCTGGTGGAAAATCAAGGCTTTCTGCATGAGACCGCCAACAGTGAACAACCTGACCCTGTCGTGGGCCAACTGGCTCGGTCCATCCTGGATACCTCCGTGCTTTTCAATAATACGCATCCAGAGATATCTATTCTTTGTGCCAAGTGCATAGGACTTGTGGGATGCTTGGACCCCACGCGCATTGAAGCGGTCCGGGAGAAAAAGGAGATACTGGTCCTTTCCAACTTTGGCAGGGACGACGAGACAAATGACTTTGTAATCTTCTTCCTTCGTGAAGTTTTGGTCAAAGCCTTTCTCTCGGCAACCAATTCAAGAAGTCAGGGCTTCTTGGCATATGCCATGCAAGAATTGTTAAGCATTTCAGAGATCAAAGAATCTGTGAGGCCTCGCCCACGTGATGCCCCATTTGACGCGAACTATCGCAGATGGGTATCGCTCCCGGAATCAGTGAGGACAACTTTGATGCCCTTTACTAATTCCAAATATTTCGTCACCGCTGGGATATCGCAGCTACCCTCTACCTACCCTTTGTATGATGCAAAGATGGGTCATGGGCAATGGCTCCGGACGTTCACCTTTGACCTCCTCAAGAGGAAAGTAGGAGATGGCAAGGTACAGACCATCTTCTCGGTTCTCAGTCGGATTATTCGATTTCAGGATATATCCATATCGAACTTCCTCCTACCATTTGCTTGCTTGAATGTTATCATCAACGGTAACGATCGTGAGAAGCTAGAAATCGGTCGAGAGCTTCTCCTTGTATTGCATGAATCTTTGCCAGAACAGGGTCATTCTAAGGATAGCACAATCCTTTGCAGCCAGGTAGGTGAGACACGAATGTTCTCCAGCGCTACCTGCTGATCCCTGTGTATAGACCGTCTTTCAAGTCCTCGATTACCTTTCGCGTTGGATGCAAGAGAAGAAAAAAGAAAATGCCAATGCGAAAAGCGCAGGAACAAGGGCAGGTCGAATACCGTCCGAAGCCGACCTTGAGCGGGAAATTGTGCAGATACAAAGTGTGGATACAGTCCTTGCACTGATACCCGCGGACGTGATATCCCGCCGGGCCGTAGAATGTAAATCTTTCTCCCGCGCACTCTTTCATTGGGAGCAATTCATCAGGCAACAACGAGATGAGGATCGAAATGCAAACCAAGGTGTTGATTTGGAACCCTTGTATGAACGACTTCAGGAGATTTACACACAGATCGACGAACCCGACGGTATCGAAGGCATTTCGGCTCATTTGCAAGTCCTTAATATAGATCAGCAGATCCTGGAGCATCGCAAGGCGGGAAGATGGACCGCAGCTCAGAGCTGGTACGAAATCCTCCTTACAGAGAAGCCAAAGGATTTTGATGTCCAATTCAACCTTCTCACATGTCTCAAAGAGTCTGGCCAGCATGGTAAGGGAAGCATTTTACAGAATGGTGAGGTCTTAGTGCTGATTTTGTCGAAGATGTTCTGTTGAATCAAGTTGAGGGCTTCCAACAGTCATATGCGACCAACATTCTGTCTCTACCATTTTCCACAGAGGCTTCTTGGGTGACTGGGAAGTGGGATAAACTGAAAGGCTACCTGTCAATGTCCACGGAAGCTTCGGACGGAGATTTCAATGTGGGGATTGGACGGGCTCTGTTGGCACTTTCCGAGGAAAATAACAGTCAATTCTCCGCCATTTTAAATCAGCTAAGACGCAACACTGCAAGAGGTTTATCGACAACGAACACAACGTCACTACAAGGGTGCCATGACTCGCTAGTGAAGTTCCACGCACTCGCCGAGATGGAAATGATTGGCGGTGCCGGAGACATGGACAAAAACATGAAATCCAGCCTAGTGTCATCCATGGACCAACGATTGGACGTGCTTGGGCCTTTCGTGTCCGATAAACAGTACTTGTTGGGACTTAGAAGGGCGGCAATGCAGCTTTCCAAGTAAGACACCTCATCTCTTGAATGACATTGACTGACCTTACAAGGCGTCATTTCTCGAACGCTGACATCGCGTCTGCTTGGTTGACAAGCGCGAAACTAGCTCGCAAAGGTGGCTTCACGCACCAAGCCTTCAACGCCGTCCTTCATGCGTCTCAGCTCGGCGATGCATCAGCAACGATAGAGCATTCTCGTCTTCTATGGAGAGAAGGCAATCATCGCAAAGCGATCCAAAGTCTAGAAGGCGCCATTGGTGCCAATGCTTTTAGATCTCATGACTACATTGAGGCAAACGAATCCTTAGCGACAAAACCCCCGGGCCTGCAGCAACAGCAAAACCTGCTAAAGGCGAGAGCTCATCTACTGCTAGCAAAGTGGATCGACAGAGCCGGACAAACTCAATCCGATGTGATCATCCATCAGTACAATAGAGCTGCCGAATTTCATAACAGATGGGAGAAGGGTCACTACTATCTCGGAAAGCATTACAACAAGCTCCTGGAGTCAGAGAAAGCGAAACCACCTGGGAAACAGGCTCAGACTTTTATACAAGGCGAGACTGCCAAATTGGTGATCGAAAACTATCTCCGATCGCTAGCCTTCGGGGCAAAATACATATATCAGACTATGCCAAGGATTCTAACGCTGTGGTTGGATTTGGGATTCGAAACCGAACAGCCTTTGGATCCAAAGCACGGAAACGAAACTTTTAGAAGCCACACGATGGCACAGCGAAGAAAGCTCCTCGAAGCTTGTAATTCACAGATGAGGAAATATATTGACCGCCTACCGGCTTTTGCTTGGTATACTGCACTGTCCCAGATCGTGGCTCGGATATGTCATCCAAATTTAGCTATCTACAATCTCCTTGTTGACATTGTGACCAAAGTCGTGACTCAGCACACGGCACAAGCACTTTGGACTTTGCTAGCCGTAGTCAAATCATTTTCCAAAGAGAGGGCGAGTAGAGGCATGGCTTGCTTGACGAGAATACTGGAGAACGCGAAGAAATCCAAGGCAGACTCGACTGGAATAGAGCTGAAGACACTGGTCACTCAGGGACAGAGATTAACCGACCAGTTACTGCATGTTTGCGAGGGCAATATTCCTAACAAGCCTACGATGGTCAGTCTGACCAAGGATCTTGGCTTCAACCACAAGACGGCTTCTTCTAAGCTCGCAATACCGCTCGAGTCATCTTTGACTGCCAGTCTTCCGACGAATGACAGTATGAATATAAGGACTCACAAGGCGTTCAATAGCAAAGACTACGTTCACATATCGTCCTTCCTAGATGATGTGGTGGTTTTGAATTCTCTCCAGCGACCGAGGAAGATCAGTATCCGAGGCTCTGATGGCCATGTCTACGCTCTTCTTTGCAAACCGAAAGATGATCTTCGCAAGGATCAACGTTTGATGGAATTCAACGCCATGATCAACCGCTCTCTGAAGAAAGACGCTGAATCCAGCAAACGCCGGCTTTACATCAAAACATATGCTGTAACGCCCTTGAATGAAGAATGCGGTCTGATTGAATGGGTAGACAATCTCAAAACTCTACGTGAGATTCTCTTGAACGGCTACAAGCAAAAGAACGTGCCGATCAACTACGGCGATTTGCGCAACCTACTTAACGAATCCGTGACGTCTCCTGGCAAGCTTTCCATCTTCACTGACAGAATCATACTCACTTTTCCTCCTGTCTTTCATGAATGGTTCGTTGAGATGTTTCCCGAGCCTGGGGCATGGTTCAATGCTCGCCTGCGTTATACTCGTTCGTGCGCTGTGATGTCCATTGTCGGACATGTCCTTGGACTAGGGGATCGCCATGGCGAGAACGTTTTGTTTGAAGAAAGCAATGGAGGCACCTTCCACGTCGACTTCAACTGTCTCTTCGACAAAGGCCTCACCTTTGAGAAACCAGAGCTGGTCCCCTTCCGCCTCACACACAACATGGTAGATGCGTTCGGCGCTTATGGTTATGAAGGGCCGTTCCGCAAGTCTTGCGAGCTCACGCTTGGCATCCTCCGCCAGAATGAAGATACGTTAATGACGATATTGGAGACCTTTCTCTATGATCCGACCACTGATTTCATTGGTAAGAAGAAGAAGGCCATTACCGGTGTGCCGGACACGCCGGAGGGAGTGCTAGAGAGTGTGAGGAACAAGGTTCACGGTTTGTTGCCCATGGAAAGTGTACCATTGAGTGTGGAAGGATATGTGCAGGCGTTAATCCAGCAGGCGACAGATCCATTCAAATTGGCGAGTATGTACATTGGCTGGTGCGCTTTCTTCTAGATGCGAGTTCGGGTAGAGAAGGCATCCATGACATACACAGTGTAGCAGTCAAAGGCATTGCAAAGGAGTTGAATCTGGCATTCGATGGCTCTGTTGGCTAGGTGTATCTATTCGCAGAACGATCAGACATAGAAGCAAGCGAGATATAGCTTCTGGTTGCGTGATCGCCACGATTTTGATATTGTCGCTCTGCTATGTACAATAAGCCATAATAATCAAGTCGCTAACGCTGTTCTCTCTCGCTGAGACAATGTCTATGCTCCGTCTAGTAAGCCACCATGGAAGAAAGTCCATCCATCTCACGATCGAAGTTCTTGTGTTGGGAGATGTTGAAAGTGTAGACATCGATGAAGTCCTTCGCACCCTTGGCCATGTTGATGGTTTCCTTGAATGACTCAGGCTTCGCTGCTCCAGCAGTGACGACACCGTAGGAGTCGACGACATCGTGACTACCAGCAGCAGAGAAAGTCATACCATCGACCTCACATGCTGTTTTCACAAGGTTCACAGCCTCGCCGGTCGCACCAATGGCCTTGAGATGACCGAACGCTTCACGCACCCCTGGTTCATGATTTCAGAGTCAGTCTTGCTTGTTTGAGAGGGTATAGGGAGCCTTGGAACACGTCTAGAGAGTCAATACTCCCAACACATGTCTCAAGACTTAAGATTTGGTTCAAAAGAGGTAATATGAACTCCGAAAACACGTACAGTGGACCACTCGGCCCTGCTTACGCAGAGTTTCAATGTGAGGACCTCCAGGAATAAAGATGGAATCGAACATGGTAGAGCGCATGCCTTCGAAATGATGGTCTGGCTGAACGCCTTTGCCACCTACAAAAACTCCGGAGTCAGCACTCCTTCTTTATGGAAAAACCTGGAGCAATGAGACAGCTCGAAGGGGTTTAAAGAGCTTTCCATTCTCATAGTATGTCTTGCGAAAAGTGGTGCCGAATATGAATCTGTTGACCCAAATATGTACATACCTTTGCTCTCGCCTTCCGCAAGTACAGTCTGGCGCTTGGGGCCAATGACAAAGGGGAAGGCCTTTGCAGCCTTGAGAGCAGCATATACTCCATTGAAGGCGACCGGATCGTAGCCGTCGCCGATGAGGATAGCGACACGTCTACTGGCAATCGTTGGCTTTGGTGCGTTGTAGGCCGTAATGCTTAGACCCGCAGATTGGTTGCCTGCGTTTGGCTTGCCTTGTTTAGTTGGCGTGGGCGCACCTGCCTTCTCGGCCACGGCTTGGGCAAGCTCGATGTCAATATCGCAGAGACGCTCGATCATTCTATTATACACGACCGGGTCATCACAGTGGTCGAGTTCAAAGCCTAAGGCGGAGATCAAATGCATCTTCTCAGGCGGGCTTTGGGAGTTCCAGAAAAGTTGAGCTTGCGAGATGTGATCCTTAAATTTTTGAGATTTGAGACGAGTCTTAATTCCCGCCACTTTTTCTGGATGGTCGACATATCCGCCCTCAGAAGGCTTGGCTGGCGGGGCAGACTCCCAGCGGTTTGGCCAGTAGTTGGCTTTGCCCTTAGTAATTGTGTGACGTTTTTGGCCATCCCTGTTTTGGTTCATAACAGGACAGACGGGGCGATTGATGGGAAGCTCTTCCCAATTGATGCCGAGTCTAGAAACCTGAGTATCGAAGTAGGAAAAGTTTCTTCCCTGTAAGAGAGGATCGTCGGAGAAACCTATGCCAGGAACGACATGGCCAGTTGCGAAAGCAGCCTGCTCGGTCTGAGTAAAATACTCATCAACGTTGCGATTAAGTTCAAGCTCTCCAATGTACCTAATCGGTACCATTTCCTCGGGCCAGACTTTGGTCGCATCGAGGATGTCGAAGTCAAAGTCATGTTCCTGTGATTCCTCGAGAGTCTGTATGCCGAACTTCCATGTAGGGAATACTCCCTGACTGATAGCCTCGTAAAGATCTTTCCGATGAAAATCAGGGTCTTGGCCAGCCAATTTCAACGCCTCATCCCACACAAAAGAATGAACGCCAAGGGTTGGTGTGAAATGGAATTTTACAAAGTGTCTCTCGCCCTTCGCGTTGGTGAGGGTGTAGGTATTGACACCAAACCCTTGCATCATTCTGTAGGACCGAGGGATACCCCGATCTGACATAGCCCACATGAACATATGAGTGGCTTCGGAGTGTAGGTATTGGAAGTCCCAGAAATTGTTGTGGGCGGTCTGGGCCTGCGGAACTTCAACATCTGGTTCAGGCTTCGCCGCGTGGATCAAGTCCGTGAATTTAATGGCGTCCTGAATGAAGAAGACGGGAATGTCGTTGCCCACGATATCCCAATTGCCCTCCTCAGTGTAGAACTTGACGGCAAAGCCTCGCACGTCACGTACTGTATCGGCGCTACCTCGCGACCCAAGGACCGTGGAGAACCGAAGGAAGACTGGTGTGGTTCGGGAAGTGTCTGTCAAAACCCCAGCACTCGTCACGTCTTGGGCGCTTTCGTAGAGCTTGAAGGTTCCGAATGCTCCGGCACCGCGGGCATGGACTACTCGTTCCGGTATACGCTCGTGATCGAATCGGTGTATCTTGACTGCTGGTCAGTAATCTCCTGGGTAGGTCTGCAGACCAGCGCTAACCTTCTCTCGTGCATGACCATCCTCCAACAATGCCGGGCCATACTGATCTTCGGTGGAGACAGTGAGCCAGTGGTCTGTGTCAGACACTTTGCTGCCCCAATCGGTAGTAAGCCTAGCATTGGAGTCATGGGAGTCTTTGGTGTCCTTGGAGATATCGGCAAGCTTCGGATTTTGGAAAGCTGCGCCGTCCATAACCTTCTGGAGACCATTAGAAAGGGTGGAAGCCATCTCGGTCTGCATTAAAAAGAAAATGGTTGGTACAAAAGGGTGTAGAAGAGAGGAAGACTTGGTTAGCACCAAGACGAAAAAGTCGACTGAGGGTGAAAGAGAAGCATCACTTGAGGTGAGCTGAGCTTGAACGTGAAGTGGCGGGAAAGTGATGTAACTGCCAATTTCAATCATGACGTCCAACATGCAATTCCCCATACGGAAAGCATCTATCCGAGGGCCATACTCTGATATGATAATCCAACACCACACCATACCATCAGATACCAGGTATACACCTGTCCGAAAATCTCGTCCTCCCATGCATCAAGAAACAAGAGTCCACGTCCCAGAGCTTAGCTTCCATGATGGTATACCTAGTACTGCTGCGAGCGTACAGAGTAGTATATTGTTTTCACGCCATCATCCGAACCAAGTTCACGGCTTCTATTAGGTATTTATTAACCTAATCCCCATTCTCATTCCCTTCGATAATCATATATTTTCAAAATATATTAACATATATAACCTTACCTCTTAATAAATAAAAAGTAGACTTAAAATAGTACTAGTAGATATTTAAAAATATATAAAATATATATACGATTTCGTTCGATAATTCTATAATCTCGCTAAGTAAGAATCGAATATAGAATAATTAAAAAATTCTTTCTCGTTAGAGATAATTATCTTTCTATCTATTAATATATAGAAAGATATATAAAAAGTACTTTATATAACTATAGAATAGCTATTTAGAATTTCTTTAATATAGCTATAATTAGATAGAATAGATATTCTTTATATTTACTTATTATAATAAGAATAATAATAATAAGTAATAATAAAAACTATACTTATAACTATCTTTTTAATTAAAGAGTTATTTATAATTAAAATATAGCTATTATAGTTATAAAAATAAAATATCGCTATTATAATCGTTAATACGAAGATTACTATTAAAAGTTTTAAATATACGTTAAAATTCTTAATATTCTTAATATTTCTAGTATTTTAATAAATTTCTTAAATAGCTTTATAATCTATATACGATATTTTATATAATTATATATATACTAATTTACTCGATTAGCTAAATTATAAAGTCGCTTATTTTCTTCTTTATAGCTCTCTCGATATTTATTATCGTCTTATAAACGAATAACTTTAATAATATATCTAGATATACGCTATTATCGCTATTATATATATAATAATATTATAATTATATATCTTATATATATATAGTAATATCGCTATTATATACTTTATATATATATACTTTATATATATATAAAGTACATAAATATAAATAAATTTATAATCATTTTTTTAGGGCTGTCGAGTAATTTTGGTGAGCGATCTTGATGAGCGATATCTGAATCCTTACCTTTAAATATCTATAAGACTAAATTTAGTAATTCCTTTTTATCTAAAACCTCACATTATACCTATGATTTAAATAAAAAAATTTAAATTTTAATAGAAAATAAAAAAGTTATTCTAAAATCAAATAATGGTACCTTTTTTTTTTTTTTTGGGGCTGTCCGGCTGTCGAGCGAACTCTGGTGAGAGATATTTGAATTCCTTGCCTTTAATAATCATAAGACCAAATTTCAAAATTCTTAAAAATTCGGAAAGCCTAGACTGCCTCTAAAATTCAAAATTTAAAACTCAAAAAGTTAATAGAAAATAAAAAGTTTTCTATATATTAATAATATATACCTATTTTTTAATGGTTGCGGATGCTAATCTATTTACCCGCGGTATCTAATTAAAAAGCGTAGACCTAATAAATTAATAATTGGCTGTATATATAAATTCAAGATTTTCAAGCTTAGCCCTATCTTATTCTTTTATATATACTAATATATATTCTTTATATATCTATACTTTATATATCTATACTTTATATATCTATACTTTATATATTTATACTTTATATATATAATAGTAATATCGCTACTATATAAAGTATTAATATTTAAAATATTTAAAATATTTATTAAGAATATTAAGAATTTTAAAGTTCTAATTCTAATATTTAGAACTTTCGATAATAATCTCTATATCTATTATTTCTATATACTTAAAGCTTCTTCGATAATTATATATTTTTAAAATATATTAATATATTTTTACTTATTAAAAGATATTATATATTAAAAATATATAAATTATAAATTAATCTATAATTTAAGACTTAATATACGCTAAGTATATAGAAATAATAGATATTTATAACTATAATAGCGATATTTTTTATTTTTATAATTAATAGTTATATTTTATAACTATAATAGCTATATTTTAGTTATAAATAACTCTCTATTTAATAAGATAGCTATAAGTATCGCTCTTATTACTATTTAATACTATTCTTCTTATTATAATAGAAGACGAGATAATAACGAGAATAATAGAAGTATTAATAATAATTAAAGACTATATAATAGTAGTAGATATATTAGCTATAAGACTATTAAATAATAGATAGAAAGATAATTATCTAACTAGAAAGACTTTTTTTAATTATTCTATATTTAATTCTTACTTAGCGAGATTATAGAGTTATTAAATGAAATTATATCTATATTTTATATATTTTAAGTCTATATTTTATTTACTAAGAGATAAGATAATATATATTAATATATTTTAAAAATATATAATTATCGAAGAGATTCTTAGCGTATATTAGATTTTAAATTATAAATTAATCTATAATTTATATACTTTTAAAACGAAATTTAATATAATAAGTAAAAATATAATTATCGAATATAATCGTATATATATAATACGCTAATTTAAAAATATATTAGTATATTTTAAAAATATATAGTTATCGAAGGGGCTCTTAGTAATATTACTTATTATCGTACGCTATAAGTCTCTCTAAACGACTTTAATAGTTATAAAAATCTCTCGTATTATTAATAAACCTTAATATAATTATACGCTAGATTATTATATATAAAACGTAGATTATTAAATAAAGCGAATAATAGATTAAATATCTAGCGTTAATAAAAGAGTAGAAAGATATAAGAGAAGATCTAGCGAAGCGCTTATTTTTATTAAGCTAATATAGCCTCGATTCTCGAGTCTATTAATCTTCTTATTATTATAATATAATATTAGATATAGAAAAAAGTCTAAATATCGAGATTTACTCGACTATTTAGAGAAAGCTAAGAATTTAATATATATATTATAAAAGCGTAGTTTACTAGCGATTAGCTAGCGAATATAAACTATAAAAGATATAGTATCGTTATGAAATTTAATAGTATATTTAATAATAGAATTAATCTTTAAAAAATATTAAAACTTCGAGATATATAAAGTAAATTTATATTCGCTAAATCTCTAAATATATAAGATATATTATTAAAATTAAACTCTAAAAGAGATCTTAATATTAATATATATAAAAGAATAAGATAAAGCTAAGCTTGAAAATTTTAAATTTATATATATAGTTAATTATAAATTCGAGTTCGCTACGCTCTTTAATTAAATCGACTAAATTAGCTCGATAGCCCTTTTATATCTCTCTTATTAAAAATTTATATATAGAAGTTTTATACTTTAAAGTACTTAGTTTATAATATATATAGTTACTTTATAATTTCTTAAATTATAAAGCTCGCTTTACGCTTTCTAACGCTATAAAAATTATAAAGTTTAATCTATTATTAATAGATTAAGTAAAGGCCCATGAATTAAATTTATAAAGTTGGATTTTTCTAAGTTAAATCGAATTTTAGCCCTAGCCCTAAGTTAAATCGAACTCTAATCGCTTACTATACGTTTTTAACCTACTTCCACCACTATAAAATTAATTTAATCTATATAGTATATAGGTATATATGTACGGAGAGAGGCGCGCTAAGGCCTAATTAGAAAGGTGTAATAATTGCCTATAAAAAATAGAGAAAGGCTATATCCTTATGGCAAGAAGTATCGAAATACCGGAAAGAAATAAAGACAACGTGCTAATTAGTGGTGTGAATCCTATAATATCTCCCGCCGCAGTGAAATTTTTCGAATAATAAAATAGCTATAGACATCGGACGGTTTCAATTCGTCTAAATATGCATCGTTCCGGAGTGATGATTTGATGTGGAACCGTGGAGAGCATATGACGTGGGATCTTGGAGAGCTGAGCCGTGTTCTTGACGATGGTGGCCTTGTTGCCGCTTGGTTTCTCCGCAGTGTTCTCCGCATTTGCCTGTTGTAGTTCCTCCTCTTGCTCCTCAATGTAGTGGGGATGACAGGCCAAGTTGCAGTGGTGTTCTCCGCTTGCTGAGTGATGATTTGATGTGGAACGGCTAAGTTGCAGTGGTGTTCTCCGCTTGCTGAGTGATGATTTGATGTGGAATCGTGGAGAGCATATGACGTGGGATCTTGGAGAGCTGAGCCGTGTTCTTGACGATGGTGGCCTTGTTGCCGCTTGGTTTCTCCGCAGTATTCTCCGCATTTGCCTATTATAGTTCCTCCTCTTACTCCTCAATATAGTAAGGATAATAGGCCAAGTTATAGTAGTATTCTCCGCTTACTAAGTAATAATTTAATATAGAATAACTAAGTTATAGTAGTGTTCTCCGCTTACTAAGTAATAATTTAATATAGAACCGTAGAGAGTATATAACGTGGGATCTTGAAGAGCTAAGCCGTGTTCTTAACGATAATAATCTTATTACCGCTTAATTTCTCCGTAGTATTCTCCGTATTTACCTATTATAGTTTCTTCTCTTACTTCTTAATATAGTAAGAATAATAGACTAAGTTATAGTAATATTCTTCGCTTACTAAGTAATAATTTAATATAGAATCGTAGAGAGTATATAACGTGAGATCTTAAAGAGCTAAGTCTATTCTTAATACTAAGAGTCTTATTATCGCTTAATTTCTTCGTAGTATTCTTCGTATTCGCTTACTATATTAACTTCTCTTATACTAACTAAGTAAATTAATATAAGATTATAGAGAGTAAATCTATTATATTACTACTGCTAATAACTATCTTCGTAATATTCTTCGTAGTATTCTCCGTATTCGTCTATTATAGATTCTTCTCTTATTTAACTAAGTACGAGAATATCGAGAGTAAATATATTTATATTAGTAAAATTAATAGAATTAATAGAATTAATAAAATTAATAGAATTAATAGAATAGTAAAAGAAGAATAATTATATAAATAGATGAAAGAATTATTATTCGATCTCGAACGCGTTTAATATAACTATAATATTTAAATATTAATTTAATTTATCTATCGCTAACTTAAAAGAAGTATATAAAAGAGAACGTATTCGTTTAAGCTCTTTTTAAGAGTCTTTTAACGCGTTTATAAGTAGTAGTAGATAGCTATTAAACTCGCTTACGGCCTCGATTATTAGTAATAGCGAATTCGTTAAGAAATAGTTTAAGAGCGTTAATAAGAGGCTAAACTAGATAAGAAATATCGAAGAAAAAAAAACGATTATATTTATATTAATGAAATTAATAGAATTAATAGAATTAATAGAATAATAAAAGAATAATAAATAGATAAAAGAATTATTATTCGATCTCGAACGCGTCTAATATAACTACTATAACTATTATATTTAAATATTTATTTAATTTATTAATAGTAGATTAAACTTTATAATTTTTATAGCGTTAGAAAGCGTAAAGCGAGCTTTATAATTTAAGAAATTATAAAGTAACTATATATATCGTAAGCTAAGTACTTTAAAGTATAAAACTTCTATATATAAATTTTTAATAAGAAAAACGCGAGAGAGCTATCGAGCTAACTTAGTCGATCTAATTAAAGAGCGTAGTAACTTTAAATTAATAATTAACTATATATATAAATTTAAGATTTTCAAGCTTAGCTCTATCTTATTCTATTATATATACTAATTAAATAAGATAGCGGCTACGCGTACAGCCCTACTTACTAGGCGTCAGCCCTATTCACTAGGCGTATAGCCCCTCTGATTCGGTTAGCGGCCGCGGAAGCTAACGGAATCTAACCGAAAATGGTAAGGAACCCGCATCTAGTGTCTTCGAGATTCTTGCCTTTATAATAGGATACCTTATGGTAGTAAAACCAACTCCCACCCCACCGCCCGCCCACATCCTTCGCTCAATAGCAATGGCCCTAGCTCCACCTCCCGATGACTGGACGGACACCTCACTTAATGCGACAGCTGGCAATCACGGCGGGTCAGGTGAAACAGCAAGAGGAGGAGGACAGGGCAGACGCGTTCTTTGGTACTGAAGGCCATAGGCAAGGATCAGAGCGCATACCTACACCTACCTCTACACCTACCTCTACACCTACCTCTACACCTACCTCTACACCTACCTCTACACCTACCTCTACACCTACCTCTACACCTACCTCTACACCTACCTCTACACCTACCTCTACACCTACCTCTACACCTACCTCTACACCTACCTCTACACCTACCTCTACACCTACCTCTACACTGCAAGCGTCACAGCGGGGGGGTTTGCGACCGCTGCAGCAGCCACCCCGACGACTAGGCATTACACGAGGAGGGCGGCGAGGTAGGCAGGCTGGACAGGCTACACGAGGACAGCGAGGTGGTGCTACATCGGCCTACATGCAGGGTAACGAGGCTATATTCAATACGTTTCAGATGTAGAAAGATCAGCTGGCCGATAGGTAGTAGACAATTAAGTATAATAGGCGTATTTTTAGTAGCAAGCAGAGAGGGTAGCCAGCCAATCAGCTATCGCCATAGCGGAATTATTCAAAGACCTCACTAATCGACGAATTGAAACCGTCCGATGTTGTAAATCTACAGGGAGAGACATAGGGAGGCTTCACTACCACCAAGCATCTCCGCAAGAATCTCGAAGACACTAGATGCGGGTTCTTTACCATTTTCGGTTAGATTCCGTTAGCTTCCGCGTAGCCGCTAATCCGATTAGAAGGGCTATACGCCTAGTAGATAGAGGCTATACGTCTATTAAGTAGGGGCTATACGTCTAGTAGATAGGGGCTATACGCGTAGCCGCTATCTTAAATAAATATTTAAATATAGTAGTTATAATATAATAATAGTTATATTAAACGTATTCGAGATCGAATAATAATTCTTTCATCTATTTATATAATTATATTTCTTTTATTATTCTATTAATTCTATTAATTTTACTAATATAAATATAATCGTCTTCGATATCTCTCGTCTAAAGATTACTTAATATTTTAGATATATATATATATCTTTTACTCGTCTCTTAGTATTACGGATTAATCCTTCACACTCGATATACCTTTCTAGTCAGGCCTTAGCGCGCCTCCCCTCCGCACATATATGCCTGCAGACCATATAGATTAATAGAATAACTTTACACTACACTAATATTATAATATTAAGAACTATTCCTTAACAAATGATAGCAACACCTAAAGATCACTCAACAGAAGTCTATTGAATTTATTCGCTCATCCACAGTGCTAGCCAGTCACGCTACGCCTCTACCTACCTCAACACCCACATCGCTCACCTACCAGCAACTCAGCCTGTCACGCAGAGTCACTACACGCAAACAAATACAAGCAGTAAACCTTTCAATAGGCCATCACTATGCCTACTTTCGATTCCATTCCATTCATCCCCGGCTTCTCGAAAGATCAGGTTCAGGGCCTAATGGCTCAAATTCAAGACATAATAAGAACTGAAATAGATCAACTACGCAATGAGTTTCGCCAGCAACCAAGTCAAATCCTTCCAGTCATTCAGCCAGCCATTCAGCCAGCCACTCAGCCAGCTACTCAGCCAGCCGCTGAGCCAGCCGCTCAGTCAACCCCTCAGCCAATCACTCAGTCAAAGCAAGAGGAGGAACCACTACAGGCAATTGCGGAGAACACTGCGGAGAAACCAAGCGGCAACAAGGCCACCATCGTCAAGGACATGGCTCAGCTCTCCACGATCCCGCGTCAAATCATCACTCAGCAAGCGGAGAACACCACTACGATTTGGCCTACTGTCTCCACATGCCTGGGCAATATCACATTGTGGTACATCACTGCAATGAGCACACAAGAGAAGGATCTACTGCGTCGATCACAGCCAATTGGGCCTCTACAGAAGGACATGGAACGATGCATATTTGGACGAATTGAAACCGTCTGATGTCTTGCTCCAGTACTATTCGAAGGGCTTCGCTGCGGTAAGAGAACTTGTGGGATTCACACCACTAATTGGCCTGGTGTCTCCATTTCTCTCCGGCATTCGAAAAATCATGCATGCATACTTCTTGCCATGAGGACATGGCCTTTCTCTGTTTTTTATGGGCACCTGTTACGGATCAATCCTCCACACTCGGTACACCTTCCTAGTCAGGCCTTAGCGCGCCTCCCCTCCGCACATATGTGCCTACAGACCACATAGATTAATAGAATAACTTTATACCACACTAATATTATAATATTAAGAACTATTCCTTAATACTTAGAGCCTCTACTAACGCCCTTAAATTACTTTTTAGCGAATTCGCTATTATTAATAATCGAGGCTATAAGCGAGCTTAATAGCTATCTACTACTACTTATAAATATATTAAAAAACTCTTAAAAAGAGCTCGAACGAATATATTCTTCTTTATATACTTCTTTTAAGTTAGCGATAGATGAGTTAAATTAATATTTAAATATTATAGTTATATTAAACGCGTTCGAAATTAAATAATAATCCTTCTATCTATTTATATAATTATTCTTCTTTTACTATTCTATTAATTCTATTAATTCTATTAATTCTATTAATTCATAAATACTATTAATATAAAATTACTCTCGATATTCTTATACTTAATTAAATAAGAGAAGAATCTATAATAGACGAATATAAAGAATATTATAAAGAATATTATAAAGATAGTTATTAATAGTAGTAATATAATAAATCTATTCTCTACGATCTTATATTAATTTATTTAGCTAGTATAAGAGAAGTTAATATAATAGATAAATATAAAGAATACTACGAAGAAACTAAGCGATAATAAGACTTTTAGTATTAAGAATACGACTTAGCTCTTTAAGATTCCACGTTATATACTCTTTACGATTTTATATTAAATTATTACTTAGTAAGCGAAGAATATTATTATAACTTAGTTTATTATCTCTATTATATTAAGAAGTAAAAGAAGAAACTATAATAAATAAATATAAAGAATACTACGAAAAATATTATAGAGAATATTACGAAGAAATTAAGTAATAATAAGATTATTATCGTTAGAAATACGACTTAGCTCTTTAAGATCTTACGTTATATACTCTCTATAATTTCATATTAAATTATTACTTAGTAAGCGAAGAATATTATTATAACTTAATCTATTATCTCTATTATATTAATATAATATATTATTATAAATAAAGACCTATAAATTAAATTTATAGTCTTTTTTTTTAATCGAGGCTATCGAGTAAATTTTGATAAGCGATCTTTGATAAGCGATATCTAAATTCCTTATCTTTAAATATCTATAAGACTAAATTTAGTAATTCTTTTTTTATCTAAAAGCCTATATTATACTCTATAGTTTAAATTAAAAATTCTAAAATTTTAATAGAAAATAAAAAAGTTATTCTAAAATTAAATAATGTACACCTGTTTTTTAATTAGGGCTGTCGAGCGGATTTTGGTAAGCGGACTTTGATGAGCGATATTTGAATTCCTTGCGCTTTAATAATTATAAGATCAAATTTTAAAATTCTTAAAAATTCGGAGAGCGCAGACTGCGCTCTAAAATTTAAAATTTAAAATCTTAAAAAGTTAATAGAAAATAAAAAAGTTTTTCTATATATTAATAATATATATCTATTTTTTTAATAATTACGAACGCTAATTTATTTACTCGTAATATCTAATTAAAAAGCGTAGACCTAACGAATTAATAATTAGCTATATATATAAATTTAAGATTTTCTAGTTTAGTTCTATCTTATTCTATTATATATACTAATAATAACGTTATAAGAGAAGAATTTACTACGATAATTATAGCTAATTAAGTCTTTATAGAAGAAATATTAAATAATATATATTTAAACGAATTAAAATCGTTCGATATCTTACTCTAATAGCTATTTTATTATTTAAAAGATTTTACTATAATAGAAGATAATATAGAATTTATATTACTAATTAATATATTATCTTTATTTCTTTTTAATATTTTAATACTTCTTACTATAAGAATATAGCTTTCTCTATTTTTTATAGATTATTATTACGAATTAATTCTTTATACTTAATATACCTTTCTAATTAAATCTTAGCGCGTCTCTCTTTATATATATATATATTTATATATAGATTAAAAACGTATAGTAAGCGATTAGAGTTCGATTTAACTTAGAGCTAGAGCTAAAATTCGATTTAACTTAGAAAAATTTAACTTTATAAATTTAATTTATAGGTCTTTACTTATAATATATATAATATTAATATTTTAGCGTAAATAGCGTTAAGATTTATAATAGTATTAGATTTAATAATTATCTTCTCTTTTAGATCTTAGTCTCTAGATATCTAAATAAAAATAGAATATTTATTTAAAAACTTTTAAACTCTAATAGAGAAATAAGAGAAAAGAGTCGATTTATTATAATATCGTTTTAATAATATAATAGAACTAATTATTATACGTCGTAGACGCGTTATTAATATATTATATAATAATAAGTAAAGATCTATAAATTAAATTTATAAAGTTGAATTTTTCTAAGTTAAATCGAATTTTAGCTTTAGTTCTAAGTTAAATTAAACTCTAATCGCTTACTATATATTTTTAATCTACTTTTATTATTATAAAATTAATTTAATCTATATAATATATAGATATATATATACGAAGAGAGACGCGCTAAGATTTAATTAGAAAGATATATTAAGTATAAAGAATTAATTCGTAATAATTATCTATAAAAAATAGAGAAAGGTTATATTCTTATAATAAGAAGTATTAAAATATCGAAAAGAAATAAAGATAATATACTAGTTAGTAATATAAATCTTATATTATCTTCTATTATAGTAAAATCTTTTAAATAATAAAATAGCTATTAGAGTAAGATATTAAACGATTTTAATTCGTTTAAATATATATTATTCGATATTTCTTCTATAAAGATTTAATTAACTATAATTATTATAGTAGATTCTTCTCTTATAATATTATTATAATAATATATTATATTAATATAATAGAGATAATAAATTAAATTATAATAATATTCTCTATTTACTAAGTAATAATTTAATATAAAATCGTAGAGAGTATATAACGTGAAATCTTAGAGAGCTAAGTCGTATTCTTAATAATAATAATCTTATTATCGCTTAGTTTCTTCGTAATATTCTTCGTAATATTCTTCGTAGTATTCTTCGTATTTATCTATTATAGTTTCTAATATTATTATAATAATATATTATATTAATAATAATAAGAATAATAGATTAAGTTATAATAATATTCTTCGCTTACTAAGTAATAATTTAATATAAAATTATAAAGAGTATATAATATAGAATCTTAAAGAGCTAAGTCGTATTCTTAATGATAGTAATCTTATTATCGCTTAATTTCTTCGTAGTATTCTTCGTAATATTCTTCGTAGTATTCTTCGTATTTATCTATTATAGTTTCTAATATTATTATAGTAATATATTATATTAATAATAATAGAAATAATAGATTAAGTTATAGTAATATTCTTCGCTTACTAAGTAATAATTTAATATAGAATCGTAGAGAGTATATAACGTGGGATCTTAGAGAGCTAAGTCGTATTCTTAATAATAATAATCTTATTACCGCTTAGTTTCTCTAGTAGTATTCTTCGTAGTATTCTTCGCATATTCTTCGCATTTATTATTATAGTTTCTTCTCTTACTTCTTCTCTTATAGAGTATTAAATTAAGTAATTAGCTAAATAAGTAATTAAGTAAATAATTAAGTAATTAATTAATAATCTAACTAAGTAAATTATTAAGCTAATAAAGTAGATAATATTAACTAAGTAACTAGTTAAGTATCGCTAGCTTAAGAGTATATAGAGAAAGATAATAGTCGTAAATTCGTTCGAGCTCTTTTTAATCTTTTAACGCGTTTATAAATAATAATAGATAATTATTAAACTCTTTTATAACCTCGATTATTAGTAATAGCGAATTTATTAAAAAGTAATTTAAGAGTATTAATAGAGACTTTAAGAGGCGAGTAAAAGAAGTATATATATCTAAAGCGTTTAATAATATTTTCGTTAGGAGTATCGAGAATAATTATATTTATATTAGTAAATTAATAGAATTATAAAAGAAATATAATTAAAATAAAATAATAAAGAATAAATAGAGAAGAAAGACGCGTTTTAAGAGATAGTATTATTAGATTAAAAGATATTATCGCTAACTTAAGAGAAATCTATAAAAGAGAATATATTCGTTTAAACTCTTTTTAAGAGTTTTTTAACGCGTTTATAAATAGTAGTAAATAGCTATTAAGCTCGCTTACGATCTCGATTACTAATAATAATAAATTCGTTAAGAGATAATTTAAGAGTATTAATAGAGACTCTAAGAGACGAATAAAAAATACGTATCTAAAGCGTTTAATAACGTTTTCGCGAGGGTATTAAATACGATTATATTTATATTAATAAATTAATAGAATAATAAAAGAAGAATAGTTATATAAATAGATAAAAGAATTATTATCTAATCTCGAATACGTCTAATATAACTATTATAACTATTATATTTAAATTTCTATTTAATCTATTAATAGTAGATTAAACTTTATAATTTTTATAATATTAGAAAGCGTAAAGCGAGCTTTATAATTTAAGAAATTATAAAGTAACTATATATATCGTAAGCTAAGTACTTTAAAGTATAAGACTTCTATATATAAATTTTTAATAAGAGAGTTTAAAAGAGTTATTAAACTAACTTAGTCGATCTAATTAAAGAGCGTAGCGAACTCGAATTTATAATTAACTATATATATAAATTTAAGATTTTTAAGCTTAGCTCTATCTTATTCTATTATATATATTAATATTAATATTATTCTCGAGAATAATATTACTTCTATAATATTAATTAATAATAATTTA